AGCAGATAAATGTGGGAAATTTCTGTCATGGCAATTGAAAAAGAGGCAAAAACTGAACACTGTGACAAGTTTAGAAGTGGATGGAAAGATTATCCACAAACCAAACGAGATAAGTAATTGTTTTCAAAGTTACTTCAGGAAATTATATGCACAAGGGCCAGTCAACGAACAGGAAATAGAAGAATTTGTTAAGAAACATGGATTACCAAAAATTTCAGAGCAAAGCAGAAGGATTTTGAATGAGAAAATAACAGGACAAGAAATAGAGGGTGCCATTCAGAAGATGCAATTGGGAAAATCTCCAGGACCAGATGGTTTGACCGCCAGATATTATAAAGCGTTGAAGGAATGGTTAGTACAACCACTGAAGGAAGTATGTAATGAAATTTTGGAGGGAAAAAGGCACCAGAGTCGTGGAAAGAAGCCTTTATTTCACTTATACCGAAAACTGAGACTGAAAAGAACCAGGTTAAAAACTACCGCCCTATATCATTACTCAATGTGGATTACAAAATTTTTGCAGACATTATGGCAAAAAGACTGAAGAGAGTGTTGGTAGGGGAGATTCATAAGGACCAAACTGGCTTTCTTCCAGGGAGACATATGTCGGACAATGTGAGGAACATTATAGACATTTTGGAACTGTTAGAAGTGGACATCAATAGGAAGGCTGTTTTAATTTTTGTGGACGCGGAGAAAGCCTTTGATAATATTGGTTGGAGCTTTATGAAGAAGAATCTCCAAGGGATGGGGGTAGGTCAAGGGTTTGAAAACGGTATAGGTGCAATATATTCTAAACAAAAAGCAAAGTTAATTGTAAACAATGTGGTTACGGAAGAAATATCTATAGAAAAAGGTACACGACAGGGGTGCCCAATATCCCCTTTACTTTTTATATTAGTCCTGGAGGTTTTGTTAAACATGATTAGAGGAGACCAGTTGGTTAAAGGAGTACAAGTCGGAGCTAGACATTACAAGCTAAGGGCATTTGCAGATGACCTAGTACTGACCTTGCAACAGCCAGATACTAGTACTAAAAGAGTATTAGAACTAATTGAGATATTTGGTCAAGTAGCAGGATTTAAACTGAACAAACAGAAAACGAAAGTGTTGGACAAAAATTTAACATTGGCTGAAAAAGAGAAGTTTCAGAATGAAACAGGTTTAGTGATAACGAAAAAGTAAAGTATCTGGGGGTAAACTTAACATCTAAGAATGTGAATTTATTTAAGGACAATTATGACAAATGTTGGACAGAGGTAAAGAAAGATCTAGAAATATGGTCAAGGTTGAAACTCTCTTTGTTAGGTCGAATTGCTGTTATTAAGATGAATGTATTGCCTAGAATGTTGTTTTTATTCCAGACATTGCAGATTTTGGACAAGATGGACTGTTTCAAGAAGTGGCAGAAAGATATATCTAAATTTGTCTGGCAGGGCAAAAAGCCCAGAATAAAATTTAAGATTCTAACTGATGCAAAAGATAGAGGGGGTTTGCCCTGCCGGACTTAAGACTCTACTATGAATCGGCGGCTTTCTGCTGGTTGAAACATTGGCTACTTCTTGAGAATACAGACATTTTGGATCTAGAAGGGTTTGACAATAGATTTGGCTGGCATGCATATATATGGTATGATAAGGTAAAACTGCATAAAGGTTTCAAAAACCATATTGTTAGGAAAGCATTATATAATGTTTGGATGCGGTATAAAGATTTATTGGAAAGTAAAACTCCCAGGTGGTTGTCACCAATGGAAGCTAAAGAGGTGAAAAAACTTAATATGGAGTCTAAATGGCCAAAATATTGTGAAATTTTAGAACAAGATGAGAAATTAAAGTCCAAAGTGCGAGATTGGTTGCACTACCTTCAGATAAACGAGACATTTAAACAGGACAGGAAAATAGGTTTCCAGATGGAGAGGTCAAAATTAGAAACAGAACTGTTAGAACCCAATACTAAGAATCTGTCGAGAATGTATAATCTGCTGTTGAAATGGAACACACAGGATGAAACGGTGAAATCAGCTATGATAAAATGGGCACAAGATATTGGTCATAACATTATGTTTGCTGACTGGGAACAGCTGTGGACCACCGGTACTAAATTTACGGCATGTAATGCCTTAAGAGAAAACATTATGAAAATGATGTATAGGTGGTACATGACCCCAGTCAAGCTTGCAAAAATTTATCATCTGCCCAATAACAAATGTTGGAAATGTAATGAGACTGAAGGTACTTTTTATCACCTTTGGTGGACCTGCCCGAGGATAAAAGCTTTTTGGGAAATGATCTATAATGAAATTAAGAAGGTTCTTAAATGGACCTTCCCTAAAAAACCTGAGGCTTTTCTCCTGGGCATTGTCGGCCAATTGGTGAGAAGGAAGGACAGGACGTTTTTTATGTATGCGACCACAGCAGCAAGGATTCTTCTAGCAAAGTATTGGAAGACACAACAACTACCCACACTGGAAGAATGGCAGACGAAGGTGATCGACTACATGGGACTGGCGGAGTTGACTGGCAGAATCCGTGACCAGGGGAAAGAGACAGTGGAAGAAGATTGGAAGAAATTCAAAGTTTATCTTAGAACTTGTTGTAAAATTCAGGAATGTTAAAATGTCAAGGGGTTGGGAAACAGAGAATTGCAGCTGTAATTAACAATATTAGAAGAACTTAAAAGAAATTGAATTGAATAATTAGTCGACTGAGGAGTTGCTGAAGAAATATAAAACAAGGATGCAGAAAAGGGGAGGTATGGGGAAGTCCGGAAAGTAAGGTTTATGAAAAAATGGTTATGAAATTATACATGTTTATATGTTTGTGAAGTGGCGAAACGTGACCCACGCACAGTCGCATTTACGTTTACTTCAGGATGCGAACGGGGCTCCAGAACGGATCCCGTTCGTATCCAGAGGTACCACTGTATATTATTATTATTATTATGATCGGATCCCGCTTGCTGGTATCCCATAATGAGCATCTGGTCGGTCACTGTGAGAACAGGATGCCAGACTAGATGCGCCATTGGGCCTGATCCAGTGGGTGCTCTTCTGATATTGAAAAGAGACCGGTAGTCACATTGCAACTCCAGGTGTGATTTCTTCAGCTGGAATTCCAGCTAGTTTCTGGTCTCATCTTTACAATCCCGCAAAAAAAAGTGTGCCATGTCGCCTGATTGCCGAATTACATAATCCTAGATGAGCTCCCCCCACCCCACCCCCACTCTCCCTTCCCCGCCTGCTTTCTTAAATCCTCTCTGTATTTTTTTGAGAGAGCAGCAGAGATGAGAGAAACTAATCCAGTAGCAGCAGCAGCTGCAGATGATGATGATGAGAAGGAGCTGGCAAGGCTTCACTGCACCCTGGGACTCATCAGCCAGCAACACAGGGGAGGGTGGATGTTTGGCTTTTCTATAGAAGGGCTTTCCAAAATCCTCTGGCCCCAACCCCAGGCTATGCTCAAGGGGCTTAGCTCTGGGACCGCTTCTGTTCCTCCGAGCAAAGAGGCCGTACGTTAAAAAGCCCCAAGCAGAGGGTGATGGAATCATCGAAGGGGCACCCCGAGGTCATCCAGCCCAGCCCGCCCCCTGCAAGGCAGGAATCCAACCTACGCCATGCTGTCACCATCTGAGCTACCCCAGGCTCCTTTTGCTCCAGGCAGCATGACATTCATTGGGCAAACAAATTCGCCGCGAGCGCATTCGACCGCATACCTGACCTCGAAAAACACTGCTTGTTTAGGCTCACCCTGTGAGGTCTGTTTAAGGTACAGGAGTTGCCCCTGACAATGACATTTACACACAGGAAGGCGTGTGTGTGTGTGTGTGCGTTGTTAGGTCTCTTTTTATTGTCGTATTCTTATTAAACAGCTTTCTAAGCTCTGCCACATTTTCTTTGGAAAATACAGAAGACAGACAGACAGACATGCTTTGCCCCTCCCCTTCCACCTTCCTGCTCCTCGGCGGGGCCTGAAATTGCCAAAAACGCGTGCCCCCAACCCCGTCCCCAAACCATCAATATGTCCAGTGCAAAATACCGCCAACCTGGGCTGAAAATGTGACTTCTGTTGGGAGTTTTAAAAAAAGGAGATTATGTTGTCCCCGTGCCCTCCGATTTAGCTCCCCAGGACGCCTCTCCTTTTCCTCTGATTCAGACAGCGACAAGGGATTCCTCTGCTCCCAATATTGCTATTCACCCTTCTCCAACCTGGTGCCCTCCGTCAGTTTAGGAATATACAATTTCCCATCATCCCCAGCCAGTTAGGGAAGCCTGGCAAAGTCCGATGCCGTGGCGCGAAAGGGCAGCCGTCTTAATTCATGGCTGCATGTATAAAGTAGGGGGCAAGGCCCACTTTGCATGAAAACGGACCGGCCGATTTGGGGAATGTGATGGAGGGGTACAGGTGGCTTCAAAGGAAGATGAGCAAATTCATGGAGGGGGAGAAGGATGTCCGGAAAAGCAAAAAAAGGACTCACCGAATGCCTCTTCGCAAAGCTCTGGGTGCGATAGGGAATGGGGGAGATTGGGGGAGCAGGAATCAAAAACCTCGCCGGTCAAAGCAGGTCTCAAACTGCTTGACATCCATAGTGCAAACATCTGGGGAGGATAGCGAAATCTGCGGGCGGCAGCTTCTCCCTCCATGATTTCTTAAATGAGAGGCACAGAGGCTGCCTCACAATTTAGGAAAAAGCACCCCCCCACCAACACAGTCACATTCTCAGCCTGTGCAACCTCCAGCCTTTAAATATAGATATATAGAGATAGATCTGGATATATATTATCATTATTCATATAGAGATGTCTGTAAAATATAGCTCCGCCGTATCCTCTCTTTAAATCTTCCTCTTTCCACAATCCCACCCCCCACATTGCTGTCACTCCCAACCTCAAAAAGTGTTTAATAGGATCCAACCCCACCCCCAACCCTACTCGTTGCCCCGTTCCCTCCCCCTGGGAGGGGAAAAGCCCCGCTTGCCCCCCGCCCTGCCCTGCCCTCCCCCTAGACGAGGCGCCACTGGAGGATGCTGGTGTCGGTCCCACCGGTGGAGAGCAGCAGGCTGTCGTCGTGGAGGAAGGCAATGTTGGTGACGTGGCTGCTGTGGCCGTTGTACGTGTGGCTGGGGGCCTGGAGCAAGAGAGAGGAAAGGGGTCTCAGGAGAGGGCAGGAGAAACCCCACGCACAAAGTCCGGCCGCCCCGCTTGTCAAAAGCCTTCCCGAAATCAAGATACACTATGTCCACAGCGTTCCCCTGATCCACCAAGCTTGTAACTCCGAGGATGGCAAGTGGGGCTGGGGGGGATATTCCAAGACAATCAAATACTGCAATTAATCCAGAATGAGGCAGCTAGACTGGTGACTGGGAGCGGCTGCTGGGACCACATAACACCGGTCCTGAGAGATCTGCATTGGCTCCCAGTACGTTTCCGAGCACAATTCAAAGTGTTGGTGCTGACCTTGAAAGCCCTAAGTGGCTTCAAAGGCCCAGTATCCCTGAAGGAGCGTCTCCACCCCCATCGTTCAGCCCAGGCACTGAGGTCCAGCTCCGAGGGCCTTCTGGCGGTTCCCCCATTGCGAGAAGTGAGGTTACAGGGAACCAGGCAGAGGGCCTTCTCGGTGGTGGCGCCCGCCCTGTGGAACGCCCTCCCTTCAGATGTGAAGGAAATAAGCAGCTATCTTCTTTTTAAAAGACATCTGAAGGCAGCCCTATTTAGGGAAGTTTTTAATATTTAATGCTGTATTGTTTTTAACACTTGATTAGGAGCTGCCCAGAGTGGCTGGGGAAACTCAGCCAGATGGGCGGGGTAGAAATAATAAATTATTATTATTATTATTATTATTATTATTATTAAACATTTAAACATTTCAGTGTAATACAGTATAGTATCCTCTGCAGAATATGGATAGATGTCTTTTCAAAACGAGAGCAAGAGCATCGAGTGACACTGAGGACAATCTCATCCTGTAAATGAGATCACCCAGCAAAAGCGAGCTCATACTTCCCCTTGAGTTTGCCTACATACTTAAGGTACATATAGGCTTGTTTATAATTGTATTTGGGGAATGATTCACGTTCTTAGGTAGCTGCACGCTTCTCTATTTGCTGTGAGTCCCGTGATAACATTATAAAGCAGTCATGCTCTATGTTATAATTCAACGAGTTGTTTCTTTTTGTCCTCCAACGTATTTCTTATATTTAAAAAATCAGTGTGCTGCGAGCAATTTTTTATTCTGAAGGTGTGGCCCAGAGAAATCTTTTTGAGAACCACTGGGCTAAGGATGGGGGCAACCCAGACACGCAGGCACTGCGGAAACCGGGGGGGAATGGGGTTGAGTGGCGGATGCCGCGAGCAACTGGGAAAGAGACGAGCCAAGAGAGGTTGGTGCGGAAGTCTCAGGACGCCCCTTGCCCACTTTCAGGTTACCGTATTTTTTGCTCTATAAGACTCACTTTTTCCCTTCTAAAAAGTAAGGGGAAATGTGTGTGCGTCTTATGGAGCGAATGCAGGCTGCGCAGCTATCCCAGAAGCCAGAACAGCAAGAGGGATTGCTGCTTTCACTGCGCAGCGATCCCTCTTGCTGTTCTGGCTTCTGGGATTGGGTACTTAGAATGAGAGCAGAAGGAAAGGATCGGGGCAAGACAAGAGGGTAAGAGACCCTGGGGAGGTGGGGCGGGAGGCTCACCCGCGGCTGGCAGCAAGGGTAGGAGAACAAGTGCACTTTGCCGAAGTCGTCGGCAGACGCCAGGAGCTTCCCGTCGTGGGAGCGGCAGACGGCGTTGATGTCGGTGCCGTCCGCACCCTCCGGCCAGATCCCTAACAGGGCAGAGAAAAAGTCAGCGGCGGAAATAACAGTAATAATAATACAGGCGTGCTTTGGAAGTCCCCTTCATGGATCACAGCCTTGCCGTGATCCAGGGGCTTGAATAACTCAGAGAAGCTGTGAGCTATGCGTGCAGGACCACCCAAGATGGACTGGTCATAGTGGAGAGTTTTGACCAAACGTGATCCACCTGGAGCAGGAACCGGCAAGCCACTCAAGTATCCCTGCCAAGAAAACTTTATGGACAAACTCCCTGGAAAAGAGCCTGATGTTGGGAAAGATGGCGGGCACAAGGAGAAGGGGACGACGGAGGACGAGATGGTGGGACAGTGTTCTCGAAGCTACCAGCATGAGTTTGAAGAAACTGCGGGAGGCAGTGGACGACAGGAGTGCCTGGCGTGCTCTGGTCCAGGGGGTCACGAAGAGTCAGACATGACTGAACGACTAAACAACAACAACCTTGGAAGTAGAACCGAATCCGTTCCAGAAGTCCGTTTGACTTCCAAAACGTTCAGAATCCAAATCATGGCTTCCAATGGGCTGCAGGAAGCTCCTGCAGCCAATCAGAAACCACGTCGGACGTTCGGGTTCCAAAGAACGTTCACAAACTGGAACACTCACTTCTGGGTTTGGGAGCCAAAACGTCTGAGTCGCAAGGCGTTTGACAACCAAGGTACGACTGTAATAATTTTCTTATTTGCACGCCGCCCATCCGACTGGGTTGCACCAGCCACTCTGGGCGGCTTCCAACATATACAGAAACAAAGCGAAACGTCCAACATTAAAAAGCTTCCCTATACAGGGGAAAGAAGCTGTAACTTCCCCCCAACCCATCCTGTTTTCCCGTTTTGTGCATCATAACCTGCAATGCCCAAACAAAAACCCTCTGTTCCTTGCTGGGCCAACCACCCGCATGGCCGAAAGAACTGGCAGGAGTGGGGAGGGGGCGGTTTGTAAGGGGCATTTGCCATATCCTATTCTGCCTGGTTTAGCGGTAACGAGTGGGTTGCTTGCTGACGTTTTCACAGTTTGAAAACAAATCATTTATTAAGAAGAGGAAGTAGGGGAGCTCTGACCACCACCCCTGGCCAGCCAGACGACTGGGGTATAAATAATTATTGTTGTTATTATTTCTTCCATTTGTGCTTCTGGGCGGAGCCAAGGGTATCATCCTGTCTGAGGGGGTTAAAGGATGAAGTGTGTGCCTCAGTTTTGGGAGGCCTGCAGATTCTTTCTGAAGGCAGCCCTGTTTAGGGAAGTTTTTAATATTTGATGCATTACTGTATTTTAATATTTTGTTGGAAGCCGCCCAGCGTGGCTGGGGAAGCCCAGCCAGATGGGCAGGGTATAAAAAATAAATTATTATTATTATTATATTTCTTGCTCACACCACCCGCCCAGCCAGGAGACACTCACCAAAGACCCCAAAGCCCAGGACGCAGGTGGCCGTGGCCCAGTCCATGTTGCGGACGGCCTCAGCGCTGGTGATCTGGCGGCAGGTGGAGGGGTCCCCTGTAGGGAGGGAGCAGGAGGAGGAGGAGGAGGAAGGAGACACAGACAAGAAAATGTAAAGCACGTAATGCCATCAGAACCTGGGCTGCTCCTTCTGCAGAGATCTCAGATTGTGCAAACAGACTCTAAAGGAGAAGATCGTCTGATAAGGAGGACTCCTCCTAGTCCCTCTCCTAGCGCAAAGGTGGCGCTAAGAAAAAGAACCCAAACTCTATACTCACAGTACAGGATTTCGTAATCGCCAGAATTGGTGACCAAACAGCTGCTGTCAAAGGCCCAGTCCAGATGGGTGATGAAACTGGAGTGGCCCTAGAGCAAAGGGGAGATTTTAGATTGATTGACAGACACACACACACACACACCTACCTGCAAGGGCAACACTTCCTGTTACACACATAACCCTGAGGTTCCTCACAGGGTCTCTGCCATGGGAGCATATTCGCCCAGTGCTATACCAGCTGCACTGGCTCCTGGTGGAGTACAGGGTCAGGTTCAAGGTGCTGGTTTTAACCTTTAAAGCCCTTTGTGGCTTAGGACCCTCATATCTACGGGACCGCCTCTCCTGGTCTGCCCCACAGAGGACCTTAAGGTCCATGAATAATCACAGTTTAGAGGTCCCAGGCCCTAAGGAAGTCAGACTGGCAGGGCCAGGGCCTTTTCAGTGATGGCTCCGACCTGGTGGAATGCTCTGTCCCAATGAGACCAGGGCCCTGCAGGATTTAACCTCCTTCCGTTGGGCCTGTAAGACAGAGCTATTCCGCCTGGCCTTTAATTTGAATTCAGCCTGACCTTTTATTTCCCTTCCCTTCTCTTCCCTCCCCCTCCCCTTTTATGAAGATCACCCGCTCTGAGACCCCACAGCTAATTCTCCCCTGGCCTCCTCGTTGGCCCAAGTAGGACCAATTCAGCCAGCAAGCCCTGGGGATTATCTGACTGATTTGTGATTTTTATTGTTATTCATGTTTTTATACTGTATTTTACGCTGCTTTTATAATTAAGTTTTTTTAAATTTGTTGTTAGCCGCCCTGAGCCCAGTTTTTGAACCGGGAAGGGCGGGGTATAAATAAAAAATTATTATTATTATTATTATTATTGTTGTTTAATGCTCTACAACCCCTTAGAAACCACAGAATCGTCGACTTGGAAGGGACCTCCAAGGATCATCTAGTCCAACCCCCCTGCAATGCAAGATTATGCAGTTGTCCCATCAAGAGATCGAACCTGCGACGTTGGCACTATCAGCCCCACGCTCTAACCAACCGAGCCCAGAGCGCTTTATTTCCCTTCAAGGCAAAGGACCCTGGTGCTCACGGCCACCGTGTGCCCTGCTAATCTCCTTGCTGCGCCCAGATGAGGTAGACACTCTGCGCATGGCCAGAGGCTCATGTTGTTCAGCATCTCCTGGGGCCAAGTCACAAAAAGCCCAGGAAATCAGGCTGTTGTGGACAGCCGTACCTGCCCAGAGGAGTGAAGCACCACAAACCATTATCCATTTTTCAAAAGGATAATTTTTTTTTTTATTAAAAAAAGACATACTGTACGGCTGGCTGGACCCCTATATCTGACAGAGCAGCTCCCTCTGCTGCCCACTTGCAATATTACAGTGTTTCTCTACCTTAATATGGCAGCCTTTGTCAAACTGGTGCCCTTGATATAAAGCTATGGTTTTCCCAGTAGTGATGTATGGAAGTGAGAGCTGGACCATCAAGAAGGCTGATCGCCGAAGAATGGATGCTTTTGAATTCTGGTGCTGAAGGAACTCTTGAGAGTCCCATGGACTGCAAGAAGATCAAACCTCTCCATTCTGAAGGAAATCAGTCCTGAGCGCTCACTGGAAGGACAGATCCTGAAGCTGAGGCTCCAAGACTTTGGCCACCTCCTGAGAAGAGAAGACTCCCTGGAAAAGACCCTGATGTTGGGGAAAATGGAGGGCCCAAGGAGAAGGGGACGACAGAGGACGAGATGGTGGGACAGTGTTCTCGAAGCTACCAGCATGAGTTTGACCAAACTGCGGGAGGCAGTGGAAGACAGGAGTGCCTGGCGTGCTCTGGTCCAGGGGGTCATGAAGAGGCGGACACGACTAGACAACTAAACAACAACAACAATTCCCATCAGCCCCTAGCCAGCACCGTTGCTGGGGCTGATGAGAGTTGTGGTCCAAAACATAATGGAGGGCACCAGCTTGGCGAAGACCGCCTTACAAGGATGCAACAGGTGGTGCCTGAAACAGAAGATGCCCGGAATAGCTGTAAATACTTCATAGCTGAACATCAGACTCAACTGCTCAAGTGGGGACCAAAGAGATCCCGTTCAGCCATGTCGCCACAGGGACGTTTCTGCTTCTGATACTAGATTTGAGTGTTTCTTTTGCGATACGTAAGCTTTTGCCAGCTGCTTTGGAAAGTCTGGACTAGAGGAAAGTGGGGTGTAAATATTCCACCCCCTGGAGACGCAAGTCTTTAGCCTGTTTTCAGCACTTGAGGTGTATTGTCATATCTCAGGTTACAGACGCTTCAGGTTGCGTGTTTTTGGGATACAGACGCGCCGAAACCCGGAAGTACTGGAATGGGTTACTTCTGGGTTTTGGCGCTCGCGCATGCGCAGAAACACCAGATCACAACCCACATGTGCGCAGACACGGTGCTGTGGGTTGCAGACGTGCCTCCCGCACAGATCACGTTCGCAACCCGAGTGTCCACTGTGTATCTTTAAGGTAAAGGTAAAGGGACCCCTGACCGTTAGGTCCAGTCGTGACCGACTCTGGGGTTGCGGTGCTCATCTCACTTTACTGGCCAAGGGAGCCGGCGTACAGCTTCCGGGTCATGTGGCCAGCAGGACTAAGCTGCTTCTGGCGAACCAGAGCAGCGCACGGAATCGCCGTTTACCTTCCCGCCGGAGTGGTACCTATTTATCTACTTGCACTTTGACGTGCTTCCGAACTGCTAGGTTGGCAGGAGCTGGGACCAAGCAACGGGAGCTCACCCCGTTGCGGGGATTCGAACCACCAACCTTCTGATCGGCAAGTCCTAGGCTCTGTGGTTTAACCCACAGCGCCACCCGTGTCCCTTTTCGTGTATCTTTAGCACCCGCCTTATATTGTGATTGTAAGTTGTTTTTAAACGTGGCATTTTGGATGTTGTAACCTTTGGGTGAAAGGAAGTCAAGGGAGGAAGGAAGGGAATCTTTCTCGGCAGAATGTCTTTCGTTCTGCCTCCACTCACCGAACACTTGCCGACGCGCCCATACTTCCTGCCACCCTCAGAAACCAGGTAGATGTAGACAAAGTTGTCGTGGGAGCCGAGGGCCAGGTATTTACCATCTGCAAAGCACAAACGCAAGAGTCAGGGGACTGGAGGGGAGGGCAGACACTGGAAGGCAAAATGGGGGTCTCAATGCAGCTGAGAATTTTTAGTCTCCAGTGCACACTTAGAATCAGAGAGCGGTAGAGTTGGAAGGGACCCCGAGGGACATCCAGTCCAACCCCCTGCAATGCAGGAATCTCAGCTGAAGCATCCGTGACGGACGGCCATCCAACCTCTATTTAAAAACCTCCAAGGAAGGAGAGTCCACCACCTTCCGAAGGAGTAAGTTCCAATAGGCTTGGGGGGGGGGTTGGTAATATTTGAACATTGCTTTCCACTGAAAAGGTCCCGGAGAATATTCCCAACCCGGAAAAAAAAAAATTAGAAAATTGCATAAGCGTTGTTAAAAACAAATTGAACAGTGCAACAACATATCTCTGGGATTCAGTGTCCCTCCAAATCCCAACGTATTATAAGTAGGGCTGCCTCTGAAGACGGTTCGGAAACTCCAGCTGGTGCAGAATTCAGTGGCCAGGTTGCTCACTGGAGCAAGATGGTTTGAGCATATTACACTGATCCTGGTCTGACCGCACTGGCTACCAATTAGCTTCCGGGCCCCATTCAAAGGGCTGGTTTTGACCTATAAAGCCTTAAATGGCGCAGGACCGCAATACCTCAAGGACCGCCTCTTTCCATATGAACTGGACCCTGAGGTCATTTTTTGAGTCCCTTCTTTGTGTGCTGCCTCCGTGAGAGGTCTGGAGGGTGGCAACACAAGAACAGGGCCTTATCTGCAGTGGCTCCCCATCTGTGGAATGCTCTCCCCATGGAAGTTCGCCTGGCGCCTTCATTATACACCTTTAGGCGCCAGGCAAAAACATTCCTTTTTAACCAGGCCTTTGGTTGATCTGACTGACATCTTATGCCCTTTTAAAATGTGTTTTTTTGGGGGGCAAGCTATTATGTTGTTTTTATTTCTATTAGGTATTTTGTGGTTTTATATCTTGATTTTATTCTGTGAACCACCCTGAGACACCCGGGTATAGGGTGGAATAATAATAATAATAATAATAATAATAATAATAATTTGCTGGGAATCGCAGGAGGGAGAGAGAGCAATTGCATTCATGTTCTGCTTGTGGGCTCCCATAGGCATTTGGCTGGTCACTGGGAGACAGGATCATAGAATCATAGAATCATAGAATCCTAGAGTTGGAAGAGACCACAAGGGCCATCGAGTCCAACCCCCTGCCAAGCAGGAAACACCATCAGAGCACTCCTGACATATGGTTGTCAAGCCTCTGCTTAAAGACCTCCAAAGAAGGAGACTCCACCACACTCCTTGGCAGAAAATTCCACTGTCAAACAGCTCTTACTGTCAGGAGGTTCTTCCTAATGTTTAGGTGGAATCTTCTTTCTTGTAGTTTGGATCCATTGCTCCGTGTCCGCTTCTCTGGAGCAGCAGAAAACAACCTTTCTCCCTCCTCTATGTGACATCCTTTTCTATATTTGAACATGGCTATCATATCACCCCTTAACCTCCTCTTCTCCAGGCTAAACATGCCCAGCTCCCTTAGCCGTTCCTCATAAGGCATCGTTTCCAGGCCTTTGACCATTTTGGTTGCCCTCCTCTGGACACGTTCCAGTTTGTCAATGTCCTTCTTGAACTGTGGTGCCCAGAACTGGACACAGTACTCCAGGTGAGGTCTGACCAGAGCAGAATACAGTGGCACTATTACTTCCCTTGATCTAGATGCTATACTCCTATTGATGCGGCCCAGAATTGCATTGGCTTTTTAGCTGCCGCGTCACACTGTTGGCTCATGTCAAGTTTGTGGTCAACCAAGACTCCTAGATCCTTTTCACATGTACTGCTCTCAAGCCAGGTGTCACCCATCTTGTATTTGTGCCTCTCATTTTTTTGCCCAAGTGCAATACTTTACATTTCTCCCTGTTAAAATTCATCTTGTTTGTTTTGGCCCACTTCTCTAATCTGTCAAGGTCGTTTTGAAGTGTGATCCTGTCCTCTGGGGTGTTAGCCACCCCTCCCAGTTTGGTGTCAGGATGCCCTCTCCCCCCGGCCAACTAGCCGAATCTTTGGTCTGACCCAAAGCTCTTTACGCTCCTTCCGTTAAGGAACGAAGGAACGAACTTAGAGGACAAGCCCTCCTATCTTAACAGCGAATGCTCTGCTTGCCTTTCCCAGGCGGAAGAAAGCTACTTGCAGATATCACAATTCAACAGCAGCAGCAACAGCAGCAGCTAAACGCAAAGACAAACCAACAGATCACGGTAGGATTCTGCCGCAACCTCCCTTCCAAACCCACCTCTTGGCTCCTCCCTCCGTACCCCTCTCCCCCACCACCACATCTCCTACCTGGGGAGAAGCTGACCACAGAAATGGGCTCCCCTCCATCCGTGTGGATGGTCACCAGATCTCGGGTCTCCGTGTCCAGCACCAGCCACCTGAATTGAAGCAGAGAAGGAAGGGGAAAGTTTTCCAGGAGGCCAAGCGACAGTTTATTTGGCTGTGTGGTGGCAGGACAGGAGGGGAGGAAAAGACTCCCCAGAGGAAAAAAAATAATCAGATCTGTTGGACTGATTTTGGGGGAGGGCCAGAGTTCAGAGGGGAAGCATGTGCCTTGCACGCAGAAGGACCCGGGTTTAATCTCTCGCTTGGCACGTTCATGACATATCTTCAAGTTTCTCTTTAGGGCTTTCGGCTGGTTAACATTCTACGGCCTTTTAAATGCGCTTCGTTTTATTACGAATTTTGTGTTCTTGTTTTGTGCTTTTAATATTGCGAACCGCCCTGCGAACCTTGGGTGAAGAATGGTATGCAAATTCAAATCATCATTACCATCTCCAGGCAGGGCCCTTGTCTGAAACCCTGAGGAAATTAATTGGCTACCAATAAATAAATAAATAAATAAATAAATAAATATTTATACCCCAGCCACTCTGGGCGGCTCCCAATCGAATGTTAAAAACAATACAGCATTAAATATTAAAAACTTCCCTAAACAGGGCTGCCTTCAGATGTCAGATAGTTGTTTATTTCTTTGACATCTGGTGGGAGGGCGTTCCACAGGGCGGGCGCCACCACCAAAAAGGCCCTCTGCCTGGTTCCCTGTAACTTCACTTTTCACATCTACTTGCACTTTGACGTGCTTTCGAACTGCTAGGTTGGCAGGATCAGGGACCAAGCAACGGGAGCTCACCCCGTCGCGGGGATTCGAACTGCCAATCTTCTGATCGGCAAGTCCTAGGCTCAGTGGTTTAGACCACAGCGCTACCCGCGTCCAATACAGCGGTACCTCGGGTTAAGAACTTAATTCATTCTGGAGGTCCGTTCTTAAGCTGAAACTGTTCTTAACCTGAGGTACTACTTTAGCTAATTGGGCCTCCTGCTGCTGCCGCACCGCTCATCCTGAAGCAAAGTTCTTAACCCAAGGTACTGTTTCTGGGTTAGTGGAGTCTGTAACCTGAAGCATCTGTAACCCGAGGTACCACTGTAAATAATAATAATTACCTGCCAGTTACGGTGCCCACCACTAGAACAGAGCCGCTGGGATGGAAGCCAGCCGAGCGAGCTGCGTCCTGCAGGAGACAGAGAAAGGAAGTGCAATTATGGGATGTGTAGCACTAAGCATGGGAACCATTTTATGTCACCAGGGAATTGGGGAGGGAGGGATCCCATGGAACTGCATTGGCATCACCCAAGTGATCTTCCCGGGGCGCAAGCCTGGGCAGTGTGTCTGGAGGTCCTGGGCTGCCCAGAGGACAAGACCCCCCCCATCCTCAGCCTCACCAAAGGAAAGCAGAGCAAGACATTTGGCACCAGCTTGGCTGCAGGAAGGAGGCGTACAAGGCACCATCCAACCGTCTTAGGGATACCCCTCCAGATTTGCGTAGGGTTTACTTGTGAACTCTTTCTTCCCCTGAAGATATCCCACAAGGCAGCGGAGGTTTGGGGTCAGAGTTCTCCTAGAAGGGCTCCCCACCTGCCCCTCACATAGAACCCCCCATGGAATGCCCGCCCACGTTCCCCAACCCAGTCCTCCCCTCTGCCCCCCTACCCGGCACAAGAACCCACCTCGATCCCCTTGCTCCACAGGGGCTGGTGGGTGGCCACGCTCCACAGGTGAACCTGCTTGTCTTGCCCGCAGGTCAGGAACTGGTCCAAAGCCGGGTGGGTGGCCAGGCCCCAGAGTTCTTCCGTGTGTCCCTGGGGAAAAGGGAGAGAGAGGAAGACTACGGTCACCCGGGTCTCCCACTGCAAGCAAAACTATCAAGGGTCGTCCGTTGAAGGAAGACTGGAGCCTTTGGGACTTCTTTTAATAGTTTGGAGTAAGAGGCAACAAGGTGCAAATTCGTACAATTATTCACGGCATGGCAAAAGTGGATAATCAAAAGTCTCATCACTCTAGAACAGGGATGTCCAACAGGTCAGTCATGATCTACTGGTAGATCCCTGCGAGGTTTTGGTAGATCGCGGTCGATCTCTTGGCTCCCTTTCCTTAGCGTTGCTAAAACTGACTCCTGCCCTCCATTGTTGTATGATCTCTGGAAGGGAAGACGGAGATTTCTCTGTGCTGCTGTTTTGATCCATAGCGATCTTTTTATGAGTGACTTTACCCCTTTTTCCCTTGCCTTTAAAGGTAAAGGGACCCCTGACCTTTAGGTCCAGTCATGGCCGACTCTGGGGTTGCGGCGCTCATCTCGCTTTATTGGCCGAGGGAGCCAACGTACAGCTTCCGGGTCATGTGGCCAGCATGACTAAGCCGATTCTGGCGAACCAGAGCAGCGCATGGAAACGCCGTTTACCTTCCCGCCGGAGTGGTACCTATTTATCTGCTTGCACTTTGAGGTGCTTTCGAACTGCTAGGTTGGCAGGAGCTGGGACCGAGCAACGGGAGCTCACCCCGTCGCGGGGATTCGAACCGCCGACCTTCTGATTGGCAAGCCCTAGGCTCTGTGGTTTAACCCACAGCGCCACCCATGTCCCTTGCCTTTAACCCCCCAAAAAATGGAACCCCCCCCTGAAAGCTTATTTTATAACCCCCCCCCCCAAAAAACAGGGCTCTTCTCCTCAGCAACTTTGAGCTGAGCCCCCCAAGAACATCATGGAAGCGGAATATTAGGTAAAGGTAGATCACTGCCAGTTTATAATTCTGAAAGTAGATTGCAGTCTATTGAGAGTTGGCCACCCCTGCTCTAGAACTAGTTGGTGCTTGATTTGCGCTGTTGGAGGATTCAGGGCAGGGAAAAGAAAACCCTTTTTCACACAGCGCATGGATAGCTTATGGTATTAGAGGTTACCGCCCACACACTTCGGCTCCGCTTTCTGCTTGCGTGGTGGCACCTCGGCAAAACCACTTCTCACTGTTTATAGCAGAGTATTTCCCCGGAGGTAGACAAGAACAGGAGTCCTAGTCAAATTCCTCAGTCAAGAGCTTCTTTATTGCTTGGCTGGTTGCACAACCATTTATTACAAATATATACAAACCATTTATTACAAATATATACAAACCATTTACATGCCTTCTATATATTGGACTCACAGCTGTCCATGGAGGCGCAGGTTAATTCTGTGTCCAGGGCAGCTGTTTACCAGCTCCGTCTGGTACGCAGGATGAGACCCTCCCTGCCCGCAGACTGTCTCGCCAGAGTGGTGCATGCTCTGGTTATCTCCCACTTGGACTACTGCAATACGCTCTATGTGGGGCTACTTTTGAAGATGACCCAGAAACTGCAATTAATCCAGAATGCGGCAGCTAGACTGGTGACTGGGACTGGCCGCCGGGACCACATAACACCGGTACTGAGAGATCTGCATTGGCTCTCAGTACGTTTCCGAGCACAATTCAAAGTGTTGGTGCTGACCTTTGAAGCCCTAAACGGCCTCGGCCCAGTATACTTGAAGGAGCATCTCCACCCCCATCGTTCTGCCCGGACACAGGTCCAGCGCAGAGGGCCTTCTCGGTGGTGGCGCCCGCCCTGTGGATCGCCCTCCCACCAGATGTCAAGGCAATAAACAATTATTTTACTTTTAAAAGACAACTGAAGGCCGCCCTGTTTAGGGAAGTTTTTAATGTCTGACGCTGTATTGTTTTTGATATTCTTTTGGATGCCGCCCAGAGTGGCTGGGGAGACCCAGTCAGATGGGCGGGGTATAAATAATAAATTAAATTAAATTAAAAAATTAAATATATCTCTCCAGCACAGTATAACTCAGCGTGCGTATGTGTGTTTTCCTTGTGCTGAAATTGCAGACTGCAACTTCCTCCCTTTATCCGCACCTCCAGCTGAGACCCGTCAAGCCACGAGTGCCACTAAAGAAAATTCTGGAACCCTCTTTAAAACTTAAAGGAACTTTTATCTGTTTCTTGGAAAATGTTTTCCTATGGAACTCCCTGCCACAGGAGGCAGCGATGGCCACCAAGAAGGATGGCTTTAAATGAAGATTAGATAAGTTCATGGAGGAGGAAAGGGCTATTGATGGCTACTAGCCGTGATGAAGGCCTCCACAGTTGGAGGGAGCAACGCCAGTTGCTGGACAGCACAGCAGAGGAGACCCGCTCTCGCACTCGGGTCCGGCTTGCAGATTTCCCCTTGGGGCACCTGGTTGGCCACTGTGAGAACAGGACGCTGGTTCAGAAGGGCCATTGGCCTAATCCGGCAGAGCTCTTTTGGGGTCCTTATCAGTCACCCCAGTGGTACCCAGTCACCACACCTCTTCGAATCCAGACATAAACCTGCGCAGTAGCTGCCCTCCTCCTTCCCTGTATACCTGAAAGAGCGTCTCCACCCCCATCATTCTGCCCAGACACTGAGGTCCAGCTCCGAGGGCCTTCTGGCAGTTCCCTCCCTGTGAGAAGTGAGGTTACAGGGAACCAGGCAGAGGGCCTTCTCGGTGGTGGCGCCCGCCCTGTGGAACACCCTCCCCCCAGATGTGAAAGAAATAATCTTATCTTTAAAAGACATCTGAAGGCAGCCCTGTTCAGGGAAGTTTTTAATATTTAATGCTGTGTTGTTTTTAACATTCGACTGGGAGCCGCCCAGAGTGTCTGGGGAAACTCAGCCAGATGGGTGGGGTATAAATAATAAATTATTATTATTATATTACCTGCACTAGGAGGGAGAAGCCAGTCGCCAACGATCCGTGGAGCACTGAGTTGCGGGTGGTGCCCACAAAGAGGGAGTCGCCCTTCCCCTCTGCAATGGTGCGCACTGGCCCAAATCCCTCAGGCACCTGCAGGGAGAGGAAAACAGAGACCCCCTCAGGGAGAGCAGAAGATGCCCAGACAGGGCTAGCAGAGACGTCCGTCCGAAAGAGTTTGCAAGTGGTGATTTGCTTTTTATTATGTGATAGAATCATAGAATCCTAGAGTTGGAAGAGACCACAAGGGCCATCGGGTCCAACCCCCTGCCAAGCAGGAAACACCATCAGAGCACTCCTGACATATGGTTGTCAAGCCTCTGCTTAAAGACCTCCAAAGAAGGAGACTCCACCACACTCCTTGGCAGCAAATTCCACTGTCGAACAGCTCTCACTGTCAGGAAGTTCTTCCTAATGTTTAGGTGGAATCTTCTTTCTTGTAGTTTGGATCCATTGCTCCGTGTCCGCTTCTCTGGAGCAGCAGAAAACAACCTTTCTCCCTCCTCTATGTGACATCCTTTTATATATTTGAACATGGCTATCATATCACCCCTTAACCTCCTCTTCTCCAGGCTAAACATGCCCAGCTCCCTTAGCCGTTCCTCATAAGGCATCGTTTCCAGGCCTTTGACCATTTTGGTTGCCCTCCTCTGACACGTTCCAGTTTGTCAGTGTCCTTCTTGAACTGTGGTGCCTCATGTATCATGATTCACAGTACTTCAGGTGAGATCTGACCAGCAGCAGATGATACAGTGGTACCAATCACTTCCATTGATCTACATGCTATACACGTATTGATGCAGCCCAGATTATTGCATTTTGCTAACCTGTCTGGCGACGTATACCATCTATGATGCATCATGTCAAATTTTCTGGTCAATTGATAGACTCGTAGATCCTTTATACATGTACTGCTCTCAAACCAGGTGTCACCCGATACTTGTATTCAGTTTCATAACATAAATCTTGTTGCCCACCTGTAACATATTCTTACATTTGCTTCCTTGAAATCTCATCTTGTATATGTATTTGGCCTAGTTCTATACATCTGTCAAGTATGTTTTGTATTGTAAGACTCCTGTATCTAACTGGAGTAAGCAAACATACTTACAAATAGGTACCCGAAAAAAGCACCACTGAGGTTAAACATGAGCAAATGAGCTTATTGAATGAATGCATTATACTTTTTTTAAAAAAAGATTTCACCTGTTGGCAGATCTGACCACTGTGACAGTGGTCAGAGACAGTTCAGAGACAGTTCACTGCCAACTAGCAAGTGCTGGGGGGGGGGGGGTTAACAGCAGAAGATGCCATCCTGCGCCATTTGTAAACCTCTCAAACCAGGCAGAGGACCTTCTCGGTGGTGGCCCCCGCCCTGTGGAACGCCCTCCCCTCAGATATCAAGGAAATAAACAACTCTCTGACTTTTAGAAGACATCTGAAGGCAGCCCTGTGCAGGGAAGTTTTTAATGTTTGATCTTTTATTGTGTTTCTAATATCCTGTCCTGGATCACTGCCTTGCCGTGGCGAAGGGGCTTGAATAACTCAGAGAAGCGATGAGCTATGCCCTGCAGGGCCACCCACGACGGACAAGTCATAGCCGAGAGTTTAGACTAAATGTGATCCACCTGGAGAAGGAACTGGCAAACCACTCCAGTATTTTGCCTGGAGAAGCTTTGAGAAGAAAGTGAGTGTTTCCAAGGCATGCTCTGGTTTATGGGGTCACGGAGAGTGGAACAGGACTAAGACAACTAAACAACAAAATATTCTGTTGGGAGCCACCCAGAGTGGCTGGGGAGATGGGTGGGGTATAAGTAATAAATTTGCAGCTGGCTGTTAGCTGCCAGAAGGTCAGGTGCTGAACTAGAGGACCTCTGTAACATGAACCAGCAACGAAGGAAGTTCTCGTGCCTCTGTTCCCCTGCTGGAGTTGTGCCAAGAAGCTAGAAGTCCCACCTCGCAGGCCTGGCGTGTGGTTTCTGCATCAGCAATACCTAGGCAACACGATGGCCATGTACATACGCAATAGACAATCTTTATATTGTATTATATTTATATTGTATTATATTATACAGTATTACTGTATTTTAATATTTGGTTGGAAGCCGCCCAGAGTGGCTGGGGAAGCCCAGCCAGATGGGCGGGGTATAAATAATAAATAAATTATTATTATTATTATTATTATTATTATTATTATTATTATTATAGAATTCCTTCAAACCATAACAAGTACAAAACGAAATCTTCAGTCTCAAAGTCTCTGGAAATCTTTAAGTGAACCGAGGTACCAGACTTTGTACGATGAAAGACAAGCTGTGAAGCTTTGTCTCCTGTTTCGTAGAATTCTTCATCAAATATCGAATGCTGTGACTACATTATTGCATGAGCACTGTTCCACAGCATTTGATATTTTCATTTACATACATTCATTTAAAATAAGGTGGGTTCATGAAGCGATTCTATATCCTCCCACCACGCTGACGAAGAATTCTATGTAACAATAGTCAATATCTGGAATCTCTGTTCAGTGTTGAACATCATATTTGCTGAATACACAAAGCTTCACAGCTTGTCTTTCATCGTACAAAGTCTGCTACCTTGCTTCATTTAAAGATTTTCAGAGACTTTGAGACTGAAGATTTCATTTTGTACTTGTTATGGTTTGAAGGAATATTGTGGTGCTGGAGGAGACACTTGAGAGTCCCATGGACTGCAAGAAGATCAAACCTCTCCATTCTGAAGGAAATCAGCCCTGAGTGCTCACTGGAAGGACAGATCCTGAAGCTGAGGCTCCAAGACTTTGGCCACCTCAGGAGAAGAGAAGACTCTTTGGAAAAGACCCTGATGTTGGGAAAGATGGAGGGCGCAAGGAGAAGGGGACGACGGAGGACGAGATGGTGGGACAGTGTTCTCGAAGCTACCAGCATGAGTTTGACCAAACTGCGGGAGGCAGTGGAAGACAGGAGTGCCTGGCGTGCTCTGGTCCATGGGGTCACGAGGAGTCGGACACGACTAAACAACAACATTGCGTATGTACATGGTCATCGTGTTGTCTAGACATTGCTGATGTTCTCTTTGCAACACAGGAGTTTGTTTGGTTACGTGTTGTTCCTGCATGGCAGGGGGTTGGACCAGATGACCGCTGGAGCCCCTTCCAACTCTACAGTTCTGTGATTCTATGATCCCTCGTTCCACAGCACCTTCGGCCATGTCTGGGTCCAAGCAAGGCATGAACTGCTGCTACCCTAAGGAGGCAGGAATCCACCCGGCCGGCCGCAATACCTCATTCTCCTGCAGCTTCTGGTAATCCCGTCCCCAGAGCACGACTCTGCGGTCCCGGCCGCCTCCTGTGACGATGGTCCCGTTCCGCAGCACGCACAAGCCAAAGATACCCCCTTCGTGGGCTCCTGGCACTGCATGGCAAATCCTGTTCCCCCCTGCCAGGCGAAGGACAACACTGTTAGACGGGACAACCTTCCCCCCTGCCCAGGACAGAACCTGGAAAGAATTTCTATTCTGCAGTAGAAACCAGCTTCGCTAACATCATGCAAGAGGAATGTTAGGTAAAGGTAAAGGTAAAGGGACCCCTGACCATTAGGTCCAGTCGTGGCTGACTCTGGGGTTGCGGCGCTCATCTCGCTTTACTGGCCGAGGGAGCCGGCGTACAGCTTCCAGGTCATGTGGCCAGCATGACTAAGCCGCTTCTGGCGAACCAGAGCAGCGCACGGAAACGCCATTTACCTTCTCGCCGGAGCGGTACCTATTTATCTACTTGCACTTTGACGTGCTTTCGAACTGCTAGGTTGGCAGGAGAAGACCAAGCAACGGGAGCTCACCCTGTCATGGGGATTCGAAGCACCGACCTTCTGATCGGCAAGCCCTAGGCTCTGTCGTTTAATCCACAGCGCCACTCGCGTCCTACCAGCGGAATATTACAGGCGCTTAATAAAATGCTAACATGGTTATGTGACTGGTCGGTACGAGATAGGGAATGAACCGCGCGTGAGAAAAGGCAACTGAGGGATTCAGCAAGGGTGAAATAATTATGTGTCCCTGCAGCAACTCACAAATTTAGCTGTGTAGAAACACTCAAGAGCACCCAGCTAGCCCAACCAGACAGAGCTGCTATTTAGGAGCACCTCAACCCAATCCCATCTCTCCTCGCCCCATTCCCAAACTGACCTTTCCCCCAAATGTAAAGGTTCCCCCCAGAATCTCCGGTCACAGTGTCCCCATTCTCTGTGAAAGCCACACACAGGACATATTTGGACTTCTCGTGTTTCTGCGGAAGGAAAACAGGTGAGCCTCAAAAACAGGGAGGAGAGGGGGCAGGAAAACCACCCCAAATCCATCCTGAAGCTCCCACTTCACCCCACTTCTAAGGAGAGCTGGCCAGCAAGACAACAGCACCATTCCCGCCCCAATCTGGCCACAGTGATCCATGCAACGGTCACCTCCAGGCTTGACTACTGTAATTGTCTCTACGCGGGGCTGCCCTTGAAGCTGTCCCAGAAACTCCAGCGGGTGCAGAATGCTGCAGCGAGGCTCCTCACGGGGTCTCTGCCATGGGAGCATATTCACCCAGTGCTTTTCCAGCTGCACTGGCTCCCGGTGGAGTACAGAGTCAGTTTCAAGGTGCTGGTTTTGACCTTTAAAGCCCTTCACGGCCTAGGACCCTCGTACCTACGGGACTGCCTCTCCCGGTCTGCCCCACGGAGGACCTTAAGGTCCATAAATAGCAACACCCTAGAGGTCCTGGGCCCTAAGGAAGTCAGATTAGCCTCAACCAGAGCCAGGGCCTTTTCAACACTGGCCCCAGCCTGATGGAATGCTCTGTCTCATGAGACCAGGACTTGACATCTTTCCGCAGGGCCTGCAAGACAGAGTTGTTCCGCCTGGCCTTTGGCTTGGAATCAATTTGATCCTCTCCCCCTCTTTCCTTTTTCCTTTCTCCTTCTGTGATGGAACTCCCATTTGGGGACTTCCCTGGCTTTTTTCTGGCCCACGTAGGACCAGTCTGGAAACTTCGCCTTGGTGAAGACTTGACGTTTTCATCCCCCAAAAAAGTTTTAGATTTGAGTTTCCATTGAAACGAGGCTGTCTTTTAATGTTTTAATGTTGTATTTTAATCTTGTTTTTAAGTTGCATTTCAATCAATTTGTTTTTATTTTTTTTTTAAATCATATTTATTAAAGTTTCCAAAAATATAAAAGTACAAAGAAAAAAGACAAAAGAAAGAAGATATTTAAAAACCGTCCTGTCATTCCCTACTTTCTGGAACTCCCCCTCCCCCAATTGTATTCCCCTTTCCTTAATTTGGTTCTACAAGCTCTCACTCCCAAATTTAAAGCTTAATTTGTTTAACCCACTATCCAAATTGAATTGTACAAATCTTACCACCGTCCCACATCATTAACAGAAAAAGAAAAAGATTTTCCCCAAGATCCACCCCAGTTCCTTCCACAAATTCCCTTTTTTTTAAACACGTCCGATCAAAGTAAAATAACATGCGTAAGTTATGTAAAGAAATAGAAAATAAGAGATATAGAAAAGTTCAAAAAATGGTTACACAGCCTTTGGATTTCAAATCTGCCCCCTTCCCGGTTTGAATTCCCCATGTCCATCAGTCTATACATTATCAGCTTGGAAGTCTCATTTCATGACCAGATTTCTCCCCGATTCCATCTTGCCGGTTTTCTTTTAGTTTATTAATTTAAATAATATTTGACTTCAAATGTCCAATCTAACAAAGGCCTTTAATTTCCTTGATCTTTACCACTCCTCCCGTTGTTCTTTCCGTGTCGTAATCAGTCCTTTATTCTTCTTATTCCTCACTTTCTCAGGTTTCTTGTCCTGTTCAGCTGCTAAAACTTTCTAATTCAGAAATCTAGTGTCTCTGCAGAGGTTTGTTATTCAGGAACAAAAACTTACGTCCAGTCCCTTTCTTTCTTCAATAAAAATTCCATTGTCTTCCTCTGTAGACAAAATACTCTTTCAGTTTTGCAGCTTTCCCAGAAGATAACAAATCCTGTGCGAATCCCAGGGTATTTTTCCACTTACGACCGTTCTTGTAGTATCCTGAAACCCCTCTAGGGGATTGTAATAACTTTGTATCCTCTAATCCAAAAGTCAAATTGTTGCTTATTTTCCAACAGTTTATATCCATATTATAGCAAATTGTAGCAAAATTTACCAGCAAGGTCCTCATAAAGTCCTCTTTATATTCTCCAGCTTTGACAGCCACTTTGACAGCTGTCAAAGTCTCCGTCTCTCTTCACCAGGCTCCACGAATCGCCCGGTTCCCAGGGGGGGGGTTGCATTTTTCTTCTCACCCTCCACTCTTCTCCTCCAGCACATTTCTTATAATTTCCCATCGTGAAATTAATGATTTTTATCAGAGACATACTTCCCTTTGGACCTTGGTTACCCAGTCCTTGTTTTGGAATGCTTACAATAGGGGGATTGACTTCCTTTTAAATCGCCCCGCTCGTGCCAAATCCAAAATTTTGAACCCGGTTTCCCAATTACTCACGGGTTGTTGTTAATAGTCCAAATTTTCAATAGAAGAAGTCAGCGCTCTCCGTCGAATGGCATGCGGCTGCGCTCGGCAGGGAAAGCAGTGGACTCAAAGCACCACGCCACTCCCCGGCACCCGATCCGAAGCCTTTAAAAGGCTCCTTCACGAGTCGGGAGGGCGCTAATGGTGCAAGCCGAGTCACCCATGTCCACGGACTCCGTGCCCGTGGTTTTTAAGGGTCCCCGCGTCGCCGGCGCGGTAGGACCCAGCCCCTGCCGAGCAGACTCCCTCCGGAGCTCGGAGGGAGTCCGCCATTCGGCGATGGCGCTAACCCGGAAGCTCCAATCAATTTGTTTTTATATCGGGTGTTAGCTGCCCTGAGCCCGGTCTTGGCCGGGGAGGGCGGGGTATAAATAAAAATTATTATTATTATTGAAACCTGGGCATGAAAGCTCACTCAGCAAGAAAGTTTGAGAGTCAACCCCTTTAGCAAACAGATCTGAACTGGTTCTTCAGGACCGTATTTGTGTGTGTGCGCACACACAGTAGTTGGTTCAACTGGTTTGGCTGGGTGGGGTTGGGAAAGTGCCCCCCAGTCCCAAAGAGCAAATGAAGCAGAAATCCCCATCTTGTCTGCAGTTCGAGAGCTAGTGACTTGCTATGGACTGGGACCTGGGAGGGAAGAGGGTTCAAATCCTTGCTTGGCCCTGAAGCTCACTGGGTGACTTTGGGGGACGGCCACTGCCTCTCAGCCTAACCTGCCTTGCAAGGATGTTGTGGGGATTAAATGAGGAGGAACGGAACCATGAATGTCACCGCTCCTTGGGAGGAACAGGCTGGGTAGACATGCAATAAAGAGAACAAAGCAAATCAGCAATGGTGGCTGGGTCCAATTGGGTCATATGTTGCTTGGCATACGTTTGTCTCAAGAGGCAATGGAGTGCACCTCCAGGGGCGAATCAAACCGCAGCGTTAGCAGCGCCCAAATTGCCTTCGGGGGCGCAAGCCTGAGCAGCGCATATGGAGGTCCTGGGCTGCCCAGACAACAAGACCCACTCTTGGCCTCGCAGTTAGTTATCACGGAAGCAATACAGTGGTACCTTGGTTCTCAAACGCCGAAAACCTGGAAGTAAGTGTTCCGGTTTTCGAACGCTTTTCGGAAGCCGAACATCCGATGCGGCTGTCAGCTACTGTTTCCACGGCGCCTGCACCAATCAGAAGCTGCGCCTTGGTTTTCGAACATTTTGGAAGTCAAACAGACTTCCGCAATGGATTAAGTTTGGCACTTTTGTTTTTGCTATTTATTTTGCGTTTTTGTTTTTGAGGCTTTTTTGGTTAATTGGTTTTTGTGACTGTGTGGAACCCAGTTCAGCTATTGATTGATTGTGTGACTGTAGAAATGGATAAAAGCCCCCCGTCCAAACAATGACTGTCATCAGTGCAGGTAAGGGGGAAAAATAATTTTAATTTTTATCATCTACAATACTGTCTTATTCATTTTATAGTACAGTACATTGACTATTGCTTTCATTTTATGGATCAATGGTCTCGTTAGATAGTAAAATCCATGTTAAATTGCTGTTTTAGGGGTTGTTTTTAAAAGTCCAGAACGGATTAGTCCGTTTTGCATTACTTTCTATGCGGAAATGCACCTTGGTTTTGGAATGCTTTGGTTTTGGAATGGACTTCCGGAACAGATTAAGTTTGAGAACCAAGGAACCACTGTATTACTGAAGCGATACGTGTGACGTGCATTTTTCAAATCTTTAGAATGCTCTGTAAAACCTGTATTTTAACAGGTTTCGTTTCGCGGAGTCGCACAAGGCATCTCCCTGGTTTTACCCCGTCTGGAGAAAGGAGGCTGACCAAGAAAACAAGGGGAACAGCCCCCTTGCCGCCCCCCACATGGCCATGCAAAGTGCTTTGTGGAAGAGAGGGGAACCGGTCCCTGTACTTCTCAGGATACAGTTTGTAACCCACCGAACTGAAGAGGGATCCGGGCAAGATTTCTGTGCAGAATCCGCCAGGAATCCCTTCTGTGGAAGCCTGTTGATGCGACCAGGAGCTAGATGGGGGGGGGGGGGAGCCCGCCAACCACCCCAATCCTGGCCTACCCACAATCCTCTGCAGCTTCTCCCTCTCCCTTCCGATCCTGCTCTCACCTCGAAAATGCCCTGCCTCTTGCTGAGGCTGCCTCCCTCCAGCGTCCAGAAGTGGATGTGAGATTTCCCGCAGGTAATGAGAAGTGTCGGCTCCGTAGGGTGGAAAGTTGCGGCCAGCACAGACTCATTGGAGCACTGTGGAGCAGGAAGGAGAAAGGGGTCAATACAGTGATGCAACAGGATGCAGGAGCCAGAGGAAGGCCGTGAGAGGCTGCAGCAGCCTGGGCGCAACCTGGTGTCCTTCACGATTCCAGTCCAGAATGTATAAACGCCATCTCCAACTCCTCGAAAGACTCCATCAACGGAGTCTATGAAAATTTTTACACATCACTTGGGAAGACAGGCGAACTAATGCCAGTGTACTGGAAGAAGCAAAGATCACCAGTGTCAAAGCAACATTTCTTCAGCATCAACTTTGTTGGACCGGTCATGTTGTGCAGATGCCTGATGATCGTCTTCCAAAGCAACTACTCTATTCCAAACTTAAAAACGGGACGCGTAATGCTGGTGGTCAACAAAAGAGGTTTAAAGACTGTCTCAAGGGAAATCTAAAAAAATGTAGTATAAACAACAATTGGGAAACACTGGCCTGCGAGCGCTCCAGTTGGAGAACAGCCTTGACCAAAGGTGTCATGGGCTTTGAAGACACTCGAACTCAGGACGCAAGAGAGAAACGTGCTAAGAGGAAGGCACGCTTGGCAAATCCAAACCGGGATCAACTCCCGCCCGGAAACCTATGTCCCCACTGTGGAAGGACGTGTGGATCCAGAATTGGCCTCCACAGTCACTTACGGACTCACTGTTCAAACTGTGTTTAGGGAAGACAATCTTACTCGGCTATAAGGGATCACCAGAGAAGAAGAGTCCAGAATGTTCTGGAATGCCAACCACAGGTTAGGGAAGGCTGGATTTTGGCCAAGGAACAGGGCGGAACGCAAAGTTACCTTCACGTCTGCCAGCTTCTGCTCCTTTTGCCAGTCCCACACGGAGAGTACGTGGTCATTGGAGTCATCAACAGCACATAGGAGTCCTCCGCCGTTCTGGTGAGAGAAAAGAGACATGGATAATAATAATAATAATTTATTATTTATACCCCGCCCATCTGGCTGGGTCCCCCCAGCCACTCTTGGCGGCTTCCAACAAAACACTAAAATACAATAACCTATTAAACATTAAAAGCTTCCCTCAACAGGGCTGCCTTCAGATGTCTTCTAAAAGTCTGGTAGTTATTTATCTCTTTGACATCTGGTGGGAGGGCGTTCCACAGGGCGGGAGCCACTACCGAGAAGGCCCTCTTCCTGGTTCCTTGTAGCTTTGCTTCTCACAGTGAGGGAACCACCAGAAGGCCCTCGGCGCTGGACCTCAGTGTCGGGGCAGAACGATGGGGGTGGAGACGCTCCTTCAGGTATACTGGACCGAGGCCGTTTAGGGCTTTCAAGGTCAGCACCAACACTTTGAATTGTGCTCGGAAATGTACTGGGAGCCAGTGTAGTGGGATAGAGGCAGCACCCCTCACAACTGCCATCCAATGCCCTGGATTCACCATGGCAAGCCATTTCTAGCAAAAATACCTAATCAGAAATCTCATCCCAGCTCCCTCTTTAAAAAACAGACCAACCAGTGCTCTCTGAAAAAGAATGAATATGCTCTGCAAAACTAAGGTTTAGGCGGTCTTGATAGCAGAACTGACATCCCCCTGGCTACAGAATTTGGGTCTGGGCAGGGGGAGGGTGTGCCTTGGCAGAATATGAAGGCAGGTGGGTGGAGGCTGGGGCTCCTTGAATTTGCAAACTCCTCTTCCTTCCACACACACACACACCCCAGATCACAACCTCACTAGCAGTCAACGGGCCGGCCACAGCTCAGGGCTAGAGCATCTGCAAACAGATTCAATCCTAGTTGGGAGAAGTTCCTGCCTCGAATCCTGGCTATCTGGTGCCAGTCAGTGTAGGTAATTATGAGCCTGATGCACCAATGGTCTGAGTAGGTTCCAATTGCTTTCTGTGGGGTGAGACAACATCAGGGGCCTTTTCTGCTGTGGCTCCCGGTTTGTGGAACTGCTCTCCCCAGGGAAGCCTTTGTTACATATCTTTAAAGGTAAAGGGACCCCTGACCATTAGGTCCAGTCGTGACCGACTCTGGGGTTGCGGCGCTCATCTCGCTTTATTGGCCGAGGGAGCCAAAGTACAGCTTCCGGGTCACGGGTCATGTGGCCAGCAGGACTAAGCCGCTTCTGGTGAACCAGAGCAGCGCACGGAAACGCCGTTTACCTTCCCGCCGGAGCGGTACCTATTTATCTACTTGCACTTGGCGTGCTTTCGAACTGCTAGGTTGGCAGGAGCAGGGACCGAGCAATGGGAGCTCACCCTGTCGCGGGGATTCGAACCGCCCGCCTTCTGATCGGCAAGCCCTAGGCTCTGTGGTTTAACCCACAGCGCCACCCACGTCCCTTTACATATCTTTAGGCGCCAGGCAAAACTGTTCCTCTTCTCCCAGGTCTTTGGCTGATTAATCTACGGCCTTTTAAATGTGTCTGTGGGAGGGGATGTTATTGGTTTGTTTTTCTTTTTCCTATGTATTTTGTGTTCTTGTTTTGTATCTTGTTATGTTGTGAACTGCCCTGTGATCTCTGGAGGAAGGGCAGAATACAAATTTAATACATTGTCGGCCTCTGTCTGTCTCAGGAGACAATAGAGGTGTGCGGTTTCAGGGATGGAGTCAAACTACTGGAGAGTTGCAGCGCCTGCTGTGGCTGTAGAGACTGATACGGGAGAGACATGTTTTGTTGCAGCTGGGGCAGAGGAAGGCGTCCTGTTGCGCTACTGCAGATGTATGTGGCGTTTTTCTTTCTAAACTCATCCCCTTATCTATTATTATTATTATTATTATTACCATCATCATCGTTATCTACCTAACCCAAGCTTGTGGGGTGAACAGTGGGCTCTGGGTACCCCCTTTTTGGCAGAAGGGAGGAAGGGAAGCATCACTCACAGACTTTGAGAATCCCACGCAGCTCACAGCTCGGTCGAAGGGCCCGGGGCCCAGGACGTGGAGCGTATTCAGACTCACAGAGTCCCAGACCCGAACATGGGGAGGCAGAGGCTGCCGGAAGGAAGAATACCGGTTCAGGATACACAAAAGGAAGCAACTCTTCACACAACACAGAACTTGTGGAACCTGGGGGTTCTGGAAAAGGCACTGGCCACAAGGTTTGTTTTTAAAAGCAGAACAGAGGAAGGCAGGGCTGCAGTCGCTTATTAGCTGCAACAGAAGATTGGTGCAACCACATTTAGGCATTGCAGACACTTCTGGCTGCAAGATACTGGGGAGAAGCAGCAGCAGCAGACCAGGATCTCCCTGCCTTGGCTGGGACGGGGAAGGGGTGCTAAAGTAAAAAGACATAAAGGGCAGCTCCTAAGTACACAAATGTTCAGCTGCCCCATTATTCCGGAAGGGGGGGGATTTTTCCCGTTGGCTTTAAATGTATGCAATCTGTTCCTGTTTCTCCTTTCCTCCTCTCTCTTCCCGCCACCTCCCAATCTCTGGCGCCTCCGCCTCTATAGCCAGCTGCCCCTCACCTTGCCATCTTTCGAAGTCCCGGCCACCTGCCCAGTTGCTATGGTGACCATGTCAGGATGCACAGCCAGGCTGAGTGAGACAGGAAAGGACAGAAGTCACACACTCGTACGCAGAGAGAGCACCAGGTGCTCCGAAAGGCCACCCACCCACCCACCGGAGCGTAGGAAGGGGGTCAGTGGGGTCGGACTGCCCTGGGTGCCCTCATTGAAGGGGGTGACATTCGTCGCACCGCCCGCCCATAACTCCCAAGCCTATCCCAAGCCGTCGGGTTAAAGCGGGGGGGAGCTGTGCCGCTTTGCCGGAAATCTTTCCCCCTTCGTTTTGGCAGCCTGTGAGAGGCTTGGGAGTCATGGGCAGGAGGTGCGATGAATGTCCTCCATGGGCACCTGTGGGTGGCTCACTCTTGCCCCCGGCTGCAGGGCGCGTGTTGCTCCAGGCACCCGAGTGTCTATCCCACGCCTGGGAGGGCACCCTCCACGCCCTGCCCCCCCTTGGGAGCGTGCCCCCCCCCCGGGCAGCATGGGCATATTCTCTGCCACTGCCACCCATTCCTTGCAATGACTCCTATTTTTACAAGTGGCACCGCCTGCAAACTGGCAATAATAATAATAATAATTTTTATTTGTACCCCGCCTTCCCCAGCCAAGGTCGGGCTCAGGGCGGCTAACAAGCAATAATAAAAACAAGTTGAATGAATACAACTTAAAAACAAGATTAAAATACAACATTGAAACATTAAAATGCAGCCTCATCACAGGATGAGAAAGGAAAAAAGAAAAAAGAAAGAGGGGGAGGGGATCAAATTGGCTCCAAGCCAAATGCCAAGTGGAACAACTCTGTCTTACAGGCCCTGCAGAAAGAAATCAGATCCTGCAGGGCCCTGGTCTCATGAGGCAGAGCGTTCCACCAGGCTGGAGCCATCACTGAAAAGGCCCTGGCTCTGGTTGAAGCTAATCTAACTTCCTTAGGGCCCGGGACCTCTAGGGCATTGCTATTTATGGACCTTAAGGTCCTCCGTGGGGCAAACCGGGAGAGGCGGTCCCGTAGGTACGAGGGTCCTAGGCCGTGAAGGGCTTTAAAGGTAAAAACCAGCACCTTGAACCTGACCCTGTACTCCGCCGGGAGCCAGTGCATCTTGCCCGCCCCCCCCCCCCGCTCCTCTGCCGTTCCAGCTGGAGAGGAAAGAAACAGTGCAAGAACCGCCTCACCACCCCCACCCCCGCTCACCACTTGATGTCATCATTGTGGCCCAGGTAGTGGCGTTGGCGCTGCTCCTCCACGTTGTAGAGGACAGCCACAGCAGCCACGAAATACACGATCTCCCCCGTGGGCAGCAGGAAAAGGTTGGCGCGGCAGTCGCGGCCCCGATACCCATAGCTGGAGCGGATGCCGGCGGGTCAAGGACAAGAATAGAGAATGACCTTTGAATCTTAGAATCATAGAATCCTAGAGTTGGAAGAGACCACAAGGGCCATCGAGTCCAACCTCCTGCCAAGCAGGAAACACCATCAGAGCACTCCTGACATATGGTTGTCAAGCCTCTGCTTAAAGACCTCCAAAGAAGGAGACTCCACCACACTCCTTGGCAGCAAATTCCACTGTCGAACAGCTCTTACTGTCAGGAAGTTCTTCCTAATGTTTAGGTGGAATCTTGTAGTTTGGATCCATTGCTCCGTGTCCGCTTCTCTGGAGCAGCAGAAAACAACCTTTCTCCCTCCTCTATGTGACATCCTTTTGCGGTCCTGGCCACCAGCTCTGGGATCCAGAACTCGCTTCAAGCACCCCCACTCCTCTCCCGCCCCCTAGGGAGACTGTTTTGAGTAGGATACACCCAGTCCAGCTTCAGCTTCTTATGGGGCAGCTCCAGCTTGGCATCGAGGCTGTAGGTGGCGACGACGGCATCGGGGACAAACATGGGGATGGGCCGCCCCCGCAGGAACATCTTCACGTAACCATCCTCTGCGTACGGATCGCCGGGAGAGAGAAAGCATCACGATCACCCGTAACCGCGCTTGCAAGACCTCCTCCAGCTGCCCAGAGGGATCGGGTCTGCCTCTACACAAGAGAGCGCCTTGATTTCCCCGAAAACCAGACGCTCTCCTCCGTCTCTCACCTCACCCGCCCAGAAGCAAAACTTGTAGAATAATAATAATAAATAATAAAATTTTATTTAAATCCCGCCCTCCCCAGCCAAAGCCAGGCTCGGAGCGGCTAACAACAGTAAAATGATACAACATTCTAAAATCATTTCAAATCAGATTAATGGCAACCATTGGGCTAGAGTTCTGTGAGGATTGCCAAAGGAGGGGGTCAGGCTGTGCCCTGGCCAAAGGCCTGGTGGAACAGCTCTGTCTTGCAGGCCCTGTGGAAAGATGTCAAGTCCCGCAGGGCCCTAGTCTCTCGTGACAGAGCGTTCCACCAGATTGGAGCCACAGCCAAAAAAGCCCTGGCTCTGGTTGAGGCCAGCCCTGTGGCCCGGGACCTCCAAGATGTTTTTGTTTGAAGACCGTAAGGTCCTCTGTGGGACATACCAGGAGAGGCGGTCCTGTAGGTACATGGGTCCTAGGCCGTATAGGGCTTTAAAGGTTAAAACCAGCACCTTGAACCTGATCCTGTACTCCACCGGGAGCCAGTGCAGCTGGTATAGCACTGGGTGAATGTGAGCCCGCAGCGAGGACCCCATAAGGAGTCTCGCCGCGGCATTCTGCACCCACTGGAGTTTCTGGGTCAGTCTCAAGGGCAGCCCCACGTAGAGCGAGTTACAATAATCCAGTCTGGAGGTGACCGTCGCGTGGATCACAGTGGCAAGGTCAGGGCGAGAGAGGTAAGGAGCCAACTGCTTAGCTTGGCGGAGATGAAAAGCTTGGCGGAGAAAGCCAATCACTTGGGGCGAGCAAGGCCCTCCCTCCTGGCGACCACGAAGGGACAATTTGCAGAAGGCAAGCTTATCAGACGAGTTTCCCTCTTTGACCGGTCTACTCCCCCCACTATTCTAAGAACTCTTGCTGTGTTAAAAGGGCACACACACCCCGTCTCTCAAGACTTTTGTACAACCTGGAGCATGCAGGTGCACGCCATTCGGCTACTCCACATGACCTCCAGGCCTCTAAGGCCATGCCCAGCTCCCAGCCTCGGACTGGATTCCTGGGTGTTTCCCCCCACCACAAACTGCAAAGTGTGGCAGCATCTACTCACCGGCGCTGAAGGTGGATTCTTTAGGTTTGCTGCGAAGGAAAGAGAGGAGAGAGTTAGGATGAAAGGGGAAGACTGCGGTGGGGGAGGAAAGGAAGGCGCGTCTCTGCTGCAACAATCCGACTACAGAGTTATTCTCCCTCTCTCATCTCAGCCTCCCATCGGCAGCAAGCTGACCCTCGCATCTCTTCCCGCCTTTCTGCCAAAATGCACCCGCCGCTATCCTTGGATTCTGCGTGTGGTTCGCTCTTCCACCTCCCCTCTGCCGAGCTTGTACTCCCCTCACGGCGGCTGCACCCACGTCAAACAAATCCTCGCACCCCGGCAGGCAGAATGTTGTTGCTCATTCCGTGACGTCAAAGCAGATCAGTCTATAGCAGGAGAGGCACCACCGGAGGGGAAGCCAGCTTGCAGCCCATTAGAGACGTTTGCTTCAGCAGGACAAGCCATGCCAAGCCTTGCCAGTGCATCAGAGAAGAAGAGCGGGCCTCTGCAGTAGGGCTGCAAGTCGGGCTTGTGAATGCATAGGGAGCGGGAGAGTTTGCAAAAGTGCGTTACCCGTCAAGCAAGCACCCAGACTCCAAAACTGCAGGTGGCAAAGTTTTATAGGCCGAACCGTATTCTCTTAATAGCTCTGGACATTTAAAAAGGTAAAGGGACCCCTGACCATTAGGTCCAGTCGTGGCCGACTCTGGGGTTGCAGCACTCATCTCGATCTATTGGCCGAGGGAGCTGGCGTACAGCTTCCGGGTCATGTGGCCAGCATGAATAAGCCGCTTCTGGCGAACCAGAGCAGCGCACGGAAACGCCATTTACCTTCCCGCCGGAGCGGTACCTATTTTTCTACTTGCACTTTGAAGTGCTTTCGAACTGCTAGATTGGCAGGAGCAGGGACAGAGAAACGGGAGCTCACCCCGTCGCGGGGATTCGAACTGCTGACCTTCTGATCGGCAAGTCCTAGGCTCAGTGGTTTAGATCACAGCGCCACCCGCATCCCTCTAGCCAGTTGATTAGCATCAATTAAACTTGCTTGAAAAATTAAGCTTTCCAACCAATGAGTGCCAGGTGCGTTCTCAGCATCTCTGCAGAAGAGGCTGCCCTGGGGACCCCGGAACGCAATTTATCCCCACTTGATTTTGTTCCGAGAAACGTTTAAACCACCAGCCTCTCCCCCACCACTCAGCAACCAAGGGATTAACTAACTCCCTTTCTCTCTCTCTCTTTTGGAGAAGGGCGGGTCAACCTCCCTGCCAGTCTTCGGAGGCTCTTTTATCTCCCTCTATCTAGAGTAACAGTTGGCAGGGCGTTCCCCACCCTTTTCCATGCCCTGCCCAGGGGATTCTGCTGCCACCGCCTCCTCCCTGTTTGTTCTCTCTCTCTCTCTCTCTCTCTCTCTCGGGGGGATCCTGCTAGGATCTTGCATCAGCCAAGGCAATGGCCTCCTCTCCCACTCCCACCCTCCAGGGCACCACTGCAAGACCCCCTTGTCCGCACCAAGGAACAGGCTATAGGACCGCCCAGGGCGCCTCCCTTGGGCTCTAGTTTCCTGAGGCAGTGGAGCAAGGAGGATTGGGGGCAGGAGAGGCCTCAGATTGAGCCCCCCCTCCCCTTGGGCACAACGCCAGGAAACCGAACAGGTGGCCTTAGGCAAGTTCAAGGCAGTAAAATGGGGCTGCAGGTGAAATAATAGCCCTGTATCATCCTAAAAAGCAGAGACATCACCTTGCCAACAAAGGCCCGTATCGTTCAAGCTATGGTTTTCCCAGTAGTGATGTATGGAAGTGAGAGCTGGACCATAAAGAAGGCTGATCGCCGAAGAATGGATGCTTTTGAAATAATATTTATTTTCAACCGTTTAAACACAACAATTATTCATATTTTTGAATTCTGGCGCTGGAGGAGACTCTTGAGAGTCCCATGGACTGCAAGAAGATCAAACCTCTCCATTCTGAAGGAAATCAGCCCTGAGTGCTCACTGGAAGGACAGATCCTGAAGCTGAGGCTCCAAGACTTTGGCCACCTCATGAGAAGAGAAGACTCCCTGGAAAAGACCCTGATGTTGGGAAAGATGGAGGGCGCAAGGAGAAGGGGACTACAGAGGACGAGATGGTGGGACAGTGTTCTCAAAGCTACCAGCATGAGTTTGACCAAACTGCAGGAGGCAGTGGAAGACAGGAGTGCCTGGCGTGCTCTGGTCCAGGGGGTCACGAAGAGGTGGACACGACTAAACGACTCAACAACAACAACATCCAATTGGCTTGGAGCATCCCACCCTCTGCTTCCGGGGTCAGCAAACTTTTTCAGCAGGGGGCCGGTCCACTGTCCCTCAGGCCTTATGGGGGCCGGATTATATTTTGGAGGGGGGGAAATGAACAAATTCCTATGCCCCACAAATAACCCAGAGATGCATTTTAAACAAAAGCACACATTCTACTCATGTAAAAACACACTGATTCCGGGCCGGATTTAGAAGGCAATTGGGCCGGATCCGGCCCCCGGGCCTTAGTTTGCCTACCCTTGCTCTGCTGCTTGCAGGCTGCACCCTCCAGGACTGGGCCAAACCATTTTGCTATGGCGGGGGCGGAAGGGGGGCAAGAAAACCCAAAAGGTATTCTTCATATAGTACTTTTTAAACCAGCTGGTCGCCTGCCACTCAGTGGCACCCAAAGCCGCCACCCCACAGCAGGACCAGTTGGGATGCCAACAGCCCCCCCCCAGCTTACGGCAGTGCAATATTACCACTGTTGTCCCCTTTTGTGGGATTGTTAAGTCCTGCACCAATAAGAGTCCCCCACCCTATACCCGATTCGTTTCTGGAACCCTAAGTTCCTGCAAGGCTGGCCTCATCTCCCAGAAATGGCATGCAACTAGCTCCCCATCCTCTGATCCCTGCATTGCAGGGGGTTGGGCTGGATGACCCTTGAGGGTCCCTTCAACTCCACAATTCTGCTGTTTCTTGATTCTTTGCATATATGGCCCAGCAAAGCAAGTCACCTGTCTTAAGGAATATCTGCACCCTGGGTAACTTCCTTCCCTGCTCCCCCTCCCCACTTTAACATAGAGAAACTCATATCCAAACTTAGCAACCGTATCCGAGGTGCCCCACCCGGAAAGAAGATGGCAAAGCTGATCATCCAAACGCATTGCTCCCCCCACGCCCGTTTAAAACGAAAAGGGCTGAAGAGTAAGATGCAATTGGGCAGTCAGCGCTTAATGCACTCTGCACGTGCTCAGAGGCACTCTTCTTCTGTATGATCCACCTGGCGTTGAAAATAGGGGCTGGAGAAGAAATAAGGCCCAAAGCGGCCCCTCCATCAACACAAACGCCGCCTTACCTGGGGCTGAGGCTGCCTGCCGCCTTCTTCATGGTGGATGCCCCTGGCTTTGCTCTTAGGCTGGGGAAAAGGGCTCCTGCTCTTTATATTTGATATTCCCGAGGCGGAGAGGGAGGCTTCTTCCGAGCAGCGATGGGGAGGATTCCTGACCGGGCTGCTTTTTGCCCCGCCCGCCGGGAGCTGGAACTGCAAGGCAACTAACTGCAAGGCGCGTCCCGGGGGATGCGGCGGAGCAATGGGGCCCGGGCGGGAAACTTTCCAACTTTCCCCTCCTTCCTGGCTTTCACTTTCCCTCCCCCGGGCCGGGGCCTTTCTTTAACCCTCTACGTGCTGGTGACCGGCGCTGGAGGAGGCGGCGGGGAGAAGGGCCGCGCTGTTTCAGACGCCTGGGAAAAAACCGGACGTTTTTCCCACGGAGCGCAAGCGAGAAGCAGCCGCCGTTTCGCCCCGGCCGAGGGCCGTTCCTCTCCGAGGGATGGCTTAAGATGCGTGATGGCCGTGCACGTGTGAATCCTGCTGTGCGCGTGTAGACGCGCTGGTAGGGCACCTGTGGCTTTAAGAGTGACAGGGAAGGGAGGAAACTCCCCACCCGGTATGGCAGGGACGGGGAAAAGTTGCTGCGCGGCTCAAGAAGGAGATATCCGGTTTTGGGGAGGGAGGCATCGCTTCCTCCCTGCTCGGGCTTTGAAATCCGATCTCGTAACTCTCCGCCTTTCTGCTGGCGCGTTTTGCTTCCGGTTTACGCTCCCGAGGGTGGTTTAGGTAGGCGAAGCAAAGCGCACTTTGCAAGACCTCAGCTGCTCCGCGAAGCCGATTCAACGGGTCTTGCAGAACCTGAGCTGCTAAAAGCGAAGGCGCGTCCCTAGCGAATAAACTCCGCTGCTTGGGCTAGCGCAAGTCAAATGAGCTTTGCTGAAGCAGAGCTGCGAGAGAGGAGCTTATTTCCCTGCCTAGAATAGCATTATGTTAAAGGTAAAGGGACCCCTGACCATTAGATCCAGTCGTGGCTGAGTCTGGGGTTGCGGCGCTCATCTCGCTTTACTGGCCGAGGGAGCCGGCGTACAGCTTCCGGGTCATGTGGCCAGCATGACTAAGCCGCTTCTGGCGAACCACAGCAGCGCACGGAAACACCGTTTACCTTCCCGCCGGAGCGGTACCTATTTACCTACTTGCACTTTGACGTGCTTTCAAACTGCTAGGTTGGCAGGAGCAGGGACCGAGCAACGGGAGCTCACCCCGTCGCAGGGATTCGAACCGCCAACCTTCTGATCGGCAAGTCCTAGGCTCTGTGGTTTAACCCACAGCGCCACCCACGTCCCATAGCATTATGTTAGGTAAAGAGACCCCTGACCATTAGGTCTAGTCGTGGCTGACTCTGGGGTTGCGGCGCTCATCTCGCTTTACTGTCAGGGGAGCCGGCATACAGCTTCCGGGTCATGTGGCCAGCATGACTAAGCTGCTTCTGGCGAACCAGAGCAGCGCATGGAAATGCCATTTACCTTCCCACCGGAGTGGTACCTATTTATCTACTTGCACTGGTGTGCTTTCGAACAGCTAGGTTGGCAGGAGCAGGGACCGAGCAATGGAAGCTCACCCCTTCTGATCGGCAAGTCCTAGGCTCTGTGGTTTAACCCACAGCGCCACCCGCGCCCCATAGCATTATGTTATGTGGGTGTAAATTGCCATAAAGATCATGCAGCCTCCATGGATGGATTTGCGGGTCTGGCTTTCACACGTACCCGTCGCGCTTCCCGCTGCAGGAGCTGCTGGAGGAAGTGGTGCGGCTTCTCTGGTCCTTGATGCCCTCTCGCTTGAGTGAGGCTGGGCGCTCTGGAGAAGCCCAGCTTCGCCCGCTGTGGGAGACAGAGCCTTAGCAATATAGCCAGACAAGGGCAAGGGGCAGGCAGGTGGGAGGGTGAGCCGGCCGAAGAGAAAGAGGGATGCAGAGGAGGAAAGCAGCGTGATGTGCGCCTAGCAGGAGCGAGCGAGGAGCGAGAGCCGGCTGCGTGGAAAGCTAAGCACTTTGCAAGACCGCTTCTGTTGTGTACTGAGTTGAATAGGATCCAAAATGCAGCAGTCTGATTGGTCCTAGAACAATAGGATCCAGAATGCAGGAGTCTGATTGGTCCTAGAACAATAGGATCCAGAATGCAGCAGTTTGATTAGTCCTAGAACAATAGGATCCAGAATGCAGCAGTCTGATTGGTCCTAGAACAATAGGATCCAGAATGCAGGAGTCTGATTGGTCCTAGAACAATAGGATCCAGAATGCAGCAGTCTGATTGGTCCTAGAACACTAGGATTCAGAATGCAGCAGTCTGATTGGTCCTAGAACAATAGGATCTAGAATGCAGCAGTCTGATTGGTCCACAGGAGCCACCCAATCCAGCTCCAGGTGGAAGTGAATCCACAACCTGATTGGCCTACAGGAGAGTCCTGGAATTAGCCAATCACGTGGGGCCCATTGTGTAAATAATGTATACAAAGCAGACATTCTGGGGGAACTTCCATTCCTCCTCACCACTATGAGCTGAATAAAGAGCATGAAATCCACTCTCGACTCCAAGTATATTTCAGCTTCTCTGCAAGATGGCTTTTCGAAAGCCTTGAGGCCCTGCGCCAAAGAAACTCTCCTTGCAAGACCTGGGCTGCTGTGCCCTTGTAACCCCTATTCAAAGACAAGATGGATGCAGAACGACAGTGGCTCACTGGCAGTGAATTTGCCAGCAAAGGCATATTGGACACATCTTTGGACTCTCTGTATTCAGAGAAACTGGAAGCCTGCCTTTAAGCAGCTGACTAACAGCTACTGGGAACAAGAAGGCGATGGATCTTGGGTCCAATACATGGCGGCCCCCCACAGGGTAGTCATTCAAGCAGATTCTTAAAGATAGCATTTTAATTTTTGTTCTTGCGCTGTTCTATATACACCTGCCAGTCTCCATTCAACCTTAATCATCTTTCAGCTCAGCAGATATTCTGAAAGCAACCCCTGCCCATCACAATCAGGCCTTTCAAAAGAGGGGGAGAGGAAACTAAATTCTCATTCGTGCCAAATGAAAACAAAAGCATCTAAGCCTTCCCTCTCTGCAGAGAGAGAAAGGGAAACGAGGAAAGTTACAGCCAGTTTTGACAAGAAGCCAACCTGCCCAGTGGAAAAATTTATCCTCCTTCTGTGGCTTTGAAGCGCCTCATTCAAACCTCTTCTAATCTCCCCTGGTTGTTGAATATCTCTTCAAATTGGAAAAAAAATGAGGGATTTTCCCTTACTCCAGGTAAATATTTGTAGAACTATTTAAAATTAAAGTGCTCCTAAAAACTGGATTTGTGTACATTTCCTTTCCACCTCTCTTCTGTTCGTCACCTACATTTTTTCGCACAAACTGGCCCTCAAGGTTGGCTTCTAGTCACGAACCATGCTAAAAAAATGCATTTAAAACACAGCCAGCCAATACAAAACGTATCAGAGTAATCCTGCAGCCTCCCCCAGTTAAATAATTGTGATAAGAAGAGATTTAGCAGCAGCAGGAGGAGGAGGAGAGAGGAATATGAGGCCCTTGTTCAAGGCGCTCTTGGGACCCCTCACCTTTTCCCAGGAAGCAGCTCTCTCTTGGGGGACGAAGGGGAGGTCGAGTAGCCCCTCCTCTGGGGGATGATCCCATTGCTCAAGCCAGGCCTGGAAGGCAGACCCCTCAGCAGCTGGTAAACTGCAAGGGAGACAATGTGTTAATTCCAGACGGGACCACAATCGCAGAATCACAGAATTGTAGGGCTGGGAGGGACCCAGAGAGTCATGAGCCAGAAACTCCAGCGGGTGCAGAATGCCGCGGCGAGACTCCTTACGGGGTCCTTGCTGCGGGATCACATTCACCCAGTGCTATACCAGCTGCACTGGCTCCCGGTGGAGCACAGGATCAGGTTTAAGGTGCTGGTTTTGACCTTTAAAGCCCTATACGGCCTAGGACCCACGTACCTATGGGACCGCCTCTCGTACCTACGGGACCGCGAATAATAACACCCTGAGAATCCCAGGCCCCAGGGAGATTAGACTGGCCTCGACCAGAGCCAGGGCCTTTTCGGCCGTGGCCCCGGCCTGGTGGAACGCTCTCTCACAAGAGAACAGGGCCCCGTGGGACTTGACATCTTTCCACAGGGACTGCAAGACGGAGCTGTTCTGCCAGGCCTTTGGCCAAGGCACAATCTGACCCCTTCCTTTGGTAATCCTCACAGAACTCTAGCCCAATGGTTGCCATTAATTTGATTTTGAATTGATTTTAGAATGAATTGATTTTAGAATGCTGTGTTATGTTTATTGTTGTTAGCCGCTCTGAGCCCGGCTTCGGCTGGGGAGGGTGGGATAGAAAATAATAATAATAATAATAATAATAATAATAATAATTATCATCATCATCTAGTCCAACCCCCTGCAATGTGCTTTCAAACTGCTAGGTTGGCAGGAGCTGGGACCGAGCAATGAGAGCTCACCCCGTCACGGGGATTCGAACCGCCGACCTTCTGATCGGCAAGTCCTAGGCTCTGTGGTTTAACCCACAGCGCCACCCTTGTCCCTTGTGTTGAATTATACAGAGCGTTAATTCTTAATGGTCATTGCACCCACTTATTGTCAGACACAAAAGTGTTCGTATCAGCAAATTAACTTCTTTTTGCAGCCAATAACCAAAGTTTGCTCACAGAAATGAAGGGAGGAAAACCTTGCTTGTAGTAAATATCCAACTTGCTATGGACAGAGATTCCGAAATATATACTGCCCACAATAAATGATGGATGCGTATAATAGCGAACCTGACACCGCCTAAATTTAGGTGAACCAGAGCGTAGCAACAGACGCTGCTGTTGTCTGAAGGAAGGTTGGGGGAGGGGGGGCAAGGCCTTTGTAGTTGTGGCAGCCAGACTCTCGAACTCGCTTCCCCAGGGGACCCACCCAGCTCCTTTCCTGTCAGTGGGAGACGGTCTTGTTTTGACAGGCCTTCACAATGGGATTCTTCATTCGCCATATTCGATAGATTTATCTCCCATGTTAGCTGCCTTCAGTCTCTTATGTATTTACAAAAATAAAAATAAACCATAAACAGTAAATTAAATTACTTTTTATTTAGTTTATTGGAGGGGGCAGTATTTGGTTTACTGCTCCTCCCCCTAAAATGAATTACAGTATTCTATTGCAGTACAGTGGTACCTTGGTTGTCAAACGCCTTGGCTCCTGAACAAATCAGCTCCCAAATGCCGCAAACCCGGAAGTAACGTTTTTCGGAACGTTTTTCGGCACAAACGTCCGGCGCAGCTTTTGCTTGAGTGCAGGAAGCGCCTGCAGCCAATCGGAAGCCGCGCCTTGGTTTTCAAACAGTTTCGGGAGTTGAACAGACTTCCAGAACAGATTAAGTTTGACAACCAAGGTACTACTGCACTGTTGCTTGCTGATTTCTAGGCCTATTTGGGCTGAAAAACAGCACGTTCAGTTTTAATAAGCAACAAGAAGAGGGGTTTTTTTAAAAAAGAATTAATATTATGTCCCAGTTTGGTTAAGTGCTCTACCTCTCTTTTAAATCAGAACCAGTGAAGGTGGTGAAGGTCCTATGTGAGTGCCTGGAGGTGGTTGGAGGATGGATGGCAGCTAATGGATTGAGGTTGAATCCTGACAAGGCAAGTACTGTTCTTGAGGGACAGAGGGCGGGCGGGTGTGGAGGACTCCCTGATCCTGAATGTGGTAACTGTGCCCCTGAAGGACCAGGTGCGCAGCCTGGGAGTCATTTTGGACTCACAGCTGTCCATGGAGGCGCAGGTCAATTCTGTGTCCAGGGCGGCTGTCTACCAGCTCCATCTGGTATGCAGGATGAGACCTTCCCTGCCCGCAGACTGTCTCACCAAAGTGGCGCATGCTCTAGTTATCTCCCGCTTGGACTACTGCAATGCGCTCTACGTGGGGCTACCTTTGAAGGTGACCCGGAAACTACAACTAATCCAGAATGCGGCAGCTAGACTGGTGACTGGGAGCGGCCCCTGAGACCACATAACACCGGTCCTGAGAGATCTGCATTGGCTCCCAGTACGTTTCCGAGCGCAATTCAAAGTGTTGGTGCTGACCTTTAAAGCTCTAAACGGCCTCGGTCCTGTATACCTGAAGGAGCGTGTCCACCCCCATCGTTCTGCCCGGACACTGAGATCCAGCTCCAAGGGCCTTCTGGCGGTTCCCTCGCTGCGAGAAATGAGGTTACAGGGAACCAGGCAGAGGGCCTTCTCGGTGGTGGCGCCCACCCTGTAGAACGCCCTCCCATCAGATGTCAAGGCAATAAACAACTATTTTACTATTAAAAGACAATTGAAGGCGGCCCTGTTTAGCGAAGTTTTTAATGTCTGGTGCTGTATTGTTTTTAATATTCGGTTGGAAGCCGCCCAGAGTGGCTGGGGAAACCCAGCCAGATGGGCGGGGTATAAATAATAAATTATTATTATTGTTATGATGATGATGATGATGATGTCAAGGACCCAGACAACTCTGGCTAAAGGGCATAGCTGGCCATAGCGGACAAGGGAGCTGCAGGACAGACGGACGGACGGACGGACAGACACCCACACCCAGCACCTCCCCACCAACACCCCGATACCTTTGCTGGGTCCCTTTTTCTGCAGGCTGAGCCCATTCTCCTCGCAGGTGCTGAGACGCCGCAGGACATCAGCCAGAGCGGCCTTCAGCACCTGGATCTCATCTTCCTGCAACTGCAACCGCTGCTCCAGGTAGGAGATGCGGTCGTCCACCTCCATCCCGCTGATGCCTGACAAGTTATCATCTGGAGAACAGAAGGGGTCAAGTCAGAAAGATGAGGCGAGCCATTTCCTAAGACAACAGGCGCTACATGTCATTTGTCAAAACAAAACAATAAGGTGGGTTTGGCTAGGAAACCCAAGCTTTTCACTCACAGTTGTTGGGCGTGTTTCAATCATGGCAAGAGATTTTATTTCAGATTTCTGACATCCAATCTCAGCATTCTGCAACACTGCACCACACTCGCCCTCCAATACCGAATACCTTGCCTTGGGTGTGTTGCTTTTAATATACAGCGGTACCTTGGTTCTCAAACTTAGTCCGTTCCCGAAGTCCATTCCAAAACCAAAGCGTTCCAAAACCAAGGCATGCTTTCCCATAGGAAGTAATGCAAAATGGATTAATCCGTTCCAGACTTTTAAAAACAACCCCTAAAGCAGCAAGTTAACATGAATTTTACTATCTAACGAGACCATTGATCCGTAAAATGAAAGCAGTAAACAATGTACTGCAGTCACACAATCAATCAATCAATCAGTCAGTAGCTGAACTGGGTTCCTCACAGTCACAAAAGAAAAAGAGCCGCAAAAACACAAACACAAAATAAATAGCAAAAACAGACAGACCTCATTGTAACACTCAAATCAGAAGCCTAACACTCAAAGCGGAGCACATTTTGCTTCTGAAAAAGGTTCGCAAACCAGAACACTTACTTCCGGGTTTGCAGTGTTAGGGTTCCAAGTTCTTTGAGTACCAAGGCGTTTGAGAACCAAGGTGTTTGAGAACCAAGGTACCACTGTAAACAGGTTTCTAGACCTCAGGGCTGGAGAGGGGCACTTGAAAAATGCACAGGCAATGTCAAGGGGGGGCGGGATGCAATGTTAAGGTAGAAACAGAGCTCTGCTAATTATTTTTGCGTGCATCCACATAGGCACATTAGTAAAGGTAAAGGGACCCCTGACCATCAGGTCCAGTCGTGACCGACTCTGGAGTTGCATGCTCATCTCGCTTTATTGGCCGAGGGAGCCGGCATACAGCTTCCAGGTCATGTGGCCAGCATGACTAAGCAGCTTCTGGCGAACCAGAGCAGCGCAGGGAAACGCCGTTTACCTTCCCGCTGGAGCGGTACCTATTTATCTACTTGCAATGGTGTGCTTTTGAACTGCTAGGTTGGCAGGAGCTGGGACTGAGCAACAGGAGCTCACCCAGTCGCAGGGATTCAAACCGCCAACCTTCCAATCAGCAAGCCCTAGGCTCAGTGGTTTAGTCCGCAGCGCCACCCACATCCTATCTTACTAGGAATCAAATACTACCAGCACATCATATTCATATAGCTTCCTTTCAGCGTACAACGCACCCAGAATTTCAAATCAGATTTCCATAACCCTTCCCAATCTGAAAGCTGGATAAAGGTAAAGGGACCCCTGATCGTTAGGTCCAGTCGTGGCCGACTCTGGGACCGAGCAACGGGAGCTCACCCCGTCGCGGGGATTCGAACCGCCGACCTTCCGATCGGCAAGTCCTAGGCTCTGTGGTTTAACCCACAGCGCCACCTGCGTCCCATTATAGGCACATTAACCTGTGCCAATTGGAGAGGTATGTTTTATATAAAACGTGCCAAAATGAGTGAAAGGCGGAATTTGTGAGCATATGAGCTGCTGCTGGTTGTTGTTTTTAAGTAGGTTCATCTACTTGCATGTTCTTCTGTATGAAAGGCAGGGCCTGTCAAGAGCCTGTAAGAGGAGATGCTGTTTGCCAAGTAAATTACAACAGGTCATGAGGCTTAGATGATGGAGCCAACAGTTTTATGGCCTTTTAATATCGCTGTGCAGCTTATATCAATATCAATCTATTTGAAATACCCCTTGACTTTTAAAAAAATGCACATTTACAAATATATTTCAAAGATTCAATCCCCCAAAATAGAAATTATTGGATAATGTGACCACAGCAGCATGCATTATATATGTGAATTATCAGAAGCAAAAGGAAACTCATCAATTTAGGAAATGGTTTATGAGACCATTGAACAGAATAAGTTGTGCTGTGTCAGTGAAATGAGGGGAGTATCAAACTAATAGATTAGGACAAGAATGGGAGCTCTTTAGAGAATATAAAGTGAAGCGAAAGAGGAACACACAATTGTGGTATGTTTTTCATTCCTCTTTCTGCCTCTGAAGACGGTTTGGAAACTTTGGTTGGTGCAGAATTCACAGCAAGACGTTTTGAGCATATTACTCTGATCCTGGCTGCCAGTTAGTTTCCTGTCCCAAATCAACATACAGTGGTCCCTTGGTTCTCAAACGCCTTGGCACTCAAACAACTTGGAACCCAAACACTGCAAACCCGGAAGTAAGTGTTCCGGTTTGTGAACATTTTTCGGAAGCCAAACATGCTCTGTTTTGGGTGTTACACTTCCGATTTGAGTGTTACGATGAGGTCTGTCTGTTTTTGCTATTTATTTTGCGGCTTTTTTGTGACTGTGTGGGACCCAGTTCAGCTAATGATTGATTGATTGATTGATTGTGTGACTGCAGTACAGTGTTTATTGCTTTCATTTTATGGATCAATGGTCTTGTTAGATAGTAAAATTCATGTTAAATTGCTGTTTTAGGGGTTGCTTTTAAAAGTCTGGAACTGATCATTTTGCATTACTTTCCATGGGAAAGCACACCTTGGTTTTGGAACGGACTTCTAGAATGGATTAAGTTTGAGAACCGGTAGTGCTGTACTGTTTCTGACCTATAAAACCTTAAATGGCTCAGGACCACAATATTTCAAGGACGTCTCTGCCCATATGAACCAACCCAGACCCTGTGGTCACCATATGAGGCCCTTATTTCTGTGTCTCCTCCTCAAGAGGTCCAGAGGGTGGCCACACAAGAACGGAGCCTTCTCTGATGTGGCTCCTCATTTGTCAAATGCTTTCCCCAGGGAGGCTCACCTGGCGTCTTCACTACATATCTTTAGGCACCAGGCAAACATATTCCTCTTCTCCCAGGCCTTTTGCTAATTAAACAATCTATTGCCTTTTAGGAACAGGTGGGATATTTTTTTAAAGTATATCTCTGGTTTGAATGTATCTATGTGGGGTTTATTGTCTGCTTACTTGTTTGGTTGGAAATCACTTTGGGTTGCCCTGGGCAAGAGAACAGATTTAATAAATAATAATAATAATAATAATAATATCATATTAGAATTACTTCTCAATGACTAGCCTAATTTTATGCGAATGTGATTATCAGTCATGAGCTTATGGTGTTATTATTAAATTACCAATATGGAAAACATAATTTTATATTGCAATGAGATTTTATATGTAGCTATGTTACATTTGTAATGAATCTGTATATTTGTTAAATAAGTAGATAATAAATTAAATAAATTATTGAGAAAAAAATTATATATATATATATATATATATATATATAAAACATTACCAAAATATATACTGTACAAATAAACTGCTGAAACAGTGATCCTGTCCTAGTCAAATCTGAGCCTCTATCCACATGAAGTCGGCATTCAAGAAGTGCATAAATTTTTTCAAGGGATGCATAATTTTTATGAAATAAATGAATAAATTTGGGTGATGGCAGTGTCACAGACATTGTGAAAAGAACAAAATCATGACATCCAGGAAGGTTGCAGGCAGTGCATAGTGTATTGATTATTATTTGTTACATTTTTTAGTTGATTTTCTTGCAAATGCAGCCCAAAGCGACTTACAATAATAAACAAGTAAATAAGATGCACTTAAAACCTATGTAAAACGAAGCACAGAAAAATCTAAGAAGCGTTCATATTTTTTCAAAGGAGGATTAAAACATCCCACCCACTAAAGGAAGCCACAGATAATGAAAAAGCCAAATGCATTTAATTATAATTTTATATATGATATAACCCCTGGGCTGAAGCCCTGCCTACTTCTACATATGGAGGACTGAGATAAAAGCATTGAAATAGATGTTTGAGGAGCTCATGAATTTTGTGGAGCAAAGGAGCGATCAGTAAGGTCCAGTTTCTTGCAGACACTGCCCACTAGTGGCAAATTAGTGATACTTCCAGCTGCTTTTAGTAAATTGGTTTGTCTCTGCCACACCTGTCCCCCAGGTACGTGGGCATCAGATTATATCGTTTGCATATTTGGAAAGGGATTAGGATTTTCTTGGGGCAAGGGCGTAAACCACACACCAAAAGCAACTGGTGTCAGTTAACGTGGAATAAATACCACCACTATGCCCCATAGTTGAAATAGGCAGGTTTCAAGTATGCATTGAAAACACAAGGGATAACACCACTATTTGAAATCACGCTTTTGCCACCCTGGTGCCATAGCCAAGACTCTTGTAATAATTAATCTGGAATAACTACCATCCCAAAATTCTGTAATCGTGGTCAATTATGTGTATTAAAATCCCCAGTTCACTTATCTACTGGGAGAGTGGGGAGGGAAGAATACTTATTTTTACCAGTCTACAAACAGTTGACCAATGCTATCTCTGAATCCTATCCACACTTACTTCAAAGTTAGCCCCACTGAAATATGCATAGGATCCTCCAAGGATGCTGTGCCTTCGGAGGCTAAGGTGTATTATGGGCTAGCTAATGGTTCTCTTAAATGGCTGTGAATACATTGATCTGGCCTCTCTGGAGCTAAAAAATGTTTCAAGGGCTGTTCAGGACAGAGGGTCCTGTTTACGGTTTTGTTTTTCCGCCCTGGTTTTCTCTTGCCCCCTTCCTGACCAGCAGGTGCCCTGTGCTGTCTGTCTCAGGAGCCACACAGGTATTCTGCCAGGAGAGCTTCCTTTCTGAAGCTGACCAGGGCAAGGATTAGGATCTGGGGCCTGCTGGTCGCAGAACTTCCCCTGTGCAAATAAACAGTGCATTTCCCATCCTGCTAACTTCTCAAAACAGGGGTGCTTGGATAGCCAGAAGCCTGATACTCTGACATAAAAGCCTTGGGAGTCCTTCATTGTTGGTGTGCATGATAAACCTGGGCAGGCACTCTGTACATTCTCAGAGGCATGCATTCTCCTTTATTTAAATCCCACGCCTTTGATAGCAGCTAAAAAGAAGTCCCAGGGCTGGGGAATTAAGCTTTGCTCTCCTGTGGTCAGTAATCAGGGTGTGATGGTGGTGCCTGCCTCTGGGGGGAAAACTGAGTTTTCAGTGAAGTCGGCTGATTTCCCCCGCTTTTCTTCCAGGCTCGGAGGTTGGTGGTGGATGGTATGTTTTGAGAGAGCGCTTTGCGCAGGCACGTCAGTTCCCTTTTCCCACCTTCCTTGCCAAGCTTTTCCTTCTGGCACCTCTTAGAAATGGCACTGGAACAGCTCCCCCACCCCAGCCTTTCCCGAAGAACATTGCCATCCTTCCTCCGACCTTACACGAGGAAGACGCGGCTCAGGCGCCTCGACATTTGGCGTGTGCGTCGCGCGCACTCACACATGCACAACCCGCGTGTGTTGCTTCTTCCCCCTCCCGCGTTCTTCGAATTCCCACAGCTCCCTCTCCGGAGGGGCTGCGGCTGCATGCAGAATTGGGCTGGGCGCAGGCAAAGTGGGGCAAAGGCGAAGCGAGGGGCGCAGGGCCAGCAGCCACCCACCTGTCATGCTGGGGTTTGCCCTGGGCCCGGTGCCCTCGCCGCCACGCTGCCCCTGCCTGCCCTTTTCACGACCTCTGCCGCAGTGCCAGGGGCTCGCTCCCTGCCCTACCCGGGTGCTTGCCTCCTCTCGGGTTCTCCTCCTCTGCAATCGTATTTCTTGGCTCGCTTCTCTCTCCTCCCTCTTTGCAGCATCTCCCAGGCGCCGTCCAATCGCGAGCGACGGGCGGGCGCTGCATCCAGGCAGAGTACCAGGCGAGAGAGGCGAGAGAGATGGACGGACGGGGAGTCTGTTACCCAGGACGCGGCTGATGCTGTCCAGCGACCTTGGACAGGGCAGGAGGGCGCTGGTCAGTCAGAAATGAGGTGGAAACAGACGGAGCCCCAGCCCCTTGGATTCAGAAGCAGAGGGGCGCAAGAGAATTTTTTGGGTGGGGGGAGTGTTCCTGCCATGGGGAAGATGTGCAAAATAAGGCTGCGCCAAAAAGCGAGAAACGGGTATGGCTGGCAGATGGAGGTGCAAGGATGGCTTCCAATACCTGCTCAGCTCTGACCTTGGCGCGCTCACAATTTCTTAGCCCGACCTACCCAGCAAGGTTGTTGTGGGAATAAATTGGAATAGCCGTGGACGTAGGCATCGCTCTTGAGAACCGTGGAGATACAAAAAAATTAAATAAAGTAAAACGCAGCCCTGAGAATGAGACCCAGAACCTGTTCGGAATGCTAGGGCTCAGCTCTTGTCATGTATTCTCATAAAACACTGCATCTGAACATATGAAGAGTGCAAGCTGGAAATCCGAGACAGGGCTCAGCCTCGTAACCTGTTGCATGCTGGGGCTCAGCCCTGGAACGAGCATAGTTTTACTCGCACAAAGAGTATATGGAGCATGTGCAGAGTTCCCTCATGGAACCCTTGGCATGGATTAGTTTGTCCTTCGCAGTTCCCTCTTTATTCACCATCGGAGTGGTCAATTTGTGGCAGAAGGCTGGCTGGCTAACTGGACCCCACCCCGCGCCCCCGCCCAATCTTTCCGTGCGCGCTTATTATAGGCGACGCGAGTGGTTTAATTCCGAAATTAGTGGTTTCGGGTGCAGAACGGGAGGTGGCAGTTATTCCAGAGTTAAAATTATTCCTGAGTAGTTAAAGCGCCCACCTGACCCAGCCGCCCACGGATGGAGGTGGATGATGGGCTGGGTTGCGAATTTCCCAGTTTGCATCGGGCGGGCGAGCGCGGGTGGAGGGCGGCCAGCTAAGCTGCGCGATGACCCATTTGGGCGCGGGGTGTGGCATCGCGGCAGGGCCGGGCGAGCGCGCGGGGGGCTTGCTCAGAAAAGAGGGCAGCAGGTCAGCCGAGCGGCCCCCCTTGCGCTCCCCACCCTCCCCTGCCCCAAGGCCCCCTTGGCGCCGCACCAGCCCTGCGCGACCCTCCCTGGGCATGGAAATGCACCCGCCCCGCCCTGCGCCCATCCCTTGGAGTTCTTGCAGAGCATCCCAGAGGGCACCTCCCTTGCTCCCGGCGTGCGTGCGCGCATGCAAGCGATGAAGCCAGGTCTACAGCATCTTGCAAAGCGGCGGGCATTTCCCCCCACCCTAGCCAGGCGATGGATGGATGGATGGAGCGCGCGCGGCGCTGGGGCGCCTCCGAAAAAGCCCCGGCGGTGGTCCAGCGGGGCGCGCGCGGACGCTGCAGGGACTCACCATTGCAGAACTGCAGCAGCAAGGAGGTGTCGTACAGGATCCCACAGCTGGGCATCCTCTCGGCCATGCCCGCCCCCTGCGCCCCTACCGCCCCCCACCCACAAGGACCGACTCCCCACCCACCCCGTCCCCCCACCTCCCTCCCTCCTGCCTGCCCTCCTTCGCTCACACCTTGGCGCCTTCTGCCTCTCCACCCGCCTCTCCCTCCCGCCTGGTCCCCTGCATGCCTGCCTCCCGTTACCATAGCAACCCACCTCTTTCCTGCATCCTCTTGGCTAAGCACCCCAGTGGCTCCGCTAAGGGGCCCCTCGCTGGGCTGCCCTCTCTTCAAGTCCCCACTTTAAGCAAATCAAATTACACACACATTACATACCCGCGCGCGCACACACACTCGACCCTACCTTCGGCTCAACATGGAGCCCCACCCACAACCCCCCCACCCACGCAGCTCGTCCTTGCTAAATCTGCTAAATCTCTCTCTCTCTCTCTTTTCCTCAGATCTTCACCCCTTTTTTGCTTTTTTTGTAGGCGGGGACGGAGTTGGTGTTTGCTAGGGATGCCTGGTTTTCAAATAATATCCGGAAGATCGGGGGGGGGGAGGGGTTGTATCCAACCAAGTTGTGCTCAGAGTAGACCCGTTGCAATTAATGAGCCTAGATTAGTCCGCCCCCATTAATTTCAACGGGTCTACTCTGAGTAGGACTGACGTTGGCTGCAACTCAAGATCTGTAAACGTTCCCACCTCAGTCTCATCCACTGCTACCTTATAGTCTTTCCTGTTTTCTGAATGCAGGCAATTCAAAACTAAATCATAGGAATACCCTCCCCCCCAATATCATAGAGTCATAGAATTTCAGAGTTGGAAGGGACCACCAAGGGTCATCTAGTCCAACCCCTTGCAATGAAGGAATGTCAACTAAAGCATCCATGGCAACCTCTGCTTTAAAACCTCCAAGGAAGGAGAGCCCACCACCTTCCATCCCAACGTCGGAACAGCTCTTACTGTCAGAAAGTTTCCCCCCCTGATCTTTAATATACCGTAATTGGTCTTTGGCACTCACTGCTGCAGGATACGGCTGCATCTCTTGGTATCAGTGGCTTGCTGCTGCATCTGCTTGCAATAGTGAATTGGCAGAGACAAGGGAGCCAGCAAGACAGACTTAATGTGCCTCACAAGCTGCTTGTGCGGATAAAAGACAATAAACTTCTGTAGGCTACCTTGAGCATTTTGGAGGAAATACCAGGCCTATCAATAAAATTGGCACAGGTAGGCTGTCTCCAAACTTGGCTGGAGGACACACTTGTGACTCTCTCCTACACTGCTTGGTTGCTGCTGCTTGTTTTTTGCAAGATCCATTGTACCCTTTAAACAGCTCTAGCCCACCAAAGCTTAGTAAAGGTAAAGGGACCCCTGACCATTAGGTCCAGTTGTGACCAACTCTGGGGTTGTGGCGCTCATCGCGCTTTATTGGCCGAGGGTACAGCTTCTGGGTCATGTGGCCAGCGTGACTAAGCTACTTCTGGCGAAGCAGAGCAGTGCACGGAAACGCCGTTTACCTTCCCGCCGGAGCGGTACCTATTTATCTACTTATACTATGATGTGCTTTCAAACTGCTAGGTTGGCAGGAGCAGGGACCGAGCAACGGGAGCTCACCCCATCACGGGGATTCAAACCGCCGACCTTCTGAACAGCAAGTCCTAGGCTCTGTGGTTTAACCCACAGCACCACCCATGTCCTTATGCCCCAGTAAATCTGTTAGTTTTAGAGGTGCCACGAGATTCTTTGTTGCTTCTAACCACGAGGACTCTATTTCTAACTAGCTATTGCTGACGATGGATGGGCATGGGTTGGAGCTCTCCATCTCCATGAATCAATCTAATCCCTTGAAAGCCACTTCAGCAAATTGCTAACCCAACCTTTCAGTGGCAATGAATTCCATAAGTTAATTATGCCTTGCTTACAGAAGTACTGTACTTCATTCAAGCCTTCCCACTTTATATTCTTGGGTCTTTTGTGACATCTAGTGGCACAGGAAGGGAATATAACTCCAGCCCACTCAGTTTAAACAAATTGGCTCCTTCTGTCCGCTTTACCCATGAAAGATAAATCTCTCTTTGCCTTCTCTCACTCTTTCTCATGCACACCTCTTTTAGAAGACATCTGAAGGCAGCCCTGTTTAGGAAAGCTCTTAATGTTTAACAGACCACTGTTGGAAGCCGCCCAGAGTGGCTGGGGAAACCCACCCAGATGGACGGGGTATAAATAATAAATTATTATTATGTTATTATTATTATTTTCCTTCTAACAATAGACCTTTTACACAAAACTCAAAGTCTTTCCTTCCTTTCCTCCCTCATGCCCTGCTCTCCCACCTCTACTGAATATTACCTTGTCCTCTTTTCTCCTAACCTCCAGGTCTTCTTAATTCGATCCCTGTTAAAGAGGAGCGTGTGAGCTCTGCATGAGCTCACTTGCAAGAGTCAACTCCAAGGCATGGAGATAAAAGTGGGGGTTGGAGAGAGAGAAAAGAGGGAAGATGCAACATGGAGCAGGAGCAATCAAGGCCAACTAAGGCATCAACAAGCTGTTGTTTAGTTGTTTAGTCATGTCCGACTCTTCATGACCCCATGGACCAGAGCACGCCAGGCCCTCCTGTCTTCCACTGCCTCCCGCAGTTTGGTCAAACTCATGCTGGTAGCTTCGAGAACACTGTCCCACCATCTCGTCCTCTGTCGTCCCCTTCTCCTTGTGCCCTCCATCTTTCCCAACATCAGGGTCTTCTCCAGGGAGTCTTCTCTTCTCATAAGGTGGCCAAAGTCTTGGAGCCTCAGCTTCAGGATCTGTCCTTCCAGTGAGCACCCAGGGCTGATTTCCTTCAGAATGGAGAGGTTTGATCTCTTGCAGTCCATGAGACTCTCAAGAGTCTCCTCCAGCACCATAATTCAAAAGCATCCATTCTTCGGCGATCAGCCTTCTTGATGGTCCAGCTCTCACTTCCATACATCACCACTTGGAAAACCATTGCTTTAACTATACGTACCTTTGTTGGCAAGGTGATGTCTTTTTTTAAAAAGCAGAGACATTAGCAAGCTATTGTTTATTTTTTTAGTACCTGCCCTTTACCCAAATGCCCCAGGGCAGGTTCCAGCATTAAAACATAATATTAAAAAAATTGAAACAACTTGAAACCATAAAATAAGTGGGTCCTTAAAACATGTGCCTCACGTGTCAGAGATGTGACTTCAGCTATATCCTGACAGTGGCAGACTTTGAGCTCTCAAGTTTCTGAATTGGTCACACTGCCCTAAAACCACCTCTGCTCCAGAAGCTGTCTAATGAAGGTGCCAGGCACACCTCTTTGGGGAGGGAGGTCTACAGCTTAGAGGCCACCACAGAGAAGGCCTCATAGGCCACCACCCCAAGCCTCTGAAGGAGAAACTATGGAGAGGGACCCCTCTGCCAATCTCAGCACCCAAGTGGGTCTGTAGGTAAGGAGGTGGTCTTTCTGATAAAGCTAGTTGACACAAGATTGGAGGGGCTGCAGATTGCGCAAATGTGGTTTCCACCCACTCAACTTATCAGGTTCTTGGTTTTAGACCCTCCCTTTTCTTTCTCCATTCCGTTTGGGCATGTTCCACTGACCTGCCAATGGAGGAAGCGAAAATGTTTGCAGTTAGGGAAGTAACTAGCTGGAATCTGGACTAGACCTTAAACACAGCAGAGCATGCTTTTAATCAAGATTCAAAGCCTGCTTTTAAGCCTTTACACAATATAATTTTTTTTGGAATCCTTTAACTTGGAATATACATTTCAAGGAATATAATTGTAACGAATGCAAATGTTAAATGGCCACTTCCAGGTAGGGTTGCCATATGTCCTGAATTTCCCGGATATAGCCAGTATTCAGCCCTCGTAAACAGGGTCCAGGCGGAAATCGCTGAAATGTCCAGGAAAATCCGGACATATGGCAGCCCATGTTGGTAGTGTAGATTTTGGCAAATTTCATTAAAAATAGCTCAAAACCTTTCTTTCTTTCTTTGAGATTTTGCAAAATTTCAACAACTTTTGTGTCATGATCTCCACTTTTTGAAATATAGCAACCCTACTTCCAGGTCAAGCTTGGCCTGCCAGGTGCCTCTTCACTCAGCGCTGGCTGGGGCTGATGGGAGTTTGGCCAAAACATCTGGAGGGCCCCAGGGGAAGGCTGCCCTCCATTTCTTGATGTGAAGCCCAGCACGGGTCAAGGCAGGGCATTGTGAATGTTGGATCTTATTTCGTTAAGGGTGGGGTTTTTCAACCAGTGTGAGGATCTCTTAACATTTCAGTATGTTAGTATGGATTGCTGTTAGGGCAGATATGCAAGGAGGGAGCCCAGGGATGATTGTGTCATGCTTCTCTCTGCGCATGTGTCAGAGGCCAAGGGGATGAATATTTAACAGCCATGAATGATTAAAGACAATTTCCCTCCATCTTAAAAACTCTGCTCTTGGCTGGCGCAACAGAGGCTTAGTCAATGCTTTCTTCAGTCAGCAAACTATAATCTTCATTCTTCTGTCAAATGCCCTAAGTCAAAAGACTGAAGCTGGGTGAGGAGCCAGACTGCCCCAGACAGTTATCACCTGTCCTGTAGACATATTGCTCGCAGTGTCTGCTGGCAGGTGACCTCATCCCAGCCACCATGCTTTATTGACATATACTGTGCTGTTAGGATTTTTTTTAATCCGCAAGGGCTGAGATTGCTTTCCAGCTGAAACCAGTGGCCTGCATGTTTGCTTCCATGTCCTCACAATACCTGCTCAACCTGTACATTTGTTAACAAAAAGATTATTACAGAGACACTAAGTTTCCAGTGCTTTTTGCTCCACAGGAAACTCCTTCTCCCATATCTTGGGGGGGGGGGATTGCTGAAGGTTGGGCCCTGAACCTGTGCAAAAGGCCCAGAATGTTTAGTGCCCGCCTTGATACAGGAAAGTGGGAAAGAAGCTGATTGAGAGAGAAAGAAAGAGAGATGTCCTAGGTTTTTAATGGGCTAAATACTGGAGGAGTCCAGATGAAAATATCTCTTCCCTTTGGGGAATTTCTTCAGCTCTTACGGTGTGTTAGCTCCCAAAGATGTCAAGGGATCTGGAGGACAACTGGGGGCGTTATCCTCCCTCCTCTCTTTGAAGGGGACTTTGGTGTCTGCAAGCCCAATAGCCACCCGGCTTGCAGAATCGTCTTGGACAAGCGCCTTCAAGTTTGGCTTCAGCACCTTCAGGGTCACGCATTTCAGCACCCTCCGCACCACCGTTCCTTGGCCCGTCAGGCTCTCTGGGTACTGAGTCCAGGAACTTTCTCCAGGCTCCCAGTGGTAAATGGCATCGTGAGTCCTGGAGGTGCATACCCCTCCCATCACATAAATTTTCCCCTGGAAGTAAGCTGCGCCTGCAAAGGCAAGAGGCAGTGGCAGCGGAGGGATGGTGACCTCGTTGCTTATGACGCCATCCTCGCGCATGAAAAAGCATTTCGAGGTACATGGAAGAAGCTGGCTGAACCTGCTGTTTGGGTACGTCTGGGTGTTTTTTTTGGCAAAGAAGCCCCCTAGGACGCAGATCCCGGTCTCCATGGTGACAGCAGCTGCACCGTGGAGACAGAATTCCAGAGGCACCTGTACCCAGGTATCCAAGAGGATGTCATAGAGAAGGATGCCCTGGTAAACCACTTCGTCGGAATCTGCGTCTCCTCCGATCAGGTAGAGCTTGTTCTTGTACGAGGCCGAGGCAGAGAAGCGCAGGATGACGGGCAGGCTGGCGATGGGTGACCACGTCTGCTTAACCACGTCAAAACTCTCCGCAGAGGCGAGGGGGCCTGTGTCATTCCAGCCACTCAGGGCAAACAGCTTGTGCTTGCAAGTCAAAAGTATGTGGACGGACCGGGGCGTTGACATGGCGGGCAGCTGGAGCCAGTGGTTGGCTACAGAGTTGTACTCATGCAGTGCCTGGGAGTAGGAGCCATCAGGGTGTTTGCCTCCTGAGATGTAGAGCTTGTGATCCAGGGCTGAGCATCCAGGGAGTGCCACGAGCTCTAAAGGTGGCAGTTTGGTCCTGGACCCCGTAGCTGGATCCAAGCACTCCATGTAGCAATCCATATCTTCGTTGACGGAGAGGATGTCCCTCAAGCGAGGCACTTTGATGCAGATGATCCTTTCCTGGTACATGCCCTGCCGGAGACCCCCACTCGCCTGCAGCCTCCCTGCCCCATCTAGGTCTCCCCACTGCAATTCCACTTGCTGGTCGAGGGTCGCTACATCTTCCTGGACTTCTGCAATTTCCCTGGGCGTCAGGAGAGGGAAGCGGACATGTTGCAGGAGCGTCTTGAGTACCGGAAGGCGCTCAGCGAGTGCGGCTGCCACCCACCGCTGCACAGCCCAGAAGACGTACATTTCGGAGGTGATGACCAAGTGGCCCGAGGAGATGAGGCAGATCAGAGCTCTGAGGTCGAGATTCGGGAAATCCTTGTGTTCCAAGAGGGTTTCAAAGTTGAGGCCCAGGTAGTGCATGGTGCTTCGCAGCAAGGTGGGGTTGTTGTGGTCGTAGGCCAGCATGTACAAGTGGAAGCAATTCTCTTTGGAGATCCTTTCTGATAGATATCTGCCAGGGAGCAATGGAGAGAAAGAACGTCACTGGAAATCCTGTGGGTGGAAGCCGCTTATTCCTTTGGCTTTCGAAACAGGTGTTGGGGAGAAATATAAGAGGAGCCAGACCTCTTGCGCTACCTGCTGATGTGTTCAAGGGCTGGTGTGACCTGGAGCCGGCTGGCTGCTGTGAACAGATCTTCAGCGTTCTCTGCAGTGAGGGCCAGTTCTCCCGAGTAGAGGTAGGCTAAGAGATTCTGGAGGAGGGAAGGATCCATGTCTTTCAGCAAAACCTCCCCGTCTCTGGATTCCTTAAAGTCGCTCGTAAACACAGCCTGGAAGTAAGGGCTGACGGAGGCTAACAGGGCCCTGTGGGGGAAATGGAGACCGTCAGATTGGCCGTGGAGTGGCTGGGTACCCTCAAGTACCAACCATCCTTTTACCCTCAGTTGCCCCACCTGAAAAATGGGATAAATCATATCTCTTCTCTTGGAGGTATGTTGTGAAGAAGAAGAAGCGTTTGAATTTGATATCCCGCCTTTCACTCCCTTTAAGGAGTCTCAAAGTGGCTAACATTCTCCTTTCGCTTCCTCCCCCACAACAAACACTCTGTGAGGTGAGTGGGGCTGAGAGACTTCAAAGAAGTGTGACTGGCCCAAGGTCACCCAGCAGCTGCGTGTGGAGGAGCGGGGAATCGAACCCGGTTCACCAGAATACGAGTCTACCGCTCTTAACCACTACACCACACTGTGCTTATGCAAAGGAGAGGGTCTTTTCTGCGGTGGTGCTTCTGAGTACTAGCTCAGACCACGGGAGGGGAGAGTTGCTCTTGTGCTCAAATCCTGCTTGCAGGTTTCCCACAGGCCTTTGGTTGGCCGCTGTGAGAACAGGATGCTGGACTATGTAGGCCACTGTCCTGATCCAGCAGGATTTTCTTGTGTTTTTATGCTCTGACTCTGAACTGCCCCTTCTAAAGAGTCACTCCAAGTGCTGACATTAAGAGCTGTTCAGCACCTGGTTAAGAGCTTCCTATTTCTCCATGAGTTTTAGACTGTAGATGGTTTGGGAAATTGTGTTTTATTCTGTTTTTGTTTTTTAAAAAATAATTTTTATTGAATGATTTTATGTTACAAAAAACATTACAACCATACTACCACAAAATATAATTGAGAAATAAAAATTACATACATCAGTATTTTGTTTGTTATTTGTTATTTACCCTCTTATTTCCTCCCAAATATTCCATACCCAATATACACACACACAGAAAAAGAAGAAAAAATAATAAATAATAATAGTGATAATAATGAAAATAAATATTTCCCCCCTTTTATCTTATCTTTTATCTTGACTTCCTGTCAAGTCCCTTCGCATATGTTTTGTCTTAGAATTGAATGTACACAAAACAATAAACCTTTCTATATAAATTTTCCAATACATTCAGAAAACATAATAAATCCTTAATTGTTATCCACCTCCTTTTACTTCCTTTGTCACTCGAATGCTAGCATGGAGTCAAAACTATTATTGTATTTTTGAACATATCTTCTATAACCATCCCATTTTCCCGCAAATTTTTGCTTTGAGTTTCCTCTGAGTTTGCTAGTCAATTGAGCCATCTCCACAAATTCCTGTAATTTGATTTGCCAATCTATTATTTTTGGAGCCTCCTGATCTTTCCATCCCTTGGCCACGAGTATTTGAGCCGCTGCAGTTGCATACAAGAATAACTCTCTTGAATTTTTGGGAAATTGTGTTTTATTCTGTTGACAGGGTTTTCAGGCTTTTATTTTGTCTTCCTCTGTTTTGTTACTGTTTCCTGTTGGTTTTCAAATTGTATTTAGTCAGACTTTCGCATGCCACCCTGCGAATAAGACTTGAAATGAATAAATAAATTCCCATATCCAACAGCACTGCCTACACATTCCCAGTGGGATATTAGGGAGGCTTCCAAACTTGCAAATTCCTGGGATTTCTTGGCATGGATGTAAGAGGTTTTTAATTTTCCCCCACCACTTTCTCTGGGAAAACACACTGTTTACCGCTGAACTGTAATAAACGTCAATCGGTTTTTCTACAGATTGTTCTGATTCAGTAGCAAACAGCAGGGAATGCGGAAGGACAAAAGGAAAATGTCTTGGATCTGTGCCTGGGAATCACAGGAGAAGCAGAAATGTGGATGAACTCTAAGAAGGAGCTGGCTGCTTGGCTCCATTTGCTAAAAGGGCATTTCTGGCCCTCCTGTCCGGCATGGGACCCACCTGTTGCACGGAAACCGCTTCCCTCCAGCTACCAAAGTGGCATTGCAGAGTTCCTGGGTCTTATGCAGCTGCTTCAAACCTGAGGGAGAGGGAGGAAAATGAAAGCCTTCTAGGTCATTATAGCTGGTCACCTGAGGGGAAAGGGCAGCTCCCTAGAGAAGGGAGGTTAATGTATGGGCCATAATATACAATCCAGAACAATTGCTCAAAAGTCCCTGTCCAAGGAGAATGAAAGTTTATTTTTTTTATTTAATTTTTAATGGAATTTTATTTACAACATAACACACACACCCCACCCCCATACAGAAACCCACCCTCATTAAACGTGAACATAACATAAAGCATAACATACAACAATACGAACAACCAAATAAAAGACTTCCTTTATCCTGTATCTCGTATCCTTATTTACTTCTTATAAACTGTTTCCTTTATGAGTAATTATTAATATTCTTCTAATTATAACTTAAATATCCACAAAGTCTCCTGCAGACATTAATCGAAACAAGTCCAGGTATGTATTTTAGGGCACTGTTTTGTGAAGTATTCTCTGCATTTCCCCCATGCTTTTTGAAACTCTTGCCTAGTGTGATCTCTAATTGCCTGTTAATCTAGCCAGTTCAACTTACTCTAACAGTTTATCTTGCCATTCCTTTTTTGTTGGCGCAGTTTCTTTTTTTCCAGTTTTTAGCAAGTAGGACCCTTGCCGCTCAAGGTGAATGAAAGTTTGGTGCAATTGGATTGTGCTCTATGGTCCTCTCTGCTAAATCATTGGGAGGGGAGAGATGTCACTCAGGATAACGTGGGTCAGATCACCAAAAAGACCCCCCCCCACAAACACCAAAAAACCCTCCAGCCATTTGTGTTTTACTCTTTTATCTTTTATCTTTTGTTAGCCACACATTGAATGTATGCGCTCTACGTGGGGCTACCTTTGAAGGTGACCCGGAAACTACAACTAATCCAGAATGCGGCAACTAGACTGGTGACTGGGGGCAGCTGCCGAAACCACATAACACTGGTCCTGAAAGACCTACATTGGCTCCCAGTACGTTTCCGAGCACAATTCAAAGTGTTGGTGTTGACCTTTAAAGCCCTAAATGGCCTCAAAGGCCCAGTATACCCAAAGGAGCGTCTCCACCCCCATTGTTTAGCCCGGACACTGAGGTCCAGCTCTGAGGGCCGTCTGGTGGTTCCCTCCCTGCGAGAAGCAAAGCTACAGGGAACCAGGCAGAGGGCCTTTTCGGTAGTGGTGCCTGCCCTGTGGAACACTCTCCCATCAGATGTCAAAGAGATAAACAACTGCCTGACATTTAGAAGACATCTGAAGGCAGCCCTGTTTAAGGAAGTTTTTAATGTATGACATTTTAATGTATTTTTAATCTATGTTGGAAGCCACCCAGAGTGGCTGGGGAAGCCCAGCCGGATGGGCGGGATACAAATAAATTGTTGTTGTTGTTATGAATCATAGAATCATAGAATCATAGAATCATAGAGCTGGAATAGACCACAAGGGCCATCGAGTCCAACCCCCTGCCAAGCAGGAAACACCATCAGAGCACTCCTGACATATGGTTGTCAAGCCTCTGCTTAAAGACCTCCAAAGAAGGAGACTCCACCACACTCCTTGGCAGCAAATTCCACTGTCAAACAGCTCTTACTGTCAGGAAGTTCTTCCTAATGTTTAGGTGGAATCTTCTTTCTTGTAGTTTGGATCCATTGCTCCGTGTCCGCTTCTCTGGAGCAGCAGAAAGCAACCTTTCTCCCTCCTCTATGTGACATCCTTTTATATATTTGAACATGGCTATCATATCACCCCTTAACCTCCTCTTCTCCAGGCTAAACATGCCCAGCTTCCTTAGCCGTTCCTCATAAGGCATCGTTTCCAGGCCTTTGACCATTTTGGTTGCCCTCCTCTGGACACGTTCCAGTTTGTCAGTGTCCTTCTTGAACTGTGGTGCCCAGAACTGGACACAGTACTCCAGGTGAGGTCTGACCAGAGCAGAATACAGTGGCACTATTACTTCCCTTGATCTAGATGCTATACTCCTATTGATGCAGCCCAGAATTGCATTGGCTTTTTTAGCTGCCGCGTCACACTGTTGGCTCATGTCAAGTTTGTGGTCAACCACAAACAATGAGTTTGTAAGTGCCAGACCTTTGAACACCTGGACCCAGCAAGTGTTAAAACATAAGCCAGGCTAGCTTCCTGATGAGCCATTAAGAGAACCAAGGATAGGGGCTCTGTGCCAGAGGCCAAATGGGTGGGCCCCCCTCTCTTAGACAGTTAGTAGGACAAAGCAGGAGATTGAGGGCAGAATTTGCTGTGATGTGACCTAGAGGGGAAAAGGTTTCAGCCTGGAAAAGGCAGAGAGCAAGAGTGCGTCATGGCTGACTTCTGTTTGACTCCAAGGCTGTGGCTATGGGAGAAAAAGACCCTTTTGGGGGGTTGATGCTGTGAGGCCCTCTATCACAGGCTCAGGTTGTGTATGTGTGTAAATAAACCCTATATCCGGATGACACCACAGTCTCTGCTGTGTCTCATTTCCAAAAGGAAACACAAACCCTGGGTAAGCGCCTGGAACCCCTGGAATCTTGCACTGATCAGAGTTTGGGGCGGCATGTGGCAGTATATTATCAGGCAGCCTATATAAAAACTGTTAATGATAGCAGCGGCCAGAATAATACGTTGCTCTTATCCTGTCATGCAGAAAATGCTGCAATAATTTGCTGCTGCCCGGGTTTCAAGACCAGGAAAAAAAGGCTTTGCTCAGGTGGCCAAGGGAGATCAGAAGGCTGGGCTCCCAGTATTTATTCCAGGACTGGCGGACTTTCCACATCCCCTACTACCCCCTGAAGAGGCTTTGGCCTCAAGGACAACGAGGCTGCCAGCTACTATAGACCCATAGAGCTGGAAGGGACCAGCAGGGTCATCTAGTCTGACCCCCTGCAATGCAGGAATATTTTGCCCAATGTGGTCCGAGTTTGAGGTCAGCCTCGGACTCACCCTGGCTGAAACAAGCTTTCAGCGAAGAGGTCTCCGGCTCATGCTCCTCCTCCTTTCTGCCGACTTCTGCCGTGTCTGCTGGATCCATGCCTCCTGCCGCCGAGTCCCAAGGGGCTGCCACTCTCTCTGGGAACCGGCCCAGGGGGGACTCCGACCTGCCTCCTACTTGCCCCCTCAAAGCCTCTCTTAAAAGCAGCCTACAGCTCAGGCACCAGTGTCCCTGGGGCAGCCATCACCACCACAATGGTCGCCGTGGCACCTTGAGCCTCCTCAGGGTGCCCTAGGAATTTAGTGGCTTGCCCTGGCTCAACTTGCTGCCAGGGGAGCCAGGGGTGCTGCAGCAACCGTTGTGAAGATGGCGCCTTTGGGAATCCTGCGGGCCCTTGTTCCGCTCCCTGAATGTGGGAAGAAGCGCTGAGGCACCTGGGATAGCTCCCTGATTCGCAGCAGATCCATGTGGCACCCTCTTCGCCAGACGAAAACTCGGTTTCCGCCACCCTCGCCACCCGTTCCATTTTGGCCATGCTCCTGATCGCAACCCGATCGCTTAGTGCATTTTCTTGTGCGGAAAGCTGGTTTTCTTTTTATCTTGCAGATTGTGCAGGGGTAATTGTAGTACAGTATGTGCTTCGATAAGACAGCTTACATAAGAAGAGATGTGAAAACTGTGACAAATGGAGGTCGCTAGGAGAACCTGCTTATTTTAAGAATGGGCCAAGAATCATCATTTTATTTATTAAATGTTGTGCAGGAAAACTCAGCCTTGAGCTAGCTAGAGAGAGAACAGGCATCCTGTCTAGGGCTGGGCAATATATCGATATATCATCCAACAATGGTTTGAAGCCCATATCGTCATAGCGATTTCATAATTTTTGACCTGGCAATATATCGCGAATCATGATGTGTGTGTGCTATGCAAAAACCACAATGCGGGGGAAAATGTGAAGACAGCCAATGCCTCTACATAGCTCCATCCTGACTTTAGACATTGTGACATATCCATATATCGCAATGTTTAGCTTGTAATATATCGCGATATATTACAGATACAGATCTCGAAAACCAGATACCACCTTGCCGTGACCTTCTTGCTGAATTAAGCATCCAGCTCTGATAATGCAGGCATGCTTTTCCTCTGAGAAAGTGGCTCAACTTTTACACATGTGTAAATGTAAGCTATAGTATAGTCCGTATAGTTAAAGCTATGGTTTTCCCAGTAGTGATGTATGGAAGTGAGAGCTGGACCATAAAGAAGGCTGATGGCAGAAGAATGGATGCTTTTGAATTCTGGTGCTGGAGGAGACTCTTGAGAGTCCCATGGACTGCAAGAAGATCAAACCTATCCATTCTTAGGGAAATCAGCCCTGAGTGCTCACTGGAGGGGCAGATCCTGAAGCTGAGGCTCCAAGACTTTGGCCACCTCCTGAGAAGAGAAGACTCCCTGGAAAAGACCCTGATGTTGGGAAAGACAGAGGACGACAGAGGACGAGATGGCTGGACTGTCTTCTCAAAGCTACCAACATGAGTTTGACCAAACAGTGGGAGGCAGTGGAAGACAGGAGTACCTGGCGTGCTCTGGTCCAGGGGGTCATGAAGAGTTGGACACGACTAAACAACAAAACAAAATGTAAGCTGGGGGCTGCCTGCATCTCTCTAAGGCTTTGAACTTTATATGCCTGTGGACACCACTTTCCCCCACCAGCCGGGAGTTGTTCTGACCAAGTAAAGCTGCCTCAAACATCACAATGGGGCATTTGTTGGGGGGGGGGGACTCACTGCAATTGCTTATAGTTTATTATGTGAGCCGCTGTAAGTACTCTAAAGGAAGGCCTGAAATATAGTAACTGTGGTACAGGAAGATAATAATAATAACAAATAAGAAGAAGGGGGTCCAGGGCAGGTGATGCGGGCGAGTCGCTGGCGAGTTGGAGCTGGAGAGAGGTATCTATCACATCTCTTTGTGGGCTGCAGCAAACCTGGTGATTTAGAGCCGCCACCAAACCAGTGGGAAACATGAAAACCAACCCGGTCATCCAAGCTGCCATTGACCTCACGGCAGGGGCCGCAGGAGGCACTGCCCGTGTGATTACCGGCCAGCCATTTGATACCGCCAAGGTGAAAATGCAGACGTTCCCTGACATGTACCGAGGGTTTGTGGACTGTTTCGTGAAGATTTACAAGCAAGTGGGGTTTCGAGGCTTCTACGAGGGCACCACCCCGGCTCTGGTGGCCAACATTGCCGAAAACGCCGTGCTCTTCATGTGCTACGGCTTCTGCCAAAACGTTGTCAGGAGCATCGTTGGGCTGGACAGCAAAGCAACGCTGAGCGACCTTCAAAATGCCGCCGCCGGCTCCTTTGCTTCGGCCTTTGCCACCTTGGTCCTCTGCCCCACCGAACTCGTGAAGTGTCGCCTGCAGGCTATGCACGAAATGCAGTTATCCGGGGAGGTCGTGCGCGGGCGAAGTACAGTTTGGTCGGTAGTGAAAGGTGTTCTGAAAAAGGACGGTCCCCTTGGATTCTACCGCGGCTTCTCCAGCACTTTGCTGCGCGAAATCCCAGGCTATTTTTTGTTCTTTGGAGGCTATGAGCTGAGCCGGACGTTTTTTGCATTTGGAAGGCCAAAAGAGGAATTAGGCCCTGTGGCGCTGATGGTCAGCGGCGGTTTTGGTGGCATGTGTCTCTGGATTGCTGTCTATCCCATTGACTGCATCAAAACTAGAATTCAGGTCCTTTCCATCGCTGGGAAACAGGCAGGCTTCATGGTAACGTTTGCAAGCGTTCTCCGGAAAGAAGGTATCTTTGCCTTGTACTCAGGACTGAAACCTACGATGATCCGAGCTTTCCCAGCCAACGGTGCCTTGTTCCTTGCCTATGAGTATAGTCGGAAACTGATGATGAACCAGTTTGATATCTAATATTTTTTATTGTAGACTTACAATCATCAGAAACCTTTACAGGTCACGAGAGCTGCCGCAAGAACAAAGAAAAAAATCAAGTTTTAAAGATTCTGGTTTTATTTTTTAAAGTATCTGATGTTTTAAATACATATGTTGGGTTTTTTTCCTTCCTAAAACAAACCCAAATCAAAGAAGAAGAATATAATACTTGAACAAAAGGATTTGCATTTCCCCCAGGGTCAATTTAAAAAGCTCCTGCTCCTTAGCCAGTTCATTAGACTGAATGAAATGCCATTATTAAAAATCCTTCCAACTCTTCCCCGACTTTTATTGAAGTACCTTTGGCTATAGGTGTGCAATTCCTGTTCCAGTAATGGAAAAATACGACAATCCACCCTTCTTTTGAAGGATTCTCTCTCCCCCATTAAAGCAATATTGCACAATTATCTCAACCCCTCTGAAGTGCATCACCTTCCACGACCTAAGGTGAACAGTATTTGCTGTAATAAAAGGATAACGAATATAATCTATATTTAACACTTCTGGAACCTCCAGGTATCTGAACATGTCTCTGAGGGCATGATCCAATTTAGCCTTAAACCCATTATCTCCAGAGTACATTTTCAATAGTGTCTACGTCGATGAGGGCGACCTGGGAGGTTGTGGCCTCTCCTTCTCTGCAGGTTTTTAAGCAGAAGTTGGATGGCCATCTGCCATGTTTGATCTCCTCCCGCCTCACGTTCCAGCAAAAGGGTTTAGGCCTGTGCATTTGGGTCACGAAACCACTGCAGAGTGTTAATTTTTCACAAAATAACTTTAATTTGGGCCTCATTTTTGCGGACGGGTGTAGCCTACTCTCTGCACTGGGTGCATCGGGTTGTGCATTTTTCTTTTCTGAACATCCCTCTGTTTGGAGGGCGTTGCAAAGCGATTCCCTCAAAAACGTTGGGATTTTCTGTGTCCCTTCCTTCCTTCCTTCCTCAGAGACCTAATAAGGAGCTGAAGGGGGTGAGGTAATCTGGTGAAGAATATAATACTACTTCTACTACTGATAATCATTTTAATTTTTGCTCCAGGGTTGTTTCTGTGGAGGGGTTAGACATTTCTCCTCAGAACAGGCAGGGGTTTGAGGCCAACGGGGCAGAGACCCTCCAGCTGAGGCGCCTTTTTCCCGCCTTTTTCTCCCCTGCTGGAGCCAAGCTCAAAATGGTTCCCTTTACGGAGCTGCCTTCATCTCTCTCCTCAAGGCTTGGTGGGGAACCTTTCCAAGGCAACGATTTCTAGAAGATCGCAGCCAAATAACATGTATAAACCCTCTTTCCCTCAGGAATTTGTTCATGAGAAGGTTCTCCCTCCTCCATTTCATTCATATATATATATATATATATATATATATACAGTGGTACCTCGCAAGACGAATGCCTCGCAAGACGGAAAACTCGCAAAACGAAAGGGTTTTTGGTTTTTTGAGTTGCTTCGCAAGACGATTTTCCCTATGGGCTTGCTTCGCAAGACGGAAACGTCTTGCAAGTTTGTTTCCTTTTTCTTAAAGCCGTTAATACAGTTGCGACTTGACTTCGAGGAGCAACTCATAGCACGTGGTGTGGTAGCCGTTTTTGAGGTTTTTGAAGACTTTGGTGATTTTTGAAGCTTTTCCAAAACTTTTCCGACACCGTGCTTCGCAAGACGAAAAAAACCGCAAGACGAAAAAACCCGCAGAACGAATTAATTTCGTCTTGCGAGGCACCACTGTATACACACACACACACATATATATATATATATACACACACACACACACACACACACACACACACATACCTACACCCCCCATATTTTTCAGTGCATAAGATACCCCCCATGTATGACGCTCTCCCCATTTTTGGGGACTCCAAATTAAGAAAACACCCCTCAGCACTACCCGTGTATAAGATGAGCCCCAATTTTAAACCTAATTTTTTGGTAAAAAAAAACCCCTGGTCTTATACATGGAAAAATACGGTGTGTATGTGTGTGTATATATAATTTTATTTATTTATTTTCCATTTAATAATATACATTCACATCATTATTATCCACTTTACCTCCCTGGCTCTTTATACTGTAATAATAATAATTTAATAATAATTTATTATTTATACCCTGCCCATCTGGCTGGGCTTCCCCAGCCACTCTGGGCGGCTTCCAACAAAATATTAAAATACAGCTTTAGAGCTTATCGACTTCCCTCCCGCCTCAGGGCTTTCCAAATTAACCTTTATATCATTGCATTTTGTACGTTTTCCAATTCCACTTGCACTCATTACAAAAATAGCTCAAAATTTAGATAAATCTAGAAAGGTAGAAAACTTCTCATGACAAGTCAAGAAAACTTCTCATTACAAGTCATCGGACAACCCTGCTAGGGATGTTTATCGCTTACGATAATCTGTCAGATATCGTATAAATTTACTCCAGTCCTTTTGGAATACTTGATCATGCTGGTTTCAGATGTCGCCCGACAGCTTCGCCAGTTCTGCAAAGTCCAACATCTTCCATCTGCCACTCTTCTTTTGTTGGTACTTCTTCGTTTCCATTTTTGAGCTAAAAGAGTTCTTGCCGTTGTTGCATACATAAACAGTCTTTTATCTTCCCTTGGTATCTCTTCACCCACTATACCCAGTAAAAAGGCTTCTGGTTTTTTAACGAAAGTATTTTTTAAACATTTTCTTTAACTCATTATATACCATTTCCCAGAAAGCCTTTACCTCTTTGCAAGTCCACCACATGTGGTAGAAGATACCTCCCCTTTCTTTACATTTCCAGCACTCATTGGTTCTTGTCTTGCACATTTTAGCAAGTTTAGCTGGTGTTAGGTACCATCTGTACATCATTTTCATAACATTTTCTTTAAGTGCACTGCATGCAGCAAAATTAATATTTAATTTTATGTATTTAACCCATCTCCTTCCTCCATTTCGCCCCCTAGGGTTGTTCATAATCTTTTTTTGAAACTGAGGAATCCCACCCCATCCTTAGGGGATATTTCTCTCTGCCACATCCTGTTCAATAAACGTCCTCTGGTCCACTCTGGCAAAAGTGAAAATTAGGAGGAATGTCACGGTCCGGTTTACGGGCAGTCAAAGTCTTGGCTGAGGACGTCGGGACCGGGGGCAAGATGGCGGGGTGGGAGCAGGAACGGGGGTCCAGAAGCCAGGAGTCAGGAAGCCAAGAGTCCGAGGGTCAGGAAGCAAGGAGTCACGAAGTCAAGGGTCTGGGAACAAGAAGGAAGGAGTCACGAAGTCAAGGGTCCGAGGATCAGGAAGCAGGGAGTCACGAAGTCAAGGGTCCGAGGATCAGGAAGCAAGAAGCCAAACACAGCAAGGCAGGGAACATGTTGCTGTGGCAAAGAGCCAAAGGGAAATGCTGACCTTACATCCCTTCCCGGCTCTTGCCACCAGGTGCAGCAAGTTATCAATCGGCCTCACCTGTGCGGCCTCGTCTTGCCTCTCCAAAACAAACTTAGGAAGGTCCCTGTCCTGCGAAGTCCTACTGGCCACAGGACCTGGCTCCTGCATGCACTCCTGACAAGGAATTTCTGTGGGCTGGAGGCTGGATGGTTGCCATATTGTCCTGTTTCCAAGGCATGTCCTTTTTTTCATGAGCAGTCTCGTCATAGGGATCCACAGTTAAAACTAGAAGTCGGCAAATGTGTCCTAATTTTCTGCTCTTCGAAATATGGCAACCCCTAGCCGAGGACATTCGCCAACTTCTTTCCTCCCCTTTGCATTCACTCAAGTCTTACAGAGTGTGGATTCATGGATGATAATTGTCCTGGTTGTCTGTTGTGGTTTACTGTAATTTTTTTTTGTTATTGGGTACGGTCACCGTACTATGTCTCAGGCATGGTCCCTAGTTAGATCTTGGATGGATCCTGCCCCAGAAGTGGAGGCAGAAGACTTTGAAAGGCCCATCTGGTCTGGTGAGGGAGAAGATATCCCATGCGCAGTGTCCTCCAGCCATCTCTTCCTACAGAAGTTTGCGGTCAACGGGCAATTTCCATTTTTCTTCCATTAGTGATCTGCTTGGCTGGGTGCCCAAAGAACAAACATTTTAATATTTTAAGACTAGCATGGTTGTCTTAAGAGAGAGAGCGGTTGGGCCAAGAACCTGGAAGGTGCTGGTTGCTGCAAGCGGAATATTCACAGTGTTTCAAAGAACCAGCCAAATCTTTTTAATATTTATTTATTGAGTGAGTGAGTGAGAGAGAGAGAGAGATTATTATAGTAAATTGAAAAAAGAATAGAAAACAAAAAAATAGAATATAAAACATTTTAAAAAACAGCCTTTTCTCAAGGTCTCTTGTGAACTTAAGTTATTTTCAGAGTGCAAAAAAACCCCCAGAACATTGGTTAAACAAGGATTATTTGATTTCACAGTAAAGGGGACCCAAGGGGTTTCTTTAATTCTATATATATATATATATTAAAAATGTTTAGGTTCCTATGTCTCAAAACTCCTCCTTGCAAGCCATCAACAACGTCCTCTCATCACTTCAAGATTTTTCTCCACCTGGAAGAACGTGATCTGGGTGGAATATGTTTTGGCGGCAGCGAGAAAAACACCCTGGTGGGAGACCGCAGGGGCTCCGGCGAGAGTTTTACCAGCACCGTAGAGTTTGTGATGCGAGCCCCGTAATGCCCTTCCCAGAATTGTGTGTCCACCCCTTTGTGCCAGAGCTGGATGTAGCGAACGCCAGGGCCGTAACTCCTGAACACGTGGGACACCTACAGAGGCAGAGAGAAGAGCAAAAAGTCAAGGAGAAGCACCCTTGGAAAGCAGAACACCTTAGAAAGCTTGCCACGGGTTTCTTGCGTCCTGCATCTTTTTTTCTTTAATTAAAGCCTTGCAGCGCTTCCTCCCGAGGCAACGTTGGCCAATGTTGCTCTCCGTACAGCCAGTCTTCCTCTGTTAAAGAGATTTTTTTCATAGCGATACATGCAAGGTCACACCAGTGCCTGGACGGTTTAACAGGTAGTTTGGATGAAGCCTTGGATTTCAAACAGTTTTGCAAGAGCAGGATTAAATAGTAAAAACTATTGTTGGTGTCTTTGCAGGTAAGAGTGCTTCGCGATACAGAAGGCTACCTTTGGCGTACATGATCGCCCTTATGTTTTGATGTACAGTGGTAGCTTGGGTTACATACGCTTCAGGTTACATACGCTTCAGATTACAGACTCTGCTAACCCAGAAATAGTGCTTCAGGTTAAGAACTTTGCTTCAGGATGAGAACAGAAATCGTGCTCCGGCGGCGCGGCGCTAGCAGGAGGCCCCATTAGCTAAAGTTGTGCTTCAGGTTAAGAACAGACCTCCGGAACGAATTAAGTACTTAACCTGAGGTACCACTGTAGTAATTTACTTGTCCATTTTACTTCTGTTCAGCATCCATGTACACTCTGTACGAGCGATCTGAGTGCTAAGGTTTAGTGTTAAAACTAAGGGTACGTGGACACTCTTGAGGCGTTTTATCGCCTTGCAGATGGTTATAGCGTTTAACAGGCTATGCGAGGCTGCAAAGCAATCAATGGTGGAGTCTCCCGTTCCTGAAAGGGATGTGAATTTGCCCGTTCTGTCCCCTTCAATGCTCCCATTTAAAATAACAAGATAATAACACCAAGATCATGGGTTTGTTCCCTGTGCCCTAGAAAGCAGCCACACTTCGGGGAGAGTGGTAAACCTGGCAATGAATGGAGCCGGAATTCAGAATAAGTCTGTTTTAAGGAGCAATCGTTGGATCACCCAGTTTTAACTGAATGCTCTGACTTTATTATAACTAGCTCCAAAGTAATTTTACCTGACACTTGTATTTAGACTTTTGCTGTTTTGACTGCTATGCCACTTTAGTGCACCAATAACTCCGCCTCCGCCCCCCAGGTTTTGGCTTTGCATCTGCGTTTGGATCGGTACAATTCCCACGCAGCCTTTAGGCACCTATGATCTTTAATCCCAAAAGGAAGGAAAACAGGCCTTGGATATCAAATAACACCTTTTGATACTGGGCGTTGTTCCACTGTGGAATGGGTTCCGGATTAGCGTTGAATTCGGCAATTACTGACCAATCCGCTGCCAGGAGCTCCACACGGATTTTGTATCTGCAGCCGCAGTCTTCCCGGGCACCCCACCTGAAAGGGATGGCGGAGAGGATGGAGTACAGCCAAGGCAGCGAAAGGAATGGAGCATACCTGAAGGAGCGTCTCCACCCCCATCGTTCTACGCAGACACTGAGGTCCAGCTCTGAGGGCCTTCTGGCGGTTCCCTCACTGCAAGAAGCCAAGTTACAGGGAACCAGGCAGAGGGCCTTCTCAGTAGTGGCGCCCGCCCTGTGGAATGCCCTCACACCGGATGTCAAAGAGAAAAATAACTACCAAACTTTTAGAAGACATCTGAAGGCAGCCCTGTTTAGGGAAGCTTTTAATGTTTGATGCATTACAGTATTTTAATATATGGTTGGAAGCCACCCAGATGGGCGGGGTATAAATAATAAATTATTATTATTATTATTATTATTATTATTATTATTATTATTTAGGCTAATTCTCAGGAGATCAAAAGAAGAGTAGAGCTCACCAGTCACAGATAATAACATCAGGTTGGCAGGTGTCCATGAGCTCCTCTGGAAAACCTTCTTTCAGCAAATCAATCAGCTGTGATTTTACACACCACCTGGGCAGGGTGAGGGACAACAAAGACATTAATGCTATGTTTACAGCGCATTGGGCTCCTTGCATCTTCCAGAAAGACAGCGTCATTACAGAAACACAAAGCAGCTAAGAGTTTGTGACCTGTCAAGGAATAGCAAGGAAAAGTGGCAACTCAGAGAGAAGAATCTGTGCCACCAGCTGCAGTTAAAAAGGATGTCCCAGGCCACAGGGAAATGGAGCTGCCAAAAACAATGGGATTGTGACGTCTCCCACATTTGACTCACACGTATGATGAGGCAAAGCAAGTCTGGGCCTCTGCGCCTTCCACATGCTGTCTGTTCTCTTCCACTCTCCACCCATTCCCTCCATGCTGGATCACCCAGTGTTGAAACTGTTCTGTGGGCACAATAACGGGTATCAGTGGAGATGTCGTTTTCGGATGCAAAGTGCGAGGGCTCATGCACACTAATTGCCTCTGCACTTTCTAGGTCCATTCTTTCCTGGATGCTGTCCGTTTTTGTTTCCTCCCCCTGCTGCTTTCCCCACAAAGAAACATTCTCGGCAGTCCGTGGAAGACCTGAACCGCCGTTTGTTCCGATTCAGCATTAAAGAGCGGACCTTCCTGGGGAAGGTAGTAGTGCAAAACCAACAAACAGAACAGCTCGGACACAAACCGGGAAAACGCAGAATTGTGCCTAGAAAGCTTGGGGTAAAAAGTAAATGTGAATGAGCCCCAAGTTGACATAGGAATGTAGTGTAGGAATGGGTGTCATAGGAATGCAGACTGGATTATTGTAACTCGCTCTACGTGGGGCTGCCCTTGAGACTGACCCAGAAACTCCAGCGGGTGCAGAATGCCGTGGCGAGACTCCTTATGGGGTCCTCGCTACAAGATCACATTCACCCAGTGCTATACCAGCTGCACTGGCTCCCAGTGGGGTACAGGATCAGGTTTAAGGTGCTGTGTTAACTTTTAAAGCCCTATACGGCCTAGGACCCATGTACCTACAGGACCGCCTCTCCTGGTATGTCCCACAGAGGAACTTACGGTCTTCAAACAAAAACATCCTGAAGGTCCCGGGCCACAGGGAGATTAGGCTGGCCTCAACTAGAGCCAGGGCTTTCTCGGCTGCGGCTCCAATCTGGTGGAACGTTCTGTCACAAGAGTCTAGGGCCCTGCGGGACTTGACATCTTTCCGCAGGGCCTGCAAGACAGAGCTGTTCCACCAGGCCTTTGGTCAGGGCACAGCCTGACTCCCTCCTCTGGCAATCTGCACAGAACTTTAGCCTAATGGTTGCCATCAATTTGAGTTGAATTAATTTTAATGAAATGATTTTAGAATGTTGTATTATTTGATTGTTGTTAGCCGCCCTGAGCCCGGCTTCGGCTGGGGAGGGCGGGATATAAATAAAAATTATTATTATTATTATTATTAAAGAGCGCCTCTTCCTGGGGAAGGTAGTAGTGCAAAACCAACAAACAGAACAGCTCGGACACAAAGCAGGAAAGCGCAGAATTGTGCCTAGAAAGTTTGGGGTAAAAAGTAAATGTGATTCCAAGTTGACATAGGAATGTAATAAGAGCCTGGCCGCTGGATCAGGCCCAAGGCCCATCTAATCCAGCAACCATGAGTACAATACACCACCAGTACTCAGAGCCACAATGCTTCTGCTGGGGAGGACAGGATGTGGACATCACGGCTAATAGCTGTTTTTAGCTCCTGCTTCGGAAAGCGTTGAGAATTGCCTCTGGGAATGCGCAGAGTACGTTTCCTCACACCACAATCCCAACAGTGTCTCTGATTAGAGTGCAGGCATTTGAAGGGACATTAGACTCCCTGGGACCCACCTGCCTGACCCCTCACCTGCACAGCTCCCTCACCTGTCCCACAGGGATTCTTGATCAGGTTCCTCCCAAAGGGCCGCAGGACCCCCACTCGGCGGCAGTCCATTCGGGGGCATCGGTGGGCAGCTTCAATGGCATCGTGCATGCGCGGGTCTCTCTCCCACTGAAGTTTCCAGACAGTGGGCCTGTCAATTAGGTCCCTCCACCTGCAGCACACCAGGCGGCAGCGGGTCACCAGTGTCTGCGCAGGCACCCAGCTCAGGATCAGCTCCAGCAGTTCCTCAGGCAACGGGTTCAAATCCACCAGGCACTGGATTTCCATTCCGTCTGTGGAAGTGCTCTTGCTTTTAACAAGCCCCATGTCTGGTCTCTCACTGCGGTCAAGTTTCGGAAATAAAAGTTGAAGACGTTTTAAACTAAAATACCCTGGGACGGAGGCCTGTTCTTCTCCTCCATCTTCCCGGGAGTGGTGTTACCCTGGAAAGGAAAAAAAACCTGAGGCTGCTTTCTTCCTGTGATAATTAAGAGTGAACTGGAGTACAGACAACAAAATCAAGCTTGGTTCTCCCACCCGCCCAGAAGCAAAGTGGTGCCTGCTTGTTTGTTTTCTTGCAGAAACCAGGTTTCTCTACCTTTTCCATCGCAGGCTCTTTGCACGCAGAGGAGCAGGCAGCGCTCTCCCTTTGCGCGCCCAGGGACCGCTCCTTCCGCAAAAACAAACCGCGCCTGGAAGGAAGAGCAGTAGAAAGGAAGCGAAGCCGGCCGGACCTGGTTCCCGTGTAGACAGGATAAGCCAATCAGCTGCCGGGGAAGAGAAAGGGGCGGCCCTTCGCGCGCAAGAGCAAAGCTGGCGGGGATTGGCGAAAGGGAGGTTGATTGGCATTCGCCGCGCCCGTCATTTCCGATCACGGGCCTTGGAACGCCAAGCGGCAGGCAGGAATTCAACCGGTGAAGCTTCCTCGTGCGCCACGCGCTGGGGAAAAAGCGGCGGCGGCGGCGGGCGGGGGAGAATGCAAACTTTGGAAGCCGCCCGCACCATTAAAATATCCATTCGCTCCAAACTAAGGAGAGCATTAAAACAAGGCAGTGTTGTTGTTTAGTCGCTTAGTCGTGTCCGTGACTGTTGGGTTGAAATCACGACAGACGAGTGGTAAGTGTCATATGAGAGGCGTCTGCCGGGGCGAGCCCCGGGAACTCTCTTTTATTGAATATTACAAACATTGCCACAGGTGTGCTTGTGGCTGATTGGTTGATACAAACACAAAGCATCTTGTTGCTGATTGGTTAACATAGGTACAAGGCGGGAATTAGATACAACCATTTATTACTGATAGATCAAAGGATGAGAAATGGAGCTGGAACTAGACAGGCATGAAACCTCCTAATTAAATTATAACTAGAGATTAATATTGAGAGAACATAACATGAAAGACTACAACAATCACGTTCCGTAGATGTGGTCAGCAATGCATTAAGAACAGGTCAGGATACACTGTTTCATGAACTCAATGGGAACTGTTCAGAACATTCTCAGACTCATGTGCAGAAGCAGAGAAAAGATTATGAGCGAGACTTCCCAGAATGCAAGAGAAAAGAAGCAATAGTTCTCATAGCAAGACTTCATAGCAAGACTTCCCACAATGCCACAGTTATGTGCAGTAAGAGAACTGCAGAAAGAAAACTTCCCTTCACGTGACCCCCTTTTTTATTTCAAAAAAGGAAAAAGGTCTGTTAAGCGTATTGAGTTGCGCAGCAATAGGGCCCAGTTCAGTCTACCTTACAGGGTGACTTCCAGGATATATACACCATACATATGTTGTCTGAAAGACCTGGTAACTGAGGGATAACCCAGGTGGCAGCTTGTGTCTGTATAAACTGGGACCCTAAAACGGAAAAAGCATAGTCTTAATCAGTGGTCAGCAAACGTTTTCAGCAGGCAGCTGTCCCTCAGACCTTCTGGGGGGCCGGACTATATTTTTTTGGGGGGGAGATGAATGAATTCCCATGCCCCACAAATAACCCAGAGATGCATTTTAAATAAAAAGACACATTCTACTCATGTAAACACACGCTAATTCCCGGACTGTCCGCGGGCCAGATTTAAAAGGCGATTGGGCTGGATCCAGTCCCCGGGCCTTAGTTTGCCTACCCATGGTCTTAATCAAGCCAGTTAGTTTCCCGGCCCAATTCAAAATGCTGTTTTTGACTTATAAAGCCTTGAAGGACTCACAACCACAATTCCTCAAGGACCGCTTCTCTCCATACCCAGACCCCAAGATCATCTTGACATGATGACAAACTTGACGTGAGCCAACAGCGGCTTGACAAACTTGACATGAGCCAACAGTGTGACGCGGCAGCTAAAAAAGCCAATGCAATTCTGGGCTGCATCAATAGGAGTATAGCATCTAGATCAAGGGAAGTAATAGTGCCACTGTATTCTGCTCTGGTCAGACCTCACCTGGAGTACTGTGTCCAGTTCTGGGCACCACAGTTCAAGAAGGACACTGACAAACTGGAACGTGTCCAGAGGAGGGCAACCAAAATGGTCAAAGGCCTGGAAACAATGCCTTATGAGGAACGGCTAAGGGAGCTGGGCATGTTTAGCCTGGAGAAGAGGAGGTTAAGGGGTGATATGATAGCCATGTTCAAATATATAAAAGGATGTCACATAGAGGAGGGAGAAAGGTTGTTTTCTGCTGCTCCAGAGAAGCAGACACGGAGCAATGGATCCAAACTACAAGAAAGAAGATTCCACCTAAACATTAGGAAGAACTTCCTGACAGTAAGAGCTGTTTGACAGTGGAATTTGCTGCCAAGGAGTGTGGTGGAGTCTCCTTCTTTGGAGGTCTTTAAGCAGAGGCTTGACAACCATATGTCAGGAGTGCTCTGATGGTGTTTCCTGCTTGGCAGGGGGTTGGACTCGATGGCCCTTGTGGTCTCTTCCAACTCTAGGATTCTATGATTCTATCTTCTGTCGCCCTCGGAGGGTGGCAACACAAGAACAGGGCCTTCTCTGCAGTGGCTCCCTGTCTTTGGAATGCTCTCCCCGGGGAGGTTTGGCTGGCGCCTTCATTACACTCCTTTAGGCTCCAGATGAAAACGTGCCTCTTCAACCAGGCCTTGGGGGTGCATATAGTGTGGTGCTTTATAGTGCCTCGGCCTGTTTGTTCCTTAGCCCAGTGCAGCTTGCTCAGACCAGCAGCAGCTCCTCTGGAGCCCAGGCAGATACCCTGCTCACTCGCTCCCAGATCCTTTTAACTTGGCTTGGGCATCTTCTGTATGCAACGCAGGTGTCCTGATACAGACCTCTGGAAACCTCTCCTAGACTGCCAGTGCTGGGAGAACTCTTGTGCTCAGAAATGAGTGTCTCTGAACATGTGCAGATTGACAGAGAGTAGCCACAACCTGGGACTCCTCTCCTGCACACCCTCTTCTTCCAGCACATGACCAGTATTGAAGGCCTTGGCTGTGCTTCCTGCACTGCAGGGGGTCAGACTAGATGAGCGTCGGTGTCCCTTTCAACTCTGCCATTCTATTTCCCCCCCTATGCAAGTCGCCTCTTCGTTTTTGAAAACTAAGTGCCTGAAGGGAGAGAGCATCTGAGGCACTGCCCCCTCACCTCACAGGGCAGCGAATTTGGGGAGGAGTGCATAAAGCACAATGCAGGCAAGCCGATATTCAACAGGGGCAGCTTCCCCAAATATATGAAGTGATGGGGATAGGCTGCCGAAATCCTGCCTGTTGCCCCCTCCCACTGGTACAGAAACGAGGGCAATTAAAAGAACAAATATACTTTCACAGGCCCTGGAGATAGTTGCAGTCATGGATGCTTAGCTGAGATTCCTGCATCGCAGGGCTTTGGACTGCATGACCCCTGGGTTACTTTCCAACTCTACAATTCTATGATTTTATGGTTCAATTAAGCCCAAATGTGGAGGAGACTGTCAGGTACTTCTCCAGAATATCGTGGGTGTTTTCCATCTTGACGGCTGAATCACTTTCTCTTCTGCTTCTATTTACACCCCTGGGCTCTATAAAAAGAAAATGAAGAGATGCTATCGCTTTGAATGTTATTTTCCTTGTAAGCTGAAAAGCGGTAATTGTACCCAGACATGGCTTGGTTCGAGAACAGATTATAACACGTCCTTTAAAAAGAAGGGTGGGGAGTTTAGCTCAACCCACCTGTTAGTGTGATCAGAGCAATCCTATCAGAAAGAGACTTTCCTAGCTGGGTGGCTGGCCCCTGCTGTGTGAACCATCCATAAATGTATTATTTGCCCATTTGATTAATTCAGCCCCCAAAAGCAACTGTCAACGCATTCTGTGAAGCAAAGAATACTGTAATTGAATGTATCCCTTCTTAGTTATTTTTAATGTTATAATAACACCCCCCCCAACGATGAACATAGCTTTTACAATAGGAGGGTGGGATATAAATACTCGTGTATATATATATATATGTATGTGTGTGTGTGTATACCTAAGCCAGTGACCTTCGCCTGACCACATCTTGTGGCAGGGAGTTCCACACATCTATTCCTAGCCCTGGGGAGAAATGCTAAATGTGCCTGTTCCTGGACCCAGCAGATGCACTGGATGACCCAGAACTATAATAATAATAATAATAATAATAATAATAATAATAATAATAATTTATACCCCGCCCATCTGGCTGGGTTTCCCCAACCACTCTGGGCGGCTTCCAACAAAACACTAAAATACAATAATAGAGATTGGTACATTTTCCCTTCTGCTTTGGAGCGAAGGAGAAAAAGGAAGTCCAGCCCAGGCAGAGAAGACGCCATCCCGGAGCTGAACCAAAGCCGGGAGGCCGGAGGATGGAAGAGGCGCAGGGACAGAGTGGGTCCTAACAAGACTAGGAAGGAAGACGGCCCCGTCCCCTGTTGGTCTTTGGCCGGGAGGCATGGGGGCTCCAATCCAACCCCCACCACCTTGACCGGATGAAGGAACTCCTGTTTTGCAGGGGGTTGGACTAGATGACCCATGGAGCCCTTTCTTCCCACTCTACAATCTGATGGGTCTGTGGAAAGAGGGCGAAAGGGCTTCTGCGCGCCTTCCACAGTTCTGCTAAGGAGGATTTTAGCAGGGATCAGAAGGCTCTCCGCGCCCCCTCCCCAATATCTTTTTTAAAAAAGGGGAGATATAAGATAAGTTTTGGGCATTTCCACTCTGATCCGCTATTGCTTGGTTCTACTGCCTTGTCTCCTGAGAAATCTCTATGTGGGACAAGAAGCTACAGTTAGAACTGGATATGGAACAACTGATTGGTTCAAAATTGGGAAAGGAGTACAACAAGGCTGTATATTGTCTCCCTGCTTATTTAACTCACATGCAGAATTCATCATGCGAAAGGCTGGGCTGGATGAATCCCTAGCCGGAATTAAGATTGCCGAAGAAATATCAACAACCTCAGATATGCAGATGACACAACCTTGATGGCAGAAAGTGAGGAGGAATTTAATGAGGGTGAAAGTGAGGAGGAATTTAATGAGGGTGAAAGAGGAGAGCGCAAATTATGGTCTGAAGCTCAATATCAAAAAAACGAAGATCGTGGCCACTGGGCCCGTCACCTCCTGGCAAATAGAAGGGGAAGAAATGGAGGCAGTGAGAGATTTTACTTTCTTGGGCTCCATGATCACTGCAGATGGTGACAGCAGCCACGAAATTAAGAGACGCCTGCTTCTTGGGAGAAAAGCAATGACAAACCTAGAAAGCATCTTAAAAAGCAGAGACATCACCTTGCCGACAAAGGTCCGTATAGTTCAAGCTATGGTTTTCCCAATAGTGATGTATGGAAGTGAGAGCTGGACCATAAAGAAGGCTGATCGCAGAAGAATGGACGCTTTTGAATTCTGGTGCTGGAGGAGACTCTTGAGAGTCCCATGGACTGCAAGACGATCAAAGATTCTTAAGGAAATCAGCCCTGAGTGCTCACTGGAAGGACAGATCCTGAAGCTGAGGCTCTGAGACTTTGGCCACCTCATGAGAAGAGAAGACTCCCTGGAAAAGACCCTGATGTTGGGAAAGATGGAGGGCACAAGGAGAAGTGGACAGCAGAGGACGAGACGGTGGGACAGTGTTCTCGAAGCTATGAACATGAGTTTGACCAAACTGCGGGAGGCAGTGGAAGACGGGAGGGCCTGGCGTGCTCTGGTCCAGGGGGTCACAAAGAGTCGGACACGACTAAACGACTCAGCAACAACAACAACACAATTTGTGGACGTAATAGGCCCACACACAACACAAAACATTGTTGCTGTATGTAGTTTTTATATCTTATATTTTGGAAATGTACATCCAGGTTTTTTTCTTTAATTTTTTTGGAGGGCCCCCAAGAGAGTGGAGACCTAAGCTAGGGCTTGTTTAGCTTGCACGTAAATCCGGCACTAGTCCCCCCAAAAGAGGACGTGTCCGGGATTTCCCGGGCGCTGCGCAAAGAAGCCGCCCTTTCTTTCCTCTGCCTCCCCAAAAGATGCAAAGCGAGACCCAGCGACCGCAGCCGCTGCCACCTTCCATTTTGGGGGCGGGGAGGGAGACGGGGTCCGGTGCTGCCCAATCGCAGGCATTCGCGGGCCGGGCCAGCCGTGCTCCTCCTCCTGCATCGCAGGGGGGGTTGGACTAGATGACCGTAGGAGATCCCTTCCAACTCCTCTGGCTCTCGGCTCCCCCTCAATGGAGAGCGCCAAAGGCTGCGAAAAGAACCAGGAAATCCGGTGCGCGGAGGGAGGCGCTGAGCGACGCGCTCCCTTCGGGGTGGGAGGATCTTTTCCCAGAGTCCAGAGAGCAGGAGGAGATCAACCCCGGGCTTCCTTGCGATCGGAGTGAACTGCTGCTCGCCTTTGCGCGCAGAGGCGTCGGGCGAGACCCCGGTCACAGGTCAGTGCTGAGAGGCGCTCTGCACACGCTCAGGAACGCCACCCCGTCCGGATTTGCGGCTTGATTTCCAGAAAGGAGAGGTGCCGGCAGTGGCGTAGCGTGGGTTGTCAGCACCCGGGGCAAGGCAAGTAATTTGCGCCCCCTAACCCATGGATTTGCGCCCCATAACCAGTGGATTTGCGCCCCCAGATGTTGCGCCCGGTGCGGCCGGCCCCCCCTGCACCCCCCACGCTACGCCACTGGGTGCCGGGGCTCAAGGCTGCCTGGGGAAGGTGGGGTTGGGGGAGATCCCATGTCTTCTGTTCCGTACGCTCCCAGATTTAGCATGCTAACCCCGGGATACTGTGGGCTTCGGGGCTTTCGTATGGGGTCGCCTAATAATAATAATAATAATATATTTATACCCTGCCCATCTGGCTGGGTTTCCCCAGCCGCTCTGGGCGGCTCCCAACAGAAAATTAAAATACAGTAACCTATTAGACATTAAAAGCTTCCCTAAACAGGGCTGCCTTCAGATGTCTTCTAAAAGCCTTCTATCTGAGATGCTGGAGTGCTGCTGCCAGTCAGTGTAGGGCAGCCTTCCTCAGTCTGGGGCGGGTGGGAGTTGTGCGCTAAAACGTCCAGGGGGCACCAGGTTGGGGAAGGCCGCTGTAGACACGCCTGAGCCAGATGAGCCAGTGGTCTGATTTGGTATACCCGACGTTTTGCCCAAAGATGCTACGGCATCTCATGGCGTGTGTGTTTGTTCGGTTGGCGAGCTTAGTTCCCCAATTGTGCTAATGTAAGATACACAGAAGGGACTCAGGTGGCGCTGTGGGTTAAACCACAAAGCCTAGGACTTGCTGATCAGAAGGTCGGCGGTTCGAATCCCCGCAACTGGATGAGCTCCCGTTGCTCGGTCCCTACTCCTGCCAACCTAGCGGTTCGAAAGCACGTCAAAGTGCAAGTAGATAAATAGGTACCACTCCGGCGGGAAGGTAAACAGCGTTTCCGTGCACTGCTCTGGTTCGCCAGAAGCGGCTTAGTCATGCTGGCCACATGACCCGGAAGCTGTACGCTGGCTCCCTCGGCCAATAAAGCGAGATGAGCGCCGCAACCCCAGAGTCGTCCGCAACTGGACCTAATGGTCAGGGATCCCTTTACCTTTAAGATACACAATGGCCCAAGTCTATTTTAGGGTGCACACACCCCAGTTTCTTCTTTGTAGTGGGACGAAGGCAGCACACCTGAGAGTGTCTTGCGCCCCAAAGTGTAACGGGGGCCAGAACAATGCCAGGACATCTTATTGGGGTCTGGGGATATTATCTGGGGTGGCTCATATCCTCTTTTTGAGGATGTAAATCCCCAGTTCCTTATTCCTGAGTTGGTGTATTGTACCTTGCCTTTTGAGCTTTTGACCAGAGAGAAAGCTGTCCCTGGAAAGTGGCAGTCTCCTAATTGTTTGTGTGTTTCCTATCTTGGGGTGCAGGGATAAGTAAACTTGGATTCCTTACTCAGTCTGTTCCTTCAAATTTGCGTCCAATAAGGGGATAAGATTAATTAATTAATTTGGGGTTTAGACACATCATACCTGTTCCACATTTGTGAGAAATCCATCTTCCATTGTGATGGCATCTCAGAACTCCTTGCGTATTTACCACTTGCTAAAAACATTTTTGTTCAGGCTAGATATGTAAAATGTGGGCATGTGTTTGAATCTGGTTTTAGTTTCTCGTGGGTTTTAATTTCTTTTGAAAAGGTCTAGTTACTAGTTGTTTTGAACTGTTTTTATTGGTAAATTTATCGTTTAATTCTCTCTATATAAAACAAATAAATGTTCACAAACTGGAACCAGGGACCAACATTAACCTTAACATAGCCATTCAGAGAACACGTGACTCTTAGAAGAGGTCCCTGCCCCAAAGAGCTTAAATAGTAATTAAAAACCCCCACGACGGGAGAGATAACAAGGAGAAACCAGGAAGGCATTCTGTGATGATCTGACTTACAGGAAACGGGTCACCTGCTCTCCTCCCAGTCATTATCTGGTTGGTAAACATTTTCTAGGCGCTGCATTCACTTTAATGGCACCCTCAGCCTAGATTGGCTTTTCCCAATGGTTGGACTTCCCCCTGATTTAAATTTGGACTCTCCCTTAATAACCGAAAACCCCGCCCTGTGCTATCTTTATGAGTCAGTGTTTCGGTGTGCACTGACCAATCGTCTCGGATCCCTGATACATACAGAGACATAATGGGCACCCTCTTCTCAAGCTGGGCATTTCTGTTGCGTTCCTGCCTCAGGAGCAGCGGTTCACATTATACCTGTTGCTGAGATGCCACGGGAGAATTAATTCCATGGCAGAGAGCCTTCAAATGGTTTTCTGTTTGGGTTGGGCAGGCAGATTTTGTAGAATCGTAGAGTTGGAAGGGCATCTAGTAGTCCAACCCCCTACAGTGCAGGGATCCTGCCTGCAGCTGTCCCTAGGTGAGTTCAAACCAGCAGCCTTCTGGTGAACAGCCAGCGCACTGACTCGTTGCGCCATGAGATTCCACAGACAGTAAAAGTAAAGGGACCCCTGACCATTAGGTCCAGTTGCAGCCGACTCTAGAGTTGCGGCGCTCATCTTGCTTTACTGGCCGAGGGAGCCTGCGTACAGCTTCCAGGTCATGTGGCCAGCAATACTAAGCTGCTTCTGGCGAACCAGAGCAGCGCACGGAAACGCCGTTTACCTTCCCGCCGGAGCAGTACCTATTTATCTACTTGCACTTTGACGTGCTTTCGAACTGCTAGGTTGGCAGGAGCAGGGACCGAGCAACGGGAGCTCACCCCGTCGCGGGGATTCGAACCGCCGACCTTCTGATCAGCAAGTCCTAGGCTCTGTGGTTTAACCCACAGCGCCACCCGCGTCCCTTCCACAGACAGTAGAGCTACCATAAAGCGTCCCTTTCTTCCAAGGATCAGCACCCACGGCTGGGCACCTGCGTTTTGTCTTTGCGGCTCGTCTGGCTCTTGTTGTCCGCTGGCCTCGGTTGCCCTGCAATAATCCTGGACTCTCTCTGAACGTCTTCCTCCCCCAGCCTCGGGTTCCTGAGTGCAAAGCAGCATCAGCAGTTTGCAACGGAGGACATTATAATAGCCCTGTGACTTACCAGACCGGCTTGCAGCGACCCTGCCAAGGTTTGCAGCTGGTCTGAGTTCACTTCTGAAGGATTTCAGCGGAGAGGAGATCTTGGTGGGGGTGTCCGGCATGAGTCGACTGGGGAGGCTGTTTGGCTTCCTGTGCTTGTGGCTGCCTCTCCTGCAGTGCGAAGGGTTCAGCTACACCCAGCCTGAGCAGGTGCACCTGTCCTATCCAGGTGAGTTTTACGGCTAAGGGGGCTTTGCGCATCTTTAGTCTCTACCTGTTTGATGATGATGGAGGATTAATATATTTATTACCCAACGTCCCAGGACAGGTCACAGCATTGAAAACAATATTATAAACAATTTAAAAGAACTTGCAAACATAAAATAAGCTAAAACAAACAAACAAATCTTTCCAGTAGCACTTTAGAGACCAGCTAAGTTTGTTATTGTTATGAGCTTTCATGTGTATGCACACTTATTGGTATGAGCTTTCATGTGCATGCACACTTCTTCAGATACACTGAAACAGAAGTCACCAGACCATTATATATAGTGAGAGGGTGGGGTTTTAATTTCTTTTGAAGAGGTCTAGTTACTAGTTGTTTTAAACTGTTTTTATTGGTAATTTTATCGTTTAATTCTCTCTATATAAAACAAATAAATGTTCACAAACTAGAACCAGGGACCAAGCAACGGGAGCTCACCCTGTTACGGGGATTCGAACCGCCAACCTTCTGATCAGCAAGGCCTAGGCTCTGTGGTTTAATCCACAGCGCCACCCGTGTCCCTAGTAGCACCTTAGAGACCAACTAAGTTTGTTATTGGTATGAGCTTTCGTGTGCATGCACACTTCATCAGATAATAACAATAGCAACTTTTGATTTATTAATCACTTTCTCAACCACCATCTCAAGGATATTTACACATAAGGTAATTCAGGGCTGGAGTGGCTGGGGTCTGCGTCAGGTGCCTTCGTCACTTCCTGTGCTGTAGCTTATCATGGAGAAGAGGGTTTTCGATGGCTGTTAGTCATGATAGCTATGCTCTGCCTTCACTGGCAGTGGTGATCCTGTTGCTGGAAGCACCGGGAGTGGGAGAGGGTTCTTGTGCTCAGATCCTGTTTCCTTCTTTGGAAAAGGCATCTAGTTCTGATCTTCTTAACACAGCTGCCCTGTCCCTTCCCGCAGGAGACCCCACCACCATGATGGTCACCTGGACCACCTTTGGCCCGGCAGAATCCATCGTGGAGTTTGGCCCCGATCCGGGAGAGGCCTTCACTCGCTCGGCCAGAGGAGACGCCACGCGGTTCGTGGATGGCGGGAAGCTGAAGCACACCATGTTCATCCACAGGGTCACCCTCCAGGGTCTCGTGCCAGGACAACGCTATGGTAAGGCATGCCAGCGTTTTGGAGCTGTTTGGCGAGTGCTGCCAGAGACAGAGAGAGAGAGACCTGCTAAGCCTTGACCCTAGCCACCTCTCAGACAAGTCTGATCCCAGAAAGAGCCACGGCGGAGGCAGGGATTAGGCCTCAGTGGTGTCCTCCACTGTCTTCCAAGACAGACAAATGCCACTATTATGCGGCGCCAGTAATGGTGCCAATTCCACCGTTCAAAGCGATCTCACAGGTAAAATGGTGCCAAGTTGTTCAGGGCTTTATGTGAGGCGTTCCCAAAGTAAAGGAAGGATTGAACTCTGATTAATAAGAATACACACAGAGGCTTGAACCCGCAAGACTCTGGGAAGGGTGCGTATAATAATCTCTGCGTCTCTCCACCCCTCGGCCCAGGTCGTTTTATTCACAAAAGAGCTTTTACAGAGTGTTCGTAAGAACCAGTCAGATTCTTCTGAGCATTTCAACAAACCCCACGTGGGGACAAAGTTAGATCAAAAGAAATTCTTTTAACTACAAAGACTACTCTGAGCATGCATACATAATCTGAGAGTAAATAAATTAGGCTCTCGGTGTTATTGCGAGAGATGGTCAGTGCAGTGGAGCAGTCGGAAAAGGAGATCTGAGTTCAAATCTCTGCTTTTGTGACAAAGCTCCAGGGGCGACTTTATGCCTCACCTGCCTCACAGGGTGGTTGTGAATAAGGCAAAAGTGGACATGGACCTTCTCCAGCTTAGGGTGGCAGTGTGACTTGCTTTGGAAAGGGCAGTCCTCTATTTAAAGGCTAGGAGAAGGACCCTAAGTCTCTGCTGCCTTGCGGAACATCTTCGGGAGAAGAAAAGGCTAAAGAGCAGTGCTGTTTTTCAAGAAAAAAACAGTACTGGAACTCACCACAAATGCCTCCCCTGTTCTCTTAGAACAGCAATGGCATCCACCTGAAATGTGCCGGAACTGAGTTCTAGTGAGTTCTGGCTGGAAAAAAGCCCTGCTAAGGAGCAAACCAGGTAGCGCTGTGGGTTAAACCACAGAGCCTAGGACTTACCGATCAGAAGGTCGGCGGTTCGAATCCCCGCGACGGGGTGAGCTCCCGTTGCTCAGTCCTGGCTCCTGCCAACCTAGCAGTTCGAAAGCACATCAAAGTGCAAGTAGATAAATAGGTACCGCTCTGGCGGGAAGGTAAACGACGTTTCTGTGCGCTGCTCTGGTTCGCCAGAAGCGGCTTAGTCATGCTGGCCACATGACCCGGAAGCTGTACGCCGGCTCCCTCGGCCAGTAAAGCGAGATGAGCGCCACAACCCCAGAGTGGGTCACGACTGGACCTAATGGTCAGGGGTCCCTTTACCTTTACCTTAAGGAGCAAACCTTACATGAATCTGGATTGGAGTCCCTAAGACGGTTGGATGGTGCCTTGTACGCCCCCTTCCAGCAATTCCTGCAGTCAAGTTATTGCCGGATCTCTTGTTCTGCTTTCCTTTGGACCACATCAGTGAGGCTGAGAGCGGCGTCTTGTTGTCTGGGCAGCCCAGGACCTCCAGACACACTGCCCAGGCTTGCGTCTTGGGGAGGTCACTTTGGTGCTGGTAGTGCAGCAGTTTGACTTTACCCCAAGAAGTGCACTCTGTTGTCTCTCCAGACAGATGAATGCCAACAACTACAGGGTAGGGGGTGCCGGGGGTGAGTTTGTGGAACCGAGGGGGCGGAGGCCTGAAAAGTATTTGGAAACTGCTTAGAAGGTGAGAGCCATCTGTGTACGGAGATATCCTGGGCCAGCCTTTGTTGTTGTTTTTTCCCCCAAATTTTTTTTATTGATTTTCCAAAATGATAACAAACATAACAACAAACAAGAAAAACATTACAATATCAAAAAACAAGCAGACAAACAAACATTTATCCTGTTACAATCCCACTTTTGTTATCATTGTTGGGTGACTTCCTCAAATCCCCCTAGCTGAGTTTCCATATAGCTCATTGTAGCAGTCTTCCAACACTATTTCCATATAAGATTTACTTGTTCAATTAACATCTTTCTTTCTTTTCATTTTGACTTCTGTCCATAATATTATGCATTTGACATAATTAAATCCTAGGCCAATCTGTTACAAATATTTCTATTTAAGTTATCTTAATGTATTTAGCTAAATAGTCTTTTAATTTCTTCCGTTCCTCCTGGTGCTCCTCCTCCTCCTGGTCACGGTCTCTTCCGGTCAGGTCAGCTAGCTCCCAAAAGTCCATCATTGGGCCAGCCTTTGTCAACCCGGTGCAGATGTTCTGAAGTACGACTCCCATCAACCCAGGGCACCAGGTTGGCAAAGGGTGTCCAAGGTCAACTCGGGTTGCTTGCAGGCGGGGTGGGAAGGGAGTCCTGCTGTCTCCCACATCACCAATGGGCACATTTCATTTGGGGGCAGGAAATGAATGAGATTTCAAGCGCAGCCTGTATATCCCACCTGGGAAATTATCCTGGGAGCTGATCTCTCCTGTTCTCCTTTGCAGCCTACCGCTGTGGAAGTGAACAGGGCTGGAGCAGGTCCTCTGGTTTCTGGGCCTTGCTGAACGGCACCGACTGGAGCCCCCGCTTCGCCGTCTTTGGGGACATGGGCCTGGAGAACCCCCAGTCCTTGCCTCGACTGCAGCAGGAGGCCGAGATGGGCTTGTTTGATGTGGTGCTGCACGTAGGTACGATCAGAGAGGGACTAATCCCGTCTGAGGATTTATCTTGGGGGGGGGGTGCGAAGCCAGCTCTCTCTATGACCCCCTTCCTGATTTGGAGGAGACGACCAGCATTTGTACTTCTTAAAAATAAAGAAGTCCCCTTTTGTCCCCTGCAAATAGCCCTTACCCTGTTTGACTCCGATCTGGTTTCCTTCCACAGGGGATTTCGCCTACGACTTGGACACGGTAAGAACTACTTAACTGTAGAATTGGGAGGGATCCAAAAGGCCATCTAGTTCACCCCCCCTCCATTGCAATGCAGGAATCACAGCTAAAGAGGACTTGCTACCTTTGGGATTGCAAATGGGTGGTTTAAAAAATGTTATTTGTGTTGTTTACTTAGAGCAGTTGAATCCTGGTCAAAAAGGCTCCCAGCGTGGCTCACATAGCACCAAAGCAAGACAGTCCCTATCCACAGGCTTACAATAATAAAGAAAGTAGTAATAATAATATGACATGCAAGGGGAAAGGGATGGGGAGGGAAGAGGAAAAAACAAAACCCAGCCATCGATTCTTAAGCAGTTGTTGTGTAATGGCAGAGCTGGCCTGCCCCCACAGAGCTGATAGAGCGAGTTCTGCTTCTCACTGCTGGAATTGCTGCCCTCAGCTGCCCTCATGCCGGCACCTGTGGAGTAACCACATCAGCCTGGCTGATGCCAAAGTCTGTGTGCTCCTCTGAGCTTATGAGAAGTAAAAATCCTCTGCCAAGGCAACTCCACGTGAAGCAGATTTGCACAAGTTTTTTCAGCTTGCGTTTGGCTTCCCTGTTTTGCATGACGAGGCTTACGTTGGCGTGTCAACATCAGACCTCAATTCTGTCTAGACTGGACTGTTGTGACACGCTGGAAACTTCGTGGAAACATACAGGGGTGTGGAGCGTTGGTGTTGAGTCCTTGTGGGTAGCTCTGTCTGTGCTTTGGGGAGCCAGACCCTTCCCCTCACCCCAAGCTTGCTTTTCCCTGTCTTGCAGAACAATGCCTACGTTGGAGATGCCTTCATGAGGAAGATTGAGCCTGTGGCCGCTTTGGTGCCGTACATGACTTGCCCTGGGAATCACGAAGAAAAATAGTGAGTAGAAACCGGCTAACTGAGAATAAACTGGTTTTAGCAGGCGCTTAAAAGAGTACAGTGGTACCTCGAGTTAAGTACTCAATTCGTTCTGGAGGTCCGTTCTTAACCTAAAACTGTTCTTAACCACTTTAGCTAATGGGGCCTCCCGCTGCCACCACATGATTTCTGTTCTCATCCTGAAGCAAAGTTCTTAACCTGAAGCACTATTTCTGGGTTAGCGGAGTCTGTAACCTGAAGCGTATGTAACCTGAAGTGTATCTAACCCAAGGTACCACTGTACATTGAAGGCACATTCTGGATGTCAGAAGGCAGGGCACTTCAAAGATTGAGTTCTTACAGGTGTGGAACAGGTGCATCAGGAAGATTTTGGGCATCACATGGCAGGACAGAGTCTCAAACAAAGATGTGCTCCCCCAAGTCCACATTCCCACCAAGCATGTCTGCACTCCTGCCTCAGTGACGTCTACGCTGGCTTGACCATTTCCACAGAATCGAAGATGGCAGGAGCCCCAGGGATGTGCTCTTTGGGGAGTTGGCTTCCGGCATCAGACCAACTTTGAGCTACAAAGATAATAATAATAATAAAAAAATTTATTTATACCCCGCCCTCCACAGCCAAGACCGGGCTCAGGGCGGCTAACACCAGGTATAAAAACAATTGATTAAAATACAGCTTAAAAACTAGATTAAAGTACGACATTAAAATGCAGCCTCATTTCAGTAGAAACTTTTTGGGGATGAAAATGTCAAATCTTCACCAAGGCCAACTATCCAGACTGGTCCTACATGGGCCAGAAAAAAGCCAGGGAAGTCCCCAAATAGGAGTTCCATCACAGACGGAGAAAGGAAAGAGGGGGAGGGGATCAAGTTGATTCCAAGCCAAAGGCCAGGCGGAACAACTCTGTCTTACAGGCCCTGCGGAAAGAAATCAGATCCTGCAGGGCCCTGGTCTCATGTGACAGAGCGTTCTACCAAGCTGGAACCAGTGTTGAGAAGGCCCTGCCTCTGGTTGAGGCTAATCGCACTTCCTTAGGGCCTGGGACCTCTAGGGTGCTGCTGTTTATGGACCTTAAGGTCCTCCGTGGGGCATTCCGGGAGAGGCGGTCCTGTAGTCTGCCAACATGACACAAAGGCTGGCAATGTCAGTCCCGCTATGTGGGAATCCCTTGCAAGCGACCACTGTGACTGGAGACAGACGGTCAGGTTGTACATCCAACAGCAGTGACCAGAAGAGGAATGACCGCTGGGAGGAGGGCAAAGAGAAGAAACGCCATGGTGCCCCTTCAGACCCTTTCATCTGCCCCAGCTGCAGCAAAACATGTCTCTCCCATATTGGCCTCAGCTGCAACTGTCCTAACAGCTTGACCTTGCCCCCAAAGATGCACTCCTCCGCTGTCTTCCAAGACAGACAAATGCCACTATTATGTGGCACCAGTAATGGTGCCAATTCCACCGATCAAAGCGATCTCACAGGTAAAATGGTGCCAAGTTGCTCAGGGCTTTATGTACAAATAGCAACCCAGTATCAAACTGGCAACCGTCACAGATCCCCGAGCGCAGGAGTTACATGACGACAGATGGGTGAGGATATAAATAATAAATTTATTATTATTACGTATAAACTTCAAAATGGAGGGCAGGGGCTGAGACGTTCCTCTCCCCCCGTGACTTTCTCCCTCGCTTCCTCTTTCAGCAACTTCTCCAACTACCGCTTCCGCTTCAACATGCCCGGTGACACGGAGAGCCTCTGGTACAGGTGGGTGTCGTCTAGCCCAGGCCAAGCGGCCGGATTTCCTGCTCGTTGGTGGCCGTCTTGCAAAATGCCGAAGAGGTGGCTTGTCACTAGAGCCATCTGGATAATGTGTGCCTTTATGCTGATTTGCGTAAAATGCAAGCTTCCTGAAAAAAGGGGCCTGTCGCAGAAGCCACCACCGTTACCTTGAGGGCATCACTGGCCATGCCCAGGAGAGCTCAGGGGTTCACGAAGTGAGTGGCAGCGCCCTCTGCAGAAGAGGTGGTATTCCCCAGGGGTCCCTAAGGGCGGGTGTTTGCTGAAGGTGTAAACGACTCTCAGACTCTGAAAAGCTGGTATCACGGGACCAAGTTCACCCGTTGGGTGAATTAATTAAACTAAATAGTTTTAATTGGATTTTGATTAAACGGGCAATTAATTGTTCCTGGCTTGAATTTTATTGTGTCACTATCTTCCTTAGTGGGTCTTGCAAAGTGCTATTCTGAACAGTGCTTTTCATAGAGTAGAGGGCACTGGGGATGAGTTTATGGAACTGCAGGGGCAGGGACCCAAAAAAGTTTGAGAACCTCACAGCTTCTCAATCCTAGAATTGTAGGAAGGGACCCCTGGGGTCATCCAGTCCAGCCCCCTGCAATGCAGGAATCTCACCTCAAGCATCGATGACAGAGGGTCATCCAACCTCTGCTTTAAAACCTCCATGGAAGGAGAGTCTAGCAGTTTCCAAGGGAGTCCGTTCCCCTCTCAAACTGCTCTTACTCACAGAAAGTTCTTCCTGATGTTCAGACGGAATCTCCCTTCTTGTAACTTGGAGCCATTGCTTCGGGTCAATGACTCGATGCTGGGTAAATCAGCTGGAAGAATTTGGAGCGTGTCCCCAGAGCAATTGGCTGGTTTTAACACAAGCCAAGCTGGGTGCACAGTAGCATAGAGGAGAGGGGGCTGTGAGCCGCCCAGCCTGGTGCACTCTAGGCATAGCTGTCATGCGTCCCTTATTTGGCGGGACAGTCCCTTATCCCAGCGCCATGTCCCGCTGCTGTCCCTTATTGATGATGTCCCTTAAATAAGCTACTGAAGGTAATGGGGCCCTTTCTATGTCCAGCTGTCCTTTGTCAACAACAAATTGTTGCTGTTTTTTGTGTTGAATATATGCTATATGGTAATTTATGGACCTAATAGGTATCTAAAGCCATTTGCACGCGACAAAATATGTATTTTATCAAAGTAATTGTTGATTTTGGTTGCTGATCCCTTATTTTCGAGGCTGCTGGTCCCTTATTTTCAAATCTGTAAGTTGACAGCTATGATTCTAGGGCTGGGCCTTGCCATCTTGAAGTGTGACACTCCTAATAATAATAATAATAATAATAATAATAGTTTATTATTTATACCCCGCCCATCTGACTGGGTTTCCCCAGCCACTGGGCAGCTCCCAACAGAATATTAAAAACACGATAAAACATCAAACATTAAAAACTTCCCTAAGCAGGGCTGCCTTCAGATGTCTTCTAAACATTAGGTACAGTGGTACCTCGGGTTACAGACGCTTCGGGTTACGTGTTTTCAGGTTGTGGACCGCGGGAAACCCGGAAGTACCGGAAAGGGTTAATTCTGGGTTTCGCCACTTGTGCATGCGCAGAAGCGACGCTGCAGGTTATGAACGCTGCGGGTTGTGGATGTGCCTCCATCGTGGATTACATCCGCAACCTGAGGTTCCACTGTAGTTGTTTAATTCCTTGACCTCTGACGGGAGGGCGTTCCACAGGGCGGGCGCCACCACTGAGAAGGCCCTGTGCCTGGTTCCCTGTAACTTCACTTTTCGCAGCGAGGGAACCACCAGAAGGCCCTCGGAGCTGGATCTCAGTGTCTGGGCTGAACGATGGGGGTGGAGACGCTCCTTCAAATATACAGGGTCCATATTCCTAACTTCCTGTGTAGAGGCAATTATTTTCAGGGGGAAGCATTCACCTCTCTCTCCCCGCCCCCACCATAGCCTGAAGTGGTACAGTTCATGAAAAAAGCCCTAAAATACAGTGATGCATCAGACATTAAAAGCTTCCCTAAACAGGGCTGCCTTCAGATGTCTTCTAAAAGTCTGGTAGTTGTTCTTCTCTTTGACATCTGGTGGGAGGGCGTTCCACAGGGCGGGTGCCACTACCGAGAAGGCCCTCTGCCTGGTTCCCTGTAACTTGGGTTCTTGTAGGGAGGGAGCCGCCAGAAGGCCCTCAGCGCTGGACCTCAGTGTCCGGGCTGACCAATGGGGGTGGAGACGCTCCTTTGGGTATACTGGGCCTTTGAGGCTGTTTAGGGCTTTAAAGGTCAGCACCAACACTTTGAATTGTGCTCGGAAACGTACTGGGAGCCAATGTAGGTCTTTCAGGACCGGTGTTATGGGGTCTCAGCGGCTGCTCCCAGTCATTCCTTACAGAGTGAGGCTTGTTGCTCTTCCCTGGGGTCCCCTGACTGCTCATCTTTTCCCCTCAGCTGGGACATTGGACCTGCCCACATCATTTCCTTCTCCACTGAGGTCTACTTCTTCTTGAAATATGGACAGCAGCTCGTGGCAGAGCAATTTCAGTGGCTGGAGAAGGACCTGCAGGTGAGGAGCAGACCCTTGTTTTTGAGGGGGTGAGGGGGGAAGGGGGAAAGTGGCAGCTTGCCTCTGGGAAGGTTGGCGTCCCCCACTCACTGCTGACGGCTGCCTTTCCCTCTCTGGCAGGAGGCGAACCAGCCTGAACGGCGCAAGGAACGCCCCTGGATCATTACCATGGGGCACCGGCCCATGTACTGCTCCAACAACGACCAGGATGACTGTACGCTGTACGAGAGCATTGTAAGTGAGAGGAAGGAATCAGAGAATCGTAGGTGTAGAATGGACACCAAGGGTCATCTAGTCCAACCCCAGGCAATGCAGGAATCCCTGGCAGATGGCTACGCAACTTCTGCTAACACTCTCTAACCAAGGAGAGTCCCTTCCACCTTCTGAGGGACTCCTTTCCACTGTCAAACAGCTCTTACTGCCAGGAAGTTCTTCCTAAAGTTTAATGCAAATCTTCTTGCTTGTCATTTGAATCCGTTGGTTCGAGTCCTACCCTCTGGAGTAGCAGAAAACAAGCTGACTCCCTCTTCCTTGTGACAGCCCTTCAGATCTTCTTCTCTGGCGATCCCTCGTAGCCGAGTAAGATTGTCTTCCATAAACACGGCCTTAACAGTGAGTCCATAAGTGATTGTGGAGGCCAGTTCTGGATCCACACGTCCTTCCACAGTGGGGACATTGGTTTCCTGGTGGGAGTTGATCCCGGTGTGGATTTGCCAAGCGTGCCTTCCTCTTAGCACGTTTCTCCCTTGCGTCCTGAGTTCGAGTGTCTTCAAAGCCCAGGACACCTTTGGTAAAGGCTGATCTCCAACTGGAGCGCTCACAGGCCAATGTTTCCCAATTGTTGGTGCTTATACTACATTTTTTAGATTTGCCTTGAGAGCGTCTTTAAACCTCTTTTGTTGACCACCAGCATTACGTTTTCCATTTTTAAGTTTGGAATAGAGTAGATGCTTTGGAAGACGATCATCAGGCATCCGCACAACATGACCAGTCCAACAAAGTTGATGTTGAAAAATCATTGCTTCAACACCGGTGATCTTTGCTTCTTCCAGTACACTGGCATTAGTTCACCTGTCTTCCCAACCGATGTGTAAAATTTTTCGGAGACACCGTTGATGGAATCTTTTGAGGAGTTGGTCTCCTCTTCTCCAGGCTAAACATACCCAGCTCCTTCAACCGTTCCTGGTTTGGTTTCCAGACCCTTGATCATCTTGGTCGCCCTCCTCTGCAAACCTTCCAGCTTGTCAATATCCTCCTTAAACAGGGGGGTTTATGCCATGTCCCATAGGCTGTACCGATTCACAGAGCATACAGTGTAGAAAAAGGGCTTTTCATGCTTGGCACAACTAATTCCATTTGACCCAGATACTAGGAAAAGGCAGGAGGCTGTGGAAGGAAGGAAGCCCCTTCCGCTCCTAAGATTTTACTAGGCATTAGTTCCCATACTGTCAAGCCTATCTTTGCCACCGTGAGGGCTAGAAATTTGTTTTTTGGCTTATTAAAATGAGACCTCAGATTTTTTGGAAGATGGGTTCTCCGCTCAGTACCACATCCTGTCTACTGCAGAACTGAGGTGGGGATGTATTCTACTAGTAGTAGTAGTAATTATAATAATAATAATAATAATTTTTATTTATACCCCGCCCTCCCAAGCCAGAGCTGGGCTCAGGGCGGCTAACACCAATAAAATCCCAGTAAAAACATAATAGGGGGGAAAGAAAAAGAAAAAAACCCAATTTAAAATACAGGTTAAAATGCAATTTAAAGTGCTCGCTTCGGCAGCACATATACTAAAATAAAATGCAATTTAAAATGCAGCCTCATTTAAAAGTAGCTGATAAATCAAGACCATAAGGGGAGGTAAACATAAGGGTCAGACTGAGTCCAAACCAAAGGCCAGGCGGAACAACTCTGTCTTGCAGGCCCTGCGGAAAGATGTCAAGTCCCGCAGGGCCCTGGTCTCTTGGGACAGAGCGTTCCACCAAGTCGGGGCCAGTACTGAAAAGGCCCTGGCCCTAGTTGAGGCCAATCTAACCACCTTGCGACTTGGGACCTCCAAAATGTTATTTGTGGACCTTAAGGTCCTCTGCGGGGCATACTGGGAGAGGCAGTCCCGTAGGTATGAGGGTCCTAGGCCGCATAGGGCTTTAAAGGTCAAAACCAGCACCTTCAACCTGACCCTGTACTCCACCAGGAGCCAGTGCAGCTAGTAAAGCACTGGATGAATGTGATCCCGCGGCCAGGACCCCATAAGGAGCCTCACCGCGGCATTCTGCACCCGCTGGAGTTTTTGGGCCACCTTCAAGGGCAGCCCCGCGTAGAGCAAGTTACAATAATCAAGCAGTTATTATACAATAATCCCTAAGAACCTGGGAAGAGCCTACTGGATCAGGCCAGTAGCCCATCTAGTTCCCATAGGGGAATGCCTGTGGGAAACCAGCGAGTAGAACGTGAACACAAGAGTGACTCCCTAGAAGCAGGCGTTCAGAAGCGTTGCTGCCTCAGATTGTGGAGGACGGACCATAGCCATTGTGGTAGGAGCCACTGAAAGCATTCTCCTCCATGAATTTGTCTTATCCCTGTCGAGGTCGGTGGCCATTGCTGCCTCCTGTGGCAGGGAGTTCCACAGTGTTATAGGGAAAAAACTGCTCCCTTATGGGGTATTCCAGGGCCTGTATAGAGTCCTTAAGTGGGTTACCTATCGGTAGGAGAAAATAACAGAGGCCAACCAGAGTACGTTGAGTAGCAAAGCGGCTAATAAGCCTGGTCTTTATTCAAGGAACTGTTGCAACAGGGTCCCCACTCACTCCCCCCCGCAAAAAACATACATACAGTGGTACCTCGGGTTACATACGCTTCAGGTTACATACACTTCAGGTTACAGACTCCGCTAACCCAGAAATAGTACCTCGGGTTAAGAACTTTGCTTCAGGTTGAGAACAGAAATCGTGTTCCGGCGGCGCGGCAGCAGCGGGAGGCCCCATTAGCTAAAGTGGTGCTTCAGGTTAAGAACAGTTTCAGGTTAAGAATGGACCTCCAGAACGAATTAAATACCACTGTACATCACAGAAGAAGGCAGTCTACCTGATAATGGTCACTGATTGCATTACATGGGCAGTCTGGCCATTCTTTTGTGAGGGTAAATACTTTAGTTCCTGAATGCTGGTCACAGGCTCACCCTATTCATCCACAAATACTCCCTTAAGACAGGATTTGCAAGCAAAAAGACAATGGGAAGACTTTCCCCACTTGCCTCCCTTCTTGCAGAGGAATATCTGATGTCATTGGGAGAGTCAAAATGGCTTCAGGATTGCTCTCCTGTGCTAGTTGAGACACGTGGTTCATATATTTAGATAGGTGTTCATTTATGAATATTTATTCTATATTTGAGACCTTAAAATTCTTATAACAGCAGTTTTAACTACGCGCTGCGTGAAGAAAGGCTTTCTTTCATCTGCCCTGAATCTCCCAACATCCGGTTTCGTTGGAGGTCCATTAGAGGGAGGCAAACTTTTTATCTGCTTTCTGCACGACATGCATAATTTTTAAAATTTCTATCGTTTCGCCTCTGACTCGCCTTTTCTCTAAACTAAAAAGTCCCAAACATTGCAACCTTCTTTGACAGGGGAGTCTTGAGTAAGTAATAATAAATAATAATAATAATAATAATAATAATAATAATAATTTATTATTTATACCCCGCCCATCTGGCTGAGTTTCCCCAGCCACCCTGGGCGGCTCCCAATCAAGTATTAAAAACAATACAGCGTTAAATATTAAAAACTTCCCTGAACAGAGCTGCCTTCAGATGTCTTTTAAAGATAGGATAGCTACTTATTTCCTTGACATCTGGTGGGAGGGTGTTCCACAGGGTGGGTGCCACCACCAAGAAGGCCCTGTGTCTGGTTCCCTGTAACCTCACTTCTCGCAGCGAGGGAACCGCCAGAAGGCCCTCGGCGCTGGATCTCAGTGTCCGGGCTGAACGATGGGGGTAGTGGGCTGGCATGGATTAATCTGTTCTCTCTCTCTCTCTCCCTCTCTCCTTTCCCCCCACCTCAACTTCCCAGATCCGCCGAGGCCTTGACCCACAGCAGTTTGGCTTGGAGGACCTGTTCTACAAATACGGTAGGTATTCTCCTCCGCCTTCCCTGCCCGCACCTCCATTCTGGCTATCAGATCTGTTGAGATTATTATACATTAAACCAAAGCTAGCATAAATCAGCCCCGAAGAACTCCAACAGTGACACAGACCTCTGTCTTCTCACGGGAGACAATATTAACCTTTATAGCTTAAAGTTCTCTTCTCCAAACAGCCAGGCTCATGATAGCTTGATCCTGGAATAATAATAATAATAATAATAATACTAATAATTTATTATTTGTACCCCGCCCATCTGGCTGTGTTTCCCCAGCCACTCTGGGCGGCTTCCACTGAGACCAAAAATACATTAAAATATCACACATTAAAAACTTCCCTGAACAGGGCTGCCTTAAGATGTCTTCTGAATGTCAGGTAGTTGTTTATAGCTTTGACATCTGGTGGGAGGGCGTTCCACAGGGAGGGAGCTACTACTGAGAAGGCCCTCTGCCTGGTTCCCTGTAACTTGGCTTCTCGCAATGAGGGAACTGCCAGAAGGCCCTCGGCACTGGACCTCAGCGTCCGGGCAGAACGATGGGGGTGGAGACGCTCCTTCAGGTATACTGGACCGAAGCCGTTTAGGGCTTTAAAGGTCAGCACCAACACTTTGAATTGTGCTTGGAAACGTACTGGGAACCAGTGTAGGTCTTTCAAGACCTGTGTTATGTGGTCTCGGCAGCCGCTGACAGTCACCAGTCTAGCTGCCGCATTCTGGATTGGTTGTAGTTTCCGGGTCACCTTCAAAGGGAGCCCCACGTAGAGCACATTGCAGTAGTCCAAGCGGGAGATAACCAGAGCATGCACCACTCTGGCGAGGCAGTCCGCAGGCAGGTAGGGTCTCATCCTGCGTGCCAGATGCAGCTGGTAGACAGCTGCCCTGGACACAGAACTGACCTGCGCCTCCATGGACAGCTGTGAGTCCAAAATTACTCCCAGGCTGGAAGAACTTGGAGGGGAGCTTCTCTGACAAACTGGTGCAACCAAGCAGGGCAAAGGGCACTTGTGGAACAATCAAACAATAAAATAACATAAAATTGGGACGATCAAACAGGAAATTAAATTGGCACCAGCTCCAAAGCATACTCTTTTGCAACTGAATGATGCGGCTTTGTTATGTACACGGCTAAGAACAATAAAATAGAGGGCTCCCCTCACATTATAAAAACTGTTTTTATAATTTAAACAGTTTATCGCCTTCTACACAGATTAGAATTAACTTTTTTTTTGCATGTATTGCCTAAGGACCAGCTCCTGGTCTAGGGTGGTATAGTCAATGATTATTATTTTATTATCGTTTTTATTAAGTTTTTCTAATTTACATTTCAAGATAATCATTCAGACCACCTTAAATCAGTGGCTTCTCTTCTTCTCTTTCCATGGTTCATTTTGCATACTCTGCATCCCTGAATATTTTACGTGAACTAAAGCATTCCATAATCCATTGTTATACCATCAAAACATATTTATACTGTTTATCTTAATGCTACCAGTGTTTTTAAATGTACACAAATAATTTGGAATGTACACAAATAATTTAAATTTCACCCAAATAATCAGTAAACATTTTCCAGTCTTCTTTAAATGTATATTCTTCTATATGTTAAATCTCTGAGGTGTGCCTATTCCACCAATTTAAGTTGCCATTCTTCCTTGTTTGGGACCTCGCTCATTTTCTTTTTGGGGCTCGCAAAACACGGGCTGCAGTAGTAGCATACATAATGATTATGTATGATTAGCATACATAATCTTTTTTGACACCTGGGAATTTCTGATTAAATTATCCCCAACAAAAAGGACTCTGGCTTTTTTGGAAAGCCACTTTCAAACGCGGGATGCGGGTGGCGCTGTGGGTTAAACCACAGAGCCTAGGACTCGCTGATCGGAAGGTTAGCGGTTCGAATCCCTGCGATGGGGTGAGCTCCCGTTGCTCGGTCCCTGCTCCTGCCAACCTAGCAATTCGAAAGCACGTCAAAGTGGAAGTAGATAAATAGGTACCACTCTGGCGGGAAGGTAAACGGATTTTCCGTGCGCTGCTCTGGTTCGCCAGAAGCGGCTTAGTCCTGCTGGCCACATGACCCGGAAGCTGTACGCCGGCTCCCTCGGCCAGTAAAGCGAGATGAGCGCTGTAACCCCAGAGTCGGTCACGACTGGACCTAATGGTCAGGGGTCCCTTTACCTTTACCTTACTTTCAAACATTTTTTCCCAATTCATTATATATATCATTTTCCAATATTCTTTTCCCCGTTTACTACAAGTCCACCACATATGATAAAACTTTACCTCCTTATTAATCTGTATGATGTTGTATGTTGAAGAATTTAATAGTAAATACATAAATACAATGGAGCTGGCGACTTTGGGGGAGCAGAGGTTGGGGCATGGGCTCCTCTGTCTGTCTGGCACCAGCTGCTGTTCTCTGCCTTGGCAAAAGCCTCTTCTTCTCCTCCCTCCAGGGGTTGACTTGGAGCTGTGGGCCCACGAACACTCCTACGAGAGGCTATGGCCGGTCTACGACTACAAGGTGATTCCAGGCTTGGCAAAGGGGCAGCGTCATGTTCAGAAGCAGAGAAGGGCACCCGAGACTTGGGATAAGGGGGAGAGTCCTTACCGCACAGCAGAATCTCCACGGTGGGAGATTCGGAGACCTTGTTGGGTTGGAATCTGTCGAATCTGGCTCTCTGCCACGCCTGCTTCAGTGGCTGGGGGCAGCGAGCATCATCCCAGATCAAGCATCCCCAAACTCAGCTCTCCAGATGTTTTGGGACTACAACTCCCATCATCCCTAGCTAACGTGGATGATGGGAATTGTAGTCCCAAAGCATCTGGAGTTTGGGGGTGCCCGTCTCAGAGTTTTGCCAGCCAATCCCGAGCCACATGATCTCCTTTTGCAAAAGGGTCCCCTGCTCCGTGGAACTGCCCATCCTCAGGCAACTGGCCTTGAAGGGGCTGCTGGCATTCCACAGGCTTGCCAGCAGGAATTTCACCACTGCTAAAGAGTCCTGCTCTTCTTACTTGAACAAGCCCAATCTCATCTGATCTGGGAAGCTAAGCAGGGTCAGGCCTGGTTAGTGCCTGGATGGGATAGGGTGTAGGCTGCTAGGACCTGGGAGACCAGAGTTACTTTGGCCCAGTCATGGCCTCTCAGCCTAACCTACCTCGCAGGGTCGTTGTGGGGATTGAATGAGGAAGGGGGAAGGACCAGGCCCACCACCTTGAGCTCCTTGGAGAAAAAGGTGGGATATATAGGAAATACAGCAAATTTAAAGTACTGGAATGCTCTCCCCAGGGAAGTTTGCCTGGCGCCTTCATTACACACCTTTAGGCGCCAGGCAAAAACGTTCCTTTTTAACCAGGCCTTTGCTTGATCTGATCCTATACCTTGGATAGGCAAACTAAGGCCCAGGGGCCGGATCCGGCCCAATCGGCTTCTCAATCCGGCCCGCGGACGGTCGGGAATCAGCATGTTTTTACATGAGTAGAATGTGTCCTTTTATTTAAAATGCATCTCTGGGTTATTTGTGGGGCATAGGAATTCGTTTATTTCCTCCCCTTTCAAAATATAGTCCGGCCCCCCACAAGGTCTGAGGGACAGTGGACCGGCCCCCTGCTGAAAAAGTTTGCTGACCCCTGTCCTATACCCTTTTAAAATGTGGCTCTTTTCCGGGGGGGGGGGGTTATTGGGTTGCTGTTTTTATTCTGATTAAATATGTTGTGATCTTTTCTGTGAGCCGCCATGAGGCCTCCAGGTATAGGGTGGAATATAAACTATAATAAATAATAATAATAATAATAATAATAATAATAATAAAATAACAATAATAATACAGTAAATGAACAATCCTCCTCATCTCTCTTTCTCCTTCAGGTTTGCAATGGCAGCACTGAGGCCCCTTACACCAATCCTTGTGCCCCTGTTCATATTATCACTGGATCAGCTGTAAGTGTGAGGTGTTGGGTGGGCGGGCAGACTTAATTTTAAATGGTGTCTTATGAGCTAATTACACCGCCCCTCTGAATATACAGTGGTGCCTCGCAAGACGAAAAGAATCCGTTCTGTGAGTCTCTTTGTCTAGCGGTTTTTTCGTCTTGCGAAGCAAGCCCATTGACGGATTAGCGGATTAGCGGCTTTTAGCGGCTTTTAGCGGCTTTTAGCGGCTTTTAGCGGCTTATCAGCTTATCGGATAAGCAGATAAGCGGCTTAACGGCTTAGAAAAAGGGGGGGAAAGGGAAAAAAACCTGCAGGAACTCGCAAGACATTTTCGTCTTGCGAAGCAAGCCCATAGGAGCTTCGTTTTGCGAAGCACCTCCAAAACGGAAAACTCTTTCGTCTAGCGAGTTTTCCGTCTTGCGAGGCATTCGTCTTGCGGGGCACCACTGTATACAGAGTTCCTCACATATCAGACTGTTTTGCCCATCTAGCCTAGTGTCAGGGTGCTGTCAGCGGCTCCCGGCTGGCTGCCCAGGAAAGTATAAGACAAGGAAGAGTTTCTTACAGTCGGTCAGGGAACAGGGGAGGGAGGCAGGGGGATACAGAGAGCCTCTGACGCTTCTGAGGAGCAGCTCCTTGTCCAGCGGTGGGGAAAGCCACACCTCCAGTGGAGCAGAGGGTAGCCAAGCGAGGGGAGGGCTTGAAGATGCTACTGAGAGCCCAAGCGCCTCTCCTAGCCCGGCTGGCCAGGAAACAGACACGCCTTTTCCGTCGCCCAGCTTGCGCAGAGGGGTGAAACGTAAGGAGGGGAGGCGGAGATTTGGGGTGTCTAAGTTCTTTTTTTTAAAAAAAATAATATTTATTAGAGTTTCAAAGGAAAAAAGAATCACATTAATAAAAAAAAAATTAACAATAACAAGGAAAAATACAAAGTAAGAAAAAAGAAAAAGCAGTTAAAAACAATTCCATCTTTTCCTCACTTCTTTTACATTTACTTGTTTCCTGGACCTCCTCATACCTCCCTCTTTTGTATTCCAATTCAATTTGTTAATCCAACAGTTCCTATCCCTCCTTTTTAATCCTAATCCTTAATCTTGATATATTGTAACATTAGATTTTTACACATTAAAAACCAATTTTTCCATATTCTTTTGTACCTATATAGCTAGAAGCCACTTAACTTCAATCTAACATCATTCTAACATTCATTAATTTTACAATATTTCTGTAAATAGTCTTTAAATTTCTTCCAATCTTCTTCCACCGACTCTTCTCCCTGGTCACGGATTCTGCCAGTCATTTCTGCCAATTCCATATAGTCCATTAATTTCATCTGCCATTCCTCCAGTGTGGGTAAATCTTGTGTCTGGGGTGTCTTAAGTTCTTATGTTGGGGGAGAAACTGGAAGGGGCCACTCCCGGAATCTGCAGTTGACTAAGACGGACATGAACTATGTGGTTCTGCACTGTAAATAGTTTGCACCAATAAAACCTGTAAAAGACAGGTCAGAGTCCTGCCTGGTTACTCATGAGCAACCACCAGCAGCACCTGACACAGTCCTTTCTTATTTCAGTCTTTGCAGAGAGGCTGTAGAACCCAGCCTCTTGGATAATGGCATTGTCCCAAGTGAATCTCCACCTCCACCCCATCTCTTCCCCATTTGTCATTCTCTTCGTCTCCTCTATAGGTGCTGCTATGTGCTCCCTGTCTTTGATCTCTTTGCTCTCCTACTTTTAAGGCTCGCCAGGTTCTGGGAGATGGAGGGCCTGGCATCCTTTCCGGTGATAAAGTGTCAGCCAGCTTTTCTGATCTTATTTTTATCTTCTTTCCTTTATAGCTAAAGGATAGGCCTTTGGGGAAATTCCCACCTAAAAATAATTCCGTTGCTTCTCAGTAGGGTAACCAAATCTTTATAACTGGATCTAAGGTCCAGAAGATGTTTCGGAATGTCCTTGAATATCTCCACTTTTGACTGTTGTATTTCCAAAGTCTTCTGGAAATGCAGGCTCAGAATTTTATCTCTCTCTTCTTTTGTTCGGAGGGTGATCAAACAGTCTCTCACCCTGTTCTTTCTCCCTCCTTTTCCAAGTCTAAAAGCACTCACTATCTTGAAACTGTCTTTCCCCAAATCTGGGTTCCAAAAGTCTAGGAATTCCTGCGTGAGAAATTCAATCAAATTGTCTTTCTCCACTTCAGGTACAGCCCTGTCCCTTAAATTCACTTGTTTCTCCTTCAACTCGATCATAGACAGAATTGACTTATGGTCTTCAAGTTGTTTGTGTAGTGGTGGTATCTTCTCTTGAACCACTGTAGCTGTAGCAGTAGCAATTTCTTTAGCCTCTTCGGCTGTCTTACGTGTCGAAGCAGATTCCTGTAATAGTTTCTGAATAGTTTCTGTATTGGTATTTACTTTCTGTCCCAAATTATTGATACTTCCCGCAAACCCCTGTTGTAAATCGATACTGTCTTCCTCTTCCTCCTTCCTGGAAGGGTCAGAATGGGGAGGTGGGTCTCCACTCCTCCTCCTCTGCCGAGTCTCTGACACCTAGGGCAAAACATAATATGAGTCTGCTAATATGATCAGGCCGTCGGTGCATCTTGTGCATCATCCCGGGACCAACAAGATGCTTCAATGGGAAATCAGTGAGCACAACATAAGTACAAAAGCACTCTCCCCTCCTGTGGTTCCCAGCCACTGGTATTCAGAAGCATTTCTGCCTCAGGCTGTGGACACAAAGTATAGCCATTGTGACTAGTAGTCACCGATAGCCCTCTGAATTTGTCCCATCCTCTTTTAAAGCCATCCCACTTGGTGGCCATCGCTGCCTCCTGTGGCAGGGAGTTCCGTAGTTTAACAATGCATTGCATGAAGAAGTAATTCCTTAAGGTCCATAAACAGCAGCACCCTAGAGGTCCCGGGCCCTAAGGAAGTGCGATTAGCCTCAACCAGAGGCAGGGCCTTCTCAACACTGGCCCCGGCCTGGTGGAACGCTCTGTCTCATGAGACCAGGGCCCTGCAGGATCTGATTTCTTTCCGCAGGGCCTGTAAGACAGAGTTATTCCACCTGGCCTTTGGCTTGGAATCAGCTTGATTCCCTCCCCCTCTTTCTTTCTTTTTTCCTTTCTCTTTCTGTGTTGGAACTCCTATTTGGGGACTTCCCTGGCTTTTTTCTGGCCCACGTAGGACCAGTCTGGATAGTTGGCCTTGGTGAAGACTTGACGTTTTCATCCCCAAAAAAGTTTTTGATTTTAGTTTCTGCTGAAATGAGGCTGCATTTTAATCTTGTTTTTAAGTTGTATTTTAATCAATTGTTTTTACACCTGGTGTTAGCTACCCTGAGCCCGGTCTTGGCTGGGGAGGGCGGGGTATAAATTATTAGTTATTATTATTATCTGTTTGTCCTGAAACATTTGGCTTCATGGGATGTCCACAAGTTCTAGTGTTATGAGGGAGAGTCTTGTTTCCTCCCGCCGGTCCCTGGTCTCCAGGATTTGGGGCAGAGAGCAGCCTTTGTCATCACCTTCCATCCATAGCTGTCAACCGTCCCTTATTTGGCGGGACGTGTCAGCGTTGCTTGTGTTGTTCACTTGTGTTCCTTTGGTGGTGAGAGAGGTTGGGGTTGGCCTAGGGTGTGATTGTTTGCTTGTGATTGGCTGTGGTGATCTTTGTTTTCGTGTGTGAGTGAGGTGGGTGGGTGTTTTGGATCAGGGTAGCCATATTGATTTGTATGCTGTTGGTGGATTATTGTCATTGTCCTGTTGGGCTGTGTATGTGATAAATGGGAGCCATACCGGGGTGAAGGCGTCTTCTTCTGTTTGTCCCCGTGTCAGTTTCAGTTTATTAGTTAATTTTTCTAGTAGGGCTGTTTCCCATACTATTTGGTACCATTGGTCCATGCTTACCCTGACAGGTCTCTCCAGTGTCTGGTTATGGTGTTTCTGGCTGCTGAGAGCAGGTGGGTTATGAGTTCTTTGTGGTGTAAATGGGCATTGTTGTCTTGGAAGATGTTTAGTAGGGCCAATTCTGGGGTGATGTCTATTACTTGCTTAGTTATTTTACATATTGCGACCCCTTATCCCAGCGCCATGTCCCGCTGCTGTCCCTTATTGATGATGTCCCTTAAATTTCCCGGGTTTCAAAGGAAGCAGCTCCTCTCCCTCCCTCCCTGCCGGCCAGGGAGGAGGGAGGCTCCAACTGTGTTGCTTGGCTGCGTTGCTCACCCAATAAGGAGTCTCAGAACGACTGGGGGGTGGAGCTTGCATGCCTTGTGCCGATCAAATCGGCCGCGTTGCCTGGGGACTCGCCTTTGCTCAGCGCTTCCCAGCGGAGAGGTGACGGTGGTTTCCCTTGCTGCATCCCCTTTGCTGGGTTTCTGCGCTGTGGGAACCACCGCTTGAGGCTTCGTTGGGCTGCTGGCTGGGCTTTCTGCCTTTGGCTCGGAGGGGCTCAGAAGTTGAACATACCTGTGCCCCTTGGAAAATCCCTTATTCTGGCTGCTGGTCCCTTATTTTCGAGGCTGCTGGTCCCTTATTTTCAAATCTGTAAGTTGACAGCTGTGCTTCCACCTGGTAGCCTTCCAACCGGATATGCCACCCGATTGAATCTGGGACCTTCTGAATGCAATCTATGGGCTCCAACTTTGACCCACAGTCCCATTCCTAAGTACTGAATGGTTCCCTGGTTGTGATCGCTATCACAACGCAAGTCGGGCTCTGCAGGTCAGAAAGTGCCACCTTGCTCTCTCCCCCTGTCTGAGCAGTTTCCAGAAACAAAGTGAGGGAAGGGAGAAGGGAAGCCTTGGGACCTGGAAGGTGTTAGGGCAGGAATTCCTAAAGTGGGCATCCCCTGTGGGGAGAGGCAGGGGGTACTGGAACGGTAAATGATTGCCAATCTTTGAAAACATTGTCTCACTGGCTCAAGGTCATCAGATTTCTTCAGTTAATTAAACTAAATGGTTTTAATTGGATTTTTTTTACATAATATTTATTATTTTCCATACATAAACATAACAGAAGAAAAAGCCAACAATAATAAAGAAAAAAGAATGAGACAGTAAAAGGAAAAGGAAAAAAAGAACATAAAACATAAAATACATTAAATCACCACATAAGCTAAAACTTAATTAATTAATCAAAATCCATCTTCATAAACATATTACTTGACTTCCTCAAATCTCTTCCATCTGAGTTTCTTAGTAATTATATATAGCAGTTTCCAATATCATTATTTCCTAAAACCACATCACAGTCATAATCATATTTCCTAACTTTTCTTATCGTATGTTTTCTTATTTATTTATTTAATCCCAATTTAATCCTAGGCCTAATTGATTCTTTCAGGGGATTACAATATTTATTCAAATAGTCTTTAAATTTCTTCCAATCTTCTTGGTATTCCTCTTCTTTCTGGTCGCGGATTCTCCCGGTGAGGTCAGCCAGCTCCATAAACTCCATCATCTTCATCTGCCATTCGGTTTTAATTGGATTTTGAATAAATGCGCAAATAATAATTCCTGATTTGGATTGCATTGTGCTATTTATTATCTTCCTTAGTGGGGCATGCAAACCGCTATTCTGAATAATGCACTTATAGGGTAGGAGGCACTGGGGATGAGTTTATGGAATCAGGGAGGCCCGAGAATGTTTGAGAACCCCTGGGCTCTCTGTTCTGCAGCTAGGCCAGCCCTCCCCAACCGGGTGCCCTTCAAATATTTTGGACTGCAACTCCTGTCTGGAGGGCACCAGGTTGGCAAAACCAGAAGAAGACATTAAGCTTCTGAGCGCTGTGGAAAACTCCTCCAAGCTGCCCGGCCTTTGAGCCTCTTCCTTCCTCACCCCACCAGGGATGCAGAGAGCGACATGACCCCTTTGTCCCCGACCCACGAGAATGGAGCGCCGTGCGGATTGAGGATTATGGCTATACCCACATGCGGATCATGAACAGGACTCACGTTTGGCTGGAACAAGTGTCGGACGACCAGGTAGGCAGCGCTTAAGTCCTGCGACAGAGCAATGCTGAATGCAGGGGTTTCCAGCTCAGCTCAGCTGCGGCCTCAGGAACCATTCATACCCGCTGGATCCCCCATGAGAAGCAGCCTTGGGGGCTCTGATCCCATTCCCCTGCTCCAGACACAAAAAAATTGTTCAAGAAATGTTTAACGTTTACTAATGGGGACTCCCAGATGTGTCTGGCCCCTGCATTGTTTCCAGTATCATATTGAGAGCCAGGGTGGCGCAATGGTTATAGTGATGGACTATGACCGGGGAGACCAGGGTTCGAATCCCCGCTCAGCCACGAAGCTCATTGGGTGGAACCATGTGCATTCCTTGAGCTCCTTGGGAGAACAGGTGGTACATAGACGTAGTAATACTAATAATAATAATGTTTCTGCAAAGCTCTATACAGTGGTGCCTCGCAAGACGAAAAGAATCCGTTCCGCGAGTCTCTTCGTCTTGCGGTTTTTTCGTCTTGCAAAGCAAGCCCATTAGCGGCTTACCGGATTAGCGCTATTAGCGGCTTAGCGGGCTTAGCGGGTTTAGCGGATCAGCTGATAAGCGACTTAGTGGCTTAATGGATCAGCTGTTAAGCAGCTTAGCGGATCAGCTGATAAGCGGCTTAGCGATCAGCTGTTAAGCGGCTTAGCGGCTTAGCGGATCAGCTGATAAGCGGCTTAGCGGATCAGCTGATAAGCGGCTTAGTGGCTTAATGGATCAGCTGTTAAGCGGCTTAGCGGATCAGCTGATAAGCGGCTTAGCGATCAGCTGTTAAGCGGCTTAGCGGATCAGCTGATAAGCGGCTTAGCGGATCAGCTGATAAGCGGCTTAGTGGCTTAACGGATCAGCTGTTAAGCGGCTTAGCGGATCAGCTGATAAGTGGCTTAGCGGCTTGGGAAAAAGGAGGGGAAAAGGAAAAAAACCCCGCAGGAACTCGCAAGACATTTCCGTCTTGCGAAGCAAGCCCATAGGAAATTCGTTTTGCGAAGCACCTCCGAAACGGAAAACCCTTTCGTCTAGCGGGTTTTCCGTCTTGCGAGGCATTCGTCTTGTGGGGCACCACTGTATTTAAACCAGGCGTGCAAACTGCAGCCAGGTTGTACAGCTTTTCCTGGAGGGACCCTAACCCCAAAGACACACACTCTCACTCTCTCTCTCTTTGCTTTTCAGAATGGGAAGGTCGTGGACGGGATTTGGCTGATCAAAGAACTGCACGGCCCTGAAGCCTGGCACTAGCAGGTCCTTGGTGCCCTCCCTGTTCCCTTCCTGGTCTAGATGGCGTCTGGGGCCTTTGCCTTGTGACAACCAGCTTTCAATGCAGGAAGAAGAGGAAGCCACCAGAGCCATCTCCCCCACAAGTCCCAGAAGCAGCAAGAACACCAGAAGATCACGCGAGGGGATCAGGCCAACGGCCCATCTATTCCAGCACCCTCTTCTTGCCCCAGAGGGAATCCTGCAAGATACCCTCCGAGCACAAGAGCACTTCCACCCTTCCTGTGGCTCCCAGCAACTGGAATTCAGAAAAGTTGCTGCCTCCAGCTGGGAAGGCAGAGCACAGACATCATTGTCATCGATAGCCCACAGTTTTGTTGGCTCACCCCATTAGGTTCTACTGTTATGAAAAATAGCAATTTCTCTTTTGGATTTGAGTTCAGGAAGGTCACCAAGGCAGCTGAGCCAGAGTGGTGTAGTGGTTCAGAGCGGTAGTCTCGTAATCTGGGGAACCGGGTTCGATTCTTCGCTCCTCCACATGCAGCTGCTGGGTGACCTTGGGCTAGTCACACTTCTCTGAAGTCTCTCAGCCCCACTCACCTCACAGAGTGTTTGTTGTGGGGGAGGAAGGGAAAGGAGAATGTTAGCCGCTTTGAGACTCCTTCGGGTAGTGATAAAGCGGGATATCAAATCCAAACTCTTCTTCTGTGGGTAGCAGGGCAAGCCATTATAAGGGGCGCAGCTTTATTTTTGCAAATCTCTCCAGTGAGGGGTCTTAAAATTATGCTGTGGGGTGTGAGGAATTCAAATCTGCTGTGATTTCTGTGACTGGACAACATTTAGGCTGGTTAGTCTACGTTGGATGAAGGAAGCACATAAACTGCTTTAGGAAAAGCAAAGAATTTAAATTTTACCTTCTGAAAATAACCATAATAATAATAGGAAATTAATATATAACATAACTGCAAGTACAGTGGTACCTCAGGTTAAGTACTTAATTCGTTCCGGAGGTCCGTTCTTAACCTGAAACAGTTCTTAACTTGAAGCACCACTTTAGCTAATGGGGCCTCCCGCTGCTGCTGTACCGCTGGAGTATGATTTCTGTTCTCATCCTGAAGCAAAGTTCTTAACCTGAAGCACTATTTCTGGGTTAGCAGAGTGTGTAACCTGAAGCGTATGTAACCTGAGGTACCACTGTACTTGGAAATCATTTTGAATGATTGCTATGCAATTCTGCACACCATCTGCTTACCAAGCAACACTAAATAGTATTAATTAAACCAAAATACATTTGGAGCTCCCAAGCCTGTTCGGGGAGACGGGGGCATTTGGCAGGCCCTCAGCTGGCTCCAGCCGGCAGCCGGGCGAACTCCGGTTCTCAGAACAGTATCAATCAGCAACTCAAGCCTCAGAAACCTTTAGAGACTGAGCACATTCTAATCAGCAGAGTGAATAACTCTTCACAACGGAAGTGGCGGACAGAGGCATACGTAAGCATATTTACAGGCGTTTATTCAGCATCAGGACAAAAGAACAACATGTCTGTTCCCAGCAAGCTGTGCTGGAATGTAAACAGACATGTGACATACAACAGCTCCACACATCTGTTTAGGTGGAACGGAACATCATAATCCTAACAAAGCCACGTTACAACTTTTTGTTTGTTGTTTAGTCGTTTAGTCGTATCTGACTCTTCGTGACCCCCTGGACCAGAGCACGCCAGGCACTCCTATCTCCCACTGCCTCCCGCAGTTTGGTCAAACTCATGCTGGTAGCTTCGAGAACACTGTCCCACCATCTCGTCCTCTGTCGTCCCCGTCTCCTTGTGCCCTCCATCTTTCCCAACATCAGGGTCTTCTCCAGGGAGTCTTCTCTTCTCATGAGGTGGCCAAAGTCTTGGAGCCTCAGCTTCAGGATCTGTCCTTCCAGTGAGCACTCAGGGCTAATTTCCTTAATAATGGATAGGTTTGATCTTCTTGCAGTCCATGGGACTCTCAAGAGTCTCCTCCAACACCATAATTCAAAAGCATCCATTCTTCGGCGATCAGCCTTCTTTATGGTCCAGCTCTCACTTCCATACATCACTACTGGGAAAACCAGAGCTTTTACTATATGGATCTTTGTTGGCAACTTTTTAGCACCCCTCATTTTTGGAAGTTGGAAGTTGAAAAATGCAATCCGCCCTACCGTGGGTAGGATCCTGCTTTGGTGTCTTTCCTGCCTTCTCTGCATTCTCCTCTTCAGCAAGCACAACCTGGGATTTTTTCTCCCTTCTTTGGTGCAGTCTTTTCCTTTGCTTGCTCCTCAGCCAACCGCTCTTCCTCTCTGGAAGCACAAGACCTGAGGCAGGTGTTTGATTCGCATCTCTACTCAGAACATGACCGAGCGGAAAGTGAAAGGAAGTCTTGTCACTACACGGATTTGCAGGTGAAATTAATATTATTAAATGGCAGGTTGGGAATGACGTGCAGCCGCAAGCTTTTTGAAAGACTTAAGAGCCATGGGAATTGCTGTCATCTACGCAATAATCTGGTGTGAATTGTGTTTTCCTGTAGCACAGGACAGAGACAATCTCGTTTTCCCCCCACGAGAAAGAAATTACTTGAATAAAGGTTTGAAAAAAGGGAAGCCCAGAATACGACAGTTCTTTTTTAAATTCAGCAACCAGAAACAGTTGCTTGTATAGATGACCCTTGGGGGTCCCTTTCAACTCTACAGTTCTTTGATTCTATAACTACCTGTTCAAGCCAAGATATACTGAAACCTAAGAAGACAGATCGGTCACCTCTAAAAAGATGACACACAGGATGTTCAAAGAAGGCACAAACTAGCCTGTATTAGTGCATTTTACCACAGTTTTGACATCATCATCATAATTTATTATTTGTACCCCACCCATCTGGCTGCGTTTCCCCAGCCACTCTGGGTGGCTGCCAACAGAAGATTAAAAATACATTAAAACATCTGTCATTAAAAACTTCCCTCAACAGGGCTGCCTTCAGATGTCTTCTAAACATCAGGTAGTTGTTTATCTCTTTGACATCTGATGGGAGGGTTTTCCACAGGGCGGGTGCCACTACCAAGAAGGCCCTCTGCCTGGTTCCCTGTAACTTGGCTTCTCGCAGGGAGGGAACTGCCAGAAGGCCCTTGGAGCTGGACCTCAGTGTCCAGGCAAAACAATGGGGGTGGAGACGCTCCTTCAGGTATACTGGACCGAGGCTATTTAGGGCTTTAAAGGTCAGCACCAACATTTATGCCCGGAAACATACTGGGAGCCAGTGTAGGTCTTTCAAGACCAGTGTTATAGGGTCTTGGCGGCCGCTCCCAGTCACCAGTCTAGCTGCTGCATTCTGGATTAGTTGCAGTTTCTGGGTCACCTTCAGAGGGAGCCCCACATAGAGCGCATGGCAGTAGTCCAAGCGGGAGATAACCAGAGCATGCACCACTCTGGCGAGACAGTCTGCAGGCAGGGAGGGTCTCATCCTGTGTACCAGATGGAGCTGATAAACAGCTGCCCTGGCCACTGAATTGACTTGCGCCTCCATGGACAGCTGTGAGTCCAAAATGACTCCCAGGCTGCACACCTACTCCTTCAGAGGCGCAGTTGCCCCATTCAGGACCAGGGAGTCCCCCACACCTGCCCACCTCATCCCCCCAAATGACTACTTTTGTCTTGTCAGGATTCAACCTCAATCCGTTAGCTGCTATCCATCCTCCAACTGCCTCCAGGCAATCACACAGGACCTTCACAAAATTGTAGCAGTGAAAATCTGGATTTAGAAAGCATGGGTCTCAGCGGTTTCCCCCTTGCTGCTCCTTCCCCAGCCTGCAGCTTAGCTCTAAATCGGAACAAACCCAGCTGCTGTTTGCTCCGATCATGAGCGGATTTTTTGCTGGGGGTGGGGTGGCGCGTGAAGCAGTAGGACAAGTGGAAGTGTGGATCAGCCCTAAGACACACACACAATACAGTCTTGAAGGCATTCTAGATTTGCAGTGTTGGTAAAAAGCAAAGATTTTTTTTTGGGGGGGGGAGGCTTCCTGCCTTCAAATGGCCTCCCCCTGGATTTACTGCAGCCAGTGGGGCATGAGAAGGGGAGACGAAGAGGACGGGGTGGGGAGCAATGGCCTGGTCCCTTGGGGGGCTGGAGTATTTTTAGCCGGGTAGGTGACGGCATCTGTTTGACGCTTCCTCCAAGTGGCATCAGCAGCCTTGAATCTGTAGTTTTTCTTAATATTTAGATACCAGCTGCTGGGATTCAGGCCGAGGAATAGGGAGAGACGTGGCTCAGATTTTAAATGCAGCTGGCTGCACCGCCAGGTCCCTGGCTTTCATTGCTGCTGCTGCTGCTCTTGGCAATTGTGCTCCCTTCACTCTGAGGGCAACATTAAAATACCAAGATTAAAAACAGTTTAAGACACCTTGCAGAAGTAAGGCAGGTGCTCAAAGCATACGCCTCAAGTGTCAAAAACTAGGGCAAAGAGGTTTGTCTTCAGCATTTAGTGGAAGCTGTATAATGAAGGGCCACAGCTTAGGGGCCACCACGGAGAAAGACCTCTCCTCATGGGCCACACAATAAGTTTCTGGGGGTGGAGGAACTACTAAGAGGGCCCCCTCGGCCCATCTCAGCACCCGAGAGGGTATTGGGGTATTGATGAAGCAGAACAATGCCCTGAGGTCCACCGGTAAGTGGTAGAACATCTACGTACTATGCATGCAGAAGGTTCCAGGATCAAGACTAGGAACGATCATTTTTTAAAAAAAAAATAATAATATTTATTGATAATTTCAAAATTACAAAAAAATAAAAAATAGCAAACAACACTACAATACAAAAAAAGAAAAAAGAAAAAGAAGACAATAAAAAAAGAGAAAAGCACAAAATGTGAAAACCAATATAACAATACAGCAATAAAAAAAGAAAAAAGAGAAAAAAAACACAAATCCCAAATTGCATATCCATAATTTCCATTTGCTTGTTTCATTGACCTCCTCACACCTCCGTTTTTGTATTCTAGTTTTGTATTCAAAAGCATCCATTCTTCGGCGATCAGCCTTCTTTATGGTCCAGCTCTCACTTCCATACATCACTACTGGGAAAACCAGAGCTTGAACTATACAGACCTTTGTCGGCAAGGTGATGTCTCTGCTTTTTAAGATGCTGTCTTATAAAGCAGTTACATATATTATTATTATTATTATTAACAATAATAATAAATTTTATACCCCACCCTTTCCAGTTCAAAAACTGGGCTCAGGGTGGCTAGCAACAAATTTAAAACACTTAATTGTAAAAACAGCATAAAATACAGTATAAAAAACATGAATAACAATAAAATTTAATATTCAGAAATCAATTTAGGGGAAATAAGCATTAGATAATCCCCAGGGCTAGCTGGCTGAGTTGGTCCTACTTGGGCCAGCAAGGAGGCCGGGGAAGAATTAGCTGTGGGGTCTCAGAGCGGGTGATCTTCATAAAAGGGGAGGGAAGAGAAGGGAAATAAAAGATCAGGCTGAATTCAAATTAAAGGCCAGGCGGAATAGCTCTGTCTTACAGGCCCTGTGGAAGGAGGTTAAATCCTGCAGGGCCCTGGTCTCATGGGACAGAGCATTCCACCAGGTCGGAGCCATCACTGAGAAGCCCCTGGCCCTGGTGGAGGATAGTCTTGACTTCCTTGGGGCCCAGGACCTGTGGTTATTCATGGACCTTAAGGTCCTCTGTGGGGCAGACCAGGAGAGGCGGTCCCGTAGATATGAGGGCCCTAAGTCACAAAGGGCTTTAAGGTCAAGACCAGCACCTTGAACCTGACCCTGTACTCCACCGGGAGCCAGTGCAACTGGTAAAGCACTGGGTGAATGTGCTTCATATAAAACAATGGTGCGTATAAAAACAATTAAAAAGCCAATTATAAATATAAAACCAGCTTAGAACAACAGCACAAACGTAACGACCAATTCAGTTTCAAAACAAGATGCCAGCTGAGGTGATGATTTTAGAAGGCTGGAAGAGGAATGTCTTTCGCGGGTTCCAAAAAGACAACAGAGAAGGTGTGTGTCTGACATGCGGTGGGAGGGTGTTCCAAAGGTGCCACCACACTAAAGGCCATGAACCCGAAATTATGCAGAAGGCAGCTGAGCAGATACGATCTGCAGAACACCCTCTCCAGCGTGATGCAGGGGTGTTTTGGGTACGTACAGGGTAAGGCAATGTTTTAGGTATCCTGATCTCAATCTGCCTAGGGAATGCCCCCAATCCTGAAATTCAGCATAGCTGTCAACCGTCCCTTATTTGGCAGGAAACTCCCATATCCCCACGCCGTTTCCTGCTGCTGTCCCTTATTGATGATGTCCCTTAAATTTCCCGGGTTTCATGCTCGCCCGGCTCGAGAGGGAAGCAGCGGCTCGGGGTCCTCTGATGCGAGAGAGAGAGCGCATGAGCTGCCGCGTCTCCATCTCTCCCTTTTCCCCCTTAGTGGCACGTAGTGAGGAGACAGGTGGCGGCAGGCGGGCAGGCAGCCCCTCTCTTACGAGACTTCTGCCGCGCTGCCAGGGGAAGCTGGAGGCGGCGGCGGAGGCTGAGGAGGCGCCTGAGGGAGGAGGAAGAGAAGGGGATGGGGAGGGAAGCAGAAGGGCGGCGCTTCAGGGCTGCCACGGTGCCACAACCGCCTCATGCCGGGCTTACGGGTGGCATGGGCGAGAGTCTCTCTCCCTCCCCCCCTCTCCCTCGGGCGGGGAAGGGCCGATGGAACTCCTTGCTCCAAGACGATGGCAGCCCCAACGTGCTGCTTAGCATCCCCTCCAACCAGTGCAGCATCTTAAAGTAGTGATTTCCCCCTCTGCATCCCTTTCCTAACTCCATTTTTATAAATCATTTGTCCATCCACAGTTCAAATTTTTACTACAAGTTTTCTGTCAATCCTACCAATGTATGTAACTCTTTAAAATAGCTTTTCAACTACCGTATTTTTTGCTCTATAAGACTCACTTTTTCCCTCCTAAAAAGTAAGGGGAAATGTGTGTGCGTCTTATGGAGCGAATGCAGGCTGCGCAGCTATCCCAGAAGCCAGAACAGCAAGAGGGATTCCTGCTTTCACTGAGCAGTGATCCCTCTTGCTGTTGTGGCTTCTGAGATTCAGAATAGTTTTTTTCTTGTTTTCCTCCTCCAAAAACTAGGTGCGCCTTATGGTCTGGTGCGTCTTATAGAGCGAAAAATACGGTAAATTATAACCTTTCCCCATTCTTTATTAAAAAGGTCCTCTTCCTGGTTTCTAATTCTGCCTGTAAGCTTTGCCATCTCGACGTCGTTCATCAGTTTTGTCTGCCCCTCTTCTTTGGTCGGAGTTGTAGACCCTTAGGATCATCTAGTCCAACCCCCTGCAAAACACAGTCAGTTGCAGCAAAAGCAGCATGGCTCTGTGAGTGGCGGATTTCTGCATAAGCTAAGCCAAAATCCCTTATTTTGGCTTCTGATCCCTTATTTTCGAGGCTGCTGGTCCCTTATTTTCAAATCTGTAAGTTGACAGCTATGCCCTAAAAGTTTGGAGAGACGCTGCCAGTCAGTGTAGAGAATACTGAACTAGATGGAACAGCTGCCTACATTCCTATATTTGGCTTTTGCTGCACTGCCCACCAGGGGGCACCCTTGCTCTGCAACGGAGTCCCAAACTTAGGAGGACTGAACAGGACTTTAAATTTCCACGTTTTTCTTACAAATTAACATGCCACGCTCATTTCATCCTCCCACCCAAAAAACAGCTCTGCGTTCGTTTAATTGCAAAACAGGACTTATTTGCAGAAAGGTTTGGGCTGGGCCCTGGCCTAGAACCCTGGAGAGACAAGGGTTCGAATCCCCACGCAGCCAGGACGCTTGCTGCGGGTAACCTCTCTCCCGAGCCTGCCCTGCAAGGTGGTTGTTGTGATGATAAATACAGGGAGCAAAGCCGCACCCCAGAGGACAGGTTGCCTGCCCTAAACTATGAATTTAGAAAAGCAAAACAAAACGGTCATGATGATGATTAAAATTAATACCATTAATCTTGAAAATCAGATTAATCATGTTAATGTATTTTCACTGATAATAACTTTTATACGATGGTATTGATAAAATCAATGCCATTACTATTAGTAGTTCATGGTAATGTATTTACAGTTATAATTATTTTATACTTACGATTATCAAAATTAAAACTATCAATATGCATGTTTAGCATAATTACACTAATATATTTAGTTGCACTTGCACTAATATATTTAGTTATAATTATTTTATGCTTGCAGTTATCAATGTTAATACTGTCGATATGCGTTATTAGGTTAATTACATCAATGTATTCGCAAGTATAATTATTTTATACTAATCATTATATAGATTAATGATTCGATTAATTACAAGGGTCATATTAATATATTCACAATTATTTCATATTACCGGTTTTTAAATCAGTATTATCAATGTGAATAACAACAACAATAATAATAATAATAGTAATACTAAACAACAGCAACAACGGTAATGATAATATCAATGTCTGTACAGTTAGGGTGATTTCCCCGTTCCCCTCTCCCGTCTCCTCTCCCCGTCAATCAATCCTTGAGGCAGCCAATAGGCGCGCGGGCCCCTCCCCTCACTCCCCGCGCTGCTGGGCCACGCCCCCCGAGGAGCGCCGCCAATCGGAAGCCTCCCCGGCCGTGCGGCGGGGAGGGGGGCGTGGCGGCTGTTGCCGTGGCGACGGCGGGAGAGCGGGCTTGTCCCCGGATGTTGCCTGGTTTCGGCTGGGCCGGCTCCCAAGATGGCGGCGGCGGCGCGGCGAGGGGAGCCCTGAGAGGAAGCGGGAGGCGGAGGAGGAGGAGGAGGAAGGGACGAAGGGAGGCCGCAGCGCGGACCCGAGAGCGAGCGAGAAGGCAGGCGGCGGGGACGGGGCGCGGAATTGGAAGCGGGTGAGGCGGGGAGAGTGTTCTCGGGGGTGGCCCACTCTGCGGGGTTGTTGGCGGGCAGCCCGAGGGGCTGGCGGGGTTCATTTATCGATATTCCCGCTCTTCATATCCCCCCTCTTCTCCCCCCCCCCCCACACCGGGACGGGGTTCAAATCCTCCTCTCCGTTTTTAACCTCGCCACCTCCCTGCGAGGTAGGCCAGGGAGGGAGGGAGGGGGCGTGAGGAACGGACAGGATTTGAACCCTGGTCTCTCCCCCCACCCCCAGGTTTTAGCTACGCCATGCACCCTGTGTAGGTAAAGGACAGGTAAGCGGTGGCCTCCCCCCCCCCCCAAGGTCAAAAACACTGCCCCCCCCCGGTGAGCTTCATGGCTGGGTGGGGATTTGAACCCTGGTCTCTCCCAGGTCTTCGCTGAGCCATGCGCCAGGTAAAGGACAGGTATGGTAAAGGACAGGTAAGAAATGCAGTCATAATAGTAGCAGCCATTCACATCCCATCCTCTGCTCCAAGGAGCTCAAGTTGCCCCCCCCCATTTTATCCTCGCAATAACCCTCCGAGGTAGAATGGGAGGAGGGTAAGCTGTGGCCCCCTAAGGTCACCCCCCCCCTGAGCTTCATGGCTGGGTGGGGATTTGAACCGTGGTCTCTCCCAGGTCTTACCTGAGCCATGTACCAGGTGTAGGTAAAGGACAGGTAAGAAATGCAGTCATAATAGTAGCAGCCATTCACATCGCACCCTCTGCTCCAAGGAGCTCAAGTTGCCCCCCCCCCCATTTTGTCCTCGCAATAACCCTCCGAGGTAGGATGGGAGGAGGGTAAGCTGATCGCCCCCCTCCCAGGTCACCCCCCCTTGGTGAGCTTCATGGCTGGGGGGCGGGATTTGAACCCTGGTCTCTCCCAGGTCTGACGCTCTAACCACTAAACCAGCACTGGTTCTTTCTGGGGCGTGGAAGGCCAGCGGGATTTGAGGGGTACAAAGGGGCTGGGGTGGGATTTGCGGTAGGGGGATTTGTGAGAAGCAGCAGAATGTGTGTGTTGGGTGAAGATTGCTGGGTTGGAAATTGGGGGGGGTTGTCCTTGGAGAAAGGGGGTGCGATGGGGGATCCTGGGGGGGGGGGATGGGGACGAGGGGAGGGTTCTACTGACTCGTTTGTGGCATTCGTTAGCTGCCTTTTCCAGCTGAAGCTGAATGCTAAGCCCATGTTTATAAAATGCTATGGGAAAGAAGGAACTGCAGCGAAGCCATTTCGTCATCAATATGTATTGGGGGTGCGGGGGGGGCACCACCACCTGGGAGAACCAGGAGGCAAGGCCCCAGGGGCCATCCTAAAAAAATAGAAGAAGACATTGTCTTGATGACAGGCCTGCAGTGAAGGGGCCACACACCCACCTGCGAGTGTGGAAAGGTGTTGTCTAGGCGCAGTCCTGCAGCTAAGAAGTCCTTGCCCCATGCCATCCCAACCTCTGGCAATCTCGGCTGAGGACCTTAACACATGAGCTGCTCCCTATAGGGAAAGGGGTCTCTATTTTTTTATTTTCAATACCATCCTTCATCTGAGGGGTCACAGGGTGGTTTACAATATAAAAAACACAAAAATACACAACGTAATGACAGACAAAACAGTGCCCCCCCCCAACCCAAACACAGAAAATTGTAGGGATGGCTGCAATAGCTGCTAGTGGGGAGATGAAGTGGGGGCTGCTTGGGGTGGCCTAAGGGTGGACAAGTCACAATGACTGTCTTCTGTCTCCCCACCCCCCTCAGTTATGAAACTCTCTTATTATGGGTTGACTTGGGGTGAATTTTCTCCAAGGGGCTCTAAGTGGTGTACATAGTTCTCCCCCTCCCCCTTCAACCCCCACAACAACCCTGTGAGGTAGGTTAGGCTGAGGGGCAGTGACTGGCCTCCAAGATCACTAAGTGAATGGGATATTGGAACCGTGGCTTCCCAGGTCCCAGACCGGCACTCTTGACAACTGGACCACACTGTCTTTCTCTAGCTTCTTGCCATGAGACCTTTGTGACAGAACAGGCTATGCATCCGAAGAAATAATGGGAGCAGGTAAAGGTGGCTGTTTATGAAGCAGTGTGGGCACGAAGGGTCAAGGGGGCAGGTGCAAGGAAGCATGGCATGTGGCTTATAAGAGTTTGGCACGTTCCAGATTCTCCCTCATTCTTTATTCCATAAACAGCATATGTTTTGTACTCACGGAAATGATCAGTCTGTATTTATTGAGCCTGAAATAATGTGCCAACAGTTTTCCGCCGCTGAAAATGGTAAAACACCCTTCTGCTACTTGGCAGGATTGGCCTTCTGCCGTTTCAAAGGCTGTCCTGCAACAGAAACCCTTGTCAACGGAGACAAATAACTACTGTCCAAAAAGCTGCCTGTGGTTATTATGAGCTGTGTATTCAAATTGAGTGAATGTATCAACTAGCCCAGGGGTCAGCAACTTTTTCAGCAGGGGGCCGGTCCACTGTCCCTCAGACTTTGTGTGGGGCCAGACTATATTTTGAAGAAAAACAACAACGAATTCCTGTGCCCCACAAATAACCCAGAGATGCGTTTTAAATAAAAGTGCACATTCTACTCATGTAAAAACACCAGGCAGGCCCCACAAATAACCCAGAGATGCATTTTAAATAAAAGCATACATCCTACTCATGTAGAAACACGCTGATTCTCGGACCGTCCACGGGCCGGATTTAGAAGCTGATTGGGCCGGATCCTGCACCTGGGCCTTAGCTTGCCTACCCATGAACTAGCCAGAGTGGTGTTTGGAGAGCCCATCATAGCCTGAAGGTTGGTCGGCGGGGGGGGGGGCGGGGCGGGCAAAGGAATGCCACTTGAAAAAGCAGCAGTTAGGGCTGTGGCATTGCAACACAGCTTATTGTGAGATGAAACGGAACCTTACCCATAACACTTCTTCGCTCGTTTCATTGGATGGGGTGGAATCCAGGGGGGCATTTCTGCCAGAGTGGCTGTAATCTCTTGGGATGGAGCTTGCATGAACTGACCCCTTTTTCCTATCGTCCATTGAGCAGATGTCTCCAACAGGCGATTTCTAAATCTCCTTCAATTAGCTAGAGTGGAAATGCCTCTAATTGCTGGGAAGTGAAATGCAAGTGAAAATTTAAAAGTGAAGCAAGCCTTGGCCTCTGCCCACCCAGAGACATTTCTGTTTATTCACGAGGGTGCTGACCAGTCCCCTTTGGTGGATGTGCTTGAAAAGTATCGCCTTTCTCTAAAAGCATATTGATTGGTGGATGTGCTTCCGGAGGCTTTTCTCTTGGCAGAGTTGCTTCTTCTGATTGATACATCTCGTCCAAATGGACAGAGCGCTGGCTTGTAATTCACTTAGGAAGGGCAATTAATACATCTGGTGTGACGATCAAAGCTCTGCAGCAACACTCAGAGCGAGTGTGTTGTTGTGTTGTTTTAGTTACAGACACCAGCAAGCAGGCTTCTCTTTGCCAAATGTGCAGCCCTGGGGATGTTCCACAGTTGCGGGGCAGCCCTTGTAAAATTTCCAGGCTGGGAGTGCAGCGAATCCAGGAGGTCCTTATCTAATCTTTTGGCTTGCGACAGAGCTAATTTGGTTTGGGATGGGGGTGTTCCTGTATCATCTGCAAAAGCTTTTTTTGTTTTTCTTTGAAGTGGAGAGATTCCCCTTTTGGTTGTTTAGGATTTGCACTTCCTACAGCAGCCCACAAGCCACATTCATTTCTTCAAGTGTTTGTATGTGGTTCACAGGCACCTGGAGAATCCATTACTGTAACATAATGCAATAATAGTAAACTCAGATCTCTGAGTGCTGGTCCTTGTGTGTCCAAAATGGCACCATCCATGCAAAAGAAGGAGGTACCAGAAGGCTTTGGAATACATGAAGGGCAGGGAGAGGAGGCAAAACAGCCAGTAAGATCTGAGCGTATTCAATGCCATGAGATGCTGGCTCACTGCTTAGAGGCGAGGGAATGGAGTATCCTGGAGCAGGGCATAGCTGGCTAGGGCCCTCAATAGGGATACTCCATACAGCAATACAGTCATACCTTGGGTTGAATGTGCTTCAGGTTGAGCGCTTTCGGGTTGCACGCTGCAGCAACCCAGAAGTAACGGAGCGCAGAAGCGGCAAAACGCGACATCCGCAGACGTGCTGTCATGTCTTACGTTCCATTCAGGATGCGAACGGGGCTCCGGAACGGATCGCGTTCGCATCCCGAGGTACCACTGTATATTGTTTTCATTCTAGCTCTTATGGTTACAGAAATGTAACTTGAGAAACAGACTTGAGGAAATAGGATCCAGCCCAAGAGCCAAATCCTTATCTCCCCCATGGGCCAAGTGTCCGAAATGTAACTTGTCAGCAGTGGACAATCAATATTTGTATCCTTGTTTTTCAGAAGAGCTCAGAAGGGGTGTTTTAACCTCGCAACAGCCGTGTGACGTAGATTAGCCAGGAGAGTGTCACCTGCCCAGGACCACCCTCTCTGACTGGCAGCTTAAGAGGAGTCTGATTTGGGGTTTTCCTGATCCAAGTTTGGTGCTAGCTACTACAGTAACTGCTACCATCTATCACGGGATCTCTTGGACCTGGTGAGCTGAGCAAGTGATGGAAGAAATCTGCTCCCAATAAACCCTTGCTCAGAATAAAGAGGCAGCCTGTGTGTTCAGGTAGCTCCTTCTCAGATGCATTTCTGAAGGCTTGTTTACCCAGTCATGGATCAGATGCTATCTCCAGTTAATTGGGGGAACAACCCCTGCCTGCACCAGTAAGGCCTCCCAGGATGTCCCAGTCGTGTAGCTTGACTGAGTGCTGTGTACTGTAGCTCTTTCACAAGGTCACTGGGTTTCTCTATGAAACTGATTTCTATCCACCAGTAGAACTGAGGCTGATACTGATTGTCCCATGATATATATGAGATGGATGACTCAAAATTGTGTTTGTCTAGGTCTGTAGTAAAAGCGAGTCTAGTCTTGCCAGGAGTTGATTGTCTTCCAGCTCATTTTAACCTCTTTTACCCCTTGGACATGCCAACCAAAAGAGAGGTTTGTTGCAGGGGGTTGTGCCCCATGATAATAACTGATCATGGAAGAAATACAAAAGCACTCTCAAAATGTTTCACAGAATTGACAAACCCTCCGATGCAAAAAGCAGATCTGTAGCTCTTGGCCCCTTCTGGCAAGCTGACACTGTTGGGTATAATAACTAGTTTGGAACCACTTCAAAGGAGGAGAGGATCTCTCAGTAAGGAAGCAACCAAAGGAGAACCCAGGGAAACTGAAGATGAAACCATTTGTAAACCTTGCAATAGTCCCTAAGGCATGTGGCACAATTGCAAATTCTTCATGAGGGGAGGGAGAATTATTTGGCTTTGAAATGTTTGCCGTTGGAGTTGCCTCTCTACAAATGGTGAGGGCTAGAAACTTGCTGCTTTAAACAAGATGAGAACTAGAATTCTCAGGGTCTAATGAACCCTGGGGCAAAAGAGCCCTGGGGGTGAGCTGTGATTCTTACTGGGTATCTACAAATTGCCGTTTGCTGGAAACCCCCAGCTGCAAGGTTGGAGGGGGAAGAGATGTGATTGACTCTGGCAGCGCGAAAGAATGCTCTCAATACGAAGCACCAAACAAGGCCTGAAAGCTAGCCAAGAAGCAGCTTTCTCTTGCCAGCGAAAACATTAACTAATCCCAGCAACATTTTAAAGAAAATGCTCAACCTCTGGTAACGGAACAAACCTGCTGGATGAATAAATATATTGTTCTTTGCCTCTTACAACTCTGGCTGGGGATAAAAAGACTTGTGGAAATCAGACTCCGGAAGCATCGTTGTTGAGTTCAGGAAGTGGACTGCTTGTAGGCAGTGGGAGGAGAGGGGCCTGGATATGCACAAGGTGGTCCTGTCTAGTATTACCCCAAAGATCTGGTCATTCAGACTCCCTGCTGTACTACTGCATTTCCCCAAATCTCCCAGTGTCCTCTTTTTAAAAGATTCCGCTTGCATTGGCCACGAAGATTTGAATGAAAATTCTGCTTGAGCATCACTGCTTGTTCTTATGAGTGAGTAACTTCAGAACCAAACCCCTTGCCTATTCTTGATCAGAATATGGTTCGGTCTAGTCCGCCTTTCCAACTCCTAGCAGAAACTTACAAGCATGTGGTATATTCTGTGGTATATTGCCTCTGCATGAGTAGGCTCTCCTTTGTTGTCGCAGGGGCTGGAGCCCCTCCCCTAGGAAATAAGGTGCCTATGTTGGGGGTCTTTTAGTTTGTGGGGAGGAAAAGTGATAAAGGGGGACATGATAAAATAATGCATGGTCTGGGGGAAAAGGAAGTTTTCATCTGTCTCATAGTACCAGAGCCTAGGACCATCTGATGCGGAAGCTCAATGTTAAAAACATGGAATCTTCTGCCACAAGGTGTGGTGACAGCCAGAAAGTTGGATGGCTTTAAAAGGGGTTTAGATCAGTTTCTGGAGGATAAGTCTATCAGCGGGTGTGAGCCGCAATGGCTGTGTTCTACCTCCACCACCAGGAATAGGAGGATTCTGAATACCATTTGATGGGAATCCCAAGTGGGAAGAGCTGAGGTTGCTCTCAGGCCCTACTTATCTCAGGGATCTGGCCGGCCACTGTGGGTAACATGATGCTCGACTAGGTGTAGATGAGACCTCTGCTCCATGAATGTATCTAATTTTTTAAAAGCCATCTAAACCAGAAGCACTTGCTTCTCTCTTAATGAATTCTGTGTGTGAAATTGTGCTTAATATTTTCAACTGTTATATGTATAGCTTATTGTTGTAGGGAGCCCAAGAAGAAAGGTCCCTGCCCTGAGATGCTTACGATCTAAAATTTGACCCCCGGGCATCACCTACCTGGCACCTGCGATTATCAAGGGGGATATTGTTTGGTTTGTTGCTGTGTATTTTTGTGGTTTTGTACTGTAAACCGCCCTATGATCCTTCAGATGTCCTCTAAATGTCAGATAGTTGTTTATTTCTTTGACATCGGATGGGAGGGCGTTCCACAGGGCAGGCACCACTACCGAGAAGGCCCTCTGCCTGGTTCCCTGTAACTTCGCTTCTCGCAGTGAGGGAACCACCAGAAGGCCCTCGGAGCTGGACCTCAGTGTCCAGGCAGAACGATGGGGGTGGAGACGCTCCTTCAGGTATACTGGGCCGAGGCCGTTTAGGGCTTTAAAGGTCAGCACCAACACTTTGAATTGTGCTCGGAAATGTACTGGGAGCCGGTGTAGGTGTAACCAAGTGCAGCCTGTATGTAAAAAAAGGTCTGCTTTTTCAAATGAAAAATTTCATGGTTTTGAGTGGAAAGAAAGAGGGGGGAGGGGAGGAAGAAGAGATATTTTTACATCTGAGTCGGAAGCCTCGTTATTTTGCAGAGCCTTATGCTCTAATTTTGAGTGCCTGAAGAACATATGGAAGACTGTCTCTTTGAACATCTATGCTCGAGAGGGGGGGGAAGCCTCCCATCTGTTCAGTGTACAGTTTGATGCGTTCATAGACTGGACAGGGTGGAAGCCTCTTGCCTGTGCCCTTTGTGCTATTCACAATTTCATGGATGCATATTGATAATGTGGTGGTGTGGACAGAGCCAGGCATCTCAAAATCTGATACCTGGAAGCTTTAATTATTATTTTTTAAGGCTTGTGCTGCAAGGTGCCTAAGTTTAATTCTATCACCTTAAAAAGCCACTTCTTGTGTCTAGGAATAATTTTAGCTCACATATATATATATTTAGAGTGATGTTGAACTTGAATGACATTACTTTGGTGACTTACAGATGCAAATAGCCTGACATGTGGAAATGTGATAATTGGGCAGGGGAAGTAGGCACAAGACAGATGGGGAGCCTGTTGTCTTAACACTGCAGGAGAAAAACGTAGCGTGGCTGCAATTTTAAGGCAGTGAACTCCGAATTGATTAAAAATGGAAGTACTCTGAGAATCCATTAGACTGTCTGTCGGTATGCCTGTACTTCCAACAATTTAAAGCCGCATTTTCTGCCAGAACGGCACTTGGAGTGACATGCAACATGGCAATGAAATAAAGCAGTAATAAAAAATTCACAAAACACCAACATAATCCTAAAAGCCAAAGACAGATAGATGAAGCAGCAGCAGTTAAGAACAGGGCACAGTCAGCCAGAAGGAATTCTTGAAAAAGAAGAAATGTTTTTGCCAGATGTTGAACGGACAACAAGGAAAGATTTCCTGGGGAAGCAGCCTCTGCAGATGGAGTGGCACCACGACTGTATATGTTGAGCCCCTGTGTCTTCCATCCACCCCAAATGTCTCTCTTGTCAATCTGAGAGAACGGGGCGGGATGTATGGGAGCAGGTGCTTCCTAAGGTACTCAGGACCCCGGCCATTTAGGACTTCAAAGCTCAAAACCTGCATATTAGATTACATCCAGGAGCAAATAAGCAGCCAGTGAAGCTTCCCTCTGAAAATCAGATAGTGTCCATACATGGCTTGTAAAACCTCAAGACAGGTCTGAGGCAGTTTGAGGCTGGACGTGCTTGTGCAAGCTCTGATCGCCAGACCAAGCCCCACCTCCACATAACTAACGGATCTGTGTTACAGGTGGGAGCCAAGTTATCCTTTGACACTCTTGAGTAATTTATCTTTCAGGGGCTGGGAGAACGGGCAAGTTCAGGGTGGCCGTGGGGCTCTGCCCCCCTGCTCAGTGAACTTGTCCGCTGCCTCCAGTTTTGCCTGTTAGTGCGTCTCTGATCTTCTCTAGCCTGGTTTGTTGGGGGTCCTCTTCCAGGGGATTTCAAAGGTCTGTTCTGAGCATCCATTATGGCACTGAGTCAGTGCGGGGCTCTAGTAGCATGGCAGCCAGGTTTGAGCTCTGTGATCTGCTGGGATGCATTTTGAGAATTCTCTTCTAATGGTAAGTGGTAGAAAAATATTATTAAGTTAACTAAATGAACTGTATAGATTACATACCCCTAGCCTCGTCTTCTAGATGCTGTAGGTCTTGAAGCCAATTGGGGATCAGGCGGTTTTGTGAATGGATCCCCCAAATCCAAGGTCTCATTGCTGACTCTCTCTCTCCTCCACCCGCCCTGCAATGGTGTGGGCAGCACTGGAATGTTAATGGCTTGCCCATTTCTACCGTGAATGACTTTTTTGTTGCCGTTGTGTAAGAAATTTCCTGGCTACCCAACCTTGCCTCTTGCCCTCGAGTTCAACTGCACCTGCGTCTCTTAATAAAAGCAGATTTTCTCTGGCACGGAGGAATGTGCACAGTGGAGTCAGGCAGTCTGCTTTTGAAAAACAACCGCTACGCATCGTCCTTGTGCAGCCGATATCTCCCGGCAGTTCTCCCAGTTTGCGCAAGGCTTTGCTCAGGATTTGGGCCTTGCTTTTCTCCAAGGTTTCCATAATTGTTAAGATGGAAGCTTTCACTGTGCTCTTCTTCCTCCATCCCTCCCCCCTCCCTCCTTTTCTCTCCAGGCTTAATGAGAACACACTCATTCAGGAAAGAAAAGAGAGGCAATTTCTGAGCGCTTTGCTGATTTGGCTAATCCCAGATAGCTAATTCTCTTGTATGGGCCCAGTGAGGCAGGCTGCTGCGTAAGTCCCAAACACAGCTCAGCAGCAGCATTTGTGCACCCGCATTGGGGAAAAAAATATTTGTGTTGCTTTGCTTTCCTCCAAGGAAGAAAACCTCTGCTTTTTGCTAGCACCTGCTCCCTTTATGTGACTTTAATGGGAGATTTCAGAACTAGGGCTGCTGCAGAGAGGATATTAGGGGGGCAGGAACCCCCAGCTCTCAGGGCCTTAGACTTCCATAATCCTACCCTTCTCATACTCCTCACCTTGTTGTTCTTTAACCCTTTGAGTTAGCTCCTTGAAATAGCTGTGCTGTTCTGGTAATTGGTGAAGCACAGTGCAGCCTCCGTTCCCTTAAGAAGATTCCAAAAAGACAGACAGCTGTGTTGATCTATTATTTTGCTGACACCCACAGAGCAGGAGCACTGAGCAGAAGGCCCAGTTTATTAGACTCAGCACAGCTGCATTCCTGAGCGTGATTCCCTGGGAGGGAGCACCACTGATCTCAGAGGTGTTGACTCCTGGCTGAATCGGGTCAACTTGTAAAACACCTTGAGCTTTAACAAAAGATACTCAGCCCGCTGAATTTCAGTCTCTAGCTTTTAACTGGAATTGCAGACCATCTTCCGAATAATTATTACTGTTTGAAATGCTGGTGTGAAGTTAGGAGCTGCATCAGATAAAAGGAATGGATCTGACCTCTTTGTGATTGTTGTCTTCATTCTCAGGCTGCTTCTATGCTAATTTGTCTGTCTGTCGTGCAATTAGACTGGAAAGTTTCATTATCCCTTTATTTGTTTCCCAGTAACTGTAGTGCTCGTGCAGGTGAGCTCATTGTTCCTGCTCTAGATAAAAGCCCAGAAGGAGCTGCACTTCTCTGCATTTCCCCTCCTCCACTTCACCAGTGGTTGAAGCACCATCTCTTGTGCAAGCTGCTCTTGGAAATAAAATGCTGCAGAGGGGGAATTCCTTCCCTTCAAGCCAATTGCATCTGAGAGATGCACACTTAAGCCCAGGAACTGCAGAGGAAAAGGAAGCTCAAACCTCCCTCTCATGTGATTAAAGGTACAGTGGTACCTTGGGTTACATACGCTTCAGGTTACATACGCTTCAGGTTACAGACTCCGCTAACCCAGAAATAGTGCTTCAGGTTAAGAACTTTGCTTCAGAATGAGAACGGAAATCGGGCTCCGGCAGCGCGGCAGCAGCAGGAGGCCCCATTAGCTAAAGTGGTGCTTCAGGTTAAGAATAGTTTCAGGTTAAGAACAGACCTCCGGAACGAATTAAGTACTTAACCCGAGATACCACTTTAAAGGTAAAGGGACCCCTGACAGTTAAGTCCAGTCGTGAACGACTCTGGGATTGCGGCGCTCATCTCGCTTTACAGGCTGAGGGAGCCGGCGTTTGTCTGCTTCCGCAGACAGTTTTTCCGGGTCATGTGGCAAGCATGACTAAGCCGCTTCTGGTGAAACCAGAGCAGCGCACAGAAATGCCATTTACCTTCCCGCCAGAGCGGTACCTATTTATCTACTTGCACTGTGCGCTTTCGAACTGCTAGGTTGGCAGGAGCAGGGACTGAGCAACGGGAGCTCACCCCGTCGCGGGGATTCGAACAGCTGACCTTTCGATCGGCAAACCCAAGCGGCGCAGTGGTTTAACCCACAGCGCCACCCGCGTCCCTCTCATGTGATTAGTCTGCTGCATATATCTTCAGGTTCCTCGTTTATTTTACCACGCCAGTTGCCTCCTCTCCCCCCTTTCACGTTCCTGCCACAGAGGTCTGCGTGCCCATGGTGAACTTGCCAGCATTGCTACATCCTCGGCCTTTTCTCCTTGGCTTTGCCCCAGAGAACCAAAGACAAGTGTTTGGGAAACTTTATTCTCCTATGTGGTGCTATCTGCATACAGGCACGGGATGGAATGCAACGATTGTCTCATCTTGCTGATGGGAGTCCGACAGGGAGAGGTGTGTAATCTGTCCGCCTGTTAAATGGAATTTTCGAGTCCGGTGGAGAAAGAGAAGAGCAGAGGCCCAATCGCTGAAGCAAGGTGCCTCTTCCAGGTGTGTGGCTTCGTGGTTAGGCCCAGGGCAAGAGCCTCAGACACGAGTGAGCTGCATATGCAAGTGAACCAGAGGGGCAGTGTGGTGCAGTGGTTAGAGTGTTGGACTAGGGTCTGGGAGGTAAAGGTAAAGGGACCCCTGACCATTAGGTCCAGTCGTGACCGACTCTGGGGTTGCGGCGCTCATCTTGCTTTATTGGCTGAGGGAGCCGGCATACAGCTTCCGGGTCATGTGGCCAGCAGGACTAAGCCGCTTCTGGCGAACCAGAGCAGCGCACAGAAACGCCGTTTACCTTCCGCCGGAGCGGTACCTATTTATCTACTTGCACTTTGACGTGCTTTCGAACTGCTAGATTGGCAGGAGCAGGGACCGAGCAACAGGAGCTCACCCGTCGTGGGGATTCAAACTGCCGACCTTCTGATCGGCAAGTCCTAGGCTCTGTGGTTTAACCCACAGCGCCACTCGCGTCCCAGGATCTGGGAGACCATGGTTCAAATCCACCCCCCATTAGGCCATGACACTCATTGGGTGTGACCTTAGGCCAGTCACTGCTTCTCAGCCTAACCCACCTCACAGGGTGGGGATTAAATGAGATGAGGCAGAGTTGTGTACCCCACCTTGAGCTCATCAGAGGAGAAGGTTGGGACATATACACAATATCAACTTGTGAATTGTGAGTGGTCCTAATAGTGCTGCTTGTTTGCACCTCTTGCTCTTAATCCAGATAACTAGGAAGTCTCTGGAAATTCCAGAAACTTCCTCGCTCTCAGCTTCATGCTAATCCACTGCTGGAGTGCACAGAATTCCTAGGAATTTTCCTGTGCTTGAGATGGTTCAGTTGTTGCCTCCTTTCTGTGTCTCCCTTCCTTTGTTTACATTGTGCTTTGAAAAGGAATGAGGGTTTTGAATGTTGGGGACATGTTTGACTGAGCAAACTCTGGCAGACTCTTTCTGACATAGCCAGCCTTGCAGGAGGGAACTTGGAGTATTTAGAGTGAAAATGACAAGGCAATTGTCAGGAATTACTTTAATGGGTAGGAATTAGTTTTAAATTATTCTCATTATAAATAGCTGGTATCGTAGTTCCTGGCTCTGAAGCAAGCAAGATGGAATGATGTGTCACAGCAAAGAAAGGTTGTGATTAATAAAACGAATCTTAGTTAAACTAGCACAAAACACACACACACACACACAGAGAGAGAGAGAGAAAAGCTTGGTAAATCAATTAGATTCATCCATTTCCCTACAGATCTGCCTCTAAGTCATTCTACAGGAGTTGGCTGAGACTTGCAGAGCTTTGTGGGATGGGGGAGAGAGAAGATGCTCAAGTATTAGGCTGCATCTTTTAATTATATATTGACACCTGCTTTACAGAGGGAAATGGGGAGAGCTGAGACTTCCTAGATTTTCTGTAGTGGGGAGGTGCCATTCTCTAGTGGAGAGGTTGTCCCAGCGCCATCGTGGTTGAGATGAGCAACAGGCGAGGAAAGGGAGGAGTTGTTTAGCAGCGGAACCTTCCCCTTAGACTCACTTAGATATTTTTTAAGTAATGGGTATGCTTCCCGCTAATGAAGATTAGTAGCAATTGCTGTGAGTTCCACCAAACTGTCCTTCCCTCCCATCCCACGTGTGTGTTTTTAGCAGGGAAAATATGCTGTAATTTTGGTAACGATGTAAAGAGCTAATTAAGGGTCTTGCTCAATCAACTAGCAGCTTAATTACCACCAAATAGTAATCGCTTGCGGAAGCGCTGCTGCCGCCGCAAGCCCTGTGACATTTATGGTTCTGCACCTGAGGGCGTTGTGCAAAATGGGGAAAGGACATCCCCCCCTTTTAAAAGGCCCATCGCAACTGGGATTTCTGGAGGTGGTGGGAGGAATCTGCTGAGGATTGTGATTCCTTAAACATCCATGTCTTCCCTTTCCTCTGGGGAGTGCACAGGGTGGCCTATATGGGCCTCCTACAGGGAGGTCTGCTATTCAGACACCACTCAGACTGTCTTTGCCTCCACAAGGCGCCTTCTGACCACCTCTTTGGCCATTCAAAGCAAAACAGTAAACCCCTGTAAGGGGGGAGGAGTGAGTTTTCCTTGCGTATTTTCCTTGTCTTCAAATATTCCTCCCTGGGCCATTGCTCACTGGCAGAAGGTCCTGGCTTCCACCCTCAACATTTTCCAGGAGGGCTGGGTCAGGCTCCTGTCTGAAACCCTGGACTGCTGATGCCAGACGGTGTGTAGACAATGAAGACTTAACTGGACCAGCGGCCTGACTGTGTACAATGCAACTTCCTGTCTGGCTTGTCTAACCTGACAGCACCACTGCTGTTTGTGTGTGGAGGGCTGGACCAGCATTTCCGTGGCTCAGCCTTGCCTCCCAGTTCCTGTGGCCCCAGGGAAGGCTTTGCGCCTGGTGTCTCCACCAGAGGCATCCCTGCCACAAGGCAAGGTGAGATGGTCACCTCCAGTGGTACATTTTGGGTGGCCGAGTGAGGGAGAGGGACTTGACCAAGGGCACAGTGTTGGGTTTTCATTTCCATGCTGCCTCAAAACAGCTGGATCGCATTCTGTGTTTTAAATGATGCGCTCTGTCCCACTCAAGCCGCCTAAAGAACCGCCGTCTGGCAGTTCCCTTGCTGCATGAAGCCAGGTTACAGGGAACCAGGCAGAGGGCCTTCTCGGTAGAGTGGTACCTCGGGTTAAGTACTTAATTCGTTCTGGAGATCCGTTCTTAACCTGAAACTGTTCTTAACCTGAAGCACCACTTTAGCTAATGGGGCCTGCTGCTGCTGCCACCGCACTGCTGGAGCACGATTTCTGTTCTCATCCCAAAGCAAAGTTCTAAACCCGAGGTACTGCTTCTAGGTTAGCGGAGTCTGTAACCTGAAGCGTATGTAACCTGAAGCGTATGTAACCCGAGGTACCACTGTAGTGGCGCCCGCCCTGTGGAACTCCCTCCCACCAGATGTCAGAGAAAAACAACTACCAGACTTTTAGAAGACATCTGAAGGCAGCCCTGTTTAAGGAAGCTTTTAATGTTTAATAGACTATTGTACAGTGGTACCTCGGGTTAAGTACTTAACTTGTTCTGGAGGTCTGTTCTTAACCTGAAACTGTTCTTAATCTGAAGCACCATTTTAGCTAATTGGGCTTCCTGCTGCTGCCGCGCCGCTGGAGCACGATTTCTGTTCTCATCCTGAAGCAAAGTTCTTAACCGGAGGTAATATTTCTGGGTTAGCAGAGTCTGTAACCTGAAGCGTATGTAACCCGAGGTACCACTGTATTTTAATATTTTGTGGGAAGCCTCCCAGAGTGGCTGGGGAATAAATTTATTATTAATTAATTGATTATTATAAAATGCCGTAGACTGGTCCTGAAGGCCACGTGACTGCTGAAGAGTTCAGCGGCCGGCCTGCTCTTGAGGTGGGATAGCTGGAGATGCCTGTGTCAGATCTCTCTGCATTCCTGGCATGCCTGCTGGTCCCCCTGCCTCCCTCCTATGCCCCTCTCTCCTTTGAACGCTGCTCAGGCGCTGACTGCAATTGGCCAGAGCCTCCTGCATCTCTCAGAGCTGCAGTCCATGCATAGGCTTGTGTGTTTGTGTGCTGAGAGATGATAGACCTCTTGTTGCCCTCCCTCCTTGTTTAATGCCTGCATCTACCCATTTGCCTTCTGGGCATGCTAATCCCTAGAGCATGGGTAGGCAAACTAAGGCCCCGGGGCCGGATCCGGCCCAATCGCCTTCTAAATCTGGCCTGCGGACGGTCTGAGAATCAGTGTGTTCTTACATGAGCAGAATGTGTGCTTTTATTTAAAATTCATCTCTGGGTTATTTGTGGGGCCTGCCTAGTGTTTTTACATGAGTAGAATGTGTCCTTTTATTTAAAATGCATCTCTGAGTTATTTGTCAGGCATAGGAATTTGTTCACCCCCCAAAAGAATACATAGTCCGGCCCCCCACAAGGTCTGAGGGACAGTGGACCGGCCCCCTGCTGAAAATGTTTGCTGACCCCTGCCCTAGAGAAAGGGATGAAATCAGAAGGTGCCTGACTCTTTGAGAGGGAGGGAAGTGAGTGCATTTAGCTGGACCAGCAATGTCCAGAAGTCCAGTTTGGCACAGACCCATTCTGAGCTTGGCTTTTCCGAGGTCTCTGTCTGGTGTCCCGATGGCAAAAGCTCTGGCGCAGAATATTTCAGCGCCTCTTGAGTGAAGCTGGCAGCCAGACTCTGGCAGTGGCTGATAGTTCTCAGATATGACTAATAGAGAGTCACTCTCCTGGCAGCAGATGTGAGGGATTTCATAGGTCACTTTGCACACTCTTATCTGGTTACAGGGGAATGAGTTTCCGCTGGCAAGAGAGGAGGCCCATTGGGAACGCTTCTGAGGCCAGTGGGCTTGAATGGGCAGAGCCTGCTGAACCTTGAAGCTCACAGGGAGCCGGGTGCAAATCACTAATTCAGTTCGAACTATATTTGAGGATATATCAGACATGTTCTGGCCTGTGGGAAGCAATAATTTCTTCTAGAGCTCTGATCTTACATCAGAAGAGCCGGATGGATCAGACCAATGGCCCATCTAGTCCGTTATCCTGTTCTCACAATGGCTGACAAAATGCTCATGGTAAGCCCAAAAGCAGAACCCGAGCACAAGAGCCTTTTCCTTTCCTGTGGTTTCCAGCAACTGCTATTTGGAAGCTTGAACTGTGGAGGCAGAACATAGTCATGGCAAATAGCTATCAATAGCCCTCCTCATCGTTTGTCTCAATCTTTTAGAGCCGTCTAGGTTGGCGCCCATCACTGTCTCCTGTGCAAGCGAGTTCCATAGTTTAACAATCTTCAGCTGGTGTGTTTGGACCCCCTACTGCAGCGGTTCTCAACCGGTTGCTCCCCAGATGTAGTTGGACTACAACTCCCATCATCCCTGAGCTCTGGCCTTGCTAGCTAGGGATGATGGGAGTTGTAGTCCAACAGCATCTGGGGACCCACAGGTTGAGAACCGCTGCCCTACTGGGTCAGGTGGGTTGCAACAGGAGCACCAGTACAATTCAAAGGTGGAGCCCTGGGTTTGAAAAGGTTGAAGACTACAGTGGTACCTCTGGTTACATACGCTTCAGGTTACAGACTCAGCTAACCCAGAAATAGTTAAGAACTTTGCTTTAGGATGAGAGCAGAAATCATGCTCCGGCAGCGCAGCAGCAGCAGGAGGCCCCATTAGCTAAAGTGGTGCTTCAGGTGAAGAACAGTTTCAAGTTAAGAACGGACCTCCGGAACGAATTAAGTACTTAACCTGAGGTACCACTGTACTGGTCTAGAGAGCTGGTAGGAAAGGTCTTGTAAGCAGGATGGGAAGGAGTAGTAATGTGAGGTGAGAATATTCTCTGCTAGAAAATTCTCCATAGAATATTCTCCACAAACTGTAAATTCTAATGTAAGAACCAGTTTTACAACCCACATTAAAAAAATCTAGTAAATAATAAGTCAAGCTGTGATATTGCCAGTGTAAGTAATGAAAAATGATTTTTTTTTATCCAGTTACATTACTGGGCATTGTGTCATTCACCATTGGCAGTTGGCAACATAATTAGAATTCAAAGTTGATGGTAAGCATATGGTTAGTGGCAGGCTTAGTGATTAACATGAGACATTCACGTTGAATTTTCAATTTCAAGTTTGGTGCAAAAAATCAAAAAATGTGAATTCACTGCATTGCCCCATTGAATAGAAGTATCTGTACAGTTTTTGGTTGCCATCTGAACAAGTTTACCCATGAATAAACATGTATATTAACTAATTATACCATTTTCAGTTCATTAAAATTATATTTAAAATGAATATTCTCCTATTTTAAATGAAAATTCTCTAATATTCTCATTAATCGAGAATATTCTTGAGAATATTCTCCAAAAGTTTATTCTCGAGAATTTAACATCACTGGTAACGAGGTCTCCCTTTTTTACTTCTTGCAGATATGATTTAAACAAACCTAAGGGCAAGTGGACCAGCAGGGCATTGTGGATTCACTGGCATCTTCAGCTACCCCACCTCAAGAGCAGGCAGGCTAGTTGCCCAAGTGCGTAAGGCCCATGGTTGCAGAAATTGCAGCCCTGTTCAGGACTTGCTTTTGACCCCCTCTTCCACCCCCCCACCATAACACAGAATGACAAATACCAGGGGTGGCTCTCCAGGTGGTGTTGGACTCCCAGTAGCCCCCATCCACCACAACCAGTGGCTGATAATGAGAATGGTAGTCCAACAATATCTGGAGAGCCACGGTTTCGCTCTTCCTGCCATATGCAAACAGTTGTGTGGGTGAGGGGAGCCAAGATAACGCCTTTAAACCCTTTTAATTTTTACTTTCCTGTCGGGGGTGGCTCTGACGGGTTGTGATGTTCTTTATTAATGAGCACTTTGGAATCCTTTGGTGTCAAGTATAGCTTTGTAGAATTGGGTAGGAAGTCGCTTGAGGAATGTGAGGAAGCCCAGGCCTGTGAAGCTTCAGCCTCTGCTCGTTAATGTCACAGGGAAGCCTTTATCTCTGACTTCCCCCCTGCACGATGTGCCGGCTTTCCCATCACAAATATTTCTGTTTGGCTGATTGAAAACAGATGTGCGATGTGTGGTGGACGCCTGGGAGAAGCTGGAGAAGCGTAATGATACCATTCTGTGAAAAGATCAGTGAGAGGACTTCTGTCAAGGGGTTTTAGGGGAGTGACAAAGTATTTGGAAAGTTGTGGAGCAGCGTTGGCTGCATCCCTTGGATGCCTTCAGAGGTTGAGCCGTAATTCCTCCTTCAGGCCTTGGATGCAGTCCGCCAAGCCCTGTCAAATGGGTGGCAGGTTTTCAGAAAAGGTGATATATGTCTTGAGTTTTGGGGTAGAGACAATGGTTCACACGAAACTCTTGTGTGCATAATAGGTAAAGGTAAAGGGACCCCTGACCATTAGGTCCAGTCGTGGCCGACTCTGGGATTGCGACGCTCATCTCGCTTTATTGGCCGAGGGAGCCGGCGTACAGCTTCCGGGTCATGTGGCCAGCATGACTAAGCCGCTTCTGGCGAACCAGAGCAGCGCACGGAAATGCCGTTTACCTTCCCGCCAGAGCGGTACCTATTTATCTACTTGCACTTTGACATGCTTTTGAACTGCTAGGCTGGCAGGAGCAGGGACCGAGCAACGGGAGCTCACCCCGTCGCGGGGATTCGAACCACCGACCTTCTGATCGGCAAGCCCTAGGCTCTGTGGTTTAACCCACAGCGCCACCCGCGTCCCACCCACCACCCGTGTGCATAATAATAATAATTCTGTACTTTGATCCTGCCGTAGTTCATTTCTGGGTTCACCATCTATGGTTGACTCGAAACAAGCTGCGTTGCAGAGAACCTTTTGTGAAGGCCACATATATGGTGCTTCCCCTTCACCCTTATCGTCTTCCTCCCCCCCCCCCCCCGATCATCTCGAACCAGGGGTGTGTTTTGAAGCATCACCGCAAAGCTCCTCATGTGCCCTGAGATCTGGGCTGCAGCTAATCACTGCTTCCTCTCTCTCTCACACATCTTGGCTTTTATGTGTGAATTCATTATGCAAGGTTTCTTTCTTGGTTTTTAAAGTCTGTGTCGATTTATTTCATAGGAAATCCTGATATATTTCAAAGGAGCAGGCTTGCAGATGGCTGGCGCTTTTCCATTTTAAAACGGTTAATTTCAAATCTCTTCCATTTTTATTAGAAATGCGCTGCTTTCCCCAGTCTTACCTGATCCGGCGCCGGATGCCTGTTTGCCATGTTTATGAAAGACACATTTAGTTTGGGTATAGTTCCTTTTCACCACGATGTTTTCCAGTTTGGGTCAGTGTTAGAAACTCAGATATATAAGTTGGACCTAAATGGCTCTGTAAACCAAGGTTTGTTGTTGTTTAGTCGTTTAGTCGTGTCCGACTCTTCGTGACCCCATGGACCAGAGCATGCCAGGCACTCCTGTCTTCCACTGCCTCCCACAGTTTGGTCAAATCAAGGTTACAGTTGCCAAAATGGAATGTCTAGTTGCCATTTGGGGGCAAGAGGGCTCTCAAGTCTTATTTTTCAAATGATGGATGACACTGATTAATTATCAGTAAAACATCTGTCTAGTTCAGATGACAACCTTGAGCTAGGTTAAGGCCTTTGAGAACTTAAAAAAGAAAAGTCCCTTGATCCAGGGACAGTGGTACCTCGGTTTAAGAACAGTCCGGTTTAAGAACGATTTGGTTTACAAACTCGGCAAAACCAGAAATAGTGTCTTGGTTTGAGAACTTTACCTCGGTCTAAGAACGGAATCTGAACGGTGGAAGAGCACTGGCGGTGGGAGGCCTCATTAGGGAAAGCGCGGCTCGGTTTAAGAACGGTTTTGGGTTAAGAACGGACTTCCGGAACGGATTAAGTTTGTAAACCAATGTATCACTGTATTGGCTTATTCTGATTTCTTTTTCTTAATGGTGACATGGACCATTCATAACGCAAGAATATTCTTCACAACTGTGAGCAGGCTAGTGGGGTGGGGTAAGGCAAGGCAAGCGATAACAATTAACTATAGCGTTGTTCACTGCTCCTGCTCAGGCTGCACAGAGAATGGATTTTTGGTTCCTGAAATTGATTCTGATTGTGCAGATAAAATATAACGGATAAATAATGCTGTGGCATTAGTGTGTGAAAACAGTCAAGATCCAAGGATCTCCAGTCAGGCACCTCCAGGTGGTGGAGATGTCAGGCGCCATCCTGGCATCCAGGCACCTTCATTCGGTCGCAAGTGACTGATAGCCAGGTGCAAAATGCGCCCGGTGCCTGGCTAATTTTGAACACTGGTTTGGGTTCAAGCAGGCTCCGCGAAGACCCACCTAGGCAGGCTGCTGCCTCATCTGCCTGAATTGCTTTCAGGCAGGTCTTTCAGTTTATCTGCTCAAGCAGCGAGAGGAGGCCAGCTAAATGGAGAGCTCTTGCACAGCAAAGCTGGTAGGGGAACAGCTGGAGTGACTAAATTAAGCTTAGGAGGCCTGCAAACAACCTGCAGGGGGAAAAGTCTGTTTTCTGAACATTCCTCCCTCCACCCCTGCCAGTGATCTTTCTGTGTCCTGAAATGCTTTCGCTGCATGACACAACTCGACAGGGTTGAATGGTTTCTGCTGTTCGTTTTTAACTGTTTCATTTAGGTTTAATATTTGTATTTAGCTTTTCCAAAATACCAGGTTGAGCTTGAAGTGGTTCGTAATAGCATTCAAAATTAGCAAACATCACTATCGCTAGGCCGAAAATGCAATAGCGTACAAATAAGGCAAAAGGAAACAAGCTCATGAGATAGTTAATACAATCTCATAGAGATGCAGAAATGACTGCTGGGCACCAGCCCTGTACCAGTTAAAGGGGCTTCTATACCCACTAGGTAAAGGTAAAGGGACCCCTGAACATTAGGTCCAGTCGTGAGTGACTCTGGGGTTGCGGCGCTCATCTCGTTTTATTGGCCGAGGGAGCCGGCGTACAGCTTCCGGGTCATGTGGCCAGCATGACGAAGCCGCTTCTGGCGAACCAGAGCAGCGCACGGAAACGCTGTTTACCTTCCTGCCGGAGCGGTTCCTATTTATCTACTTGCACTTGACGTGCTTTCGAACTGCTAGGTTGGCAGGAGCAGGGACCGAGCAATGGGAGCTCACCCCGTCACGGGGATTCGAACCGCCAAACTTCTGATTGGCAAGTCCTAGGTTCTGTGGTTTAACCCACAGCGCCACCCGCGTCACTACATGAGCACAATTGCAGGCAGTAGTCACTGAAAATGCAAAGGTCGCCATTTCACGCCCATTCCACAAGGAAGGTAGGACTTGGTTTCAATCTCATTTCTGCTGGTGGAGACCCTTAGGGACTTGGTATCACTCTGAGAACAGAATCTTTCTCGGGAGATCGGGAGGGGGAAAGAAAGAACCCACAACCTCCGTGTTGTCCAGTGAAAGGATAGATTTCGCGTGCACCCCCAACACAATTAGTGCTTAGCGGTATGGTCTGCTGCCAGACTGCATTAAAATCATCATTACAGCAAATTCCTCTTGGAAGCCATCGAGAGACTAAGATTGATTATACGTAAATGAAAAGGGACTTTGATTTCATTTGTGATTGCTTTATCGCTTAGAAAAATCTTACGTTGCCGTTGGGAGTTTTGTCCAGTTTGGCATGACCTTGTAGGAGGTGAATTGTCACTGTGTTTTGTTTTTTTCTAAAAAACAACAACTTGGAAGCTGACCTTGGCTTGTCCTTGAACAGAACCTGCTTCAGAGGCAAAGTCCAGTTTCTCGTTGGCAAAAAGTGCTTTGGTTTTGAAGTCCTTTCCTTGTGTGTCTCTCAGAGGAATGGCTAACACCGGCACTTCGTGATACATGCCCCTCATTTGACTGGAGGAACACACTTGTGTGGCATGACGCATCTTTCGGCTACTTGCTTCTCTGACTGGTGCTAACAGCTCCTAATTGTTTTGGGTTTAATTAGAACCGTCTTCAGTGAGAACATTCTAATTAAGCCCAATGTATAAAGAGACCTAAGGGTGGAAGCCCTTTTAAAACACAAGAGGCCTTCCGGAATGACCTTCCTTGCTACTGTGCAAGCTTCCAAACGCCTGTGCAGTGAGCTCAAATGAGCCCAAAGCCAATTCCTTCCTCCTTGCCCTTCCTGCCATCGCTAAGGGCCCCTGTGCCTGTTTCTGTGATTCTTGTGCAGTAGGGAATTAGCTACTGCACAACTTGGAAGAGAGCTGGAGCAATCCTTGGGGTCAAATCGGTTGCTTCTTGAGTCGTGGCAAGAACACGAAGCTCATTATCGTGCGCCGTCGCAGTGCACGAGAGCAGGGGTCCCAGGCACTTACCCAGGGTTCATGTTTCCTTTTGGAAATGAGGTACAGCAGGGACTGTGGTGTCTTTACCTGGACCTGCGATGGAGGGGTTCAGAGCATTAACACACCAAGGGTGGGGAGCCTTGCTTCTCCCATCTTGCAGCCTTGGATTCAAGCAGAAATCAAAGCTTGCTCTCAGACGTTGCTCTGACTCTCTGACTAGCTTGCTGCTTTACTTCTAGGTCATATCACTTCAAAACTCTCTACTCCAGACTCTGGCTTTGTCGGTTAAGGGAGGGGCCCCTGCCCATTTGCCGTCTCACATTGAGCCCCTTAACACCCCCCCCATCACCACACCGGGAAGCCATCCTGGCTATTTTCGGAATTAGAAGGCTTGATTAGCTTTCAGCACTTGAGGGATCCAGGGATCAGAGGGGGTCTGGCATGCTGCTTGTTTCCCCAAACTCCTAACATTAGGTTAAAGTTGGATTTCGCCTCATTTGGAATTGTGTGTCGTGCAAATGGCATTTTTTGTTGGTACTTTTGGAGAAGGAGTAGAGCTGAGTGAGTTTGCAGGAGAGTTTGGATCAGAGGATTCAGGGAGGGATCAGGAAGTGCTGTGCCAGTGGTTTTCAACCAGTGTGCCGTGGCACCCTGGGGTGCCTTGAATGATGGTCAGGGGTGCTGCGGGCAACACTGGCATCTGTCCCTCTTTCCATCGGCTCCCTCACGTCTCTGCCTCCCAAAGGCTTGCACAGCTGTTTATTGCAGCAGCGCTGGCTATAAGCTCCGCAAGCGAATGGTGCCTCTGGGAGACACCTCTCTTTGAGGCGGGGGGGGGGCGCAAGCTCAGAGACTCCCAAGGGGAGAGGAATGGAGGCTGAGGGAACACTCCACAAGGGAGGGCTTTTGAAAAAGGGTGAGAGACTGCCAGCTCTGCAGGCAAGGGGTGACGTAACTGGGCTCCTGGGGTGCCGCAGAAAGAATGTACCGTATTTTTTGCTCTATAAGACTCACTTTTTCCCTCCCAAAAAGTAAGTGGAAACGTGTGTGCTTCTTATGGAGTGAATGCAGGCTGCGCAGCTTTCCCAGAAGTCAGAACAGCAAGAGGGATTGCTGCTTTCACTGCGCAGTGATCCCTTTTGCTGTTCTGGCTTCTGAGATTCAGAATATTTTTTTTCTTGTTTTCCTCCTCCGAAAACTAGGTGCGTCTTGTGGTCTGGTGCGTCTTATAGAGCGAAAAATACAGTAGTTGGTTAAGGGAGCCGTGGACTCAAAAAGGTTGAAACCCTCTGTGCTGTGCAGAAGCTAGTTGACTCAGCCCTGGTGAGTTGGCCGGTGAGCTGCCTGAGACTTGCACCTGTCAGGAGGAGGACCAGGAAACCTGCTGGTTTCAGCCCCTCGCAGCGTTGATGACTAGAAGTTGAGTCATCGTGTTGCTTGCAATTTGGAGGCCTGAGTTGGAAGATCAGAATGCCGACCCAACCCCCCTAAAGTTTCAGCTGACAAAGCACCTGTGTTTTTAGAGTGCAAAAGGTTAACGTACCTGTTCAGAGTTGGCCATTCCAGCCTGCTTCGTAAGCCAGCTCTTGTGGCTGCCCATTCAGTGGAAATGGAGCAGGGTTAGTGGCTAAGAAAAGGGTCTTTGTCAGTCTCCACAGGTAAATTGCTCCACTCAGAATTGTCCCGAAGAACGGGACGGAAGCCACTGAGCCAAATTAGGCTGGTTGCTTGGATACCAGTGACCGGATAGGGTTGAGCCAGTGTGATGTAGTGTTTAGCTTTGACAAGGAAGATCCGGTTATGAAGATGATGGGTGTGTCCCTTAAGTCTCCCTTGCCTGTATACTTTCTATGGGGCAATTAAAAATTAGCTGGGGGAACTCCTTGCCCATGCCTGGACTCCAACAGCTGTTAATTGGCCACTTACCTGAATGGCTCGTCCTTGCAGATGCTTTTGAGGTTGTGCATTTCCTCTGCTGTGCGATGGCGCAAAACTGGAATCGCTTGGATATTCCTCAGCTCAGACTTGCTCTTTCCAGACAGAGACCTGTTGTACCCAACCTCTTGATTCAGGTCAGAGCTGGAATAGAATCATAGAATCATAGAATCATAGAGTTGGAAGAGACCACAAAGGCCATCGAGTCCAACCCCCTGCCAAGCAGGAAACACCATCAGAGCACTCCTGACATATGGTTGTCAAGCCTCTGCTTAAAGACCTCCAAAGAAGGAGACTCCACCACACTCCTTGGCAGCAAATTCCACTGTCGAACAGCTCTTACTGTCAGGAAGTTCTTCCTAATGTTTTGGTGGAATCTTCTTTCTTGTAGTTTGGATCCATTGCTCCGTGTCCGCTTCTCTGGAGCAGCAGAAAACAACCTTTCTCCCTCCTCTATGTGACATCCTTTTCTATATTTGAACATGGCTATCATATCACCCCTTAACCTCCTCTTCTCCAGGCTAAACATGCCCAGCTCCCTTAGCCGTTCCTCATAAGGCATCGTTTCCAGGCCTTTGACCATTTTGGTTGCCCTCCTCTGGACACGTTCCAGTTTGTCAGTGTCCTTCTTGAACTGTGGTGCCCAGAACTGGACACAGTACTCCAGGTGAGGTCTGACCAGAGCAGAATACAGTGGCACTATTACTTCCCTTGATCTAGATGCTATACTCCTATTGATGCAGCCCAGAATTGCATTGGCTTTTTTAGCTGCCGCGTCACACTGTTGGCTCATGTCAAGTTTGTGGTCAACCAAGACACCTAGATCCTTTTCACATGTACTGCTCTCAAGCCAGGTGTCCCCCATCTTGTATTTGTGCCTCTCATTTTACTGGTCAGACACACACTGCAGGGGATGTGGACTCCCTTTATGGGGTGGTTGTAATGATCGCTGAGAAATTTTAAAAAATTGCATTTATCTTGTGAAGCACCCTGAGAGCTATTGATGAAGAAATCGACATTGTGCATTCTGTGAACAAATCAAGGTGATGTTGTTAACCTTTAAAGCCCTAAACAGTTTCTGCCACTTTGTGTGGAGTAAGGGGAGTATAGGAGTATAAGGGAAGTTTTAAATGTGTGACATTTTAGTGTATGTTTGGTCTTTGTTGGAAGCCGCCCAGAGTGGCTGGGGAAACCCAGCCAGATGGGCGGAGTACAAATAAATTATTATTATTATTATTATTATTATTATTATTATTATTGCCATCTGGCGATCTAGACCAGTGTTTTGAGCTTATGTTGCTATCTAAGCAGCTCGTGGACTCGCCTCCTGAATTGCACATGGAGGGGATGAGGCCTTGGTTCTGCAAGGAATAAATGGCATCCTTTCCTTGGTGATAGGGAACACCTGAGTGCTTTCTTCTTTTGAATTGCACTCCTCTGTGGTGCAAGGATGTTCCTAGATGGGCACCTCAGGATTTACCACTATGTTGTCCTTTTCCTTGAACCCCCCTTTCCCTTCTGATGTTGAACAACCAGATGCGGCACCTGATTGGCCGTCCTTGTTTCAAACGCTGCTGCCTCATTGGCTGCTGGCGGAAACCTCTGTGTTCTTTTCTCCCTCAAGTTCCTTCTGGCTCCCCTCCCTCTTTCAGTTAACCCCTTTCTCTTCTGCAAGATCATGGCATGCCAACAGGCTCGAACACAACCAGAATCTGGCAGATGTAAGAGCTGCCAGGAGAAACAATAACAAGGAAATCATAGGAGCCTCGAGTCATTACCGGGGGCGGTGGGGTGGAGGAAGCCGAGCAGGGAAATCCTTTGAAACCCTGATACATCTCAAGGCACAGGCTGGGGCTTAGGGGAATTTGTGCCTCTTAGGAAATCTGGATAAGTTGTTTGTACCATAAAACCTCATTTGTTCTGTGTGGTTAAAAAGTGCCTGTGCATTTCCAACATGTGCAGAAAGTTCTGATGCTGGGTCCCCAGCAGGCCAAGAACTTGGCCTCTCTCCCCAGTAGGGGTATGTAAGGTATATAAGAGAGGACACCCCCAGGGAAGAACCATTAGCCGGATGGTGAACAGATCGCAGTACACGTTTCGTGTTCCTTTGAGCCTAGAGACCATGTTAATGTCCTCCGCAGGATATATCTCAAACTCTTTAAAGGCACTGGCGAAGTAGTGCTAGAAAGAATGATTCCTTTGCTAAAGATGAATGTTTCTGCATACAGTGGTACCTCGGGTTACAGGCGCTTCAGGTTACATACGCTTCAGGTTACAGACTCCGCTAACCCAGAAATAGTACCTCGGGTTAAGAACTTTGCTTCAGGATGAGAACAGAAATCGTGCTCCGGCGGCGCGGCGGCAGCAGCGGGAGGCCCCATTAGCTAAAGTGGTGGTTCAGGTTAAGAACAGACCTCCAGAACGAATTAAGTACTTAACCCGAGGTACCACTGTACTTAAAACCCATTGCCCTGGACATTGTGCATAGCCCAGGGGTTCCATATTTTAAAATAAAATAAAAGCTCACTTACTCACTCTACCTGGCTTCTGAATCTCAGGTTTCATATCTCTCAGTGATAATGCCCATCTCCTTGCAATAGATAGAACCCATTCTGATTTTCTGTGGCTTGTGTTAATTGCTTCCTAAGTGGCCGGAAGCCAAAAAGTTGAGGTGGGTTCTTTAATATTGTATCTCTGAAAACAGTTACAAGCTTAAAATTGGAAACTTGTAACTTGAAAAGTAGGATTTCCTATTCTCTCTCTCTCTCTCTCTCTCTCTCTCTCTCTGTGTGTGTGTGTGTGTGTGTACACTGACGCATATTTTTCCTTGGCTTTGGTTTCTTCGATTCCACGAACTTCAGGCCGCTCCTTTCCTTGCCCCTGATAGCTTTCAGTCCTAGTATTGGTAACCCAGCCAAGTGAAACTATGAGAGGCTGGGAGGGTCCAAAGTCCCCGTTCTGTTGGATCTGTGTCCCAGAGCAGAGTAGGGTTACCAGCGTCCCAAGATGTGGGAGGTTGCTGTAGATCTGTGTCCATTTGAATTAATATAAGTAAAGGAGGAGGGAGATTATGTTTTAAGATGGTGGGGAGCAAAGAGTAGAAACAGGCAGGCGCTTTTGTGTCCTGGGAAAAGGTGCCAACTCCCCCCTGGAGATAACAGCAGGAGGAAAAAGGAAATGCCTCTTGATTGAAACTCCAGGTTCATAGAAAGGTGTACAAAGATCAAGTGACTGTATAGTTGGCAGGGTCCTGGGTGTTCTGCCCCTGTAATCTAGGGATTATCGATGAGGCCAGGTGATTTTCTAGATAGCTGTGTCTTTCCCACCTTGTTTGGTAACGGGCATTGAGTGCGAAATGTGTGCTCAGTCCACTGAACTGCATTTGGACATTTCAAGTAAGGGGTGAGATGGGGAGAAAGACTGAGCCCGAGTGTGTCATTTGGGAACGGCTCTGCCATTTGCACATCTGCATTTCCTGTTTGCACATCTGCACATTCCATTCTCTCCCACAGATGTATTCAAAGCCCAGGATGTGAGGGCACCCACCTTTCCCACTCTGCGACAGAGCCTAATCTGAGCTAAACCTCACTGGCGTTCCATCGTGCTAGACCCAAATGTTGGGGTTGGGCTCTGGGCACATCATTTTTATTCATTAGTCTCTGAACTGAAAGCGACTTTACGCCCTAAATCTTAAAGTTTGTACTTGTAGTATACCTGAAGGAGCGTCTCCACCCCCATCGTTCTGCCCAGACGCTGAGGTCCAGCGCTGAGGGTCTCCTGGTGGTTCCCTCACTGCGAGAAGCCAAATTAAAGGGAACCAGGCAGAGGACCTTCTCGGTAGTGGCACCCGCCCTATGGAATGCCCTCCCATCAGATGTCAAAAAGAACAACTACCAGACTTTTAGAAGACATCTGAAGGCAGCCCTGTTCAGGGAAGCTTTTAATGTTTAACAGACCACTGTATTTTAATGCTTTGTTGGTGGCCACCCAGAGTGGCTGGGGAGGCCCAGCCAGATGGGTGGGGTACAAATAATAAATTATTATTACAATGGTGCCTCGGGTTAAGTACTTAATTCGTTCCAGAGGTCCGTTCTTAACCTGAAACTGTTCTTAACCTGAGGTACCACTTTAGCTAATGGGGCCTCCCACTGCCGCTGCTGCTCGATTTCTGTTCTCATCCTAAAGCAAAGTTCTTAACCCGAGGTACTATTTCTGGGTTAGCAGAGTCTCTAACCTGAAGCTTCTGTGACCTGAAGCATATATAACCTGAGGTTCCACTGTATTATTATTATTATTATTATTATTATTATTATTATTATTATGTTTACTTCTGAGCATGTACAGTGTGTTTTCTCTTCATATTTCCCTTCCTGGGTCGCCACCCCACGCCCTTAAAACCAATAGGCTTTCGGAGCTCATTTTACAAAGGATTCTGCTGTTAAGGGGGACCCTTCCCCACAAATAATCTTGGCCCCTTCCCTTTGAATGCATCCAGAGGCCCAAAACGGCACCAGGCCAGCCCCAAAGTTTCCTTTGCCTTTTCACATCTTCCTCCTCTTCCTCTTTGGGTGTCGCTGCCTCCCTCCTCCAGTGAGGGCACTGCTGCTGCCTTTTCCCTCCTTTCACCCAGTTCAGAGTGCTGGGAAGGGAGGGGTGGAGCTTCTGGCCTTGCAACGTCAGGAAACTTGTGTGTAGCAGCCGAGCGAGCAAAGGAGGAGTGTGCGTGTCCCTGCCCGGATCAAGTGTCTCCTAGTCAGGGAAACCAACTGACTCTCCTCTCCTGAGCAGAGAAGAAAAACCCAATCTTCTCTTCCGGAGGAGAATCGTTCTCTCCCCCACCCTGTCCGCCCACCCTCTCCTCTGCTGTGTGATTTATTCCTCTCCGGTACCCTGCGGCTGACTTTTCAGGAAGTACAGCGATGGTGGAGGTAAGTGAACTTGCTGGCCAGTTGCTCCCCCTCCCCCACAGGGCGCTTTCAGGAAGGGTGGGATCCCTGTCCCTGCTGGGCGAGCGAGGGGGACGCCAGGCTCTCCCCTCGCCCCCCCAAAAACAGTGTGTTCGAGCAGGGCATTGGCTTCTGGTGGAAGCTGCTCAACTCAGCGAAAAGGGAGAGGTTCTGTTTTCAGGGTGGGCTCTTTCTTTGTGCATTTAATTTCAATTTTGGGCAGAATTTTCTCTTTTGCAAAAAAGCTTCGGGAGAAAACTTTTTAGAATGGAAATCTTGTGTTGCAGGTTTATTCCTCTCTCTCTCTCTCTCTCTCTCTCTCTCTCTCTCTGAAATGGCTTATTGCATGTTTAACAACAGAGTTGCCCACCCATTTCTGAAATGGTTGCCTAGAGGTTGAGGGCAGGGAAGGGCAGGAGCGGCAGTTGACAGTCAGAATGTAGCCTACCTTCACGGTCAAATAATCTTGAGTTGGATGTCTGTGCCGCCCAGTTGACTGCGGCCTGTAAGGCTGGGGAGGCGGGGTGGCAGTGGCCATAAATGGGTGAGGCTTCGTGATAAGACTTGGTGAACTGCTCCTGTACCTCTAAGCCTGTGGGCCTAGGAAAGGGCTGTGGGGATTAAAGGCCCCAAGAATAACAATGCAAACTTCAAAGTGCCTTTGGGTATAAACCTATCCCCTGGCCCAGCTTGCTCAGGACCAGACTCAATTTATCAGCATTGCAAAACTCAAGTGTGTGGTTGCTCCAAGGAGTTTAAAATTAAACGGAGAAAGGGGAGGGAAATGGAGTTGGGGCCAGAAGGGAGCGTGTACGTTTATTTCAGTTCTGTGTACATAAGTCTAGTTACTGTGGGGTGTGGAGATGGAGGGGTTCTGCCAAGAGCTTTGTGCAAAAGGTGGGTCTTGAGGAGGAATCGGGGAAGCAATGGGGAGGTATTCTGTGAGGGAGCTTGTGGCATCAGGGGCAGCCAAAGGAAAAGTAGACCTTCAGGCGACTTAGGTGTCTTAGGTGAGAGGATGTAGCAAGAAGAGGGGTGGGAGAGAGAGAAAATGGGGACCACAGAGGGCTTTGGAGGTACACGCATGTTTGTAGTAGCAAGAACCCACCTCCAGCTTTGGCAGAGAGAGTTCCTAAGAAAGTGGGGATCCCTGGCTCCAGGTTGTTGGGTTCCCCACTAGGAGAGGCATTCCCAAGGCTCATGGCACAGTCCTGGCTTTGCAGACCTCAAGATGAGAATTGTTGCATGCAGCTATTTATATGCAATTTGCAGCTTTCATTCCCTGCCTACCAAGGGCTGAGCGTTCTCTTGCTTTTCGTTCTCCCTTCCCCCCATGCTTTGCCTGCAGCAGTGTGGTGCATAAATGCTGCTGCTCTTGAATAGGCCTCTGCTAAGAATGAAAATTCCACTATTGAGCCCGAAAAAGGCGACTGGCTGAGCAGGGTGCTAATGGCGGGGTAGTGTTGCAAGCAGGCCCTTTCCGGTAGGCAGCTGCCTGCTGATGCTTAGTAGCTGTGGGTTTTCTGGGAAATTTTTATTGGAATTTTTTTCTGATTCCCATGTGTGATCTAATTTAGCATGTTTGTTTTACTTGTGTTTACTAAACAAATCTAAACATGTTGAAACATCCAAGCTTACCTAATACTGTATTTGCGTTTGGCACCTGTTCATTGTTACGTACCCAGTACATTTCCAAGCACAATTCAAAGTGTTGGTGCTGACCTTTAAAGCCCTAAACGGCCTTGGCCTAGTATACATGAAGGTTGGCATCTCCACCCTCATCTTCAACCTGGACACTGAGCTCCAGCGCTGAAGGCCTTCTGGCAATTCCCTCCTTGTGAGAAGTGAGGTTGCAGGGAACCAGGCAGAGGGCCTTCTCGGTGGTGGTGCCTGCCCTGTGGAATGCCCTCCCACCAGATGTCAAGGCAGTAAACAACTATCTGACTTTTAGAAGACATCTGAAGGCAGCCCTGTATTTTTAATGTCTGATGTTTTACATTTTTTTATGTGCTGTAAGCTGCCCCAGAGTGGCTGGGGAGATGGCTGGTGGCTCCTGCAGATGACCTTTGTGATCGAGCTGGGATATAAGGGTTCGGGCACTCCCTGAGATACCCAGGACCTAAGTTGTTAATAGCTTTGCAGATTAATACAAGAACCTTCAACCTGGCCTTGTAGTAGATGGGCAGACAGTGCAGATGCTTTAATGACCACATGTTCTCGACCTGGTGTCCCCATCAGCAGTTTTGCCTCAGAGAATACCAGCTGGAGTTTCCAAACCAGACCCTAGGGCAGCCCCACGTGGAGCACATTGCCGTAATCCAGCCTCAAGGTTACCTGTGCATGGACTACAGTGACTAGTGTTCTTGTATTTGCTGTGCTTCAGCTGGAGATAGGTGTGGGGATTGGATAGCAGCAATGTGCTCAGAAGCTAGAGCCGAGCAACTTCTGCCTTGTACCATTTTGTCCACTGCGTTGAACTGCCCTGAGAATTTTGTACGCTGCTGCCACTTTGGGGTAGCATAGCATTGCAACTGCACAAAGTTGCTTCACTGTGGAAGAAGAGTCTTGTGCTGGGAGTGGAACAGCTAGTGAACTCCTCAGGCTGCAAGCGGAAGCCAGGTGCAAGTTGCTCTCTGAGCGTTGCCTGGTGCCTGCATCCAGGGATGTGGGGCAGGAAGGTTTCTGTGGGAGAATTTCCATTTCATAAAATAATTAGCAGTGATGGAATGCCAAATGGCAAGCTTAACAGTTTTTAAATTTGTAGCCTCTTTTTTTAAAAATAAAAAGAATTACAAGGAGAATAAGCATGCTGAATTAGATAACTATCGGGCAGTGGTTCCCAGTTAGCTAAGTACTGCAGACTGTTTTTGAAAAGCCAAGCCATGGACCCCCTACTTTTGAAAAAGTTGATATCTCTGTTGTGGTATTTGTTATGTGAATGGTGCCATGGACCTCCCTGCGTGGGTTGCGCAGACCCTCTGGGGTTCACAGACCACCAACTGGGAACCATTGCTATAGGGCATTGGAGAATTACACTATGCAGATTTGCCCAAGAAATCTTTCCATCAATTTTTCTATTTCAGATTTTTTTGGAAAACCCATTGTTGCCTTAGGCTTTACTGTGGAAACCTGACCAGCAGCAACCCAGTAACTGAAGCTTCCCCATTCACTGGGCTGCCAACAGGATTTTTGTGGTGCCCACGCACTGTATGTGGATTGGGCCCTCTGCTGTACTCGCTAAAGAAGACTTTATGTCATGTGCAATTTTATACCCTCGTTTGCAGGTGGGGTGGAATGCCCCAAAATAAATCTGGAGTCACACAGCTCGACAGAATGTCTGCCAGCAACACTTTCCCTATACTAGAAAAGGCTTGCCCTGTTTAATTTCTGCCTGCCACATATCTGTTAAAGGCACTGAGCCCTTCTGTCCTCCAGTGCCACCTCTAAACCATTCAAAGAACTCAAGTTTCATGGGTTGTAAACATCATATTTCATCAGTTGAACTTAGGGTGTCAATACTACATTCAGTGCAAGACCAGGCATGGCATTTCAGATGGAGGGGGGTCAAAAGTGAATTGAGATCTACTACAGTTCTTTTCAAACGGGACGCGGTTGGCGCTGTGGGTTAAACCACAGAGCCTAGGGCTTGCCGATCAGAAGGTCGGCGGTTCGAATCCCCGCGACGGGATGAGCTCCCGTTGCTCGGTCCTAGCTCCTGCCAACCTAGCAGTTTGAAAGCACATCAAAGTGCAAGTAGATAAACAGGTACCACTCTGGCGGGAAGGTAAACGGCGTTTCTGTGTGCTGCTCTGGTTTGCCAGAAGCAGCTTAGTCCTGCTGGCCACATGACCCGGAAGCTGTACACCGGCTCCCTTGGCCAATAAAGCGAGATGAGCACCGCAACCCCAGAGTCGTCCGCGACTGGACCTAACAGTCAGGGGTCCCTTTACCTTTACAGTTCTTTTCAGATGCTCGTGCCTGAATCAATTCAAAGTGTAAATGGTTAAAAAGCAAGCACTGTATTCATTTCTTGTGGCTATTTATTAATATAACAATTGTGGCATTTTTTTCCTTGTGAAGATGGCAGCATCTCTGGATCTAGAAATGCATCTTGAATTTCATTTATGTTTACGTAGCAGACACAGGAATTTGCATGCTGATGCTGTAGATTCTTGCATAAAGTCTTTGGGCAACACGTTTTTTTCAATGAGTAAAACCTTGTTTACCAGGCAAAAATGTTCCTCTTTAACCAGGCCTTTGGCTGATTGACATCCAGTGCCTTTTTTGTTTTTATCTTGATTTTGTATTTTGTGTTTTTATATTGTGATTTTATCTTGTGAACCACCCTGAGAAATGCTGGTATAGGACAGTATACTACTACTGCTACTACTGCTACTAATAATAATAGCATTTCACTCATTCCAGAAGAGGATTTTCGCATCTCTAGGTGTAGACTATATGCCATGGGTAGGCAAACTAAGGCCCGGGGGCCGGATCTGGCCCAATCACCTTCTAAATCCGGCCCACGGACGGTCCGGGAATCAGCGTGTTTTTACATGAGTAGAATGTGTGCTTTTATTTAAAATGCATCTCTGGGTTATTTGTGGGGCACAGGAATTCGTTCACTTTTTGTTCCCCCCCCCCCCCCCAAAAAAATATAGTCTGGCCCCTCACAAGGTCTGAGGGACAGTCGAACAGCCCCCTGCTGAAAAAGTTTGCTGACCCCTGCTATATGCTCTGTGTGTGGAAGGTCCCATAATCAGTCTCCATAGATCCCACCTAATCCCTGGAAAGCCACTGCTGGTTCTTGTAGACAAGGCAGCACTGACCCAGGTGGGCCCGTGTTCCTCCTTGCTCTAAAGCAGTTCACATAGGTGTTGCGAGCAGGTTAATTTAAGGGGCCCGCAAATGTTTCTAAAACAACATGGTTGCATGCCCAGTAGGGGTTTATCTCCACAGATGGTCTTAGAATCCTTTTCGCACAATGCCTGTGTGTTGACGCTGTTGTTGTAACTCAGCCATACAAATACACAGTGTTCCAACTTCTTTTTAAAAAGCTGCACCACAGAACCAGTTTATATCTGATCCCGAAGAAACTAGTTTTGTCAGTCTCTTCCAGTTTCCCTCTCTTTCTCTGTCTGTCTTTTTTTTTTTTTAAGGTGGTGGTTATATTTTCAGCCAGTGGCAAGATCTTAACTGCTGGGTGTGTGCTGGTGTGTGCTAGTGGACGTAGGCGTTCTTGCTCTGCTCCTCTGCTTATCCAGGGCCGTGAAAAAGTGTTGGTTTATGGCTGACTAATTAAACAAGGCAGGGAGATAAAGGGAATTTGACCTAGGTTAAGGTTAGTGGATGTGGCTAGTGGGGGGGGGGTAGGCCCTTGGAGAGTAATTTAACCTTCTCCTCTCCTTCAGCAAACATGTAGGTCCCTTTGCAGAGGTGGCAAAAGTGAAAAAAGCGTTAGCTCTGAACTTAAACCCCCCCATCTCTGGAAACTGGGTGGCAATCGGTCTTTAGTTGCTTAAATGTATTGGGACGGCTTTGTGCATCCCATTAAAAACTGCTCAGCCATGAAAACTGCTGCTGAAGTTATTCTGGGAGTTAAAGTTCTTCATTTTGGTGCAGTTTGCATGGCTTCCTCTGTAGCAAGGGGGCGTTGAATGGCTTCTGATACTTATGGCTTTGAATGCAACGGGGGTTGTACAGTGGCACCTCAGGTTACAGACGCTTCAGGTTACAGACTCCGCTAACCCAGAAATAGAACCTCGGGTTAAGAACTTTGCTTCAGGATGAGAACAGAAATCGTGCTCCAGCGGCGAGGCAGCAGTGGGATGCCCCATTAGCTAAAGTGGTGCTTCAGGTTAAGAACAGTTTCAGGTTAAGAACGGACCTCCAGAACGAATTAAGTTCTTAACCCGAGGTACCACTGTAATTGATCTGAGGCTGCAGATTGACCTCCGCAGTGAAGCCGGCCCTTTTCGAGAGGGTGCAAAACCTGGAAAGGGGAGTTTTTTGTTTGACCATTTGATGAAGTCTTTTTGTCCCTGCTGTGTAGTGTTAACGTTTTACTGGATTTCCTCAAAAGACAGTTGGAATGGCGCCTTGTACTCCTCCTTCCGGCAACTCCTGCAGCCAAACTGGTGCCAAATGCACTGCTCTGCTTTCCTTTGGACCCCACGAGTGAGGCCGAGGGGGGGGGTCTTGTCGTCTGGGCAGACCAGGACTGCCAGACACACTGCCTAGGCTTGCACCCCGGGGAAGTCACTTCAGTGCTGCTAACGCAGCAGTTTGACTTCACCCCCAGAGGCGCACGCCGTTGTCTCTCAAGATAGACGGATGCCAACAACAACAATATGTTCTCATTGCACAGCAAGAAAATTGTTTTACAGTATGTCAAAAATATCTCTTTAAGTATTAGAATAATAAAATGCAACAAGCAAGATGAGTGAGGTGGAGTAAAAATATTCCAAATTAATTATTTTTACCTTATATTCTGGGAGGATCGCTATTGGCTAACCCATATTCACCAGGCACCAAGTACAGTGGTAGCTCGGTTTAAGAGCAGTCCTGTTTACGAACGATTCGGTTTACGAACTCCGCAAAACTGGAAGCGGTGTCCCCGTTTGCGAACTTTACCTCGGTCTAAGAACGGAATCCGCACGGTGGAAGGGCACCAGCGGCGGAAGGCCTCGTTAGGGAAAGCACACCTTGGTTTAAGAACGGTTTTGGTTTAAGAATGGACTTCCGGACTGGATTTAATTCGTAAACCGAGGTACCACTGTAATGGCAGAAGTACTTGAGCTCCAAGGAGAAAAAGGTGGGAAATAAATGCAAGAACAACATCTACCTTTTCAATAGGGGATCTTCTAGCTGCCTTTTTCTGACCAGACTTGCTTCTTCATTTGAATCAAAAATAGGAAGGACCTCACTGAGCATTTATTTACAGTGCTACCTCGGGTTACATACGCTTCAGGTTACATACGCTTCAGGTTACAGACTCCGCTAACCCAGAAATAGTGCCTCGGGTTAAGAACTTTGCTTCAGGATGAGAACAGAAATCGTGCTCCAGCGGCGCGCGGCAGCAACAGGAGGCCCCATTAGCTAAAGTGGTGCTTCAGGTTAAGAACGGACCTCCAGAACGAATGAAGTACTTAACCCGAGGTACCACTGTATTTCATAAAATTTATGTATGGCTTGACTATAGACAAAAATGAAAATGGTATTCTAGCCCATGCTCTACCCATGGCAGTCTTGTCGGTCTGAGCATGGGATATACTACACCCCAGTTTTCAGAATCGACTTTTTCAGTGGTGGTTAGACTTTTCCTCCGTCTCCCATCACCCCCATTAATGGTTTAAATTCCAGCCTACTTTTTCTGCAGTAGAAACTGTGTGTCTCCTTCTTTTGGTGGAAAACTTGGAGAATTTCTCGCTTTTTAATGAACGGAACATCAGAGTCAATGCAGGGGTAAATCTCATCAGGATTGCAAAGCACACTGAATGTGTCAAAGGAATTCAGTGATTGGGATATTTCCAGTATCACCTGGAGACCGAAAATATTATTGCTTTTCTTTTACTTAAGCTTTTTTTAAAAAAATAATAATTCCATTTTATAATGTAGTTTATTGCATTTTCTGACCCATCAGCACCTGGAGTCAGGAGGAATTTTCCTTCACACTGGCCGTTGCCTGGGTGTGTTACTGTCCTCTTCCCACAGGCTCTGGCAATCTACATTTTCATCAGCCTCCGGGCATTTCTGATACGATTCTCTCCTGCTCCTTTTGTGGAATTCCTGTGAGGACTGGGCTCCTCCGAAAGTGGAGAGTGGAGGGATCTGATTTTGCCTGGAGCTTTAATCTTAAATCACATAGGGAAACCTGGGCTACAGGGTGGATCCTGATTTCCCCTAACCCTGACCCACTTTTGACGGGTGGGTGGGTCTGTCCACCTGCCAGTCACCTGACATCACCATGATACTGGGTGCCTCAGCTTCAAAGGGAAGAATATGCTCAAGCATAGGCAAACTCAGCCCTCCAGATGTTTTGGGACTACAACTCCCATCATCCCTGTTAGCTAGGGATGATGGGAGTTGTAGTCCCAAAACATCTGGAGGGCTGAGTTTGCCTATGCCTGCTCAAGGTGGACTGAAGAGGAAAACAGAGCTCCTTTGCAATAGTGCCGTAAACAAGATCAGCTCTAGAATGATAGATTTATAGGGTTGAAAGGGTACCCCAAGGGCCATCTAGTCCAACCCCCTGCAGTGCAGGAATCACAGCTGTTCACAAATTGCTGAACTCTGATTTCCATTGGCCCCAGCCAGCGTGGCCAGTGGTCAGGGATTATGGGAATTGCAGTCCAGCAAGATCCATCCCTGCTCCTAGTGCACAGGCAGGCGGAAAAGCCCGGGAAACGGGAACCAGCCCACTTTCCACAAAGGCAGCAAATAAATGCTATGTTTCTGAAGCATGGGTGTGGCTTGAGTGCTAGTTAGACCCACACAAGCATGTTTCAAAGCAAGTCTTGTGATCTGCTGGGGTCAGCCAGCGGTGGGACTTGAGGGCAAACATACCCAGAGCTCTTCTGTGGAGCTCCAGCAGGCCAGATTCCTTCATGGATCCTCTGCCAATCGACTGGAATGGGCCGGAGGGACGGGAGAAGGGAGGACACCCCTTTCCGATCCTGGATTGCTTTGTTACATTAGGGCACCCCTCCAGAATGATGCGCAGAAACATCGGGGAGCATGTGGCGGCGGAAGGGTTATAAGAGAGGTGGGCTGGGCACGCAAACAGATAATAGACTTGTCTTTGTCTTTCCCTCTCATGCTTCATATGTTGATCTTGTGGCAGGAGTGGCCGAAGGCTTCCTTTCACTTCCAGATACAATTCTGTCTTTGTTTAGACAGCACATGTGGGGAACGAAATGCAAATGGTGTGAAATTGCTAATACACTCCTTAAGGGGTAGTGGTGTGGTTCCTTCCTGGCTTTTCCCACAGTACAAAGGGGCCCCCAAGCGATGTTTTCCCTTTGCCATTTGTCTGGGTCAACAGGGGGCCAGTAGAGCAAGTTTCATTGGGCCCAAATGGTGGTCACATGACCAGATATTGGGTGTGTGTGTGTGTGTGTGAACGGGTTCAAGAGGAGCGCTGCAGGCATGGGCAGCACCAGGTAGGTCTCGCTGAAGCCCCTGGGCAAGTAACATTGTGGGGGTTGCACACAGCTAGTATTTTTAGTTTGTGGCTAATCGTTATTTATTTATTCATTGCATTTATATCCCGCTTCCTTCTCCCAAAAGCTCAAGAGTGGCGCATATGGCTCTTGCCCTCCTCCTTTAATCCCCACAACCCTGTGAGGTAGGTTAGGCTGAGAGGCCGTGTGAATGGCCCAGCATCACCCGGTGAGAGCTTCATGGCTGATGGGGTTTGAACCCTGGTCAACCATGTCCCAAGGGATGCGAGTGGCGCTGTGGATTAAACCACAGAGCCTAGGACTTGCCGATCAGAAGGTCGGCGGTTCGAATCCCCGCAACAGGGTGAGCTCCCGTTGCGTGGTCCCTGCTCCTGCCAACCTAGCAGTTCAAAAGCACGTCAAAGTGCAAGTCGATAAATAGGTACCGCTCCGGCGGGAAGGTAAACGGCAGGAAGGTAAATGGTTAGTCATGCTGGCCACATGACCTGGAAGCTGTACGCCAGCTCCCTCAGCCAGTAAAGCAAGATGAGCACCGCAACCCCAGAGTCGGCAACGACTGGACCTAATGGTCAGGGGTCCCTTTACCTTTACCTTTACAACCATGTCCGAGTTCAACACATGAACCGCCACACCACGCTGGCTAATTTCTCTTTGATCCTGGGTGCTCATGTCTCATTCATGTAAACAGGTTATTTTAATTGCAAGGTGCTGAGAGAGGTGTTGGCTGAGTTTGAAGGACAGGTAGAAAACGTTAGAAATGGTGATTTGCTGAGTTGTGGTCAGCTTGTGTACTTGGTCTTTTGCTGCTTTGAGGCTTTCCATTTATTTAAAGTGACTGACAGGTACAATAAATAATATTTCCTCCGTTGCCCAGCTCTGGGGGAAAGTGAAGTTGTCTTCTGTGCACACCCCTCCCCAACTCTAGGCTGCTTAGAGTGTTAGGAAAGCCTAAGAATGCTCCCTTGACTCCGGTTGCAAGACCCACGTCCCAGTTCTGGTGCATATAGAAGGCCCCATGTCTAATCCAGAGCATGCTCCAACTAAGAGGTACTTGGTGAGCAGAACTGGGAAGTTCTCCCTCGATTTGGGATCATGGAGATCTGCTGCTCTTCAGAGCAGACAGTTCAGGCCTAGTGCTTTGCATTTGTGGACAGCAGCTTCATGTAAGGTCCCCATTGCAAATGTAGGCATATGTTTCCGTTTCTGTTCTGCCCAAGAGCCAAAGCTCCCTGGGCGGCTCACAGGACAGAGGTTAAAACCGTAAAATGCAAGAACGTGTAATGTTAGATCTAAAAGTAAAACGGGCACAGAAGTAAAATCCAGCAATACTGCGAGGTTACCTTCCTTGCTCTTTGAGTAACTGCATTTATCAGGCTCTACACTGCAGTAATCAGTAACCACTACCTAAGAAGAAGCTCCGCTTAATCCTCCTGCTGTAATTGTTCCCTCTTCGCTTCTGGGCTTCCCTTTTTGCACTCCATACTGGGAGCGGCTGCTCCACAGCTATGGAGCCACACAGGGGGACACTCTCTCTCTCTCTCTCTCTCTCTCTCTGTGTGTGTGTGTGTGTGTGTGTTGGGCTGGGGAATGCTTCTGGCCAGCAGGACAATAGTCACTGTCAGCAGGAAACTTCTGCAGCAAGTCTTCCCAACCTGGAGTCCTCCTGATGTTCTGCACTCTCGACTCCCATTGGTCCCAGCTGGCTGGTGAAGATGGGAGCTGCAGTCCAAAGCATCTGGAGGGCACCAAGTTGGGGAAGGCTGTTTTTAAAAGGAGGTAGGAGCTGATGCGGTATGTTGACAACAGGCAGGTGCCTTCGCTGTACTCTTTTCCCTATGTGCCAGCAGTTCCCATTTCAGGGCCCCGCCTCCTTGGTTCCATAAACTCCTCCCCAGGGCCCCTTACTACCCTACTGTATTAAAAAAATATTATGCATGACCCACTAAGAAAGATAATGACACAAAAAAATTCAAAACGCAGACAATTAATTGCACATTTGTTAAAAATCCTATTAAAACTGCTTAGTTTAATTAATTCAACACAGTTGATCCAGTGATGCCAACTTTTCAAAGTCTGATAATCTACTTCAGTACCCCCCCCCCGCTTTTTAGCAACCCCCCCCCCGGTAATTTCACTGCCCCCAAGGGCACTGTGCTATGCCAGTGCTAGTGATTTTAAGAAAAAGGGCAAAGGTGGTCGTGTTCTGTTGAATTGAGGGTGAGATACAGAAAGGGACATGTGTTCAACCCAAGCACATTTTTGCCACATCAGGGCTGAGCGGAGCCTGGAACTCTGGGGTTGCGGCGCTCATCTTGCTTTATTGGCCGAGGGAGCCGGCGTACAGCTTCCAGGTCATGTGGCCAGCATGACTAAGCCGCTTCTGGCGAACCAGAGCAGCGCACGGAAACGCCGTTTACCTTCCCGCCGGAGTGGTACCTATTTATCTACTTGCACTTTGACATGCTTTCGAACTGCTAGGTTGGTAGGAGCAGGGACCGAGCAAGGGGAGCTCACCCCGTCACGGGGATTCGAACCTCCAACCTTCTGATCGGCTCTGTGGTTTAACCCACAGCACCGGGGATGCATTATTTTTGCGAGGCACAAAACAGATCACGTAGCCCCTTGGTGTTGAAGGTGAGTTCTGGGCCTGGAAAACACTTCTTTAAGGTGTGTGCAAGAGGCTTCTGAGCTCTTTGGTGGTCTCTGGGAGTGGCCCTTGAGACAGCCTGCCAGGGTTTGTGCTTCCAAGCAGCAGATGTAAGGAAACTTCCACCCAGCCAATGGACTGAGGAGAAGGGAGGGGTCACCAGCCATTTAATTGAACAGAGGATGGGCCAAAAAGTCATAAACAGGAGCTTAGTCTTGGTTACTCCCATTTTGACGCTGCAGCCTGTGGAGGAGCGCCGAGCAAACCAAGATGAAGTCTCACGAGGAGGAATGGAATTGTAAGTCTGGCTGCATCTTCACTGCTTTGTTCAGCACCAGTAACACTGAGAGCCTTTCTTCGCTGGGTTTGTCCAGATCTCTCGGTAGCGAAACCTCTCTGCAATCCTCTTTGTAGTTTCTTCTTCCTTAGCTGTGACCAAACGTGGCCACCCGTCTGGAAATTCTTGAGCTGTGCTCCCGTAATCATTACCAGGGAAGGGAAGGAGGGTGTGCATCTTTCTCTGGTGGCTCAGACGCCGTATCTCTTAGAAGTTGCAACCGGCGTGGTCTGGAGTTTGTCAGCTCTTTTTGCCTGGAGAAGATCTGTGTTCGGCCGAAAGCTGGTATATTATTCCTCTTTGTGGTCTTGCTGTCGGCCCGCAGTTGGGCAGCTCTGGCACTTCTTAGAGCTTAAGGTTGCAATCCTAACTCCGCTTACCTGAGAGTAAGCCCCATTGAATTCAGTAGGACTTAGTTCTTAGCAGACCTGGTGAAGATTGTGCTGTTGGTTGAGGAGGCACTACTCCTCTGTTGCGGTTCAGAGATAGCACTGTTTCTTGTTTTCTGGGACAATTTAAGGCATCAAATTCTTCACGCCACAAGTTAAAGAGGAGAGCAGGAGTGAAGCTGGGAGTTGGCTTTGGCTGAGAGTTAGCTGCACAGTGGGCTGTCTTAGCTCTTGGGCTGTGCTGGATGGAAGGAGTGTTGGAGAGACGTGGCTTTGTCAGGGAAGCGCTTTATGATTCTGGTGGTTTTCAGGGTGTGGAAAAAGCAGAATGCCACAGCAGAAGCACAAGGGACCTGAGAAGTGCAAGCTCAGCCCTCGGAGATCGAGTTGGTGCTGTCTTCAAAGCAGCTTTTGCAAGCCTTCTGCTGTTTAGTGGCTGTTCCTGCTGTAATGTGTCATTGGAAACTGGACGGCGGCTGCACAGAAATAGGAGGAGGAAGTGGTTACTGACTCCACTTGGGAGGCTTTTATCCCATATGCGTTCTTTAATTTAGCAACCCAGGAAGCAAAATGGCTATAGCGCACAAAAAGGCATCTTTTAACAAGACTCATCCGCTCCCCTGTTCTTTCAGATTTCTCTGTCAGAATATATGGTTGCCATCTAGCTGGCTGTTCTAGCGCATACATTGATATTTGTTGGAGGGCAGCAAATTTCAGGGGTCACTAATATGTCTGGGGATGATTCAGTAGCCAGAGGTGAGACTTTCCAGTTAAGAAATTGAGGCTTAGGATAAGTCTTCCCCACCCCAGTGGCTAGTAGAAGCCGAGGGAATTATGCTGGTTTAACTTAATTTGCTAATTGGCTTAATTTGCACCTTTTCTTCGAGATGCACAACCTGGCTGTTCTGTTGGTGAAGATTTCTGAATTTTCATTCTCTGGCAGAGTGTTTGTTCGCCCCCATCTGCATCTAATTTTGCAGGAGATCCGCTTGAGGTGGGGGAGAGATATAGTGAGCCAGGTCTCCCTCACCATCCTGCAAAGTGGAGGGTGCCCTCTAGGCCTATTGCCACCGCCACCCCTTCGCAACAGGGAGTGTGAAACAACTGGTGCTATTCCAGGATCTGGAATTGGCTCTGGGATCAGCAGTTGCCAGTCTGGAATGTTCAGGACGTTTCTAGGGACCAGCCCCAAATGTCTAGCATTTGTTCCTGTACAAGACTGCTGACACCTTTGGTGCTCGCATCAAAAGGCTTGGGCGAGCCAGGGACATGGGCCTCCTCCAGACCTGTGGATGGGTGGTGCCCGTCTGGCAACCTGGACAGATTATGGGCAGGCCCCAAACAAACATCCTCCTAATGAAATTGTTATTGTTTGTTAATATGGATTAAGTGCTCATATTCTTGCTCTGATTAGCAATATCCTCAAGACTGCCAATTACAGGATATTGGCAATTCGGGTATGCTTGCTTCCGGGTAGCAAGGTGAGGTTGTTGGTTCTGCGGAGCAAGAGGCAAAAAGTACATGAAATTATATCTTATCTGGCCAGCTAATAAAGCATTGCAAGCTGTTGATTCCAAGGGGTGTTTCTTCAGCTGTGCAGGAAGTTGGAAGAACCATCTCTTTGGGTTGGAAAGTTTGCCGGCCGCCTTGAACTTTGATGAAGATCTGTTCTTCACCCCAGTCCTGTATAATCAGGAGATAGTAAATCAGCATGATGCCCAGCGTGTTAACCTTTCGGTCTTGCTGCAGTTCCTGCTGCTTCCTATTACAGTGGTACCTTGACTTACGTGCCCCTCTTGTTACTTATCCTTTGGGATACGCACGAGGCAAACCCAGAAATATATTTCTGGGTTTCGCCATGCACACATGCGCAGAAGCGCTCTATCGCACTGTGCACAGAACAGGCATCTTGGGTTGCGCAAACCTTGGGATCCGACCAGAGCTCTGGAACGGATCCCGTCCACAACTGGAGGTACCACTTTATGCTTAATTCTCCAATGCAATAATTCACAGGCCTGTTCCCTTTACCCAAGTTCCAAGAAGGTACAGGAGGAGGAGGAGGAGGAGGACTGCTCTTGTGCTCAGAGCCTGCTTGCAAGTTTCCCACAGGCATCTGGTTGGCCACTGTGAGAACAGGATGCTGGACTAGATGGGCCATTGGCCTGATCCAGCAACCTCTTCTGATGTTCAGCTATCCATATGCCCTCTATTTAACTTGTAACATGGGGTCAAAGAGAGGGCTACCTACCCAGAGGCTCACTTCAGACACAAGGGCAAGACATGGTTTGTCCTTAGGAAAACGAGCCACTTCTTCCTTTGTGGGAAAGTTTTGCTGCAGACTTAAAATCAGAACCTTTGGGTGCCCTCCCCTTGTTCATGACTGAAAGGGAAAGAGGGACCATGAGAAACAGTCCTCCATGAATTGGTCTAATCCCCTTTTTAACTTGTCCAAGTGAAGAAGTGCTTTACAGTCATATCTCAGGTTGAAGCTGCTTCAGGTTGAGCGCTTTCGGGTTGTGCTCCGTGGCAAGTAACGGAACGCGTTACTTCCGGGTTGCGCCGCTCGCACATGCACAGACGGTCGAAATGTCATCATGCGCAGAAGCAGCGAATCGCGACCCGCAGATGCGCAGACGCGGGTTGCGTTTACTTCAGGATGTGAACGGAGCTCCGGAACGGATCCCATTTGTATCCAGAGGTACTACTGTATTTTGTCTGCCCTGAATCTTTCAGTATTCAGTTTCATTGGATGACCCTGTTTGGTTTTAATATTATGTCCCCGCTCCAAATGTTGTGACCTTTCCTCAGATGGCAGTTGCTTCGCCCCCTTGATCATTTTGGTTGCCCTTTTCTGAATCTTTTCCAGCTCCACAACATCCCTTTTGAGGTCTGGCAACCAGAACAAAACACGTTATTCTGTGTAGTTGCACCAAATATTTGTAGAACGCCATCATGTTATTGGCAGTTTTACACCAGCAATTCTGCATGGGAATTCTTTTAAGAGCTCTCAGGTAGACGTCATCTGGACCCGTGATTAGTTCATTTCTAATTTGCCAGGCTGTGACTGAGGAACATGGTTTGCAGGTATGGCACAGGTATGTTACGTGGCGGCTGCGACGTACCTTAATTGGCTTAAGGGGTGACATCCCTGCAGCCAATTGGATCCAGCAGTGCATCTGGGGTCGTGGCATATCTCCAGCCCCGCCAAGGAAGCCTGAGGTTTCTCTTGAAGGATCCGCTAAGGGGATCAAAGGCTTCTGCAAACTTTTTGTAGGTCACCAGTTCAGATCCAGAGCAGGTCCGCCAGATGGTTCCTGCGTGAATCGCAAAGTGGCTGGCTCAGAACTGTTCCCGCTGGCTAGATGCCAGTGTGTTGCCACTGGCAACCTGGGCATCGGAGTCACAGGGGTGGCAATGCCAGGTCACTCCTGATCCTTCCCAGCTTTGGGGTCAGGCACTCTGCCAAACTTGCCCTGCTCGTTTCAACCACACTGACCCTGCAAAAGATCCCACCTTGACCTGTTCAGTGCGGCAAACCTTGGCTCTCAGTTTGAAAGAGGGTTTTCTTGTCTCAGGCCACTCAACACAAAATGGAAGGAAGAGGGGAGAGGTTGTGTTTATCCTGCGTTACACTGGCTGGAGTCTTGTGCTTATGTACCCAAAACCACAATGCCCACATATGAGAGAAGTGCCTGCAGACTTGTGTGTAACCCCAAGGTATAAAGGTGAAGGGACTCCTGACCATTAGGTCCAGTTGCGGACGACTCTGGGGTTGCGGCGCTCCTCTCACTTTACTGGCCGAGGGAGCTGGCGTACAGCTTCTGGGTCATGTGGCCAGCAGGACTAAGCCGCTTCTGGCGAACCAGAGCAGTGCATGGAGACACCGTTTACCTTCCCGCCAGAGAGGTACCTATTTATCTACTTGTACTTCGTGCTTTCGACTGCTAGGTTGGCAGGAGCAGGGACTGAGCAATGGGAGCTCACCCCATCGCAGGGATTCGAACCGCCAATGAACTTCTGATCAGCAAGCCCTAGGCTCTGTGGTTTAACCCACAGCGCCACCCGCGTCCCTAACCCCAAGGTATACACAAGTACAAAAAGCCTACAGAGAAAAAATAATTTATAGGAGTGGTACTCAAAACGACCCTCATAACTCAAGTGGCACAGGATGTTGAGAGATTGATAAGGGAATGACCGGACAACTGCATGGTGGACAGCTGGGGCTAAAATGCAGTGATATAGATGGTGCATATGTTTCGTATGGATAGAAAGAGCCATTGGTTACTTCCTGGTTCACACTGAGAAGCTGTTTCTCAGTGTCCCCAGGGATAGTAGAGAGAGCTTCCCATAGACTTCACTGGAGAAATTAAAAGAATGTAATATATCTTGAATTGGACATAAGTGTGTTCCTCCCTAAATAAATAATGGAGGCTAGACTGGAGTGGCTGGAGCCCTGAACAGAGGCATTCCATACTGCAATATTTTGTTGTAAGGTCCCAATGGTTTTAAAAATCATTTATATCCTGCCTTTTGACCTCAGAAATTAAAAACACTTCTCATTCTTAAAATTGCCTGGTCGTGCTGCTTCTATTTCAAGACGGCACCAGTTTTCTTCCCGGAATTTTGGCTGCAGTTTTATCTGTTTTTGCCGCAGCACATGGTTTGAGGCGACTTTGATGAGAGGTGCCTGCAGGTCAAGCCCTCTGGCCTTTAAAATCTCGGTTGGGGTGAGAGAGGAGGGATCTTTGTACGTGCAAGGGGCATGAACTCCAGATCCGTGTTTTGTGGATTAGAGATTTGAATCTGCCTTGTACCCCTTCACAGTCAACTCGCGCACTAGCAGAACTTCAGTGAAATCCTTCGCAGCAATCTTGAGATGCCTTTGTGCTCAGTTTTGCCAAAGGATCAGACTTCCTCTTGCTTCCCCACCCTCCTTTGTGATATGAAAATCTGACCCGCTTCTGCGCATTCGCTTTGTACTTGAAAGTGAAAATGTCAACCAGGGCAGATCATTCATGCTTTGGTTTTCGTTCTGCTCCATGCTTTTATTTTGGTCAAGCGGTGTTGTAAAAAGTGATCTGGGAAGGTCAGGAGTTAACACTTTCTGCACTGCAGAATTACACACACACACACACACACACACACACACACACACCTGGCATCTGAGAAATCTGATAAGGGGGTTGCCTCAGTGCCCTCATAAACCAGAAATCCAAGTGCTGTTAAGAATCAAAGTGCCTGTTTAATAGACACAGGGAGAAGCCAGCCGTGTTTCACATTTACAGTGCATCTTAATAATGGGTCAGTCCAGGGTAGAGAGATTGTTCAAGTAACAGGGTTCCCACTGCAAATCCCTCCGGAGCTTGGAGGGTTAGAATGCCAGTTTTCTATAAAGTTATTTTAGCCAGCATGTGCATTTATTCAGGAGAGATAAAAGGAGGGTCCTTCTTCACAAAGCACATTGTTAATCTATGGAACTCGCTCCGCCAGGAGGCAGTGATGGCTACCGACTTGGATGGCTTTAAAAGAGAATTGGGACATCTAGTTGGCTGCTGTAAGAACGGGATGCTGGACTCGATGGGCCACTGGCCTTTGCTCAGCAGCCTCTTCTTATGTTCTTATTTATTTTGTTTATTTATATTAAAAAAAATTATATGCTGCTGTGTCATTATATATATGTGTGTGTGTGTGTGTGTGTGTGTGTGTGTGTGTGTGAGAGAGAGAGAGAGAGAGAGAGAGAGAGATTTACAGCAACAAAACATAAAACCATACAATAAGAACCATGAAAAGGTTAAGATCAGACATCAAATAACCATTATGGAAGGATACATTCTTAATTGCCTGCATAGGCCTGGGAGAATAGAAACGTTTTCAGCAGGTTTTCAAAAGTTGGCACAGAAGGCTCCTGATGACTGTCTAGTGCAGCCTTTCTCAACCTGTGGGTCCCCAGATGTTGTTGAACTACAACTCCCATCACCCCTAGCTAGTAAGGCCAGAGCTCAGCGATGATGGGAGCTGGATCTCCATTGAGGTTGATTTTCCTTCAAGTGCAGGCTGCCTGGTTGAAGGGAAGGCAGTGGATGATCAGCAGGTGAGATACCAGGAATACGTAACCATTTTGACCGCTTCAGCCATCTTCTTTGTACTGATTCCGAGTGCTCTTCAGTCTGCCTTGAGCAAAATGTTTGCCTGTTCTCTTGTCCTGCCTTTGTCTTTCAAGGATGCTCCATCCTACGGATGTAAACAAGCCAGGCCTTTCCTTATTTACAGCAGCTCGGGAAGACCTGCTTAGATCTCCCTTGGTGCCAAAGCTTCCTTGCAGCCCAGAAAAATCCGATTTCCTCAGGTCTCTCTGCGGTGTCGCCCTCTGCTTTTGGGTCTAGCGCAGTACAGTCGCACTCTGCGTGCATTTGTGTGATTTCAGCCGGGCGCGATTGATGGCAGGCTGGTTGAAATGGCGTAAGTTAGATCCAAGCAAAAAAGCTCTTTTGTGTCAGGTCTGCTTGGTGTTACCTGGTGCAGAAGGAGCTTTTAAGCTCTCCTCCACCTTGCTTGGGGAGCAAGACGCACTCAGCGCACGGGCTCTGGAATGCTGCTGTGAGGTCATTGTGTTTCCGTACGATCTCACACGAGGACCCCAGCCTCCTTGAACTGGCACACTGAGCAAGCCTTGCCCCCCAAGTAAGTCAGAGAGCATAAAATCTCTTTTCACACAGATTCCTCTTGGGTTAGCTGTGCAAGCAGCTCTTTTAAGCTCTCTGCATTGTTTGCTGAGAAGGCCCACTCAGCGCATGGTCTCTGGGAGTGTGGGGATTTCTCTCTGCCCCTCACCCACTAGCTGCAGGGCAACTCCAAGGATTTGGGTATACCCTAGGAACCCAACCCATGCATAAGGTGCGATCGTATTGTGCAGGAAAGGTTGTGACGCGATGATCTCTTCATCATCGCTGATCAGAGTCTCTTGGAAGTGGTTTGGAACTCCTCCCTTGCCCTGGTTCAAGAGAGGGCCACTGTCATTGTGCAATAAGAACCGGATGTGTCTGTGTTTGCGATTAAGCCGCCAGCCGGGATTGACATAGATCTGATCCTACAAAGTGCTGAGCGCTTCTGACTGCAGCCAGTTTTAGGAATGCTTTCGGGGTCATCGAGGGCTCGGGCACCTGTGGGACAGATGAGTCAAAACAAAAGTGTTTCTCTGAGTAGGAGGAGGCTTTCCCCAAGGATGCGCTGAGGCAGGGGTGTGCAGGCAAAAGCAGGACAGAAGCCGGGAAAGGACTGGGCTGGCATGTGGAGCAAAGAAGAAAGATCCTGCCCCACTTCCAGAAGAGATTTGGCTTGCTGTGGGAAGTCTGGCAGTGGCCCGGCAGATGCCTCTGGAAGGGGCGGCTCTCAGAGTTCCTCAGGAGAACTATTATTATTATTATTACTATTATTATCATTATTATCCTCATTATTATTACTATTATTATACACCACCCAGCCACTCTGGGCGGCTTACAGCACATATAAAAACATAGTAAAACATCAAACATTTAAAACTCCTTGATCCACATCCCCTCCCTATTCCTAGCATCTGGTGGCCAAAAAATATTTTAAGAAGCATGGGAATGTCATCAGGAGTCCTGTGGGTTTTTTAAAGCACTACCTGTACACATTGCCTGCTCTGACTCTATTAAAGAGAGCTTCACTTATATCCATCCGATCCTTATCCTCGTGGCTAAAGTCTCATTTCAAAACACACTTTGTTTGTATGTCTCGTAAGTGGCTTTTGTATCTTCGAGTTCCCTCTGAGAATGTTTGATGTGCTGCTGTATTGATCTCCAAGGTTTCCCTTGGAGGAGGCTTTTTCCCATCCCGTTTTGTGTCAACAAAGGCAACCAAATGCTTTAAATAAATGAGATAAATAAAAATACTTCTGTCGTGACATGTGCTGGGCTGTTCCTTTTCTCTTGTGTAGTTGTGTGTACTTTTTTTTGGCATTTCAAGAAATGCCTAGTTACAAACTTTTTTGGTTTTTTTAACTTTGGATTAAAGGTTGTCTCCGCTTCCTCCAGGAGAGTAGATTCTCCAAATGTGTTTGTAAGGCTTTTGGTTTCATCGCTGGAGGAAGGTTTACAGCCAGCCAGCTCCGTAGTCCTTTGTAGCCAGAATTCAAGCGTTCCCAGTCTTGTGACTGGGAATAAGTTTGCACTGATTACGCTGCTGGCATTGGAAGCAGTGATCCTGCAAGGTGTCTTGCCCCGAATCTTACTGACCTTGTGGCTCTATTCTTTCTCGTGTGGAGGGACTATAAATCAGTGCAGAGCACATGTTTTGTAGGCAATAGGTTTGAGGCTCAGTCCCTGGCAGAGCCTCCAGTTGAAAAGACCTGAGTAGCAGGTAATGGGGAAAACCTCTCCCTCTCTCTGAGCGCAAGGCCCTGGAGAGCCATCGCCAGCTAGAGGAGAAAGTACTGTACAGAACTAGATGGACAAACAGGCCAAACTGATAACAGCCGATTGGTATTGCAGAACTTGAGCTTGGATGCCAATGGCTTGTCTTGCTTTTCTCTTAATATTTGTCAAGCGCCTTAATCGGTTTCTTCATTGTGCAGCGACTGCAAAAGAAGAGGGAGCACATAAGAGTGTCCTGGGTCACGCCAATGGCCCATCTAGTCCAGCATCCTGTTCCGGCAGTGGCCTAATTAATGCCTGTGCGGAAACCAGCAAGCAGGATTCGGGCACAAGAGCACCCCTCCTCTCCTGTGGTTTCCAGCAACCTATCAGTCTTGAGCAAAGGAAGGGAATGACTGGGACGTTTTTCCACCTCCTGCAACAAGCCAGAGCTTCATTTGCTTGAAGGTTCTTGAGGCTCATCCTTTCCCCAGCCTGGTACCTTCCAGATGTTTGGGGCTGCAGGCGCTGTACTGGCTGGGGCTGATGGGAGTTGTAGTCCAACATTTCTGAAGCCTGGTCCTAGGAGAGCGTTTGAGTTCTGCTCCCTTTTAGTTTGCTATATGTCTGTGGATGCCTGACCCATACATAGGACATTTCTGCAAAGCTGTTGCCCATTTTCGATTTCAAGCCAAAGCTTTATACTGACCCTTATTTGCCTGTTTTCTTCTTTTCCTATGATTTCCTCTCGCTTTTTGTTTTTCTAAACCGCCTTCTGTGTTTCCTTTCAGGTCTGCTAGCCAACATCACCATGTTCAGCAAGAAGAAGAAGCGCATTGAGATCTCCGCCCCCTCCAACTTTGAGCACCGGGTCCACACGGGCTATGACCAGCAGGAGCAGAAGTTCATAGGGCTGCCGAGGCAATGGCAGGGCATCATCGAGGAGTCGGCCAAGCGGCCGAAGCCGTTGGTGGATCCAGTGTGCATTACGGCCGTCCAGTCTGGCTCTCAGAAGGTAGATGGCACTAGCTTTGCTCTCGTGTGGGACCTGAACTTCATACATTTCTGTCGGAATGGGAATGTGCTTCTGAGCGGTGGCTTAGCGAGTAAGCCATAAAATGGCCAGCTGGTAGCTGCAGCTGCAGCCTGCTCTGATGTGGACAGGTGCTATCTGTAGACCTTTTGATGCTTTGTAAGAAGGGGGCGGTGGCGGGGGGACACACATCCTGAACCTAGAGCTTCAAACCGCTAGAGGAGACTCTCAAAGTAACCTTGGGGTCATTTCACCCAACCACTTTGTCACCAGCCATAAGGTTGGAGTGGTTTTTGAGAACTCAGCGTGTCTCCCAAGACTGCAGTTTGCTGCCATCTGGCAAAACTCCTGGACATGTGAGTTGAGCCGGGTGACGGATTCCGGTTGCAGTGTAACCTTGAAGGCTTGGGGGTGCGTTCACAAGACTAAACGTAACATCAGAACAGCTTCCTGAATTTTTTTCTGACGAAGTAATGAGCGGATTCTGTAGGACTCGAGTTCTGTCCATGTCAGAAGTTTGCTACCCTCACCCACCGGGTATCCTGTCTGTCGTTTGTGCTGTGCTTGGATATAGGAGTGACTGGAGTTTTGGACCCCCATCTCTGGGGTGTAGCGCGAGAAGCTCCCCTTGCCGAGCATGCAAAATGAGATGTCGTCTCTGAATGACTGCTTGGTTCAGGCATAGGTCCTGGAACGGCCCCTTCCATTCGTGGAATGGGGCGATGTATGTGTCCTGCATGTAATGAGTTTGCAGCTCAGCTAATTTTTCCCCCAGGGTGAGGTCGGTGGGGGAGAGAGCGGACCGCAAGCCTGACACATTTCGGAGCTGCGGGACACCCAGGCCTGAACGCCAGAGCCAAAATCTGGACGTGGGAGTGGAGTCCCAGCGCAGCAGGCAAGGGGTCAAATGCAGCGTGTGTGAGGCAGCTCTGGGTTGGCCTCTGGGGGCAGAAGCGCCTGGCTCTTTCAGAAGCATCACGAGGTTCAGCTTGAGGCGGAGGAGCCGAAATGCCTTCTGCTGGAGGGCGCAGGGGGGTTGGTACAGCGCTGCGTGTTAGCAAGCCAGGAACTTGATCCTGAAAACAACGTGGTTTGTGTCCTCAAGTCAACAGTGATTCACCCAGATCTGGAAACCGACAGGCTTTTAAAGGTTCGTGTCCGATGGGGGAAGGGGTTTGCTGGCTGGTTTTCCTGGAAGAGATTTATCGCACTTCCTGTACTATGGGGTGCCGGTTTGGGGCTCATCCTGATAGCCAGCCCACCCTCGACAGCTTACCAGTATGAACATCCTTAGCGGTAAGGAGAATGCCTGTGTTTGTCTATTTACTTAGCCGAGGAGGCAGCAAGGGGAGCCCTGCTTCAGCTTTTAGTTCAAGCCAGGAGCAGATAGTGACAGGCAACCCTGTCAGGGTTAGCTGATGGAGAAGGCATCCATTTAGGCATTAGGATATCAGTGTCTGGCTTTGTATGGGCTAGCAGGATTCAAGGACAACAAAGTGTATTGGGAAGAGTAAAATAAATCATTGTACTGCCAGGTAGAGGGCAGGCAGAAGTGGTGGGCTCTCCTTCACGGGAGGTATTTAAGCAGAGGTTGGAGGGCCACCTGTCAGGGGTTCTTTAGCTGTGATTGGGGGTTGGGCTAGATGACCCCTAGGGTTCCTTCTAACTCTGCAATTCTATGACGCTTGGTTGGGTCTGAATGCTTGCATGGCATTGAACACGGCCATGAGGTTTCAGTGTTCATACCAAAATCGATCGGAATGCCTTTTTGCATGTCCAGGTGTTTTGTATGAGGTTTATCTCCTGGTTGCTCTGCTAACAATATTGCATCTTTAAATGGCGTGTGCATGGTTGTGGGTTTTTTTGCATTTATTTTTGTAAGCCCAAAATGGATGTTGTCATTTTAAATAAGCCGTCTGGCTGGCACGTCCAGGCGCCACCTGCCTGCTGCCCATGTCCCCAAGTACAAGGTAGGGGCGGAAGTCCTGTTGCACCCCTGACCACAGAGGAAGTGGCTTGTGACTTTCAGGTCACAGCAAAGGCTGCTCCTCCGTGTAATTTCAGCAGAGGGTGACTCAGCCCGTGTTGCCTTCCTGGAGAGAAGCGAGGGAAAGGCTTGGGTCTGAATAAAAGCCAAAGACCTGTTGTTCCAGTCCTGCCACGGCCTGGTGTGGGGCTTGATGAGACTGGTCTGCTTGGGTCTGTGAGGCGCTGATGGCAGGAGAATTTGCCTTAGCCAGAGCCCCACCTTGTTGGAAGTGCCAGTGATTTACCAGAGACCAGAGATTTACAGAAGATTGGAAGAAGTATATGAATTATTTGAAGAGCAACTGTAATCAACAAATTACGCTAGTAGGACTACAAGAAGCAGAAATATACGAAGTGTTACAAAGTAGAAAAAGATAGAGATATTGATTATGAGATTGAAATGTCATAGGGAAAATAAGAAATGCCTACTAAGAGATTAGATTGGAAAATTTTCAGACAGGACTGATGGAAGTCAAAAAAACTGAATAAGATGTAAAAGTATGTTTAATTACTGTTGAAAATGATATGTTAAAAAACTAATTATATATATATATATATATATATATATATATATATATATATATATATGAAGTGCCAGCTCAAATCTCCCCCTGCCCCATGCCCTAGCTGCAATATTCCAGTAGAGCCATCTTGCTGGCTGTTCCCTTTCTTGGCTGTTCTCCCAAGCCTCTTCCCTGCTTTCCCCTTGACCACTCACCCACACCTTTCCCTGCTTCTGGTGTCATCCTGCCCCCAGCCCCCTAATTTGCCCAGAATTTGGGACGTGCCTTGTTTAGGGAACTAAACAAACCCCTCCCTGCCTTCCCAATAAACGCCGCGGCAGTTTTGCAGGGATTGCTTGCTTCCCTTGGAGGCGCAGCGCTGCATTTCTGGGGAGGGCGAGGCACCTTGTCCCAGGGGTGCTCTGGGAGCTGCAGTGGGGAGGGGCCCCTGTTGCCGCCTCCGACAAGCCGGGCTCCCATTCCGTGTCCTGCAGCTGCAGGGTGGGATCTTAACGTTTCTGCAGGCCTCTGCAAATTGCCTCTTGTTTACCCAGGAGGACACTTCAGAAACTCATTCAAGGCAACACGTGTTGGTTTCTATTTCCCTCACTGAGCAGCAACTGCAGTCACAAGACATTGTTTTGCATTCCACAGTCTGTACTGTTGGAGTTTCTCACGGGAAAGGGAGACTGGATGTGACGTACACTGGTTTCCTGTTTTTCACTGTGTGATTCTCTCCAAGCTGTCGAGGAGAGAGGATGCATTTTCTGCTCTTGCAGAGGCAAGATGTCTTTCTGTAATATACCAGCTTTGAACTGTAAATAAAGCAATAAAGAGTATGCAGCACGTATTCTCATCCTTCCGCTGGCCACGACAGACTCTGCTTTAAATCAACACGTGGTTATGGACTCCAGAGGTCGAATCGGAGTGCCGGCAGAGGATCGGAATGCAGAGGGAGGACGGATCGGAAAGGAATCTGCTCTGCGCGTAGAAGTGATTGATGAGGTATGTGCTACTGCTCCGGGCAGCCTGCCAGCTTCAAGATAATGGCTTTATGGCTGGACTTTGAACTTTTAAAGCCGGTTTTGCCGGGAATAGGCAAAAGGCTCCCAGGCACAAGTCACTATGCTGGGGAAATCGAAAGTAACTTTTAAGTGTGCCTTTGTAATAAAGCAGCTGCAGCAGTGACGCAGCAAGATTTAAAGCAGCATTTATGACGCTGAAGGCTAATGCCAGAGTCATGATGGCCCTTCAGGATGCTTGTAGGATTCCTAAGCTCAACAAGAAAAATTACAGCGACTGGGTTCAGTATGCAGAGGCAATTCTGCGGAAAGAGGGTTTGTTTGAGGTGATTACAGGAACCCCCCCAGTTCCAGTTACAGATGCATGGGAAGCTAAGGATTCCAAAGCAAGGGGAACTCTTACATTGATAGTATCCCCAGAAGAGCTCTGTCTATTGCGTGATAAGACCTCAGCCAGAGAAATTTGGGACGCTCTGAGAGAGGCTCACTTAAGGACAGAAGCTGGATCCACTATGTTTTATTTTAACAAGCTGCATAATATGGCTCTTGCTGAAGGTGGAGATGTGCGTTTACATCTAATGGAGATGCAAAATCTGAGACATGAGCTGCAACAGAGAGGACTCAACTTTCCAGAGGCTGTGTATTCTTTCATGATACTACAATCTTTGGGTTCAGGTTGGGAGTCTGTTGCAACCCAGATTGCTGTGCAACCAACTGCTCAGCTGACAGTGGACTTTGTTACTGCCGTGATTTTAAATGAAGCAGATCGCCGGGGTGCTAGCTGCATGGGCAAGGGAGAGTCTTCACAGACGTCATCCCATAGTGCAGTGGAACCACCAGATGGCGCCAAAGCTTTGAAGGCAGTGAAATGCTACTCGTGTGGACGTCTAGGCCATATGAAGAGGGAATGCAGACATCCCAGGGCCAAGACAGAGCAGCGCAGCGAAAGCTCATCGCGCGGAAAAGGCCGAGGCAAAGGCAAAGGTCCGGTGTCTAGGACAACGCAGCACAAGGCTATGGTTTCACGCTTCACTCCAAAGGTTGCAGAGGTCCAGAAGACGTCTAGATCTTTCTTCGTTGATTGATTCAGCGGCCACCCACCACATGTGCAACGATAAGAAACTGTTTGTGTCTTTTACACCGCAGGAAGGTGCGATTCACCAGGCGGATGACCACACTATTCCCAGTAAAGGCTACGGAACTGTTGTTCTTCACAGTTTGGACTTATCGATACAGAATGTGCTTTACGTGCCAGACGCCAAACATAATCTGCTCAGCGTTGGACAGCTGAATGAGCGGAACATTGACGTTTCCTTCAAGAACAAGAAGTGCATCATCACAAAGAAAAATGATTATGTATTGCATGCAGAATATGTTGATCATTTGTTTGTTTTGTATTATGATGATGTGGTGCAGGATGACACTTGTTGCATTGCAGGTTCTAACAAAAGTTTGCATGCAGAATGTATTCACGATTTTCATCGCAAATTTGGTCATTTGCATTTTGAGGCAGTATCTAAAATGCCTGCCTTGGTTGAAGGTATGACTATTAAACCCTGCAGGTACCACATGAAGTGCAAAGCATGCGCAGCAAACAAAGTGAAAATGGCTGCGAAAGGTAAGGTGTCTAGTAGGAAAGCTACAGAACCATACCAGGTTGTTCATGCTGATTTGGTTGGACCACTATCGCCCTCTTTGGGTGGAAATAGATACTTCATGGTTCTCATTGATGCATTTTCTAGATATATTTTTGTGTACAATCTCAAGCAGAAATCGGAGGCTTTTCCTAGGTTCAAGGAATTCTGTGCTTGGTTGGAAAATGTGCATGGTAAGAAGATAAAGACTCTTTTCAGTGATCGCGGGGGAATTCACTTCTCAGCAGTTTGAAGCTTTTCTGACTGAGAAAGGAATTCAACACGATTTGTCTAGTCCTCGCTCGCCATGGCAGAATGGACTTGCGGAACGGGCAAATCAGACATTGCTTCAAGGATTAAAACCTTGCTGCATGATGCCAATCTTCCAGAGAGTTATTGGGCCGAATCTCTCTCGTGTTTTGTTTACAGTTACAATCGCAGGTTATCTTCAGCGATTGGTTGTACCTCTATGAGAAGATGTTTGGCAAGAAGCCATACATCAAACACATGAAGATTTTTGGTTCTGACATGTGGGTTCGCTCACCACAAAACTCCAAGTTAGACAAGCGTGGATTGCATGGTATCTTTCTAGGTTATCAGAAAGGGTCTTACAGAATAATGATGACTGACTCTAAGACAATTAAGCTCACGAGAAGTGTTGAGTACAATGCAAAGTGGGGGAGAATGTGGGAATTTTCCAATGTTATCCTGATGACGGTGATGAGACTGAGGATAGTCAAAAGCAACCACAACAGCCCACACCCACTGATGAAGGTTCTGAGTCTGAATCTGAAACTGAATCGGGTGATTCAGAGGATTTCAAGAGTGCGAAAGCCTCTATGCGACCCTCTGAAAGCTCTGATCAAGAATTGGAGGAACCATTGTTCACAATAGGTCGTTTTTCTCCTAAGAAGGAAGAGGAGAGTGTTGAAGACTTAAGGCTAATTCGTAGGTCACAGAGAGCCACAAAAGGCAAACCTCCAAAGAGATTTGCTGATGAGTTTGCTAAGATAGCAGTAACAGCTGTTAAAAGCTCCAAGAAGGTATTTGAACCTTCAGGTTTCCAAGAAATCCAGGGTTTGGATTCAAAGGAAGCTGAGCCATGGTTAAATGCCATGAAGGCTGAGCTTGATTCCTTAGAAAGGAACAAAACATGGGAGCTAGTTCCAGTAGTTCCAGGAATGAAACTGCTTGGAAGCAAATGGGTCTTCAAAGCGAAGACAGATCAAAATGGCAAGATAGTCAGACACAAAGCCAGATTGGTAGCCAGAGGTTTTGCACAGGTACCAGGTGAAGACTATCACGAGACCTATTCACCCACAGTGAGATATGAAAGCATTAGGCTTATGCTCAAGCTAGCTGCAGAGGAAAATCTACACATTAGTCACCATGATATTAATACAGCTTTTCTGTACGGATCTCTAGATGAATCACTTTATATGCTTCCACCTGATGGCGTACAGGTAAAACAGGGATTTGTTTGTGCTCTGAAGAAATCCCTTTATGGTCTCAAACAAAGTGCACGGTGTTGGCACACAAAACTCACTGAAGTATTGTTTTCTCTAGGTTTTCAGCAAGGGAAAGCTGATCCATGTGTATTTGTCAAAGAGGAGGGGCAAAAGAAACTGTACTGTTTGTTTTATGTTGATGATTTATTATTCTTTTGGAAAGATGTCGCAATGTACAATAGCGCCCTAGCTCAACTGAAAGAGCACTTTGACATGAAAGATCTTGGTGAGGTAAACAACTACCTATCTCTGGAAATAGAGAGAGATCAAGATGGTAACATTCTAGTACACCAGTCACGGAAAATTGCTGATGTGTTAAGCAAACTAAATCTGATGGATGCTAACCCTGTAGACACACCGATGACAACAGGTTATCAGGTAGATGACACTGAAGAAGCATTTTCTGACACTACGCTGTACAGGAGTGTGCTAGGCAAGCTAAACTTCATTGCCAGATGTTCAAGACCAGACATTGCTGTTAGCTGTAATTTGCTAAGCAGACAAGTCAACAATCCTAGTGTCAAGGATTGGAAAGCTCTGAAACGCATAGCGCGGTATTTGAAAGGCACTATGCATTACAGACTGAGATTTAACAATCAGAAGTCTGGTGGTCTTGAGATATTTGCAGATGCTACAGATGGAAGTGACGCTACAGACAGGAAAAGTACGTCTGGAGTTTGCTACATGTACAATCAGAGTCTGTTTGATTGGTCATGCAAGAAGCAAACAACAGTTAGCTTAAGTACTTGTGAAGCCGAACTGAATGCACTGTCTTATTCACTTAAGGATTGTGAATGGTTAGTACAATTGTGCAAAGATATGAAAATTCCTGTCAAATGTCCAATCCAGGTTTACCAGGACAACAAAGCATGTTTGGCTTTGCTGAAGTCTGAAGGTTGTAAGCAAAGCACAAAGCACTTGCAATTAAAGTTGCAGCATGCTAGGGAATGTATTCAGAAGGGACTCGTAACGGTGTCCTATATGCCAGGTAATGAAATTCCTGCTGATGTATTGTCCAAGATTGTATCAAGGGATCAACACTGTACCTATGTGCAGAAGTTGGGTTTGTACTGATATTGTACGAACACGCTGCCCAGTGATGTTCACAGAAAGGGGAGGATGTTGGTTTCTATTTCCTCACTGGGCAGCAACTGCAGTCACAAGACATTGTTTTGCATTCCACAGTCTGTACTGTTGGAGTTTCTCACGGGAAAGGGAGACTGGATGTGACGTACACTGGTTTCCTGTTTTTTCACTGTGTGTTTCTCTCCAAGCTGTCGTGGAGAGAGGATGCATTTTCTGCTCTTGCAGAGGCAAGATGTCTTTCTGTAATATACCAGCTTTGAACTGTAAATAAAGCAATAAAGAGTATGCAGCACGTATTCTCATCCTTCCGCTGGCCACGACAGACTCTGCTTTAAATCAACAACACGCTGTGCATTGCTGCTTCAGGCCGTTTCCTGGCGAGTCCAGGAACGGCATTTGTAGCTAAGAAGCCCATCCCTCTCCCTCTTGCTCTTTGTGCTTAGGCACAGAACCTGCTGTGGAAGGTTCAGCTCTGAGAAACGCAGAACTGTAGAGCTGGGAGAGACCCCAAGGGTCATCTAGTCCAACCCCCTGCAATGCAGGAATTGCAGCTAAAGGATCTCTGGCAGATGGCCATCTGGTATCTCTTTAAAAACCTCCAAAGAAGGAGAGTCCATTCCACTGTTGAATAGCTCTTACCACCAGGAAGTTCTTCCTGATGCTTAGTGTCGTCTGAGCGCATGATGTGTTCTTCCTGATGTGTTGTTTGAGCACATTGGTTTGGGCCGTCCCCTCCGGAGCAGCAGAAAACAGGCTTGCTCCCCTCTTTCATGCGACTTTAGATACTAGAATCTCCCTGTTTCCTTTATCCAACAAAACACCTGCCATTGTAGAGAGAGCAGCTTCCATGCATGTGGGAGCGGTTAGCGCACTGCACTTGGGCATTTCTCTGACACCAGGCACAGCTCCTGCACGGCTTGTGTGAATGTCAGTGTGGTTTTGTCAGACGAAACTCCAGAGCAAGTCCAGCCACATGCACCATCTGCTTCTCTCAGGGGGAGCGAAGCTTGCATCGCTTAGTCTGTAGCCTGCACTTTTCCCGGGACCCCCTTTCACTCAGTCTTCCCCTACTCCCTGTTGCCTCATAGATCTCCTCCTGCTGCCACATGCCCACACGGAAGAAACCTTCTGTTTCTGCCCCTTTGGGCGCCACGTTGGACTAGAGCCAGTTTGTGCCAAGTGTGCTTGTGTAATGGTATGTTATAGCGGTTAGGAGTGTTCTTGGCCCGGAATCTGGACCTTCAGGATGGAGTCTCCTTCCTTGGAGGTTTTCAGGCAGAGGTTGGATGGCCTCCTGTTGTGTCCGATTCAGTTGAGACCCCTGCATTGCAGGGGGTTGGACTAGATGGCCCCTGGGGCTCCCTTTCGACTCTGCAGTTCTGTGATTCTGTGTTGATCCTGCAGCTCAGATCTCTCTCTTCCATGAGCACATTCCCTCTCCTCCCCCCACCCCACGCCCTCCGGCAAGCCTGCCTCTTGGGAATCTTTGCCTCTTGACGTTTCCAGCTGGCTAGATGAGCCTGAGTGCTCTCTGATAAGGAAATCTTTATGCGCTCGCACAGCTCTCCAATGAAAGAGGTTCCACAGTGTGGAGCTATGCATTGTGTAGGCTGGGGGCAAAAGGCAGCCGCTCTTGGCATACTAAACACATTCATTGAGGGCGGCCCACGTCAACTGAAGGGGCTTCAGCGGGGGAGGAGGGCGCGTGCATGGATTTTGTGCGCTGGTGCACTATAGATGTGGCCCTCCTCTCTTTCCCATCTCCGTCAGCCACTTCCCTTTTGTTGGGGGGGGGGTAAGGCCCTGAATGGCTCCTAGTCATGCTGGCTCTGCGTCCTGCCCCCAGAATCAGAGGCAGCATGTGCCTTAAATTCTGGCAACTGCAAGCGAAGAGAGTGGCGTTGCATTTGGGCATCTGGTTGGCCACTGTGAGAACAAGATTCTGGGCTAGGTGGGCCCCCTTGGCGCTCTTAGGGTCTTAGGTCCTCACCTCCAGCGATGCCGTGCGGCCCCTTTTTATACAGTCTGCAGGATTATGGACTGAAATGGTGCAGGGGCCTACTGAAGTTTTGCACATAGACAACATTGTTACATATACAGTGGTAACTCAGGTTACAGACGCTTCAGGTTACAGACTCCGCTAACCCAGAAATAGTACCTCGGCTTAAGAACTTTGCTTCAGGGTGAGAACAGAAATCGCACAGTGGCGGCAGCAGGAGGCCCCACTAGCTAAAGTGGTGCTTCAAGTTAAGAACAGTTACAGGTTAAGAATGGACTTCCAGAACTAATTAAGTTCTTAACCCGAGGTACCACTGTAGAAGAGTAGCAGGTTGGGGAGGCTAGGCTGCAAGCTCTTCTCCCTGCCTTCCTAATAATCATAATTTTATTATTTATATTCCCCAGCCACTCTGGGTGGCTCCCAAGAAAATATTAAAAGCACAATAAAGCGCCAACCATTAAAAACTTCCCTACACGGGGCTGCCTTCAGATGTCTTCTAAAAGTCAAATAGTTGTTTATTTCCTTGACATCTGATGGGAGGGCATTCCACAAGGTGGGTGCCACTACTGAACCAAGCCTTCTGCCTAGTTCCCCGTAACTTTGCTTCTCGCAGTGAAGGAACCGCCAGAAGACCCTTGGAGCTGGACCTCAGTGTCCCAGCTGAACGATGGGGGTGGAGACGCTCCTTCAAATATACAGGGTCCATATTCCTAACTTCCTGTATGGAGGCAATTATTTCCAGGGGGAAGCATTCACCTCTCTCTCTTCCCACCCCCCACCACCATAGCCTGAAGTGGTACAGTCCACGAAAAAAGCCTGCTGACTGTGTAAACTGGGACAGAATCGCTCTTTGCAGAAAGATCAGGGATCCTTGGGAGGGCTGCAAGCGCTGAGGTCAGGTTTTCAAATCCAAGGGAGCAAGGAGCGAGAGTGCCTTTCTGGAATATTTATTTATAAATGCGTCCTTGCCACCATCATCCCCTGTATAACTGTACAGTCACCGAGCCAATTACCCGAAAGCTGTACTTTTCTCTGTGGGTGTGGGTGTTTATTTGTGTTGCTGCTTTGGCCCACATGTGAGGCTGTTGGCGGAGAGCGTTTTTTAAGCTCCTGGTCTGAGGAATCTGCGCATTTCCTCCCAGGGTAGAGTGAAGGTGGGAGCATCTCGCTTGCTTTGGATTTCGGCTGGAGGAACATTCATGGCAGCAGTCGGGTGTCACCATGCTAAGCGTCTGGCTTACGAGTCCTGTTTTGGCCGAGGCGGAATAACAGAAGTTTGTGTGCCCACTCGTCTAGTCTCTTCCTCTCCTTCACCAACCAGCCTCACTGGAGCCTTAGCGCTGCTTGTTTTGGAAATAAAGCGTTGCATGTAGGCTGCAAATAGAAGGGAGGTTCTTGGTTCTAGTAGGTCACAGATAACTGAATGTGGACTTGCACCATTTGCATCTCTCTGAAACCAGTGTTAGAAACTCAGATACGAAAGCTGGGTGCCAAATGACTCCTTAAACCAGGGTTACAGTTGCCAACATGGCATGCCTAGTTTGCCATTTTGGGGCCAGGAGGCTTGAAAGTTGTATTTTTCAGTGTGACTTTTTGATCCTGAAATTTGTTCTGATTTGGCAGATAGAATCTCACTGATAGAATTCTAAAGGGTGTGTTGTTAGCGTGTGAAAAATAGGCAAGATCCAAGGATCCCCAGGCATGCACCTTCAGACGGTGGAGATGTCAGGCACCGTCCTGGCGCCCCGGTATCTTCACATAGTTGCAAGCGACTGATAGCCAGGTGCAAAATGTGCCTGGCAAATTTCACATGCTGTGTGAACCAATGGTTGTTACGTTGGTGCTGGAAATTTTTCCTTAAAGTCCTCCGGTGTAAAAGCAGCGCCACCAGGCCTCCTCTCCTGCAACTGTCATTTGGGGCAGCCATTCCACCAGACTGCGTCAGCAGGAGAGATAGGAAGCAGGGCTATCACTTGATCAGCTTTACTGAAAGGCCAGCTCCATCAAGCACTTCCTGCCCCTGAACTGTGCCTGCTGGTCAGTATAGAAACAGCTGTTTAGAAATGGGTGCCTGAGTTTTGATTTTTCTTTTTCCCTCCTTGTTCCCTTCCCCTTGAGTGTCTTTTCTTTGAGATTGTAATCTGTGGGGCAGGGACTGTTCTGTTTTGATGGGATGTAAGCCGCTCTTGTACCTGAAGAGCCAGGTACAAATGCTCTAAATAAATCAGCATGGCAGAAAGGGCCCTTGTGAGTGAAAGGAGCGATCCTTGGAAGCTCTCCTGCTAACACCCACATATCTATACTGCAGGCGTCGCACAGGCCTTGCCTCCCAAATACTTCAGCGCTCTTGCAGGAGTTTCTTGTGGTGGATTGTGGTGTGGTTGGGGTTGGGTGTCTCGGTTCCAGACACCGCAGTCTGTTTTCAGTCTGGCAGGGTGTCCTTCAGAGTGTTCTAGCAGATGTGTGGGTCTGGTTTTGAACGGGGAAAAATAATAATCTGCATGCCTGGCCTGGCCTGGCCTGGCTGTTGTGTCCTCTCGCTTGCTTGTAGCATGCAACTGATCTGTGCGCTGTGCAGAATGTGATAAGAGCCGGCGCAAAAGTATAGGATCAGGCCTTGAGGAGGGGAGGGGGGACAAAGCAACACATCTCTGCTTAGGAAGCCAGTGGAAAAGGTGGGATGTGAAAGTTGCTTTGCGTTTGAAGTGCTTGGCAGGTGCAGAGGGGAGGGGAGGGAAAGGTTCTTGCATTGACCCCAGAGGATGTGTACATGATATGTGAGGGAGGAGTAAGCCTTTTCCTGGGCCACCAGTGGAAGGCCACATGAGTGTGGAGTCTTGCAAATCCCCCCCCTTTTTTTTCTGTCAAGAGGAAGAGACGGTGGCCATGCTGTGATTGGAAGGCTCTGAAATCAGAGCTTTGCAGACTGATGCAGCATAAATGACGGCATTTTACGTAGATAGCATCTTGGTTTGTGCCTTCAGATAACAAATCTAGAGGCTTTACCATTTCCTTCAAGCCATTTCTTTTTGAGTCAAGCGTTGTTATCGCCTGCATTTGTGGTTTTCATGGAAGGTTCAATGCACGGATGGAATGGGTGTATATGGGGAAATTACTTCAGAATTAAGAGCAGCTTCCTTAAAGGCCTTGCTTCTCCAGTGTGTGAGCAACAGCGCCCCCTCCCGACGCCCGCATGCTTCTGTACGCTTCATTTTGTGTGTGCGTGTGTGCCAAAACTGACCAGCTGCCAGGCATCCACCAGGCCCCTTAATTTCTTTTTTTGTTTTGTTTTTGTGTTGCTCACCTTATTTTCTTTTGTGTTTGTGTTTGTCTTTTTTTCTCCCTCCCCTCCCCGCCGCTTCCGTTTTCCATGCCCCGCGCATAAAGACCATCGTGCGGGGGAACAAGGCGGCCAAGGACGGCTCCCTGGCCTGGCTGCTGGATGAGTTTGAGAACATGTCCGTGTCGCGCTCCAACTCCCTGCGCAGGGACAGCCCCCCCTTCCCGCCTCGGCACGACCAGCTCTACCAGGAGAACGGCCTGAGCGAGGCCCTGGCCAGGCCCTCCCGCCACCACCACCACCATCACTACCCTGCTGCCGTCGCTGAGGAAGACTCTGGGGGCAGCAGGGGCAAGGAGCTGAAGGAGCGGAACCGCCATGGCTCCCGGAACGAGCTGGACCAGAGCCGGGAGAGGAGCCGGGAAGACAGGACAGCCGCACAGCACCCCCGGGGGCAGGAGCCCACGGGCAAACCTCACCACCGGCCACCCCCTCCAGACTACCACAAGCCCTTCTCGGACCACAGGCACCGGCCACACGAGCGAGACGGGAGGAGGGAGACGGCCGCCGAGAAGGAGCCGTCGGAGCGCGTGGTCAGAAGGGAGCGTGTGGACGGCCCCGACAAAAGACCTAAATCGACCTACACCGGGGAGACCAGCCCGCAGTCCCCCCGGGAAAAGAGGCCTCTTTCGGGACCCAATATCCGGACCCCAAATATCCCCATCTCCGAGGGGGTCATGAAAACGGCACAGCAGACCGGGCGGCCTTTTAACACGTACCCGCGAGCGGACACAGATCCCGTCCGGGGTGCTCAGGTAACGTTTCCCCATACCTCCCGCCTTGTAAGTTGTGGCTCTCTAGCCCTGGCCAGCCAGGACTGACCCTCCGCAAGTGCCTTTTCCCTGGAGCACAAGCTCATCAGCAAGTGAAGATGCCTCCTGCTTTTAAAAGGGATTTGCGTCTTACTGCCAGCATCCCTGAGTGGCTGATGGTGTGATGGGCAGTGGGCACCTTCTGAGCCGCGAAGCCAAGCTCTTCTGCAGAAGCCCCACCCTGTAGAGACCTCCAGAGGCTGGCTCTTTGCTCTGCTCCCTGCCGTCTCGCTGTGTCTCCTCTTTCTCGGGCCTTCCTTCCTCCTCGGAGCAGCGCTCCCTCGCTTTGCAACCTGCTGTCTTCCTGCAACGTCTGGGTGTCCGTCCTGCCTTTCCTCTCCTCTGCTGTCACAGCCCTTGCTCCCACTAACCTGAGCTACTCTGGTGCTGTCCACCTTCTGAAGGAAGCGCTCCTCTCTCTGCTCTTTTCCCTCCGCGTGCCTTTCTCTAACCGCCCTCCGCAGCCCCACGGCCTCCTGCACAGTGACTCTGTCTCTCTCTCTGTAGAAGCGCTGCAGCAAAGCAGCCACGTACTGCGCTGTGGGTGCCACAAGCCTCCATCGCAAGGGAATCTACCGTACAACTGTCAGGTGTCTGGAACCCTTTTTTTCTTGCACCTCTGCCACTTTTCTTCCTCCTCTTCCTCTTCCTCCAAGGGCACCGCCATCCTTAGCTTCAACCTTCTTTTGCGTCTAGCTAACCACTATCATCTCCGCCTCGGTTCCTGTCCTTTGTGCTAATCTAGCAGGGGGTCCTGCCGCTTTCCTGCTGTGTGCCTATGTGTGTGTGTGTGTGTGTGTGTGTTCTGGGCATAACTCTGCCACAGGCAACAGGAGAGATGAGGTACAGAAGATAGATGCAGCTCCTGCTGCTTTCTGGGTCCTCCGCCTGCTCCCATTTGCAGGCTTCATCTCTGCCATCTCCAGTTAAAAGAGAACCTGGTTCGTGGGCTTTCCAGAGGGCATCTGATTCCACACTGTGGGGAGGAAAATGCAGGGCTAGGTGTAAATCTAGTCTGATCAAGCAGGCTGCTTTTACTTTCTTATGGCATGGGTTAAAAGGGCTGGGGAGACACCTCTGTATATCTGGGTCTCTTGAGGCATTACTGAATTGCAGGGGGCTGGACTAAATGACTCTATGGGTCCCTTCCAACTCTACAATTCTATGATTCTGCTGTTGGGCAGAGAAGATGGTCGTGGGCTGAATGGATCAGCAGTCTCTTACTCCATATTAGTCCGTAAGAGCTACCCACAAGTCTCTCTCCGTCAGTGCTCTTCAACGGTTGGGTGCCCAGGTGTTGTTGGACTACAAAACCTATCACCCCCCCCCCCAGTTTAGCTAATGGTCAGGGATGATGGGAGTTGTAGTCTGGCAACATCTGGGGATCCAAGGTTGGAGGGCGCTGCTCATTCCGGGGCGGGTGGGGGTTTCAGAACACATGACCTGTTTTGGCGAGATCCATACTTCACATATTATCGGAACCGGCGGTGGTGAATCTCAAGTCCTAAGGCACCAACATCACCGTATTGGTTTCTGGCACTCAGTGCTCCGGTTGAGGGTCCCTTGGCAACCGGGCAGCTGGAGTGTGACCTTCTCTGCCCCTTCCCTTTGTAGTGAGTAGTCTGAGGGTATTGTCAGCCCTTCCACACTTGCCTGAAAGTAGACACTGCTGGGGGTTGGACTAGATGACCCCCCTGGTCTCTTCCAAGTTTACAGTTCTGTGATTCTCTGATCTTTCCCGTCCTTCCGAGTTGCTGATGTAACCATTTCACCCCACCCACCCCTGCTTCTTTTAGGCAGAGCACAGGCCTGGGAAACCCCAAGAAACCGCCTCCAACGGCCCCATAAGTGGCAACAGCAGCTCCTCCAGGCCCCCACCATCGGGCCCAACGAGATCCCGGAACCCAGAGCCGCCCCACCCAGGACTCTCCCAGCACGCCTCGGACCCCCACTTGACGCACGTCCCGCCGCCCGCCCACCAGCCGCCCTACTCTCAGCAGCCCCCTCCCCAGCACCCGCCCCCGCAGCCCCCGGGCCCCCCTCCCCCGGCCCCGCAGCAGCCCCGCTCCCCGCAGCGAGAGCCCCAGCGGGTCTCCCACGAACAGTTCCGGGCCGCCCTGCAGATGGTGGTGGACCCGGGCGACCCCAGGACCTACCTGGACAACTTCATCAAGATCGGGGAGGGTTCCACCGGCATCGTCTGCATCGCCACCATCAAGAGCTCCGGGAAGCTGGTGGCCGTCAAGAAGATGGACCTGCGCAAGCAGCAGCGGCGGGAGCTGCTCTTCAACGAGGTGAGGGGCCGGGAGGTGGGGTGGAGAAACGCCCCCGCTCCGTAGCCTCGCTTCCTGTTCTTCTTCCCCTGTGTGTGTGTTGAGAATGGTGTTCCCCTTCCCCAAAGGGTATCGGGTGGGGTGTCCTGGCAGCAGAGGTGGCTAGTATAAAAAGGGTAAAGGGACCCCTGACCATTAGGTCCAGTCCTGACCGACTCTGGGGTTGCGGCGCTCATCTCGCTTTACTGGCCGAGGGAGCCGGCGTACAGCTTCCGGGTCATGTGGCCAGCATGATCAAGCCGCTTCTGGCAAACCAGAGCAGCGCACGGAAACGCCGTTTATCTTCCCACCAGAGCGGTACCTATTTATCTACTTGCAATTTGACGTGCTTTCGAACTGCTAGGTTGGCAGGAGCAGGGACCGAGCAACGGGAGCTCACCTTGTTGCGGGGATTCGAACCGCCGGCCTTCTGATCGGCAAGTTCTAGGCTCTGTGGTTTAACCCACAGCGCCACCGAAAGCCCTTAACACAGCCTTTCTCAAACTTGGGTCTCCGGCTGATGTTGCACTGCAACTCCCATCATCCCTAGCTAGCAGGACCAGCAGTCGGGGATGATGGGAGTTGTAGTCCAGCAACAGCTGGGCACCCAAAGTCTTCACAACTTGGGACCAGTTCACCTGCGAGATCGCCTCGCCCCCTTCGACTGCTCTGCGGAACTGGCACTCTTCCAGGTGCCGTGCAGTGCTTTTTTTCCTTAAAAAAAATGTTTAGGGGTACTCTTACTTTCCTACTCATATTGAAATACTGCCCCTCAATGAAGCCAAACTTAGATTCACAAAATGTTTAGGGGTATGCATACCCCTGCGCCCCCCCCCCCCCGAAAAAAAAGCACTGGTGCCATGTAACACCCGTTCCATATTTTGACATGGCAGCACTTACACTTTGGAACTCCCTGCCTCTTGAGATCGGACAGATGCCTTCACTGTACTTTTTTGGGCATGTATTAATAACATTTTTGCTTTGACAAGCCTGCCCAGACATTTCAAAAGTTGATGTGAGTGTTAATCTGTTCTTAAAGGTAAAGGTAAAGGGACCCCTGACCATTAGGTCTGGTCGTGGACGACTCTGGGGTTGTGGAGCTCATCTCGCTTTACTGGCCGAGGGAGCCGGCGTTTGTCCGCAGACAGCTTCCATGTCATGTGGCCAGCATGACTAAGCCACTTCTGGCGAACCAGACCAGCGCACGGAAACGTTGTTTACCTTCCCGCTATTTATCTACTTGCACTTCGACGTGCTTTCGAACTGCTAGGTTGGCAGGAGCAGGGACAGAGCAACGGGAGCTCACCCCGTTGCGGGGATTCGAACCGCCAACCTTCTGATCAGCAAGCCCTAGGCTCTGTGGTTTAACCCACAGCGCCACCTGCGTCCCTAAATCTGTTCTTAGTTTGCTGTTATTTTGACTTGTTACTTTAGCCGCAGGAGGGGAGAGTTGCTCTTGCGCTCAGATCCTACTTCCGGGTTTCTCTTTGGGGCACCTGGTTGGCCACTACGAAAACTGGATGCTGGGCTAGATGGGCCACTGGCCTCATCCAGCAGGCACTTTTTGGGTCCTTATCCAGTGGCTCTTCCTCCCTCCCAGCTGCCACTGTCCATTTCTCCCCTTTCAGGTTGTGATCATGAGAGACTATCAGCACGAGAATGTGGTGGAGATGTACAACAGCTACCTGGTGGGCGATGAGCTATGGGTCGTCATGGAGTTCCTGGAAGGAGGCGCTTTGACGGACATTGTCACACACACAAGGTATGGGGAGCGGAAGTCTTGAGCCCCTTCTCTTCCGGGACTCTGCTGCTGTTTTACCCATTTTCCTTACAGAGTTTTCTTGAGTCCGCCTGGACAGTAGGGCTGGGCGATATATCTATATATCGTCCCAAACCGGTTTGAAGTCCATATTATGATATTGGTTTCATAATTTTTGACCTGGTAGTGTATTGTGCAAATCACGGTATGTGTGTGTTTGTGTGCACTATGCAAAAATCACAATGCAGGGAAAACCATGAAGCCAGCCAATGTCTCTACATAGTGCCATCCTTATTTCAGACATTGTGATATATCGGTATATCGCGATGTTTATCTGGTTATATATCACAATTTTGAAAACCAGATATTGCCCAGCCCTGCTGTACAGAGAGCCTTGTTCTCCCAACAGCGGCCGGCTGGGCATACACTGACTTTTGTGACCAGCTAAAAGAAGCCAGGAGTGTGCATGTGTTGATGTAAAGGCCTTTGGGGAAAAGAAGCATTTCCAAAGCTTTGCAGCGTGGGCAGGGAAAGAAGTGTTTGTTTTTAAGTGCTCCTCAATGGCCTGACCTTGCTCTTTCTTCACTTGAAAGGCAGTCCCGTGTGGCTGAGTTGGAACTGGGACGCAGCTGAAAGTCCCTTTTCTACTCCAGCTGGGAGCAGAGCTTCAGAAGATGGTTCTCTCTCCGACGTCAGGGCCGGCTCCTGCTGGATGTCCAGAACTTGTGGACATGCAATGGAGCTGAATAGTGGAAGATTCAGGACACATAAAAGGAAGTCCTCATTCACCCAGCCCCTAGTTAAACTGTGGAACTCACTCCCACATCTTTCTCCTAGTTAACTGCGTATAGAATTTCAGCCTGTACAGAATGACCGTTAAAATACATAACTTTCCCCCCTAATGGTTATGTTTTTAAAGGAAAAATTATCTCGGTATGAAATGTCAAAAGGTATAATTCAAGCAGATTATCGAAAAGAGCAGCTATGCAGAGAGCAGCATGTAGATTCAGATGTTGGCCAAGTTTTGCCCAAAGATGAACCTTAGGAAAACAAAGGTAGAAACCAGATGAGTGAATGTTTGAGAAAGTGCAACTTTAAAAGAGAATAAGACAGATTCATGGAGGAGATGGCTCTTGATGGCTGCTAGCCAGGATGGCTGTGTTCTGCCTCCACAGTCGGAGGCAGCAGTGTATCCGAACCCCAGTTTCTGGAAACCCCAGGAGGGGAGAGGGCACTTGTTGGTCGAATCCTGCCTACAGGTTTCCCACAGAAAGGGATGTCTTGGAGAGACAGGAAGACGAACCAAAGTTTTTATTCCACATCACCAACTCCTCTTTAAAATGAAAGCAATGGGAGGTTTTTCTCACTCTCTCCAAATGCCAGAACTTCGGTTTGGGACAGGCCACAGAGGGTCCCCTCACACAGCACAGAATAGATTCATGGAATTTTCTGCCACGGAATGTGATGAGGGCTGCTGCCTTAAAGGTAAAGGGACCCCTGACCATTAGGTCCAGTCATGGCCGACTCTGGGGCTGCGGCGCTCATCTCGCTTTACTGGCCGAGGGAGCCGGCGTACAGCTTCCGGGTCATGTGGCCAGCAGGACTAAGCTGCTTCTGGTGAACCAGAGCTGTGCATGGAAACGCCGTTTACCTTCCCGCCAGAGCGGTACCTATTTATCTACTTGCACTTGGACGTGCTTTTGAACTGCTAGGTTGGCAGGAGCAGGGACTGAGCAACGGGAGCTCACCCCGTCGCAGGGATTCGAACTGCCGACCTTCTGATCGGCAAGCCCTAGGCTCTGTGGTTTAACCCACAGCACCACCCACATCCCTGGCTTAGGTGACTTTAAAAGGCAGCTTCATAAATCCGTGAAGGAGCAGGAGGGAGAAGGCTGTCACTGACTATTTGCCATCTTAGCTAAATGGGACGCACTCTTATGTCCAGGAGGCGCCTGACCCAGAATTTTTGCCGCTTGGGGAAACAAGGATGGGCGAAAGGTTGTCGCCTTGATGCCCTGATTGTGGGCTTCCCAAAAGGGGATCCGGTTGACCTCTAGAAGCTGTGGGTGAGGTGGACCCACCGAGGTCTGAACCAGCCAGGCTGCTCTTTTAACAGGTGCTGTGCTCTTACTCCCTTTCCAGGATGAACGAGGAGCAGATTGCGGCCGTCTGTCTGTCTGTCCTCAAGGCGCTCTCCGTCCTCCATGCCCAGGGTGTCATCCACCGAGATATCAAGAGTGACTCCATTCTGCTCACACACGATGGCCGGGTGAGTTGCACGTGGTCCCAGGTGCTGATTTTAAGCTCAAGGAAAACGTAGGAGGAGGTGCCAACTAAACATCAGGCAGAACTTTCTGGCAAAATAAAAAAATTCCTTCCAGTAGCACCTTAGAGACCAACTAAGTTTGTTATTGGTATGAGCTTTCGTGTGCATGCACACTTCTTCAGATACACTGAAACAGAAGTCACCAGACCCTGATATATAGTGAGAGGGTGGGGAGGGGTATTACTCAGAAGGGTGGTGGGAATGGGTGATTGGCTGATAGGTGTGGGGGTAGAAACATAATAATAATAATAATACTAATAATAATAATAATAATAATAACTATTTATTATTTATACCCCGCCCATCTGCCTGGGCTTCCCCAGCCACTCTGGGCGGCTTCCAAAAAAAATTAAAATACTGTAATACATCAAACATTGAAAGCTTCCCTAAACAGAGTAAAACAGGTGTAGGCAACCTAAGGCCTGGGGGCTGGATGCGGCCCAATCGCCTTCTCAATCCAGCCTGCGGACAGTCCAGGAATCAGCGTGTTTTTACATTACATTGAATGAGTTGAATGTGTGCTTTTATATAAAATGCATCTCTGGGTTATTTCTGGGGCATAGGAATTTGTTCATTATTTTTTTCAAAATATACTCCGGCCCCCCCACAAGGTCTGAGGGACGGTGGACCGGCCCACAGCTCAAAAAGGTTGCTGACCCCTGGAGTAAAATAATGTCCCTGCCCCTGTTCACCTCTTGCTGAAATTGCCTGGTCCTGCAGTGCCACCTGGCGGTGACTCTTCAGTGGTGTCAGGCGGCCCCAAGACTTCTGAGGAGAGCTTAAAAACATAGAGTCATAGAGTTGGAGGGGACCCCAAGGGCCATCTAGCCCAACCTCAATGCACTGCAGGAATCTCAATTAAATCATACGCAACCTCCAACGAAAGAGAGTCCACCACTTTCTGAGGGAGTCCATTCCACTGTCAGCCAGCTCTCACTGTCAAAAAGTTCTTCCTAATGTTTAGTTGAAACCCTAATAATAATAATAATAATAATAATAATATATTTATACCCTGCCCATCCGGTTGAGTTTCCCCAGCCACTCTGGGCAGCTCCCAATCAAGTGTTAAAAACAATACAGCATTAAATATTAAAAACTTCCCTGAACAGGGTTGCCTTCAGATGTCTTTTAAAAATAAGATAGCTGCTTATTTCCTTGACATCTGACGGAAGGGTGTTCCACAGGGCGGGTGCCACAGAGAAGGCCCTCTGCCTGGTTCCCTGTGACCTCACTTCTCACCATATTCAGACTTGTGAGAAGGCAGAATTTTTTATAGCACCCTCTGGATTCTCAGTTGCTTCCTCTGTCTTCTCTCCCCTGGAAGTCCCAAAGCAATTACGTTCAATAATGGTTTGAAATTTCTGCCAATATTTTTTTTAAAAAATTGTATTGTACTTGCGGGACGTGGGTGGCGCTGTGGGTTAAACCACAGAGCCTAGGACTTGCCTATCAGAAGGTCGGTGGTTCGAATTCCTGCGACGGGGTGAGCTCCCGTTGCTCGGTCCCTGCTCCTGCCAACCTAGCAGTTCGAAAGCACGTCAGAGTGCAAGTAGATAAATAGGTACCGCTCTGGCGGGAAGGTAAACGGTGTTTCCGTGAGCTGCTCTGGTTCGCCAGAAGCGGCTTAGTCCTGCTGGCCACATGACCCGGAAGCTGTACGCCGGCTCTCTCAGCCAGTAAAGCGAGATGAGCACCGCAACCCCAGAGTCGTCCGCGACTGGACCTAATGGTCAGGGGTCCCTTTACCTTTACCTTTTATTGTACCTGTGCACGCAGCAAATTTTCATGGGCTCCTGCACTGTTGTGAAGAAATCCAATTCTCTTTAACCCACGGGTTCCACACGTCTCTGAACCAGAGTGTTTCTAGGGTTGAGCAGTGAAGTGCCCCAAAACAGTTTCAGGATGACAGCATGCTTGGGTCTAGACCAGTGGTTCCCAAAGTAGGTGGTACCCTCCGGGGTGGGGAAGTGGGATTCCCTAGTGGGGTGCTAAGAGGCAAGGGGTCAGCATGGGGGGCGTTGAAAATGTAAATGACTATCAGATTTTGAAAAGCTGCTATCCTAGGATCAACCAAGCTCATCCATTTTGTTGAATTAATCAAACAAAATAGATTTAATTGGGTTTTGAATAAATGCTCAATTACTGTTTCGATTTTTACTGTGTTACTATCTTCCTTGGTGGGTCGTGCAAACTGCTCTTCTGAATAATGCTTTTTATAGGGTAAGGGAGGAGGAACCTGGGTTGAGTTTATGGCTGGGGAAACCCAACCAGATGGGCAGGGTATAAACAATAAATAATCATTATTATAACCAAGGTGGGGGCTGTGGACCCAAAAAGTTTGGGAACCACTGGCTTAGGAGTGGGGCATGTTAGGCCCTTGAACTGAGGTTTAGACTAAGTATGGAATTGAGCCTCACATTAATGGGGTGGGGGAATCGCTCAATGGCAGCACGCAAACTTGGCACACGGAATAAAAGTCCTTGGTTCACTCGTTGCCACCTCCAGCTTCAAAGGACATCTGGTAGCCAGGATTGGCCGCTTGCCGCTTGTCAAAATAGAGAGAACTGGGCTAGGCTGACCAGAGGGGTGATTCATCGCGATAAGGCAAATCCATATATTTGTGGGAGTTTGTCCGCCTCTCGTCACGTCTTTTAAAAAACGGAATATTGCTGATCTGCACTGCGAAGGCTGGAAAGATGCTTCCCGCAGCAGACCTCGTGAGCAAACTCACCCTGAGCCTACTCCAGCCACTGACATGCTTCCTTCGCTTGGCTCTCCCTTCCAGGTCAAACTCTCCGACTTCGGGTTCTGTGCGCAAGTGAACAAGGAGGTTCCGCGGCGCAAGTCCCTGGTTGGCACCCCTTACTGGATGGCGCCAGAGCTCATCTCCCGGTTGCCCTATGGGCCAGAGGTAAGAGGGCTTCAACTTCCTAAACCTCCGGCTTTGCCTAAACAGAAACGTTTTCAGCAGATGCTGAAAGAATGCAGTGAAGGCACTTGCCTGATATCAAGAGGCAGGGAGTTCCAGAGGGTATGTGCCGCCACGTTCCACTGATCAAAGCAGTCAGGTGGTCATTTGCATGGTTTTGATGAAGTTCTCATTTTCTCTTATCAGCAGATATATTTTTTTTGCCTCCGTCGTCCATCCTGAGCTTTCAGGAAGCTGTAAAATCCAAATGGAACGGAAAGCCTGCTACCGGGCAGAATTGCTAGTCCAGTAGGGCCCCCATTTTGCAAACCAGTTACAAAACTGTCCTGGCTGGGGGTGGGGGGGGCGGAGGCACCTTTTGCTCTTGTTCCCCTTTCTCAATTCCCCTCTCCCCCCTCCCCCCTCCTTCTGTTTCAGGTGGACATCTGGTCCCTCGGCGTTATGGTGATAGAAATGGTGGATGGGGAGCCCCCTTATTTCAACGAGCCCCCTTTGAAGGCCATGAAGATGATCCGGGACAACCTGCCCCCCAAGCTCAAAAACGTGCACAAGGTAAGAAACTCCTTTTCCTTCTCTCTTACTTTTCCTTGCTTGACTTCCCCACCTTGGAAGGATCAGGTTCAGGACCGAAATTTGTTGTCGGGCCTCTAAGGATGAGGATCACAGGGTCTGGGTCAGGTCATACGACGAGAAGCAGTGCTGAGCCATTTGGGTTAGAGAGCCAGTGTGGTGATGATGATGATGATGATGATGATGATTTTATTTGTACCCCACCCTCCCCAGCCGCAGTTGGGCTCAGGGCGGCTAACATCATAAAACTAACACAGTATACAAAGAATATAAGAACATAAAAACAGGCACTCAATTAAAATACATCTTAAAATTAGTTCAGAGGAAATTAAAATCTGGACAGATGGCCGTCCATGGGTAAAATTGAGAGTGATTAATATTCTCCAGGGCCAGCTGTTACCACTGGTCTTATAAAGGACCTGTGAGTGGGCTAGGAGGCCTCTTTAATGCTTGTTCTTATACAGAAAGAAAAGAATCAGACTGAACCCCGACCAAAGAACCAGCGGAACAGCTCCGTCTTGCAGACCCTGTGGAAAGATGTCAAATCCCGCAGGGCCCTGGTCTCTTGTGAGAGAGCGTTCCACCAGGCCGGGGCCACAGCCGAAAAGGCCCTGGCTCTGGTCGAGGCCAGTCTAATCTCCCTGGGGCCTGGGATCTTCAGGGTGTTATTATTTGCAGACCTTAAGGTCCTCCACGGGGCATACCAGGAGAGAAGGTCCCGTAGGTACGAGGGTCCTAGGCCGTATAGGGCTTTAAAGGTTAAAACCAGCACCTTAAACCTGATCCTGTACTCCACCGGGAGTCAGTGCAGCTGGTATAGCACTGGATGAATGTGATCCCGTGGCGAGAACCCCGTGAGGAGTCTCACCGCAGCATTCTGCACCAGCTGGAGTTTCTGGGTCTGTTTCAAGGGCAGCCCCACATAGAGTGAGTTACAATAATCAAGCCTGGAGGTGACTGTCACATGGGGATCATAGTGGTGAGGTCAGGGGGAGAGAGATAAGGGACCAACTGGCTTAGCTCGGCGGAGATGAAAAAATGCCACCTTTGTTGTAGCTGTAACCTGCACCTTCATAGAAAGGGAGGCGTCGAAGATTACACCCAAACTCTTGACGAAGGCGCTGGCACTAATTGCGCCCCTGCAAGGGATGGGAGTGGTTAGAGAGCTGGGCTAGGACCTGGGGGAGACCAGGGTTTGAATCCCCACTCAGCGAGGATGAAGCTCACTGGGTGACCTTTGGCCAGTCACTGCCTCTCTCAGCCTAACCTACCTCACAGGGTTGTTGTGGGGATTAAATAAGGACCTGAAGGAGCATCTCCACCTCCATCGTTCTGCCCGGACACTGAGGTCCAGCACTGAGGGCCTTCTGGCGGTTCCCTCATTGCAAGAAGCCAAGTTACAGGGAACCAGGCAGAGGGCCTTCTCGGTGGTGGCGCCCTCCCACCAGATGTCAAAGAGAAAAATAACTACCAAACTTTTGGAAGACATCTGAAGGCAGCCCTCTTTAGGGAAGCTTTTAATGTTTAATAGGTTATTGTATTTTAGTGTTTTGTTGGAAGCCGCCCAGAGTGGCTGGGGAAACCCAGCCAGGTGGGCGGGGTATAAATATATTATTATTATTAGGCTTGTATAGAGGCATTTCCCCCCCCCCCAGCTTAACTTTACACGTGCATGGAAATTAAGCCATATTCTTAGAGTAAAAGCAATCATCCGTCAAAGCATATACTATAATTCCGACTGCAGGTGCTCCCCCTTCCTGTTTCTGCCCTCTTTACCCTTCTGCCCCAAATGCGACTCATGCCCCTCCTTTCCCCTCCTTTCTCCGCAGGTCTCTCCCTCCCTGAAGGGCTTCCTTGACCGCCTGCTGGTCAGGGACCCAGCCCAGCGAGCCACCGCCAACGAACTCTTGAAGCACCCCTTCCTGGGGAAAGCCGGCCCCCCTTCCTGCATCGTGCCCCTGATGAGGCAGAACCGGATGAGATGAAAGAGGCGACATAAACTGGACCATCTTACCAAAGAGAGAGAGAGAGAAGACACCTCCGTCGTCCCTGGCCAACCCCCCACCCCACCCCAACGGCAGCTGGAAACCCTCCAGGGACAACGGGCCCGCCGTGGCATCTCCCTGCTGAAAGAGGGGGCTTCTCTTCCTTCCTCCGGGCGGCGTGGCCAGGGAGACGTCTCACCTCTGCGTTCCACCCTCAGGCCGACCCTCCCTTGAGGGACTCCTCTACGTCCGCCGCTGATGCTGGAGACACAAGTCCCACGAACAACTCCCACCTCCGGCGAGGGGGACGCCCTCTCTGCGCCACTCTTCCGTACTACTGAGCCCGGAGCAGGGTTTAGTGCCCTGGAGGGAGGGGGGGTTGTTTTTTTTTAACAAAAAGACTGTAACATTTCCGATTGCTGTTTAGCCGTTCATATCACACAAGTCTGGGGCAGCGGCGATTTGGGTGGGTAGGGGAGAGATCGTAACACAACCCCTCTCCGGTCCGAGTCCCCTCTCTCATTCTTCCCTCCTTGGTAGCACGTCTTTCCTCCCAGATAGCGAGAGGACAGAGGTGGCGGGGGCCGTTGGCAAGGAGTGTCCCAGAGAGGGGGTGGGAGGGCAGGGAAGCCGCCCTCCCCACAGTCCGGTCAGATTTCTGGGGACTTCCGTTGAGCCAAGGTTGTCTCTCCCCTCTCCCTGCCCCCCAAGAGCCAAACCTGCCTCAGATTTTTAAACTGGGGAGAAACACTGCTTCTCTTGGTATTGGAGAGGAAGGGAAGGAAGCGAGGTGGGTTTTCTCAGGGGCTCCCATCTCAGGCAAACGAGACTCTCAGCTCTGCAAAACAGCCCTTTTTTTTTAGAAAAGAAAAACCTCCCTCCGTAATTTCCTCCGTGCTCTTAACTGCCAGTTAAAGAGTTTCAGGCCCTCTTCCCAAATCGAGACGGCCGCTTCCACCTACCCAGCCCGGTTCTCTCGTTTTTAAAACGCTCCCTCTTCACAGGGGTTGTGCCCTTCCTGAGCTCCTTCCCCAACCCACGTCTCCCGCTGCTCAGGCAGGAACTGCAGTCGTCACTGGGGATCCTGACCCGGGAAGGCTGCTTTTAATCGCAAGTCTGCCTCTTCGTCCCTGGTCTCTGCGCCTCTTGTCGCCGCTTGGCCAGAATGGAGCTGCCCTGGCCCCTCTCTCCTCCTTGTCTTCTCTTTCCCCTTTGCTCTTTCTCCCCGCCTGACGTTGCCGCGCTGAGCTTGCTTCCTGCCTTCGATAGTGGCATCCGTTGCCCCTCTGCTTGCTCTTGAGCTTTGTACTCCCCACCCCAGGCAAAATTGCGACTAGCAAGTTTCTTCGGCCTGGAGGGCAGGCTGGATTTTTGGAAGTCCCCCTTGTGGGCTTTGTTCTGCTCTTGGCCTAGGGTGTGCCAAGAACAGGCCTTGTTCTGGTTTTATTTTTTGTCCTGTCTCGCAGCGGGGAGGCTTCCTCTGGACTTCTCCTTTGTGGCTGGTGACGCTCAGCTTGGAGGGTGACTTTGTCTGCCGCTCGCAATGTCACAAGTGTGACGTGGGGCTCCTGGGGTCAGGCGGCCGCGCGCCTCTTGGTGTTGCTCACCAGACCTGGAAACCTGCAAACCTTGAGCATAGCCTAGGAAGCAGTGTTAGGCAGGACGAAAAGGGAGCAGGAAGAGCAAATGAGCTTTCTGGGCGTTTCTCTGTGAGACTGAACCCGTCCGTGGTTGTGATGCTCTGTCGCTTTGCTCCCCTCCGGCTGAACAAGCAGTGGGATACCAGCAACAGCGCCTCTCCTGTCATTGCACCCCACCCCAGCTTATTGCTAGGCTGGGGGGGCGAGAAGATAGGGAGATCACTGCTCCTACCTTCCTAGTCTTTAAAATAGAGGCCAGTACGAGCTTGCAAAGTGGCACTTCCCATAGCTCTTGCATTGTTGGCTTTTTTTGAGGGGGGGGGGTCCGCTTTGCCAGTTGTTGGGAAGCAGCAGCAAAAGCCAGAGACCACCCCCTTGGCTCCCAACATGTCCCTGTGCGCCGTCTTGTGGCATGGGCAAGGCAGGAATGTCAGTGGCAGGACAGCGGCTTGAGAGATGAAGGCCGCCGGGTTTGCTAGCCCTGGGTTAGATCGGAAGCTCAAGTCCGTCCTTCCCTCTGGGTTGGAGAGGGCTTGAGCCCCCCATGGCAGGAGAGTGGGGATGGGTCTGTCATTCGCAGAGCTTTCTGGAAAGGAGGCTTGCTTGGGGGCCCAGGAGACACCGGGAGTCCCCTGGTGTGAGGGGAGGGGAGCAGGCAGAGGTCCCTCCCCTTTGTAAAGTAGGTGCGGCTGCCTTGAGGAACAGAGCTGGCCTCCAGAGGTCTCCACCCGCCTCCTTGCCACACAAGGCACCCCCTCCTTGCATGCTTGTACATACAGGATGGGCTTTTCTGCATGCAGGGTTACAGGGGAAGGGTTTTGCGGGGTTTTCTTCTTCAAGAGTTTGGGGGACTCTCCTGCTTCCTGGTTTTAGGTTCTTACGGGTATAGGTTATGCATCCCATTTGCCGTGGAAATGCTTTTTGGGGGCGGGAAGGAAGCACCCCGCTTTCTGACGCCCCTCCTAGGGCTCAAAGGGCAAATATTTCTCACGTGCCCCTCCACGAAACCAGGATCTGCCTGTTGCTGCTTTTGCCGCTCTCCTGGCAAATTTGCTGTCAGTTGCAACCACTCTAAGGGGCGGAAAACCCAGGTGATTGGTTTTTAAGATCCTGTGGGTTCCACTACTCATCTCCACTGGCATTAGCCAGGTGCAAACTGGCATATTTTAGGAGGGATTTGCAGGTGAGAAAGAGCCAGCCTTGGTCCACACAGGGCAGAATTCCTGCAAGGGTCCAGGACTGAGCCCCTCTCTGCCGATGCTGTTGGCCTGCAATGCAGATACTCTGCAAGACATGCTCTTCCCCTGTTTGCTTCCTGCTTCTGGTGCTTTTCTTCTCAAAACTGGACAGTGCTTCATCTCTTCCAATCTCTAGAGGAACCCTTGCTTGCTACCGAGCTCACCTGGACCTTCTTTCCTAGCGCACCTGGCGTTTGCCTGCAGGCAAAGGCTTCACCCAGCGCTGCATTTGTGGATCTGCTCTATTCTGCAATAAAGCCCAGGGGCTTTCCTCGAAGGCTTTCTCGGCTTTGAACCCAGAACAGGCTAGTCTTCGAGGGCCTAGCAATCACTCGAGCTGCTTCCTGCAGCCAGGACCCAACTCCCCAGCCCTCGTGACTTGGCATCACCACTCCAACCCCTTTCTGAGAAGCTGGGTTGTTCCACCTCCGGGAACAATTCTTTTTGTAACTCTATATACTGCAGCTTTAAATCTGAGCCACCCCACGGACTGTTCATCTCCTGGTAGCTTGCTGACAAATGGAAGGAGGTGGCAGCCCTAGAATCTCTGGCTCCTGAGTGCTCACTTCCCCTCTTCTCACAGCCGTCTGCTGCCTCCGCTCTAGGAACTGGTTTCCCCCATGCACACAGGGGGAAAAGAAACTATTTTTTTATGGCACTAACAGAGATGCACAAACACTACACTTTCCCTGCAGGGGAAAAGACTTCAAATCTCATCCTTTCAAGGTGGAGGGTGATAAACTCTCAGCCTTCCCAAATCCCACATAACACTATATCTTTCCCCCAGTTTCCTGAGACGCAGGACTGGAATTTTAACCACAGGCCCTGGCAGAGAAGCCTCGCCCTGTCCCACAGAACTGGCCCCAGAGCCACTCCCTCGTTCCTCCCCCCCCCACCATATCCTGCCTCCTTGTAGCTTGAAGATTTTTATATGACTGGAGGTTTAGGAATGGGGGTCTTGCTCCCCTCCCTGTGAGAATGACTACTGATTCATTTCTGTGGGTTTTTGTTACTTTTTTAAAAAGAGAAGTTATTTATATTGCATTTTTTAAAAAACACACAACAGTATTTTGCGTTGGGATGATTCCCCCCCTCCCCCCATCCCCTTTGGATCTGTTGTTTCAGACAGACTGCTGTGACAAATTCTAGTAAGACGTTCTCGCCATGAGTTGTATTGTATAAAGATCCTGGATTCTTCATGTGATGAGATTTGGCTGTGGGTTTCTTTGGTTTGGTTGTTGTTTTCCCCCCTCCCTCCCCCCTTTTCAAATGTGGTGTTTGAATTTTGGGTGAAAAGTTTTAAATAGTCAAAATTCTAGTTTTACAATTACAGAGGCGTGCTCCTTCCTTTGTTTTTAACTCTCTCGGGTCTTTCTTGGGAGGTTCTGTCTTCTGGGTTGGCGGGGGTGCGCATTAAGAGCGAAGCCGTCCGACGATTTGGATCACGAAACACACCTCTTCCTTACAGATGCAAGAGGACAGAATTGTAGAATCAGAAGGGAGCCCCTTCTTGAGGGTCAGCTAATTCAGCCCCCTGCACTGCAAGGATCCCAGCTAAGCAACTTGGTACTGAAAACGTGCTCTCGCCCTCCTGATCAAAATGCTCTGGGGGGGGGAGACCCTTATGAAGAAGAATGAAGGAAGCCTTATAAAAAGGAAATGTTGCAATTGATGACTTCAGCTACAGGCTGGCCGGCTATATATCTTCCAGCCATGATAAAGTGGTAAAATTTCAAGATACCCTAAATGACTGTTCCCGAGTACAAGGAGCTGACCAGAGGGACGGTGGCCCTGGAGTCGTGTGGCGCCCATCTGCTGCGAGATGTTACTGAACTGCTTGACAACAATGGCCATAGTTTTATTAAATTAAATGGCCAGTTGCCAAGAAGATCCAGTACAGGCAACCAGAATGATCGAGTAGGTGGAGAAATCCCCCCTATGAACATCTGGGTTATTTTTAGTTTAGGGGAAAGGTAAGAGCTGATCTGATAGGAGTGTACAGTGGTACTTCTGGTTGTGAACGGGATCCGTTCCGGAGGCCCGTTCGCAACATGACAAGAGCGCAACCCGCAGCGGCGCATCTGCGCACGCGCGGTTTGCGATTTGCCGCTTCTGCGCATGCGCGTGATGTCATTTTGTGCGTCTGTGCATACACGAGCGGCAAAACCCAGGTGTAACCCTTTCCGGTACTTTGGGTTCGCCGCGGGACGTAGCCTGAAAGAACGTAACATGAAGCAGACATAACATGAGGTATGACTGTATAAAATGATGCATGGCATGGAAAAAGAGGATAGAGAAACCTTCCTTTCCCTCCTCCTAAGACTGGAACTCGTGGGCCTCCAATGAAGCTGAATGTTGGGAAGATGAAGGGCAGACAAAGTCCTCTTCCACACAGCGCAGTTAACCTGCGGAACTCCCTCCCACCGGAGGCAGTGGTGGACACCAACTTGGAAGGCTTGAAAGAGGATTAGATGAGTTTGTGGAGGATATCAGTGGCTGCTTCTAGCCTTGATGGCTGTGTTCTGCCTCCACTGTGGGAAGCAGGATGTCTCTGAATACCATTTTCTGGAAGCCTTGGGAGGAGAGAGGGATCTCGTTCTCCAGTCCTGCTTTTGGGCTCCCCTTTTGGGAATCTGGCTGGCCACTCTGAGAACAGGATGCTGGCTTGATCCGGCCGGCTCTTACATCCTTGTAAAAGACACCATATTTTGAACCCTCTCGTTGCCTTCATGTGGGGCAGTAAGCTGGTCTGAAATAATAATAAAATTTTTTATTTATATCCCACCCTCCCCAGCCGAAGCCGGGCTCACGGCGGCTAACAACAATCAAATAATCCAACATTCTAAAAACATTTCATTATAAAAATTAATTAAAATCAAATTGATGGCAACCATTAAGCAAAATTCTGTGCAGATTGCCAGAGGAGGGGGTCAGGCTGCGCCCTGACCAAAGGCCTGGTGGAACAGCTCTGTCTTCCAGGCCCTGCGGAAAGATGTCAGGTCCCGCAGGGCCCTAGTCTCTTGTGACAGCGTTCCACCAGATTGGAGCCGCAGCCGAAAAAGCCCTGGCTCTGGTTGAGGCCAGCCTAACCTCTCTGAGGCCTGGGACCTTCAGGATGTTTTTATTTGCAGACCGTAAGTTCCTCTGTGGGACATACCAGGAGAGGCGGTCCCGTAGGTACGAGGGTCCTAGGCCGTATAGGGCTTTAAAGGTTAAAACCAGCACCTTGAACCTGATCCTGTACTCCACCGGGAGCCAGTGCAGCTGGTATGGTACCGGATGAATGTGATCTTGCAGCGAGGACCCCGTAAGGAGTCTCGCCGCGGCATTCTGCACCCGCTGCAGTTTCTGGGTCTGTCTCAAGGGCAGCCTCTATGATGTGCTACTTTCGATGTGAAAAGCTGTTTCCACGGTTTAGAATCCCAATGCCTTTCCCTGGCCTCTGCGCCCAAATTGATGCAACCATGAGACCCTCCTACTTGTGCAGCCACAAAATGTTCCTGGTTTTGGTGGGCATTTGCCACCAGCAATGGATTCAGGGCTCCCATTTTGTCCTCCATATGAGATCACTCTTGCGGGCACCAGGTGCTGTAAATACGGACCAGTTCCCCGCTGGGAGCGGTTGCTTTCAGTATGGCTAAGAAGAGATCTCTCCTCCCCGGGGTATAAATTAATGAGTCGGATGAGCTAGCAGTGCACTCGCCTTCAGAGCACACACACACTTCCCAGTTGGGTTTTGAAACAAACAAAACAAGTTGCACCAAACGACTATAAAGCCCTTTTTCTAGCAACGCTTGGAATTTCCCCTGCTTCCCTCGAGCTGCTTTTAATAGCCTGCAGCCGTTGCATCAAGAAACCCCAAAGCGCAGCAAAAAGATTCTAAATTAGTTTAAAGTGTCTGGGCAGGTGAAGGGGAGAGAAGCACTATTAATACTAAGAATACACAGTGGTGAATTTTATTTTATTTTTAAAGAGATAGTCCATTGCCTGAGGGCACCTGCAATGATTCTTGCAAAGTTCTTGTCTATAATGACGCTGCTGGGTCCATTCAGAAAGGCAGGCTATATACTGAGAGCTGTTCTGAACATGCATCATTGGGGGAGAAAAACGGATATTTTAGGTTAAATGAACAAAGCTTTCTAGCAAACCAGTCGACTGCTATGAGACTTAAATGCAGACATTTATTATACAGTATGTTTACTGTATTAGGGACGCGGGTGGCGCTGTGCTGTGGGTTAAACCACAGAGCCTAGGCCTTGCCGATCAGAAGGGCGGCGGTTCGAATCCCCTCAACGGGCTGAGCTCCCGTTGCTCGGACCCTGCTCCTGCCAACCTAGCAGTTCGAAAGCATGTCGAAGTGCAAGTAGATAAATAGGTACTGCTCCAGTGGGAAGGTGAACGGCGTTTCCTTGCACTGCTCTGGTTCGCCAGAAGCGGCTTAGTCATGCTGGCCACATGACCTGGAAGCTGTCTGTGGACAAATGCCAGCTCCCTCGGCCTATAGAGTGAGATGAGCGCCACAACCCCAGAGTTGGCCACGACTGGACCTAATGGTCAGGGGTCCCTTTACCTTTACCTGTGAGACTTAAAGCAGTTTGAGTAACTCACCGCACGCTGACCTATAAAAAGTAAATATGCACATGTTTCAGAACATCACATGACCTCCAGTCACTGCCATTTTTATCGCATTTATACCCCACCTTCCTCCAAGGAACAGTTCTCCCGTTCCCCATTTTATCCTGGCAACAGCCCAGTGAGGTAGGTCAGGCTGAGAGACGGTGACTGGTCACCAAACGAGCTTCATGGCCGAGCAGTGATTTGAACCCTGGTCTCCAAGGTCCTAGTAGTCCAGTCCTCTTAACAACCAGACCACCACACAGTTCACTGCCTGCTTTGGGTGCCCAGCAAGATCAAGGTCTAGGACGTGCTTCTGCGTGGGCTTGTGGGAGAGACTCCTCTAAGGGTTTGCTCATGTTGTAAAGAAATTTCCCTCTGTGGCCTTTGTGCCCACCCACATCCATAGACACCGACCTACTTTCAGACACATAAACATCATAGGCTGCTAAGGCGGTTGCAGGAGTCTACGGAAATTTGAACCCACTGCCTTCTAAGGAACTGGCTGTCTGGTGGGTGGGTGGGTTGCCCCCATACCTCAGGACTAAAAAAACCTTTGAGCCCAGATATGTGGGGAGGTGTTAATTCTGGTTTTGCTGCCATTTAAAAGGGGAGCGTTTCTCCCTCCTGCACCCAGCCACCTCCAAGCCTTCCAGTCCTGCTGCAATGGCTGTGGTGCTCTGCTTGCCACCTACCCAACGGGTAAGATAAGGAATTCCAGGTGTTAAGTTGTGGGTGAACATATCAGACGACACAGCGATTCTTCAAACGGCTCTTGTTTATTCGCAGGCCAGAACAGAACTGAACTGAAGGGTTCAGCCAGCCTGCTTCTACAGAGCTCCACTACAACGCCTTTCTGTAACTATCCAACCACTGAACGTCACTTTCATTCCCCTATTTGCATATGTGGACCTGAGTGAAAACTATCTAAAGTATCCCCCTGCTGGCCCAGGGTGAGAACTTCAGTACATAACACCTGGTATCAAGGTCCCACCCAAATCTACTTAAGCAACACCTAGGAGCGGCTGTAAAGTTTCTTTCGCCAGAATCCCAACCAGTGTTAAGAAATCAGCCAGTGTGTGTGTTGCGACTGGCATAGGTCCAATTGCGACCATGTGGAAATACCTGGGTACCAGGTTGGCAACTGACCTCTCCAACTTCCTCAAGCAGCTCAGCAGAAAAGCTTTTTTTTTGGGGGCTTTTATATCCCACCCATTGCTCCAATAAGTACATGGTTCACGCCATCCCTAAGTTAAACCCTACAATGACCCTCCGAGGTAGGTTAAGAGGGCTCCAAGGAGTCAGATGAGCTTCACGACTGAGTGGGGTTTTTGATCTTCGAGGTCCTAGTCCAACGCTCTAACCACTGCACCCCACTGCCTTCCTAGAGTCATCCTGCTATGAGGCAGCTCTATAAATTAGGTAGGCAAACAAATATGGGGAACACCAAATTTCGCTTGGAGCAGGATCTGAGATATTTTCCTCGGGAGCTTGGTTTATTCTGGATTGTTTTATTTGATCGTAGAATTGTAGAGCTGGAATGGCCCCCACCGGTCATCTAGTCCAACCCCCCGCCATGCAGGAATGGTGTCTTAATGTCTTGTAAACCGCTTTGAGATTTTTATCTTTATAAAGCGGTATACAAATGAAAATAATAATAATCAAACACCACTGCAGAAAAAGGTGCCCAGACATTCTGTTGTGGTGACCATGACCCAGGTTTAAGGTGCCATTTGGTGATTAGCATATATCTGAGTTTCTAACACTGAATTGGGACGCGGGTGGCGCTGTGGGTTAAACCACAGAGCCTAGGCCTTGCCGATCAGAAGGTTGGCGGTTCGAATCCCCTCAACGGGCTGAGCTCCCGTTGCTCGGTCCCTGCTCCTGCCAACCTAGCAGTTTGAAAGCACATCAAAGTGCAAGTAGATAAATAGGTACTGCTCTGGCGGGAAGGTAAACGGCGTTTCCTTGCACTGCTCTGGTTCGCCAGAAGCGGCTTAGTCATGCTGGCCACATGACCTGGAAGCTGTACGCCGGCTCCCTTGGCCACTAAAGCGAGATGAGCGCCGCAACCCCAGAGTCGGTCACGACTGGACCTAATGGTCAGAGGTCCCTTTACCTTTACCTTAACACTGAATTCCCAGCAGGACTGTGCTCTTAGGTGCTCTGCTGACACCTGGCTCACCTGTGGCCTTTGACTCCCAATGTCCCTCCACCCCTGACTACTTACTGGTCATGTTTTGGGGGTGTGGGTTGCCATTCAGCAACGCCTGGGGGCCTGCATGTTCCCTATGCCTGCCTTGGAGAGATGCTTGCTCCCCACTCAAAACCCGGGGGTGTGGGTGTGCGTGCAAAATGAAAGCCGGTTGGCACGAGCCAATAGCCGCAGAAAAGATCTTCCTTTGCACGGTGCAGAATTAACCGCCATGGACTGGGATGGTGCCCTTGGTTCATTTTATTACCGGTTTCCTATTCCACCCTTTTTCGAAGGAGCTCAAGGTGGCGTTCCTGGTTTTCTCCCCTCCCCATCTTCTTATCCTCACAACAGCCCCGCGAGGCAGAGAGGTGGTGACTGTGACCCAGTGAGCGGGGATTTGAGCCGCGGTCTTTCCTGGGTCCTAGCCCAACACTCTAACCACTACACCGCACTGCCTCACATGCCCATGTTGGCAGGGAGAGCTGGTCTTGAACCCTTCCTGTTTCCCAGGAGCTCCTTTGGCTTAGCAGCCATTTGGTCCGCTCAGGACGGCGGGGGGTGGGGTAGGGTGGGGTGGAATCTGCCCTCCCGGCCACCAACAAAAAACAGAATAATGGGAGATCAAGTCAAATTCCAGGAAAAGCAGCCGTAAGCTCAGTGAAGCATGCAGCGTGCTCCAGAGTTGCACAATCTCCAGGAGCGCTCCTCTGTGCGCTCTTATTTAAAAGAGGAGCAGGCACTAGGTGCGGAAGGGCTGGGGGCTGATGGGAGTTGTAGTCCAACACATCTGGGCGGCACCACGTGGGCTGGGGTGCGCTCCTCCCTCGCCAGAGGAGCCTCGGGTCCCCAGGTGTTGATGGACTACAACTCCCATCATCCTTAGCTAGCATGACCACTTGGGGAAAATGGCCAGGGATGATGGGAGTTGTAGTCCAACAACACATAGCGACCCAAAGTCCGGGAAAAGCTGGGTTAGAGCGCCGGAATGGGAGCTGGGAGAGATCAGGGTGCAAAAAGCTCACCCTGGGTGTGATCCTGGGGGGTGGCCGTCACTCTGCCCCTCTCAGCCCTAACCTACCCCGCAGGGTTTTTGTTGAGAAGCAGGGAGATTCGAACGATGTGCGCCACCTTGGGAGTTGCGCTGATGGGAGTTGTAGTCCAACACATCTGGGCGGCACCACCTGGGCTGGCCCACGCTCCTCCCTCGCCAGAGCAGCCTTTCTCAGCCTCGGGTCCCCAGGGGTTGATGGACTACAACTCCCATCATCCTTAGCTAGCAGGACCACTTGACCGCTTGGGGGAAATGGTGGGAAATTTCAATGCAACAAAGAAATAAATGACCCGGGACAGCTACGGAGTCTGTTCGTTGCCCAACGACGCGCCCAAGGTCAAGAGGAGCCGGAGGCGGTTGCTGGCTCTTGCGGGGCGAATGTGGTGCTGGCGAGGCCAAGATAGCAGGTTCGATCCCCGTATGGGACAGATGCATATTCCTGCATTGTACTGGGTTGGGCTAGATAAATGGTTCCCAACCTTTTTTTTTTTTTGCCATGCCCCCCCCAGCACCTCTAAAATCCTGATGCCCCCCCGTGACATATGATAATAATAATAATAATAATAATAATAATAATTTTTATTTATATCCCACCCTCCCCAGCCGAAGCTGGGCTCATATCTAATTCTTATTATTCCAAAAATGAGCTCCTATTCACCTGGAGGAAGCCTAAAAAGCACATTAACCGTTAATAACTCATTCTCGAATTGCCCCCCTTAAAAATCAAATTACCCCCCTGTGCCCCACGTTGCGAACCACGGGACTAGAAGAGCCTCAAATTGGTCCCTTCCAAATCGACGATTCTGCTAATCCGGATTACCTGCGCGAGAAACAAAGAAGGGGCGGGGCTTGGCTACGGCCCCTCCCACACAGGGAGGAGTCCCCTCCCTACTTAATCTACCTCCCGCTCCCACGCGGCTTTTGGATACCTTCTTCGAGGAGATCCGCGCGCCGGCGCTGGAAGTGGGTTTGTCTTGTTGCCTTTCCCTTTCCCTGCCCCCCCCCAGCTCCTGTCCCCCCCCCATACCCCCCACCTCCCGCCTTCAGGGGCGGCCATAGAACCGCTTTACGCGCACTTTACGCGGAGACTGGGGATGGGGCGCGCAGAAGCCGCGGGCGCCTCGCGGTCGGTGCTCAGCGCGCAGCGCGCAATCTTTGAAGCGCCCCGGGGCTTAAGGAGGGGTTTCCTCGTCTCTCCCTCTCTCTTGTTGCTTTAACTTTTTGTATGTCTTAAAATCATCTCCGATTGTTAGCATAGATCCGTCCGGTCATCTTTCGCAGAGGTCCTGGGGGGTCGCCTCCCCAAACTCTGCCGCTTTTCTCCGCCAGACCCCCGTTCTTTGCCGGGGCACCCCAGCAAGACCCCTTTTCCACTTTGTGCTCATTGCCCAAATGTGCTCTTCTTGCTGAAGCTTACTATACCTGTTCCATTGTGAAGGTAAATTGGCACCTCCTTATTAAGTGTATGCCAGTGTCTTCACTGCATATGTTTAGGTGCCGGAAGAAAACATTTCTCTTCAACCGGGTATTTGGTTGATAAACTTTTGATGGCTCTGGAAATGTGTTTATGGGAGGGGAGATAGTGGTTTGGTTTTATGGCGTATTTTGTTTGCTCGTTTTGTATTTTTCTGTTGTGAAGCACCCTGGGATCATCAGATGAAGGGTGATATACTACTAGTACCTCGGGTTACACTGTACTAATACTACTACAGTGGTACCTCAGGTTACATACGCTTCAGGTTACAGACTCCGCTAACCCAGAAATAGTGCTTCAGGTTAAGAACTTTGCTTCAGGATGAGAACAGATATCGTGCTCCGGCGGCAGCAGGAGGCCGCATTAGCTAAAGTGGTGCTTCAGGTTAAGAACAGTTTCAGGTTAAGAACAGACCTCCAGAACGAATTAAGTTCTTAACCTGAGGTACCACTGTACTAGTACGAGATGAGTGCCACAACCCCAAACTTGGTTACGACTGGACCTAATGGTCAGGGGTTCCTTTACCTTTTTACCTCTGGTTACGTACTTAATTCGTTCCGGAGGTCTGTACTTAACCTGAAACTGTTCTTAACCTGAAGCACCACTTTAGCTAATGGGGCCACATGATTTCTGTTCTCATCCTGAAGCAAAGTTCTTAACCCGAGGTACTATTTCTGGGTTAGCAGAGTCTGTAACCTGAAGCGTATGTAACCCGAGGTACCACTGTTATATTATTAGTACTATTAGTAGTATTACTAATACTACTACTACTAGTAGTAGTAATAGGAAACATCCTCCTGCTTCTTCGGATTCCCCCTGCCCCCTTGGCATCTGGGTAGTAAACAGTGAACGTACTCCCCAAGGTTTGATTTGGAGCCCAGGGAGGGAGCAAAGGTCACCCAGGAAGCTTCACGGCTTAGTGGGGGATTTGAATCCGTGACTCTTCCCTGGTCAGAGTCCATTTCTTTCCTCCTCCATCTTTGAGCCCTTGATTGGCTTAGCCTGGGGGGGTGTGTATTGTGGTTCTTGCGGCGCAGTGAGACTTGCACCTTGATTGCGGGCTGGAAAATGGGTTTAAAAGCGGCCCTTTTTCGGAGCCCAAGATGCTGCTGCTCCCCGTTGCCTTCTTGCTGACGCTTGAGTTTCCATTCCACACGGTTAGTCAGTGGGGCTGACTTCTGAGAACTGGAGGAAACGGGGAACTCCTCTGTGGCTAAAACTTGCCCAAGAGGCAGGGCGGTCATGAGTTCAAGAACTTCTTCACTGGAAAATGGCAGGAGTCAGGAGAAAGTGTGCCTCATCTGGACTGTTCTGGGGAGGCAGAAGAGCGTGGATCAGGCCAGTGGCCCATCTAGGCCAGTATCCTGTTCTCACAGCAGCCACTCAGATGCCCCAAAGGGCTGCCTGAGAGCAGGATCCGAACACAGGTTCACTTTCTGACAGTAGGAGCTGTTCGATAGTGGAGCAGCCTCCCTCGCGAGGTGGTGGGCTCTTCTTCCTTGGAGCCATTTAAGCAGAGGTTGGGCGGCCACCTGTGAGGGATGCTTTATCGGAGATTCCTGCATGGCAGGGGGTTGGACTGGATGACCTTTGGAGGTCCCTTCCAACCCTACACTTCTATGATTCTCTCCTCCTGTGGTTTCCAGAAACTGGTGTTCAGGATGCTGTGGTGGACTGGAGGAGATGGGCTGGTTGCCTGTTCAGGGTGGGGTTGAGCTCCCTCTGAAAGGTTCAGAGTTGGGGGTGGGTGGGTGCCCCTGGATCCATCTTGGCCTCTGGAGTAGTAGTGTTGTTGTTGTTTTTTAGTCGTGTCTGATTTCTTAACACTGGTTGGGATTCTGGCGAAAGAAGCTGCTCCCAGGCGTTGCTTAGATAGATTGTTGTTTAGTCATTTAGCCGTGTCCGCCTCTTCGTGACCCCCTGGACCAGAGCACGCCAGGCCCTCCTGTCTTCCACTGCCTCCCGCAGTTTGGTCAAACTCATGCTGGTAGCTTCGAGAACACTGTCCCACCATCTCGTCCTCTGTCGTCCCCTTCTCCTTGTGCCCTCCATCTTTCCCAACATCAGGGTCTTTTCCAGGGAGTCTTCTCTTCTCATGAGGTGGCCAAAGTCTTGGAGTTTCAGCTTCATGATCTGTCCTTCCAGGGAGCACTCGGGGCTGATTTCCTTCAGAATGGAGAGGTCTGATCTTCTTGCAGTCCATGGGACTCTCAAGAGTCTCCTCCAGCACCATAATTAGTAGTAGTAGTAGTAGTAGTAGTAGTAGTAGTAGTAGTAATAATAATAATAATAATTTATACCCCGCCCATCTGGCTGGGTTTCTCCAGCCACTCTGGGCGGCTTCCAACAAAATACTAAAAATGCAATAAAACATCAAACATTAAAAAACTTCCCTAAACAGGGCTGCCTTCAGGTGTTTTCTAAAAGTCAGATAGTAGTTGTTTATTTCCTTGACATCTGACTGGAAAATGTTCCATAGGGAGGGCGCCACTACCGAGAAGGCCCTGTGCCTGGTTCCCTGTAACTTGGCTTCTCGCAGTGAGGGAACTGCCAGAAGACCCTGAGAGCTGGACCTCAGTGTCCGGGCAGAACGATGGAGGTGGAGACGCTCCTTCAGGTATACTGGGCCAAGTCCATTTAGGGAGCTCATGTACCCTCCGTGGCAAGGAGTGCCTTTGACAAGCGACAGCTAGAACATCAACTGCAGCTGTTCTTGGACCAGGGATGGTCTGTCCATGGGGCACTGGCAGCCTTGATTATTGCAACATGCTCTTTTCAGGGCTGTCCTTGGGCCTGGTCTGGAGGCTCCAGCTGGTGCAGAATTCCACCCCTGGGCTACTGAAGGGGAGAAAGTATTGCCAGCACATAATTCCGGTGCTCAAAAGTTTGCACTGGGCCCAAGGCTCTTGTTTTACTCAGCAGCACTTGTTATCTATTGCTCTAATCCATGCCTGATTTAGGTTTGATGAGGCCCTAAGCTCCTGAAGGTAATGGGGCCCTTTATATGTCCAGCTGTCCTTTGTCAACAAAATATCACTGTTTTCTGTGTTGAATATATGCTATATGGTAATTTATGGACCTAATAGGAGCCTACACAACACAAAACACTCTTGCTGTATGTAGGTTTTATTTTATTTGTTTTTTACCTTATATTTTGGAAATGTGCACCCAGTTTTTTCCCCTTTAATTTTTTGGGGCCCCCCCCCAAGAGAGTGGAGACCCAAGCTAGAGCTTGTTTAGCTTAGACGTACATCCGGCACTGGCTCTAATGATTAATTGGATCAATGCGGTACTCCTGTCCAGAAACCCATCTCCCAGGGCCCAACTCTTCCTTCCTTCCTTCCTTCCTTCCTTCCTTCCTTCCTTCCTTCCTTCCTTTCTTTCTTTCTTTCTTTCTTTCTTTCTTTCTTTCTTGCCTTCTTGCCTTTATATACCACCATTATCTTCCAAGGATCTCAAGATATACATAGTTTTCCTCCTCCCCATTTCACCCTCCCAACAACCCTGTGAGGTAGGTGACTGGCCCAAGGTCACCCAGGGAGTGGGGATTTGAACCCTGCTCTCTCAGGTCCAACACTCTTAAAACCCTTCTTGCCACACTGGCTGTTTCCATTGGCCTTCCTCAGTTGGGTGCCCTCTGCCTGTTTTGGACGTCCGGTCCCTTAGCTGGCACAGGGTGGGGTAGCCTTTCCTTGAATGCTGAGTCCAGGTGTTTTTTGGGTGTGCAAATATTGATCCGTTCCTTCTCTTCCTCTGCCACAGGGTCCTTGGGTGACCTTTGTCCTTTCCCCTGCTTGCCAGAGCTGATGCTCAAGATGTCCTGCTCTCACGAGAAGACCACGAGAAGCCTCTTCGTCTGCCTGGCTCTCGTGACGCTGGGCGACACCCGGCTTTCCTTCCGGAGAAAAGGTAGGCATCCACCAATCGCTGGATGAGCATCCTTGGCGGTTCCTACATAGTCTGTGTGTTTTTATCCTCTGGCATCAAAGCAGATGGCTGTGATGGGATCTTTGTCTAGACTGAGCAAGGTTTCCCCAGCTTGGGTCCCCAGCTGTTTTTGGACTACAACTCCCATCATCCCTAGTTACCCAGTGGTCAGGGATGATGGGAGTTGTAGTCCAAAAACAGACAGACCCAAGGTTTGGGAAACACTGGGATTCCAGACTTTTTCAGATCCCCCATCCCCATTCCGTAAACTCATCCTCATAAACCTGCCTATAAAAAAAGCATTATTCCGAATAGCGGTTTGCATAACCCACTAAGGAAGCAGATAACACGGTAAAATTCAAAGCAGTAGCAATTAATTGCACATTGATTCAAGGGTTGCTGTACATCTGTGGTAGGTGAAGCTTTGTGCATTTCTGGTAGGCAGTTATACATAAATATGTTATGCTACGAATTTCCTTAACTTTTACTTTTTTGTCCGTAAAAAATGTGCAAATATATATTTTTTTCATGCAGTTTTCTCTGCTGTATGTTGTGTTTTTAGCTACAATATTAGTGGTGGACATGCAAAAAGGCTGGAGCATTTGGGGAAATGATATATAATGAACTGGAAAAAAATGTTTAAGATAACTTTTGTAAAAACAAACCAACCCAGAAGCCTTTTTAATAGACATTACAGGAGAAGAAATACCAAAAGACTGTTTATGCATGCAACGACAGATGCAAGAATGCTTTTTGGCCAAAGATGGAAGGAAGAGGAAAAGCCAGCCGAGGAAGAGTGGAGAGTGAAAATGATGGACTACACAGAAATGGCAAAAATGACTGGGAAGATCAGACAGCAATATGATAGTAAATTTAAAGAAGAATGGTATAAGTTCATAGAGTACATTAAGGAACAATGTAAAGATTTAAAGACGTTAGCAACGCTCATTGTCGCTAGCCATTGGGCATGCTGGCTGCAGCAACTACCCCGTGCCCCTAAGCTGGTCTGCTGCCCTCTGGAAGATGTTGCCCCACCAAGATGGGACAGGCTTGAATGTTGGATGGCCGCCTGTCATGTATGCTTTAGCTGAGGTTCCTGCATTGCTTGGGGGTTGGACTGGATGACCCTCAGGATCCCTTCCGACCCTACAGTTCTCCAATTCTGTGTGCAGAGGAGGGCGACTGAGATGATCAAGGAAACCGAGTCTGATGAGGAATGGTTGAGGGAGCCGGTCTGTTTCAGCCTGGAGAAGACTGAGAGGCGACCTAGGCATCCAATGAATGTTGGAAGATTTAGGGCAGATAAAGTGCTGTATTTTTCACTCCATAAGACGCACCTAGTTTTTAGAGGAGGAAAACAAGAAAAAAAAATATTCTGAAAGAAACAGTGGATGTATGATTTTTGTGGTTCATGCTGTGGCCTCAGACATGTAATCTGATGGTAAATTTGGGGTGACCCAATGCAAAAATCCTGAGAATCCATGCGGATACGTGCTTTGTAACCACATTTTTGCACCATTGTGGCCCCAGGAAACAGTGGGTACGTGATTTTTTTGGTGCAGGCTGTAGCCATGGACATGCTATGTGATCTGATGGTGAATTTGGGGTGACCCAATGCAAAAATCCTGAGGATCCATGGGCTTTTACCTCCCCAGGCAGCCTCCTTTATCAGCGTCCCTTATCTCCCTCCCGATCCCACTGATCAGCTGTTTCCTTTCAAGACTCCCTTCCCTCTTGTTTGCCTTAGTGTAGTGTCTTTTCCTTAGGTGGAGCAGTTTTTTGCTCCTCCTTTTCTTCTAATTTCTCTCCTTATTGCTTTAGTCTTCCTGTTTCCCCCCTTTGCAAGTTTGCTGTCTTTACCTCCCCCCTCCCAGGCAGCCTCCTTTATCTCTAGCGTCCCTTATCTCTCTCCCCAATCGGCAAATGATCAGCAGCTTTGTTTCAACACCCACTTCCCTCTTTTCAAAAAAAAGCATGATCTGCTTTTCACCCCTCGGCAATTTGGCTCCAGGGACCACACATTCGCTCCATAAGACACACAGACATTTCCCCTTAATTTTTAGGAAGAAAAAAATGCGTCTTATGGAGCGAAAAATATGGTACTTCTTCACATTGTTAAACTATGGAACTCTCACCCACAGGAGGCAGTGATGCTCACCAATCTAGCTTTTAAAATGGGGTTAGGCCATTTAGGGCTTTCAAGGTCAGCACCAACACTTTGAATTTTGCTCGGAAACGTCCTGGGAGTCAATGCAGATCTCTCAGGACCGGTGTTCTATGGTCTCGGCGGCCGCTCCCAGTCCCCAGTCTAGCTACCACATTCTGGATTAGTTGCAGTTTCTGGGTCACCTCCAAAGGTAGCCCCACGTAGAGCGCGTTGCAGTAGTCCAAGCGGGAGATAACTAGATAACATTGTTGCAGATGGCTTCCCTGGGGAGACCCCTGGCCCCCTCTCCCCTCTTGGGAACGGGACTCAGGTGGAAACTGAGGTCTTTCCTCGTTGCACGACTTGGAGCGCAAAACCTCAAGCGGCCAGTCCAGAGCCGAGTCGCCAGTCAGAAGCCGTCAACTGAGGCCGTTCGTCATCTGCATTCCCAGGACTACATGGCTTTGCCTCATGCCAGCACATCAGCTGCCAGAAACGTTCGCAGAATGGGGTTGTTGCAAGTTTCTTGAAAAACAGGTGTGTTGCAAGCTGAATCTGCAGACTGCTTTGCTCACAGGAGTTGGATCGTAGACTTCCTGTGAGCAACAGCGCTGAGGCTGAAGTGCAAAACCGGGAAGAGATTTGGCGAAGGCGGCGCCTCCTTTTTTTACCCCGAATTCATGGATTCCTGTGTTTTGCAATGTGTCTGTCTGCGTGTTGCCACATCGAGCCGTTACGCGGAATGAGGAAGAGCACCAAGCTCTGACGTATCGTTGTGCTACGTAATTCTTTATTTTGTCGCTCTGTGCTCCAGCTTCCGAGACCTGATGGGCATTGCCCACGCTCCCTGCCAATTATTTTCTCTTCCCCTCCCCCCCCGGTTTTTTTTTATTTCATTGGTAAAGGTAAAGGTAAAGGTAAAGGTAAAGGGACTCCTAATCATTAGGTCCAGTCGTGGCCGACTCTGGGGTTGCGGCTCTCATCTTGCTTTATTGGCCGAGGGAGCCGGCATACAGCTTCCGGGTCATGTGGCCAGCAGGACTAAGCCGCTTCTGGCGAACCAGAGCAGCGCACGGAAACGCCCTTTACCTTCCCGCCAGAGCGGTACCTATTTATCTACTTGCACTTGGACGTGCTTTTGAACTGCTAGGTTGGCAGGAGCAGGGACTGAGCAACGGGAGCTCACCCCATCGCAGGGATTCGAACTGTCGACATTCTGATCAGCAAGTCCTAGGCTTGTGGTTTAACCCACAGTGCCACCCACATCCTCCCAGTTCATAGTCCATCACTACAACCATTACACCACCCTGGCTCTCAATACGATACTGGAAACATTGCAGGGGTTGGACTTGTTTAATACACATTGTTAAATGTGTATAAAACAGGGAACAATTATAGGAGCAGAGGAAAACGGAAAGTTGAGAAACAAGACTATAGAATGAGGCACGTGGAATGAGTAGAGCAGTTGCGCATGGCTTAAAATAACACACAAAAAAACCCCCATGTAAATAATATCATCATTATCTGATTATCTAGTCTACTTCCAGATTTGCCAGGCGTGTGACAAGGGAAGTTTTGAAAATGATGATTTTGTTGTATAGGAGGGACTGCCAAGTCGTTTAAAAAGCATCTGGAGGTTCTAGTCCCTGTTGAAATCTCAAATGATGGCTAATTTTCTCCAGCGTGGCTACATTCCAGAATGAGTGGTACCCAACCATCTGGTGCAAGATTTTGGGCTGTTTTCCACCGAGTAGCAATTACTCTCTCTTGAGCTGCCAAGATCATATATAACCCTCTGCCAATTGTGATCTTTGCAATGATGAGTGTTTGATATATTTTGGCTCGGTCGGCAGAGCGTGAGATCATTTATCTCAGAGTTGTGGGTTTGAACCATAGCTGTCAAGCGTCCCTTATTTGGTGGGAAACTCCCTTATCCCAGTGCCGTGTCCCGCTGCTGTCCCTTATGGATGATGTCCCTTAAATTTCCCGGGTTTCAAAGGAAGCAGCTCCTCTCCCTCCCTCCCTGCCGGCCAGGGAGGAGGGAGGCTCCAACTGTGTTGCTTGGCTGCGTTGCTCACCCAATAAGGAGTCTAAGAACGACTGGGGGGTGGAGCTTGCATGCCTTGTGCCGATCAAATCGGCCGCGTTGCCTGGGGACTTGCCTTTGCTCAGCGCTTCCCAGCGGAGAGGTGGTGGTGGTTTTCCTTGCTGCATCCCCTTTGCCGGGTTGCTGCACTGTGGGAACCACCGCTTGAGGCTTCGTTGGGCTGCTGGCTGGGCTTTCTGCCTTTGGCTCGGAGGGGCTCAGAAGTTGAACGTACCTGTGCTCTGAAAATCCCTTATTTTGGCTGCTGATCCCTTATTTTTGAGGCTGCTGGTCCCTTATTTTCAAATCTGTAAGTTGACAGCTATGGTTTGAACCCCACGTTAGATGAAAGATTTCTGCAGGGGATTGGACTGCATGACCCTTGGTGTCCCTTCCAACTCTAAAATTCTATGATTCTTGAAAGGGGGGGAGCATTGCATTCCACAGTGGTTAATAATAATAATAATAATAATAATAATAATAATAATAATTTATTTGTCTCCTGCCCTCCCCGGCCGAGGCTGGGCTCAGAGCGGCTAACATCATAAAAACAACACAATATGCATAAAAACAGACATCAGTTAGTTAAGATACATCTTTAAATTAATTCAGACAAGTTAGAATCTGGGCAGGTGGCAATTAATCAGGTTGGAGTTGAGAGTGGTTAATACTTGCCAGGATCAACTGCTTTCACTGAGCAAACAAGGACCTGTGAGTGGATTGGGGGCCTCCTTCGGGCTTGTTTTATGCAAAGGGAAGTAAGTACAGTGGTACCTCTGGTTGCGAACGGGATCCATTCTGGAGGCCCATTCGCAACATGAAAAGAGCGCAACCCGCTGTGGCGCGTAGGTTGCGATTCGCTGCTTCTGCGTGTGCCGTCATTTTGCACTTCTGCGCATGTGCGAGCGGCGAAACCCAGAAGTAACCCTTTCCGGTACTTCCGGGTCGCCGCGGGACGTAACCTAAAAGACCGTAACGTGAAGCGGACGTAACATGAGGTATGACTGTAAGTCAAACTGCATCCTGCCCAAAGGCCTGGTGGAACAGCTCCATCTTTCAGGCCCTGTGGAAAGATGTGAAATCCCGCAGGGCCCTGGTCTCTTGTGGGAAAGTGTTCCACCAGGCCAGGGCCAGGGCCAAAAACGTTAGAGTCTTGGACTTGGACCTGGGAGAGACCAGGGTTTGAATCCTTCCTCAGCCATGAAGCACACCTTGGACTGCCTCTCAGCCTGAATTATGGGGAGATATGATCTTCCCAGCATCTTAGAAAGCAGAGACATCACCTTGCCAACAAAGGTCCGTATAGTTCAAGCTATGGTTTTCCCAGTAGTGATGTGTGGAAGTGAGAGATGGACCATAAAGAAGGCTGATCACCGAAGAATGGATGCTTTTGAATTCTGGTGCTGGAGGAGACTCGTGAGAGTCCCATGGACTGCAAGAAGATCAATCCGATCCATCCTTAAGGAAATCAGCCCTGAGTGCTCACTGGAAGGACAGATCCTGAAGCTGAGGCTCCAAGACTTTGGCCACCTCATGAGAAGAGAAGACTCCCTGGAAAAGACCCTGAGGTTGGGAAAGATGGAGGGTGCAAGGAGCCGGGGACGACAGAGGATGAGGTGGTTGGACAGTGTTCTCGAAGCGACCAGCATGAGTTTGACCAAACTGCGGGAGGCAGTGGAAGACAGGAGTGCCTGGCGTGCTCTGGTCCAGGGGGTCACAAAGAGTCGGACACGACTAAACTACTAAACAACAACAACATGATCTTCCCTGTGGCCTGGACCTAATCTATATGGGGCAGTGGCTCCCAAAGTTGGGGGGGCAGTAGGATTACTTAGGGGGACACTGAGAGGTAAGGGGGCAGCGGGATGGGGGGTGGGATCCTGGAGGGGTACACAACTTCCAGGCTTTGAAAAGCTGCTATCATTGGATCAAGTTCATCTCTTTTGTTGAATTCGTTAAACAAAGTCGTTTTGATTGACTTTTTGCATAAAATGGGCAACTAATTGGTACTGTTTTGAATTTTATTGCGTGATTATATTCCTTAGTGTGTTCTGCTAACCGCTAATCTGAATAATGCTTTTTGTAGATTTAGTGTGAGGGGTATGGGGATGAGTTTATGGAACTAAGGTGGGGGCAGTGGCCCCCAAAAGTTTGGGAAAAGCTGGACGAGGGCTTTATAGGTCATAACCAGCACTTTGAAATTGTCACAGAAGTTATAGAATCATAGCATTGAAAGGGGACCCCAAAGGTCATCTAGCCCAACCCCCTTCAAAGCAGGAATCTCCCCCCCCCCCAGCGTTGGACTTGAACCCACAACTCTGAGATTAAGAGCCTCATGCTCTACCGACTGAGTTGTCCCAGCTTGTCTGGATGATTCTCTCGACTTCTTAGATGCCTTAAGCAAGCTATTTTTAATAATAATAATAATAATTTATCATTTATACCCCACCCATTTGGCTGGGCTTACCCAGCCACTCTGGGTGGCTTTCAACAGAATATTAAAATACAATAGTCTATTAAACATTAAAAGCTTCCCTAAAGAGGGCTGCCTTCAGATGTCTTCTCAAAGTCTGGTAGTTGTTCTTCTCTTTGACATCTGGTGGGAGGGCGTTCCACAGGGCAGGTGCCACTACCAAGAAGGCCCTCTGCCTGGTTCCCTGTAACCTCACTTCTTGCAGTGAAAAACCGCCAGAAGGCCCTTGGCGCTGGACCTCAGTGTCCAGGCTGAGTGATGGAGGTGGAGACGCTCTTTCAGGTATACTGTGCCTTTGAGGCCCTTTAGGGCTTTCAAGGTCAGCACCAACACTTTGAATTGTGCTTGGAAACGTACTTTGATATCCTTTTAGAGCCTGTTGCAAGGTTTCTGTTTCTGATGGCTCAGGAACTGGGCCACCAAACACACTTGGGGATTTTGGGTTTGCCCATTTCCTTTGCGCTCCTTTACATCCCTCCCCTCTGCTTTTCCCTCTGACCCCAGGGTGTAGACCACCAGAACCGCCCGCTCACAGTGCCTACCGATGCCAGGCCCCCCTGTGCCAGGAGCCTCTTCCGGACTCGGACCTGTTCGGACCTGAAACGGTGCTTGAATTCTACTGCCTACCTGGATACGTCACGACCAGCCTGCCAGCCCTCGCCTTCTGCCGAGGAGGGCAGTGGAATATGCTGAGAGACCTTGCTTGCATGCCCCCGGGAAGTAAGTGTTGTGACCTCTCTCTCTCTCTCTCTGCCCCCTACGCAGAATAAAAATGCAAAGGGGAGAATAATTTGTGTATCCGGTTTGCCAAATCAGAGATGACCCAACTGCGTGAACAGCCCCTTGAGGCTTCAACTGACTCCCCTGCAAAGGAAGTTTGTGGCATCTTGTGCTTTTAAAAAAAAGTTTAGTCCAGAGTTTCCTGAACCTTGGGTCCCCAGCTGTTTTTGGACTACGGTTCCCATCATCCTTGATCACTGGTTCTGTTAGCTAGGAATGATGGGAGTTGTAGTCCAAAAAGAGCAGCTGGAGACCCAAGGTTTGGGGAACCTTGGTTTAGAGAAAAGGTGAGGAAGAGGGGACAGGATGGGAGTTTATAAAATGATGCATGGTGTTCGAGAAAAAGGGCAGGGGACTGCTTTTCCCCCTGTCATGTAACAGTAGAACTTGTAGGCACCCAGTGAAGTTGATCATTGGAAAATTCGGGGCAGACAAAAGCAAGTCTTCCTTTGTCAAGCACATAGTTAAACTGTGGAACTCACTGCTGCAGGATTCGTGGAGGTAGTTGTTGTTTAGTCGTTTAGTTGTGTCCGACTCTTCGTGACCCCATGGACCAGAGCACGCCATGCACTCCTGTCTTCCACTGCCTCCCGCAGTTTGGCCAAACTCATGCTGGTAGCTTCGAGAACACTGTCCCACCATCTCGTCCTCTGTTGTCCCCTTCTCCTTGTGCCCTCCATCTTTCCCAACATCAGGGTCTTTTCCAGGGAGTCTTCTCTTCTCATGAGGTGGCCAAAGTCTTGGAGCCTCAGCTTCAGGATCTGTCCTTCCAGTGAGCACTCAGGGCTGATTTCCTTAAGAATGGATAGCTTTGATCTTCTTGCAGTTCATGGGACTCTCAAGAGTCTCCTCCGGCACCATAATTCAAAAGCATCAATTCTTCGGCGATCAGCCTTCTTGATGGTCCAGCTCTCACTTCCATACATCACTACTGGGAAAACCAGAGCTTGAACTATACGGTCCTTTGTTGGCAAGGTGCTGTCTCTCCTTTTTAAGATGCTGTCTAGGTTTGTCATTGCTTTTCTCCCAAGAAGCAGGCGTCTTTTAATTTCGCAGCTGCTGTCACCATCTGCAGTGATCATGGAGCCCAAGAAAGTAAAATCTCTCACTGCCTCCATTTCTTCCCCTTCTATTTGCCAGGAGGTGATGAGCCCAGTGGCCATGATCTTCGTTTTTTTGATGTTGAGCTTCAGACCATATTTTGCGCTCTCCTATTTCACCCTCATTAAAAGGTTCTTCAATTCCTCCTCACTTTCTGCCACCAAGGTTGTGTCATCTGCATATCTGAGGTTGTTGATATTTCTTCCGGCGATCTTAATTCCGGCTTGGGATTCATCCAGTGAATTCATTCATCCTCTCCTTCGTGGAGGAGGAGAGGGCTATTGATGGCTCCTAGCCAGGATGGCTGTTCTTCGGCATCCCAATTGCTGGGAACTCCAGGAGAGTAGAGGGCCCTTGTGCTGGACTCTTGCTCGTGTTTCCCACTGGGGCATCTCCTATTATTATTTTTAATGCTTTTTATTGGGGTTTCATTTAATACAAACAAACAAAATACAGTAAAATCCAACAATCATTTACCCGCATTCTTTCCCCACACTCTGCTGAGCACTGACTTCCTTCCCTCCCTTCAACAGGTTTTCTTATGTCAGTTACTTTTCCACAATTTCTTATTGTATCCAATCCTATCTACATCGTAAGATTTATTTCAGTCCTGCCAGAGTCTTCAAATTTCTACAGTTATTAATTATATACTCCATAAATTTACTCCAATCTTTTTGGAATTGTGCTTCCTCCTGATTTCGGATTCTATAGGTCAGTTCCGCATAATCAGCCATCTTTGTCTCCTCTATTGTTGGTAATTCTGGTACTTTCCAGTTTTGGGCTAACAAAGTTCTGGCAGCAGTCGTAGCATACATAAATAACCTTTGATCTGCTTTTTCTATTTGCTTTCCCATCAGACCTAGCAAGAAAGCTTCCGGCTTTTTCGGGAAAGTGTATTTAAATATCTTTTTCAATTCGTTATAAATCTGTTCCCAAAACTGTTTCGTTTTCTCACATGTCCACCCCAATCGGGCATCTCCTTGGCCACTGCAAGAATAGGATGCTGGACTTGATGGGCCGCTGGCCTGATCCAGCCATAGCTGTCAACCGTCCCTTATTTGGTGGGAAACTCCCTTATCCCAGTGCCGTGTCCCGCTGCTGTCCCTTATTGATGATGTCCCTTAAATTTCCCGGGTTTCAAAGGAAGCAGCTCCTTTCCCTCCCCGCCCCTGCTGGCCAGGGAGGAGGGAGGCTCCAACTGTGTTGCTTGGCTGCGTTGCTCACCCAATAAGGAGTCTGAGAACGACTGGGGGGTGGAGCTTGCATGCCTTGTGCCGATCAAATCGGCCGCGTTGCCTGGGGACTCGCCTTTGCTCAGCGCTTCCCAGCGGAGAGGTGACGGTGGTTTTCCTTGCTGCATCCCCTTTGCCGGGTTGCTGCGCTGTGGGAACCACCGCTTGAGGCTTTGTTGGGCTGCTGGCTGGGCTTTCTGCCTTTGGCTCGGAGGGGCTCAGAAGTTGAACATACCTGTGCCCCTTGGAAAATCCCTTATTTTGGCTGCTGATCCCTTATTTTTGAGGCTGCTGGCCCCTTATTTTCAAATCTGTAAGTTGACAGCTATGGATCCAGCAGGCTGTTCTCATGCAATATTTCAAGTGGCAAGTGGCATGCAATCCATGGTGTCTTGCGCACACCTAGCGTTGCACCCCACACCCTCCGATGTTGCAAGGGGGGCTCTCCCTGTGTCCCACATTCAGAGTGTCGTGGCCCAGTCCTGAGTGCCATTCATGCAAGATGCAAAATTCGGATTCCCTGGGCTCAGAATTCAAGCCTCTCCACCGGTTTGGTTGCCACCTTGTGGACAGAACCGCAACAACAGTTCACGCTGTCACCCACAGTTTTGTAGGCGGTTGGCATTAGCTGCCAAGGAGAGGAAGAATCTGACTTTGCAGAGGATTGTTGGTGAAATATACTCGGAGTTGAGAGTGGATTTCATGCTCTTTATTCAGCTCATAGTGGTGAGGAGGAGGAATGGAAGTTCCCCCACAATATCTGCTTTATATACAGTATTTACACATTGGGCCGCACCTGATTGGCTAATTCCAGGATTCTCCTGTAGGCCAATCAGGTTGTGGATTCACTTCCACCTGGAGCTGGATTGGGTGGCTCCTGCGGACCAATCAGACTGCTGCATTCTGAATCCAATTGTTCTAGGACCAATCAGATTGCTGCATTCTGGATCCTCTTCAACTCAGTACATAACAGTTGGGCTCAGGGATGATGAGGCGACTTGCAGTCCAGCAACATTTGCAGGGCACCAGATTGGCTTTTCCTACAGCCACTGAAAAGCGAGTGTTCAAATTTTAATCCCAGAGATATGAATTCAGACTCATTCAGATTTGCATTTATTTGGGTCCAGTTTATTTGAGAGGCTTGTCTGCTACGCAAAGTTGCTTAGGATTGAGTTGGGGCCCTTAGCGAGCCAACTTTCAAGTATGCAAGCTTTTGAGTCCAACAGAGATCTTGGCCTATTGACAGCAGTGGGTGACTGTTGTGCTGCTATAGCGATGGTTGCTGTTTATTGTTGTTGCTGACCTTGTGTGTTATCATCCTGCCAGGGCACTCAGGGTGGTCCAAGACAGGGGTCAGATAACTTTTTCAGCAGGGGGTCAGTCCACTGTCCCTCAGACCTTGGGGGGGGGGCGGACTATATTTTGAAAAGAAAAAAAAGAACGAATTCCTATGCCCCACAAATAACCCAGAGGTGCATTTTAAATAAAAGCACACATTCTACTCATGCAAAAACATGCTGATTCCCGTACCATCCGTGGGCCGGATTTAGAAGGTGATTGGGCCGGATCCGACCCCCGGGCCTTAGTTTACCTACTCATGGTCTAAGTTTGATGATATTCCAGCAGCGAAATGATCTCAATGTTCAGGGGGCAGAATGCCTGCAGGCTTCTCAAACACACCACCCCTGTTAGGATGGGCAGCTGGCCTGGATGCGCCAGTTCGGGTCATTCCTGCCACCACAGACATTTTTGACACCTCTTGCCCTAACCTTGACCGACCAAGAAGCAGCTTGCCTTATTCTTCCATCTGTGTAGGTCTGCCCTCCCTGTTTAGTTTTGGGCACTGATACCTGCAGTCCTTAACCAACGATTTCCGACCTTCCTAAGGGTCTCCATTAAATCTCTCCTGCCTCCCCACCCAACCCTTGCAGCTCCACGTCCCGACGCCTTCCTCTCCGTGGCCTCCGTCCCCATGGTGCTGGCTGCCGCTGTGATCTTTTCCGCCATCCTGGTGACGGTTGTGGCTTGCGTCCTCCTGAAGACGAGACTCCACTTCTGCCACTGCCTCAGGTGAGCCTGGGCAAACTCCAAGAGTGGATCCTGTTTGTAGTCTGCTACCTTCCACTGTTGAAGTGTATTTATTATACAGTGTGTTTACTGTATTAGGGATGCGGGTGGTGTGGTGGGTTAAACCACAGAGACTAGGACTTGCTGATCAGAAGGTCGGCGGTTCGAATCCCCACGACGGAGTGAGCTCCCGTTGCTCGGTCCCTGCTCCTGCCAACCTAGCAGTTCGAAAGCACGTCAAAGTGCAAGTAGATAAATAGGTACCGCTCCGGTGGGAAGGTAAACAGCATTTCCGTGCGCTGCTCTGGTTCACCAGAAGCGGCTTAGTCATGCTGGCCACATGACCCGGAAGCTGTACGCCAGCTCCCTCGGCCAATAAAGCGAGATGAGCGCCGCAACCCCAGAGTCGGTCACGACTGGACCTAACGGTCAGGGGTCCCTTTACATTTATGTTTGCTGTATTACATGTTATAAGAAAAAACAACAACTGCTCCCTTTCTCTTATGGGGTATCCAAGGCCCGTACAGAGTCCTTAAGTGGGTTCCCTATCGGTAGGAGAAAATAACAGAGGCCAACCAGAGAATATTGAGAAGCAAAGCAGCTAGTAAGCCTGATCTTTATTAAACTGTTGCAACAGGGTCCCCCCCACCACACGCAGGAGGAAGAATCCAGAACAATCGTGTGCAAGACTCTTGAAATTGCCCACCCTGTGGCCCAAGACCACCGCCCAAAACATCATACACACATCACAGAAGGGGGTGGTCTACAGCAGAAATCCTGTCCGCCAGGATACCTGACAATGGTCACTGATTGCATTACCTGGGCAGCCTGGCCATTCTTTTGTGATGGTTAATAGTTTAGTTCCTGAATGCTGGTCACAGGCTCACCCTTTTCATACACAAATATGCCCTTAAGGCAGGATTTGCAAGCAAAAAGACAATGGGAAGACTTACCCCATTTGCCTCCCTCCTTGCAAAGGAATATTTGAGGTCATTGGGAGAGTCAAAATGGCTTCAGGATTACTCTCCCCTATGATTTCACACACATGGCTCATATATTTAGATATGTGTGCATTTATGAATACAGTGGTACCTCAGGTTACATACGCTTCAGGTTACATATACTTCAGGTTACAAACTCCACTAACCCAGAAATATTACCTCGGGTTAAGAACTTTGCTTCAGGATGAGAACAGAAATTGCGCAGCAGCAGCAGGAGGCCCCATTAGCTAAAGTGGTACCTCAGGTTAAGAACAGTTTCAGGTTAAGAATGGACCTCCGGAACAAATTATGTTCTTAACCTGAGCATAGCTGTCAAGTGTCCCTTATTTGAAGGGACAGTCCCTTATTCCAGCGCCATGTCCCACTGCTGTCCCTTATTGATGGATGTCCCTTAAATGTCCCTTAAATGATGTCCCTTAAATTTCAAAGGAAGCAGCTCCTCTCCCTCCCTCCCTGCCGGCCAGGGAGGAGGGAGGCTCCAACTGTGTTGCTTGGCTGTGTTGCTCACCCAATAAGAAGTCTAAGAACGACTGGGGCGTGGAGCTTGCATGCCTTGTGTGTGGCTAGTTAATGCAAGCTGAGGGGGGTTTTGAATGCTGGACGCCATTTTGTTGCACGTGCTGCTGCAAACTTTGCAGTGCAAAGCCAGGCTGGGGAGCCATCTTAAGTTGAGGCTGCATAGGCCTTGTGGTGCATGTGATTCAGATTCTATTCAGTTGAACCTCTGGTTACAAAGTTGGTTGGACAGTGTTCTCGAAGCTACCAGCATGAGTTTGACCAGACTGCAGGAGGACAGGAAGACTGGAGTGTCTGGAATAGGTGAGGCTGCAGGTCCCTTATTTTGGCTGCTGGTCCCTTATTTTCAAGGCTGCTGGTCCCTTATTTTCAAATCTGTAAGTTGACAGCTATGAACCTGAGGTACCACTGTATTTATTCTATATTTGACACCTTAAAAATCTTATACTCAAGACTTTTTTTTTTTAAAATGAATAGCTGTATATAGATATTTTTAAAAACGAATAGATTGGTCCTTCTTACACACCCTTCCTCCCTTTTGCAAGCTGCGGGGGTCACACTTTGCTCGGGCTTGTACAGAACTTTGGTTTCAAATACCCTCACACTGCCATTTCTCTCCCCCCCCCCAGTTCCTACGAGCCCCTGGACGACCCGCTGGAGCAAGTGGAAGAGCTTGACGTGCCCGGACTGGACTGCAGCGGATGCCCCCTCCCCTCGTACGAAGAGGCTGTCTACGGTCACACGGGGTGCCCCTCGCCACCGGAGGCTCAGGGCCCGACCCCTCTGGTCCTTTCCCAGGAAGCCTGGGCCCCTCCAGATCTCTGCGGCCTCGGAGAGGAGCCCCCTTCCTACGAGGACTCCTTGGCGGCAGCTTCTACCGAATCGGGACCTGCCCCAGGAAGAGAGTCACCCTCCCAGCTTCCCACATCGCTCTTGCCCCCGGGTGTTGGAAAGAAGGATGGTCCTTAGCCAAGCTTGCAGTGCTTTTGTTGATCCGCCTTGGAGCCACGATTTCCTTCCTTCTTTTCCCCTCCACCCTTTTCCAAGTGGCTCCCTGTACAATCTTGGAGGGCGGTGGGAATTACGGGGGTGCCCTAAGGAAGCCCTGCCCCTCTCTGATCAAACGCTGCTATTGGAGGGCTGTGGTGGGCGGAACGACGCATCCGCCAATGAGGGACTGACTTAATACCCCGGCCAATGGCCCCGTGGCAGTGGAGCCATATTGCAGATTCAATGGGCTGGTTTTCCGTGCCGGGACGCAACTAGGAATTCTGTCCTGAGAATTCTTGGTTTGTTTGGTTGTTGTTTTTCTTAATTTACGTTTTAATTTTATTTTAAAGCCTTTTTCTTAATTCATTTTATTTCCCAAAGCAAAACGTGAGTGTGTGGATATGGGGGAAACTCATAATTCCTTCTCTCCAAAGCCTTCCTTGCCTGCTGAGCTCAGAAATCACGCAGCTTGGAGGCTGCACTGGGTGCCTCAAAGGGACCAGTTTGGACCTGCCCCTGACTGGTGCCTTGCCCCAGTAACGGATGGAAGTCTTGGCCCAAATGGCTCGGGGGAAACTGTTCATATATTGACTCCCTCCGCTGAATTTGGTTCTGCAAGAGCAGACTTGTGACTTTGCTGAAGAGGCCAGCCCAAAAGCAGTATTGACATTTGCAAGAACCCTGGGTTAATCGCCCCATGTTGTCTGAGTGTACACTCTCCGATATACTTTTGAATGCTGTTTGTCATTTTCAGAGATTTGTTTTTAAAAAAACAATTAAAACTTTGTTCATTCTACACTTGTGGACTATTTTTTGCATCTGCCTTGAGTGTGTGGACTTTTTAGAAAAATAAATAAATCTGCAAAGTGTTAAAGTCTGGACCGGGATGAGTTTTGGGGGTGTAGAAAGTCCCCCCTAATGTACTGATTACAAATTGTTTCGGAATGGCTGGTTATCTAGATGTCGACCCCGTGTGCAGTAGCCGGGAAAAAGGCAAATTCCATGTGAGGGATCATTAGGAAAGGAAGTGAAAAATAAAACTGCTGGTGTCATAATGCCATTGTTCCCGGCCCCCCACTTCCAGTTCAGACTCGACAAGGGTATATGTCAAATTAACATTATTATATTTTTGCTCCAACGGGCATCACTTTGCCCTCGCTTACGTTGAATTGCCTTTGCCATTTTGCTGCCCGTTGGCTCGGTTTGGGAGAGGTCCTTTTGGAGCTCTTTGCAATCTCCGTTCCGTTCCGATAATTTAGTGCCGTCAGCAAAGCTGGTCACCTCACACTGCTCCACTCCAAATCGTCTGAACAAGTTTCAAAGCACAGGCCCCAATACTGGTTCTTGGGGGAGGCTCAACACCCTAACTCTTAATTCAGCCACATGGGAGGGGTATATATAAAATTATTTTCATCAGGAAGAACTTTCTAATGGTAAGAGCTGTTTGACAGCGGAATAGATTCCCTTGTGGACTCTCCTTACTTGGAGGTTTCTAAGCAGAGGTTGGATGGCCATCTTTGAGGGATGATTTAGCTGAAATTCCTGCATTGCAGGGGGGTCAGACTAGATGATCCCATAGGGCCCCTTACAACTCCACAATTACATGAGCCAGTTGGGCTCAATAATAATACAATATATTTATTTTTTATATCCCACCCATCTTGCTGGGTTTCCCCAGCCACTCTGGGCAGCTTACAACATACAGTAGTACCTCTGGATACGAATGGGATCTGTTCCGGAGCCCCATTTGCATCCTGAAGCAAATGCAACCCGCATCTGTGGGTCGCGATTCACCGCTTCTGTGCATGATGTCATTTTGAGCTTCTGCGCGAGCAGCAAACCCCGGAAGTAATGCATTCCGTTACTTCTGGGTCGCCACAGAGCACAACCCGAAAACGCTCAACCTGAAGCAACTTCAACCCAAGGTATTACTATATAAAAACACAACAAAGCATCAAACATTCAAAGAACAATACGAGCAACAAACCAACCAACAAATCAATAAAAACCAATAGCAATATTAACAATAATAAACAGTTTACAGCTATACCCAAATTAAAATTACCGCCAACGCCAATTCAACATTTAACCAACACCAACCTGACGAAAGCAAAACAGAGGAACCAAAATTAGAACCATTTAAAACATTTTAGAAAGTAAGGTGGGGGATTTCTAGATCTGAATAACGAATGACCTGACTTCTAGCTTTGTTGATGTTGCGTCCTGATGGCACGTGCTTTGGCGATCCTCTGATACAACAACGCTTGCCTCTCGCACCAGGTCCTGGGCACAACTCACGATCAAGTCTAGGGTCGCCTCTTGCCCTCTCGTTGGTTCCAGCACCAACTGTTCTAGTGCACAGTCATTTTGGGTGTCTAGAAATTGCACCACTTTGGTATGACTGGGACACAGATGTAGCCAGTGGAAGTCATCTGTTAATGCAATGTTTCTCCTTTTAGATGCTCCCTTGAGTTCATTCCTCGTCTCGAGGTCTCCTTGAGGATCTTGATCGGGGGAAGATGGCATGACCCCAGTATAGTGGAGAGAAAAGCAATGACAAACCTAGACAGCATCTTAAAAAGCTGAGACATCACCTTGCCATCAAAGGCCCGTATAGTTAAAGCTCTGGTTTCCCCAGTAGTGATGTATGGAAGTGAGAGCTGGACCACAAAGAAGGCTGATTGCCGAAGAATGGATGCTTTTGAATTCTGGTGCTGGAGGAGACTCTTGAGAGTCCCATGGACTGCAAGATCAAACCTCTCTATTCTGAAGGAAATCAGCCCTGAGTGCTCACTGGAAGGACAGATCCTGAAGCTGAGGCTCCAAGACTTTGGCCACCTCATGAGAAGAGAAGACTCCCTGGAAAAGACCCTGATGTTGGGAAAGATGGAGGGCACAAGGAGAAGGAGACAACGAAGGACGAGATGGTGGGACAGTGTTCTCGAAGCTACCAGCATGAGTTTGATCACACTGCGGGAGGCAGTGGAAGACAGGAGTGCCTGGTGTGCTCTGGTCCAGGGGGTCACGAAGAGTCGGACATGACTAAACAACAACAACAACAGTACAGTGGACACTCGGGTTGCGAACGTGATCCGTGCGGGAAGCATGTTCACAACCCGCAGCGTTCACAACCTGTAGTGCCATGTCTGGACATGCGTAGGTCGCGATTTAGCGCTTCTGTGCATGTGCAAGCGCCAAAACCCAGAAGTAACCCGTTCCAGAAATTGCGCAACCCGAAGCGTCTGTGACCTGAGGTATGACTGTACTAAGCTGCTTTTGGGCCCTCGAATCGCCCCCCGCAATGATTCTGCGGAGACCAGGACCGGATTTAAGTTCGATGAGGCCCTAAGCTACTGAAGGTAATGGGGCCCTTTCTATGTCCAGCTGTCCTTTGTCAACAACAAATTGTCGCTGTTTTTTGTGTTGAATATATGTCATATGGTAATTTATGGACCTATTGGGTATCTAAAGCCATTTGCACATCACAAAAGACGTATTTTATCAAAGTAATTATTGACCTGAAATATAATTAAGAAGAAGCATATCAATAGTGAAATACAATTAAGAAGAAGTATATTAATAGTGAAATAATTATTAAGCTCCAATTTAAAATGATTTTTTATTCATAACAAACTTAATAATGCAAACACATTGGCATTTGGCAATACAAAAGTTCCCTTAGAAACACAGTTTACAAGGACTCATAATCTAGTCTCTAGAAACTTGCTATAACATGAAATAATAATAATAGGTGTAAATATTTGATGCAAACTACTAATAATGATAGTTTTATTAATACGAAAGTAAGTATTATAACCTGTACAATGCAATTGTAGTTAATACAATGCATTTTTAGTGTAATATCAGTATCACCATAGTAGTCCACACTGTTCATTGGAACAGCAGACCTTTGTACCCTGTACTAAGTGTGAGTGTAAAGGTAAAGGGACCCCTGACCGTTAAGTCCAGTCGTGGATGACTCTGGGGTTGCGGTGCTCATCTTGCTTTACTGGCCGAGGGAGCCGGCGTACAGCTTCCGGGTCATGTGGCCAGCATGACCAAGCCGCTTCTGGCGAACCAGAGCAGCGCACGGAAACGCCATTTACCTTCCCGCTGGAGCGGTACCTATTTATCTACTTGCACTTTGAGGTGCTTTTGAACTGCTAGGTTGGCAGGAGCAGGGACCGAGCAACGGGAGCTCACCCCGTGGTGGGGTTCGAACCGCCGACCTTCTGATCGGCAAGCCCTAGGCTCTGTGGTTTAACCCACAGCGCCATCTGCGTCCCTTTAAGTGTGAGTGTAAAAGACGGTATTTCTTTCTTTCAGTATAAATTGGGGAGGGGGAGAGAGTGGGGCCCTAAGCTATAGCTGTTTTAGCTTATATGTAAATCCGGCACTGGCAGAGACATGTGCCCCTTTGCGGATCTCTCGCTTGCCGGACTGAGCCCTGCCTTTGACATACATGATGATACATCTCTGCTGGCTCACTGCTGAGCTCTGCAAGACAAGACTGTCGTTCTAAAGCAAACCAAGGTGGGGTTCGCTCGCTGCGGGAGACTTGACAGTCTAAGCTCTCCCATTGATCAGGGAAGGTAAACACTGCTCTGGGTGCGCCCCTAGACAGATGCACCTGTATGGATCCACTTCCTTTTGCGCTGGGTGGGATCAGCTAACCGCTTGCTGAACCTGTTTCGTAGGCAGGTCTCCTTCATGCAGCTTTACCCTGGAATGCAAAAGACAACAACGGTGGCATGAATGGTGCAGAGAGATCTTCTGTTGCAAGTGGTTCTTGTTATAGACCAACTGTCCGGGACATCTAGGCTTTCAGAGTGGGGGGATTTTGGCAGGTGCAAATTCTATCAAGTCTGCTTCACACAGAGTCATCGGACGGCTGGTCCACCTAGTTCAGTGTTGCGTACAGTGGTACCTCGGGTTAAGAACTTAATTTGTTCTGGAGGTCCATTCTTAACCTGAAATTGTTCGTAACCTGAAGCACCACTTTAGCTAATGGGGCCTCCCACTGCTGCTGCACCGCTGGAGCACGATTTCTGTTCTCATCCTGAAGCAAAGTTCTTAACCCGAGGTACTATTTCTGGTTTAGTGGAGTCTGTAACCTGAAGCGTCTGTAACCTAAGGTACGACTGTACACTGGTTTGCAAACTAATGCCAGTGTACCGGAAGAAGCAAAGATCACCAGTGTCAAAGCAATGATTCTTCAACATCAACTTCGTTGGACTGGTCATGTTATGCGGATGCCTGATGATCGTCTTCCAAAGCAACTACTCTACTCTGAACTTAAAAATGGAAAGTGTAATACTGGTGGTCAACAAAAGAGGTTTAAAGACGCTCTCAAGGCAAATCTAAAAAAATGTAGTATAAACACTGACAACTGGGAAACATTGGCCTGCGAGCGCTCCAGTTGGAGAACAGCCTTTACCAAAGGTGTCCTGGGCTTTGAAGACACTCGAACTCAGGACGCAAGGGAGAAACACGCTAAGAGGAAGGCACGCCTGGCAAATCCAAACCGGGATCAACTCCCGCCCGGAAACCAATGTCCCCACTGTGGAAGGACGTGTGGATCCAGAATTGGCCTCCACAGTCACTTACGGACTCATTGTTAAAACCGTGTTTATGGAAGACAATCTTACTTGGCTACGGGGGATCGCCAAAAAGACGACGACACTGGTTTGCAGCAATGGGTATTTTAAGTCAGTGGTTCTCAAAGGAGAGAATGGCAATTGCAGCAAGAAGATTCAAGGACAAAGAAACATTTCAGTGTAGTATAACATCAAAATAAT